AAAAAAAAAAAAAACCGCACTAATCCCAAAAGCCTGTCTATCCGTCGGTGAATCGTCAAAATGCCTCCCAAAATCGATCTTCTTGCTACGCCATCACAATTCGAAATGAATCACTTGATTGCCATCAAGCTGGCATTTCTGGAGATATCGCTGTCCGATGTAGCTGGAAGATAAAAAACCTCATTAGCCATAATTCAGCTCACGAGAGGCAAGAGAAGTCAAAATACCTCCAATGGATCAGCCCAGCGACGTTTCTGCATTGAACAGTGAAGCTATCCACGAGCTGACTCGAGAGATTGACTAACCGTATACTCATCATAAAACTTCTAGTACTGCTGACTCGTCTTAGACGCACATTTGCTCGACGAATTGATGCCGACTCAATTTATGCCAATCATGGCGTTGTGTGCCAGCGGAGATAATATCCCGCTCAACATTTACACCGGTGGTAATAATAATGCCCTGAGACGGGAAGAAGAAAAAAAAAAATGCAATTATGCCCACTGTGGCGTCGACCATAAGAAGTCAAATGTCAACGCTGGATCGGAAGTTTTTAGTCTCGATGACTCTCGATCGTATTCTTCACTTTCTCCACTGATCACTCCACTGCTGTGCTTCATGTTACACCGCTAGTTTAGGCTGCATCGATTGCATAACAAGAATGTCAAGCTGTCTGTCACAAGTAAGGACAAAGAATTGAGAATCTCAGCTGATAGAGGAGCGGTGAGGTTATAGACAGAGTAGGAATAAAGGATAAACCAGACAAGGCAAGGCAACCGCTTCATCTCTAAATTACTTTATATTATAAATTAAGTACAACAGTAACAAGTAACAAGTAACGAGCGACAAGATCTGCCTCTAACATGCCACGTGAAAATAGTCCATCATCAGCACGTCAATAGAGTGGGTATCAACATAAATCATCAGTTCGTTCTCCTTCTTTCCTCCATGTCATCCACCACTGGACAACGGCACAAGGACTCGAACGAATGAGTCAAAGCGATTAATTGGGTTCAAGACACAGAAACCCATTGCATATGAACGAACGGTCGAGATTATTAATAAGTGATTAGCAGCGTAACGAGCGTTGATGTATTAGTAGTGTCTTTCATAGATCGTCCATGTCTAGCCACCATACTCGGAGAGTATAGACAGACATGGTCGAGAGTGCCTTCTAGCTTTCAGTAGCAGCAGGTCTAGACAGCAGAGCGACGGCCCCAGCGACGTCCACCAGAAGAGTCCTTGGAGCGGAAGGTGAACCAGACACCCTAAAAGCAGAGTCAGCAACGTGCAACCTAGAGAAACAGAGGCATGACGAACAATGATAGCAGAAACGAGCCAGACACAGGCAGACAAGAAGCTGAAAGCCTCGGCGGCCTTCCATCGGCCACACTCAGAGTTCTCCGTAAGACCAGTCCAGTGCCAGACACCACCGCAGTTGAACTTGTGGATAGCATCGACGAGGATACCGAAGGCGGCGAACCAGGCGAGGGAGATGATGACATCAACTGCATTGCGTGTACATATTAGCATCTAGTTTGGATCAAATAAAGGAAGAGTGTCGTATCACATACACGGCCAGGAAAAGAAGCTTGAAGAGAACGGAATCAACCAGATCAGGCCTAGGAGGATGGATACACCCGCCACGGCTTCGGTGTAGATCCATCGGGCCTGAGGCCAGGCCTCGAGATGGTGGAACTGAGCGAGGTAATGACCGATGATGCCCGCGACGACCTAGAGATTCAAAAGAGGCCAGGGTCAGTGCTACTGCAGAAGATGGATAGACTGGAATCGGGAGGACGTACAGCGCCAAAGACGATTTGCGCCACGCGGAAGACAATCGAGACCAGACGCGAGATGACAGGCATGGTGTACTATGTAGAAGTGTGTTGATTCTGTAGATCAGTTGATAGATAACAAAGAGGTACAGCGGTGCCGACTGCAGAGGGAGGGTAGAAGTAGTCAAGAGAGAATGAATCTGCGGCCGAGAAAAGAGCGATGCGAGCTTTAAAAACCCTTTTGATCTGCAAAAAAAAAAAAAAAAAAAAAAAACAACCGCTGCGCATTTTCTTCTTATTCCTCTTTGGGAGCTGCCATCGGTGGTGCCGGAATGGGCTGATTGGCTGGGCAGAGCATGGTTCACCTTGATATGGTGGGTGCACGGGCTGCTAGTATTGGGCTCAAATTGATCTGCCTAGCAGTAGGACCTTACTGGACTTGATTATATTCTGATATTCTCGTATTCTTCTTTATATATAGTGTGTCCACCAGCACCGCAACACTGCCCCATACTGACTATAACACATACATAAATAAAAAAGAAACAAGCAGAATCGGAATAAACGGCGATTTATCAATGAAGGAAAGTGGATCCTCCAGCACAACTAGCACCACTAGTACTGCGTGCCAAGCCTCTAAACCGCAAGGGAGAGTAGATCACTAGTCTATCTCTAGTTAGCGCACGAGGTAAACTTGGAAGAAGAAAAAAAACATCCATAAATTTTGCATTGAATTTTGTGTTTGCTTCAGGGCAGCAGCGTCGGATGGTATTTGTCTATAAATATAGAGATAGACAGTAAAATATGGGTACTTGGATGTAAGTAGATTGTACATAGGTTATACGTAAGAACAGTTGGAGAGAACAATGCTTTGTATGATCAGCCAGCCCACCTTGCTGCCGTGACGTCATCAGCCCTACAGATTGTGCTATTCTACTCTTAAATACATCTGAGTATTCTAATCAACAAGTAGAGTGTTATGAATTCAGTATGAAGATGTCATACATTAACAATTTGCCTGTAATTGCAGCTGATATAGACGAAATTCAAGTCAATAGTGTTACATTGTTCCCCGTCCGATAATTATCCTCACCCCAACGCCTTGAATCACGATAATAATACAATTAGATATTCTTCTTAGAATCCAAAAACCATTCCATCACCGTCCGGAACACCCCCTTTCCTCCACTCTCGATGATATCTCCATGACACGGGATAATCCGGTTAAACTCCCACTTGTCAATCCTCTTCATCGATTCCGCAAATGCCGGCCGATCCGCCGAGGAGAGAATATACCACGCAAACCGCTTCTGCCACGTTGCCGGCGGGGCAGCCGACAGCATCGGAGTAATCATCTTGGTCAATATCCCAGCCCCAGCAGCCTCGTTGGTTCGCGAGTACTGCTCCCTCGCCGGGAGGTTGAACAGCAGATCTGCCTCGATCATCGTCCGAGACCGCTTATGCAGAAACACAATTTCCTTTGAGCCGTGGCCGTAGACGTACTCGGTTTCGAACTCCGAGTCGAACTCGTCTGAGATATGCACGTGGTTTGCTTTTTCTTTCGTGAGGATGTGGTCGAATGCTGTGTCTTTGAAGTCCGGGTTGGATTGTCGCTTCTCCCACAGTCCTTCTGGGGCGATGATCTCTGCTTCTGGGAAGGCCTCTTTCCATGATGTTACATGGAGGTGATGCTCCATATCAAGCGCTGCTATGTACTTGACTCTGCCGCCTAGAGAGTTGATGGCCTGTTGGACTTCTGAAGTCAAGTTGACGGGAGAGAACACCGCCAGCGAACCACTGGCCATTTTGACTGTATACCGTTAGTACACTGCTGTATAGAATAGAGTAGATAAATATATCAATATCACACACCTAGCGTCCCCCGCCCCCCAAACTTGAGCTTTCCAAATCGTGCAAACGGCAGACTCAAACTGATAATGTCCGAAGTGACATTCCGGATCACCATCACCTGCGCGGCGTTTGATGGAAAGAGCTGTGTCATGATGAATACTCTGTGTGATTCAGTATGATTGTAACTGTCAGATTGTAGTCGAATGTAATTGAAAGCAGAGGTTTAAGTAGGCGTGATGACGGTCTGGATCGATGAAGTCACGGGCGGGAATGACGTCGATACAACGTTAGGCTGAATCTCCTAGAAACACGGAACCAATACTGACAGTGATATTAATATGTCCTCTCCACGTTATAATAACCTGTGTTTATTTATATGTACGCTGCATTAATATCCCTGAGCAATTTGTAAATATCCTTATCACTTGCTGACAGATTCCATCGAGTCTAGAACTCGGGACACGGGGATTTTCTATCCGCGCGGATATGAGCTTAATTTGGGCAACATGCATAACATAGCATTTATGACCGGATGGACTGGATAGCCATAGTGGCAGTGCAGGACTCCGGTTCATAATCATGATTAGGTAGGCTTCATTATTTCAAACATGGCCAGATACACCGTATTGACATAAGACATCAGGCAAAAATAATTACATACATACAAAAAAGAATCAAAGCCATAATGCTCTAAACATTTCGAAACACCAAAAGGGGTATCGCATCTATCAGAGAAACCAAACACTCATCCAGCTAAAACCCTACCCTGAAACCCGAAATCGAATATAAACAATTAATAAAAGCAAAGCAAGACGTCTAACCGTGCCATCCCCGTCTGTTGTTTCGCTGTGGTTCTTCTTCGTTGCGATGGGGGATAATGGACTCAGTAATACCAAAGGCGTCCACCAGATTTTCCCATGTGTCAAAGTCGAGGCTGAAGACGGCTTGGTGCTTTTGAACGCCTTTTTTCTGAGCTTCACTCGGCACATACGGTTGTGAGGTTTCTAGAATCAGGGTTAGCTCTTGGAGAGAAATGTATATGGGGGTCAAGGGACATACGTAAGGTTGGTAAACCCCGGCTATCCATAGATAAACCAACGATGCCGTCTCTGACCAAGAAACTCAGATAGAACAAATTCTCCACACTCTGTCCAAATGATTTTGGGTTTATGCAGAAGCGGAAAAGTGGCACGCCACCATCGTCGGAGACATTGTACTTTTGCATTGCGTCCTGGATCATTTCCTCACTAGGCTCTTCCTCGAGTGATGATAGTTCCCGGTTCACATTTTCTTCACCATCACGCTGTGTTTTCGTGAGAAGAGTATTAATGTTTTTGCACATGGTCGTAAGGTTCGATGTCTCTTGCTGGTCAAGGTCTTCTTCCTGGAGCTCCTGTGGCCGAACAGCCTGGGAGGGATCGATGCGCTCTCTTGCCCTCCGCTGTGTCACCTGACGAGTGCGCTTTTGAACGGACAACGGACCCAGCAGAAAACCAGAAATCGACGGTCGAGCATTATGACGGAAGCAGGCAGCACGTCCAAGCCAGTCCCAGTTCATTCCTTCGCCTTCATCATCGCTATCCTCAGGGTCTGCTTGTGTTCTGCCGGAAGCGCGGTGACGATGACGCTGAGTACTGCTAGGGAGTGCAGCCGGGTCTTCCGGGCCCCTGCGCATAAATGTGATGCATTTGGAAACGAACTCATCCACGTCGATACCTGCAGTGGCATCGCCAAGAGACAGTTGTGCGGTCTTTTTATGCGACAGGTCAGCGGCGCTGACCAGAAGGCGTGAATCGATCGTGGCATCGGAGGTCTGCTTGACGTGTTCGAAGAATTCATTCGCTTTAAAAATGGTATCGCGAATTCCGTGGTTCCCCGCCTGCAGGTATTCATTGCGGGAATCTACCCGACTGTTAGAGGACGACTGAAGACAAGCTTTCAGAGAAGGTCTTTACCGTGTAGGTCCCGTGTTAGGTCGCGCAGTCCTTTGCGAATCCGTCTTCTTTCATTTTCATCCTGATCCGGGTCGTAGTACTTTGTGTCGATTTCTTGTTGCGACATAGGTATTTGAGACTGACTAGCCTGGATGTTCGACGTTCTGTTTGCCAACCGCTGCCGCTTCGTCGTCGAAGCACGTCCACCAGAGGCCATTGTCTGCGTCTGGCCTCTCTTGCGGCGAGTAGCACGGTTTTCTTTATCCGATGAGGTTGGCGAAGGGGATGGGTTAGAAAATCCACCGTTTTCTTGATAAGATGTTGAACGTTCTTCCTGCAGCGAGCTGTCGACAACACGGGGATTTCGTGGCATTGCGTTTGCACTAAGTAAAAGCAAAGAGGAACACAGCGATAAGCAGATACAAGGCTGTCAAGAATGGAAACGCAAATCGTAAGGCACTATTGCATCATAAGCAACCTGAAGGATTATAATCTATTTTTTTAGTCCTTAATTTCACGTTTTCATTTCCCTAGCGATCATCAGATAGCAATCCCCTCCAGGCACGAAACCAAATGCCTTAATTTCGTGCGCGCGTCCGGCGCAACGCGTAGCGATAGCGGTCACGTGGGGCGATAGGCGACCCCGCGTCATCGCAGCGGCTCTCGGCCAATCAGAGGCCGCAGTGCTGATTACAGCTGCTGAACCCGTCTCCTTCTCCAACTTCCTTTCTCCAAGACGGCGTTTGAAGCAGTTCTGAGATGAAGACGCAATAGAGCCAGAAAAGTGTCGGTTCAAGGATGGAGGCATTTACTTTTGCCGTTTCCACTCAGGTGGACTTTCCGGTTCATATCAAGATGTACGTGGATCTCCCTGGGTTCTCGTAGACACTTGGACAAACGTCTTTTAATCAGGGATGTATCCAACTGACTAGGTATATAGCGGCTCTTTGGAAGGAAAGCAAAAACAGATTCCCTTCTCCGAGCTCCTTCAGCGACCGGAAATACGACACATTGGCTCGACCCAGAATCCCGCTTCCGACCTGTTCGTCACGGCGCAATTATGGTCTGACTCCAAGCCATTAGGAGTGCCGTTGCAGACAGCGTACAAGGCATTCAAGAACGTTCGGGCCTGGAATGAATGGTTACAACTGCCTATGTCTATCAAAGATGTGCCTTTCAAGTGTCAGCTGGCGGTCACGATCTGGGATCTGTCCCCCTTTGCGGGTGAGGGGACACACGGACATTACATTCCGTTTGGCGGAACAACCATCCCATTGTTTGATGACGAAGGAAAACTGAAGACGGGGCGACAAAAATGTAAAGTGTATCGAAACAAAGCTGCAGATGGCTTTTCTTCCACCACCACACCATCGACCCCGCATCCTAAACGACGCAAGGCCAACGCTCCCGACCCTCTTGCTCCTTCTCTGGAAGAGCTGGAGCTGGAACGTGTGGAAGTCCTGATAAAGAAACATGAGATGGGCGAGATACCTCGGATTGATTGGATGGATCAGATGGTATTCCGGCAACTAGAGAAGCTCAAGCTCGGTGCTGAAGAAGCTGCCAGAAAGCGGGCCATTCGTTTAAAGGCGACGAAGCGGGCCTCGGAGGCTAACGGTGGTGGTGGTGAAGAAGACTCTGATGAAGAAGGGCTCGATGACGAAAACTTCACACTCTACGTCGAATTTCCGCGCTTCGATCATCCAATCGTTTGGTCCGATTATCAGTATCCACCACCTCCCATTTCATCACATCCTCAAACTGCTCCCGCCAATATGAATCCTGCACTCAAACCTCTCCCAGAAGTTCGGTTTGGTCCCGGAATTGAAGGTGCGGACGGCGATGGTGTGATCAGGATATATGACCCCGAAGTTGGGCAAACGGGCAATCCTTGTGAAGACAAACACAGGCGATTGATTCGTAGCCATCGCACTGGAATAATGGATCGCGATCTGAAGCCAAATCCTAAAATTCGTGATGAGCTTAATACCATTTTGTCCTACGAGCCAACGCAAGATCTAACTGCCGAGGAAAAGGATCTTGTTTGGAGATTTAGATACTATCTTACTCGTGAAAAGAGGGCATTGACCAAATTTGTCAAATCAGTTAATTGGAAAGACGGTGGTGAATCTCGCCAAGCAGTCGACATACTTCCTAAATGGACAGAGATCGATGTCGATGATGCGCTGGAACTGCTTGGACCCACTTTTGATAATGCCGCTGTTCGATCTTATGCTGTTGAAAGACTCCGAAAAGCCGATGATGATGAGCTTCTTCTTTATCTTCTCCAGCTGGTTCAAGCATTGAAATATGAGGATAGCGGTGATGAGAACGCTGAGGATATCGCACATGATTCCTCTTTGGCCAATTTTCTCATTTCACGTGCTGCCAATAACTTCAAACTTGGAAGCTACCTTCATTGGTATCTGATGGTCGAGTGTGACGACGCTGGTCCGGGAACTTTGTCAAGTCAACGCCGGCTTTTCGCTCGGGTTGAATATTACTTCATGACTGAGCTAGAGCGATCCCATCCAGAAAATAGAAAGACTCTGCTGCGCCAAGGTGAATTGGTCGCGGTCTTGTCCAAGATTTCCAAGGATCTCCGCTTCTCGCGAGAAAATCGTATCCTCAAGATCGAGAAGCTAAAGAAGTACTTGAAAGACCCCAAGAATGACCTCATCAATATCGATCCACCGTTACCGCTGCCATTGGATCCAGATGTATTGATCACTGGCTGCTTCCCAGAGGAGTCCAACGTCTTTAAATCCACACTTTCTCCTTTGAATATCACCTTTAAGACCTCGGATGGCAACAAATATCCCATTCTGTTCAAGGTCGGCGACGATCTCCGCCAGGACCAGCTAGTCATACAGATCATCATATTGATGGATCGACTTTTGCAAAAAGAAAATTTAGACTTGAAACTAACACCGTATCGCATTCTTGCAACCAATTCTACCGCTGGAGCCGTTCAGTTTATACCATCTACCTCCCTGTCTGCCGCCTCAGCCAAATACAAATCCATTCTCGCCTATCTCAAAGCCAACAATCCCGATGATAGTGAGCCCCTTGGCGTCCGCAAAGAAACTATGGACACCTACATCAAGTCATGCGCTGGGTATTGTGTAATCACCTATCTTCTCGGCGTGGGTGACAGGCATCTGGAAAACCTACTACTCGCACCGGACGGCCACTTTTTCCACGCCGACTTTGGCTTTATCCTAGGCCGAGACCCCAAGCCCTTTGCCCCCATGATGAAGCTCTGCAAGGAAATGGTCGAGGGAATGGGCGGCACAACGTCGCCTCACTATCTCCAATTCAAGCAGTACTGCTTCACCGCATACACCACTCTGCGGAAGTCTGCCAACCTCATTCTCAATCTGTTCAGTCTGATGGTGGATGCCAACATCCCTGATATCCGAGTTGAGCCTGACAAGGCTGTTCTGAAAGTCAAGGAGCGATTCCATCTTGAGATGACAGAGGAAGAGGCTATCAGACATTTCGAGCAGCTTATTAGCGACAGTGTCAATGCTATATTCGGTGTAGTCATTGATCGACTCCATGACTTTGTACAGGGATGGAGAGCATAGGGTATCTAGCACCACAAATGTTTGGGTATGGTTTTTTATTGCTATTATTTCGATTGGAGGCATATAACAAGCTCCTTTTTTGCATATAGCGGTTATGGGCAGGAGTCTTCATACATGGATAGGCGCAAAAGGTATAAAATTATGATGGGACGATACCAAACGGGGAAAGTTTGTGACTTCTATGTGTTAATTTTTTTTATAAAAATCTAGACAACTCACTCCATTTTGATTGTACTTCCTATCAGCATGAATTTTGAATGACTTACAAACCACCCTATCTCATGATGGGAACAAATAACGTTAACTGATCTTCCTTCCAATCTCCTCGTCCGTATGCATACGAACATCCAGTTCAATCCAATCATTCTCTGACTCATTACTACCATGGCCATCTGCTCTCGCCGCTCTCGAAGCAGTATCTATGTTGACTGCATTCCCGTCACGACCGGAGAGAAAACCATCCTCCCCACTTCCACCACTGGAACCCTCTCCACGAAGCTCATCTGTCTTTGCATTTGCCCTTGCATCCTCATCATCCTCTGGAGTCCCTTCACGACAGGCCCATGCATCAACGAATCTGAGAACCTCACGTGGCCACCACCGGTTCATCACAAGTAGTCGAAAAGGCACCAAAGCAATGATGAGCACTGGGAATGCGGGTGCGGCTCGTGTTAGGGTCAAGATGAAGATGGCTACGGTAATGACAATTTGCAGAATAGTGTAGAGATGGATGGGAATGTATGAAGGGCTTTGAGGAGGCTGGTTGTCCGTGCCGGTAGAGGAGCTGTCCCTCTTTGCTAAAGATGGTGGTAAAGATGGGAGCTCGGAAGGCGGGGTGAGAAGGTAGAAAGTTCGGTATAGAATTGGACTATAGATGAAAGTATTAGAACTTGGTCTTTTCCCACTTGATGTTGGTTCACATACTTCACTGATAAACTTTGTTCTCCCATGAAGAGGAAGAGACCAGCAAGCACGCTCGTGGGTGTCAAACCGAGCACTGTCATGAATGGAGGACTGATGAAAAGCAAAATAGCGCCGGAATGTAGAAAAGCTGACCACCGCTGCTCATAAACCCGTCTCACTTCACGGTTCTCGACCTTTTCCTCGCCGTCTACAGTGATTGTGTGTTGTTCCTGTTCGGTATGCATCAACGATTCGGAGTGCAAGGGGGCTTGTGGTAGAAGCCCATTGGAAGGGGGGATCCCCAGAATTCCACACAGGGCTGTCGTGGTACCGAGTAGAACGATATCCCATGCAAAGCCACCAGGTTTCCGTGTCCCATACCGATCAATCGTGCAAATAATCGAACTTACTTCGTGGTCGAAGAAGAACAACATTGTGATGATGATTCCGGGGATCACAGCAGCAAATATCCAACCAATTGGCAGCTTCCAAAATTCAACAAAGAATCGGTCACGGTCAGGAGATGTTGGTCGAAATGAATGGCTGACCGGAAGGGTCATCTTGTCCAGGTGAGCCAGCTCACCAACATGCGGTAGACCGATGAAGAGTATGATGGAGATGGCCGCTGCATATTCTGCTAACCCAAGTCGTATATAACGATGAAAGAGAGGTCGCCAGTTCTCGGCTGTTGATAGGAAGATAGCCAAGAGCATTGTTCCTGCTGCACCAATAACGGCATAGAGAAAGGCTGCAAATGAGAGGGTTTCGTGTGCTCTCTCGAGCTCCTGAATGGCTTTGTGGAAGTAGATTATGCTGTTGAGGAGTGAGAATATTTCCGTGGCAAAGGTAGTCACATAGCGCATTGTCCAGTCATGAGCATTGATGATGGCCAATACATAGTGCAACCAAGCAGAATGGATCAGGGACCACGCCATGAACGGCAAGAAAGGAATCTGAAAACACTATAAGACAGGATACGCCGAGAGATATTTGGAAATCTTACATTAAATATTTCCTGGCATAGCGAGTATATATTCTCAGCTAGGACCGAGAAAGGACCAGTTACACCTAGGATTGTCAGTGGTTGGATAGAGAATCTAGGGCTGTGTTTAGTATTGTTCAGTAGAGCAGAAGCAAGGACCAAAGTCATACAGCGAAAAGATAATTCCGCAAAGTCCTGTACTGAAAACGACCTCGATCGCCCCCCAGCTTTTGCCTGTCAAGACATAGAGATCACTGGCAAACGTGATTCCTGGCAGTAAGTTGGTGAAGAATACGTAGACAGCGCTGGCAAAGACCAGTTGGTTAAAGATCTTCCAGTCCGATACGTAGCGCCGGCGCAAATTGAGAATATCCTGCTTCACCAGTCGAAAGGGACGCAAAGGACCCCCAGCAGAGACAGATCCCCGCAGGACTCGCAACGGCTTGGGTGTATGCTTCGACGGGGTGATGATGGAGTGGGCATTGTCACCATCCCCCTCTGCTTCGGATTCAGTGTGGTCCTGTCGTCTATGGCCTCTTCTTAGTCTGAGACGGGACTTTTGAGGAGAAGTTTCTCGTGTTGAGCGAGGTCGAAATGCTGAAATGAGAGACATCAGTATGGTGGGGTTGACTATATATCAGCACTCCGTAGCAGATCACTGATAAGGTGATAAGAGCTAAGATTGATCCTCAGAGTGTGGAGAGCAGGGTGAATTGGACAGGTGTCTATAGAATTAAAACATCATCATCCTTCGAAAAACACCAGAAAACAAAACACCAGCCATTTGCGACGGTCGAGAAGATTGGAGATCATCACGAGAAGACGACGAGAGATGGTGCTTACTGGCTCACCGCCTTTGCTTTCCGCCTTCATCGCCCCGATGAATCCGTTTATTTCTCCATCGCCAGTCGATGTCTTGTCGAGTCGATTAAGATGACTCGCTGTGTCATCGCTGTGTCCCGTCTATATAATAATATATCTGGGGTCGTCTTATGATGGCAGCTAAATTCATTCCGCGTCAGGTTTTCCCTCATTATGGGTCAATCCCAAGGTCCTATTTCCTGGGCCATCACCGAGCTGGACTGAACAAGATGAAGAGTATGCTGTCTTCCATAGATTATGTCATTGAATGCCGTGACTACAGAGTTCCAGTCACCTCTATCAATCCGATGTTTGAGGAGGCTCTAGGAAAAACCAGACGACTGACAGTTTACACCAAGAGAGATCTCGGTGCGAAGGCGCAGTCAGCAGCGCAGCAGCAGGTAAGTCGAAGAGATTCACCGGAGAATATTATTGCGGGAAAATTGCTCATTTGCTCTGTTTTATTCCAGACCGAAAAGTCAGTGCAAGGGTTCAACCACAGCAGCGCAGTCTTCTTCGTTAGCTCATCTTCCCGCCAGGACGTGAGTCCTATCCTCAAACACCTTCGGAACGATGCCGAAGGACCCGACAAGCTGGTGGGATGTCGTGTACTCGTGGTTGGAATGCCGAACGTGGGCAAATCGACTTTGATCAACAACTTGCGCAGCCAGGGCGTGAGAAAAGCAAAGGCCGCGCAAACAGGGGGTCAACCTGGTATTACACGGAAAATCGGGACACCTATAAAAATCATCGAGCGCGAGAATGACTCGCACGTCTACGTGCTCGACACTCCTGGTGTTTTTATGCCATACGTGCCGGATGCAGAGAATATGCTCAAATTGGCACTCTGTGGCTGTGTCAAGGACTCTGTCATCTCGCCTGTCACACTAGCGGACTACCTATTATACCATATAAACCTGCACGACGCACGGGTCTATCAACGTTGGTCAGAACCGTCCAATGAGATCATGCCGCTGCTTGAAGGTTTCGCACGGCGCACGGGCCTTCTTGCCAAAGGCGGAATTCCTAATATTGACCTTGCAGCTTTACATTTCATCCAGAAATGGCGAGCCGGTGATCTGGGGCGATTTCTGCTTGACGATCTCCAGGCGGAAGCGCGCCGTCTTGAAGACGGAACCGTGGAGGAAACGAGAACCAGTATTTCTCAGGCAATCAAGGCTGAACGAAAAGCAAAAAAGCAACAGGTTTAGAAAGACGATGAAAATAGATTGTAAATAGTATATCTCATCCCATTGTACAAAAGAACGAATATCATGTTGGTATCATCAGTGAGCTTTTTGCTCCCCCTTAAAACGGCGAATGTTATGAAGTCATCTAAGGAAAAAATGAAAATAGACAAGATATAAAAATGGAACCAAGATGAGAAAAAATAATCATCCGTAACGCCGGAAATGAGAAGGTGAGACGAAAGAAAAACAGAAAGAGATCAATCTTCAGCTCTCCCCCTCTCTTTATGCAACGACAACACCTTTTAAGAAATCTTATCAAGAAGCCTTCTTCTCCTTCTGTCCACGAGTTCTTCCTGGACCTCCTCTAACGAAGGTAGTCTCCATTCAACCCCATCACCAGCATCGCCGGGCAAGGGCTCCCATCCATCTTCGACATCGTCTTCCTTTTTGCCGCGCAGATGTTCAATGGCCTCCTTCTCCTTTTGCCGTTCGTAGACCAACAGGGTGCCATCCTCTTCGTCAAGCCCATAACCGAAATAATTGGCATCCACTTTCTTGGTCGCGATATCACCACCTCTCCCCCGCGCTTCGTCTTCTTCCTCCGGCCTTCGACCTCGCCTCGCTGCAGCCTCAAACATCTCCTTGACACCTGGTAATTCCCTCGCTCGACCAAAATATCGATACCCTTTGCCGCCGCCGGGAATTTCCCGTCCTTCATCGTCGTACACCCTGCCCGAGCCACGCATGTAGTTTGGCCCGCCTAGGTTCCGGATTTGCATCTCCCACGTCCATTTCTCGCGCATGAGCTTGTTGATTTCATCGTTCAGGTCCCGGATCTGATAGTCGCTGAGGCTGGACTCTTGGATGCGGGAGACCTTGCGCGAGATCTCCTTGAGCACTTGACCACGCCATTTCTCGCAATTCGGAATCGACTCGACCGTGGTGATGGCCTTGGGGCGACGCGTACGTCCAATGTCGATGATTCCGAGATCCGCGGCTTGCTGCGCCCGGAATCGGAAGAGCATCGACTGCGCTTTCTCACTGTTACGGGCCTGTCATGTTGAAAGAAAAAAGTGGTGCGTTGGTTAGCAATCGCGGTCTCATATTTTCTTCAATTATCGCACAGGTTGGAAAAGCAAAAATTTTCGTCTAATCCGGGTGTCGTATAACTCACCATGATGACGGTTTGGGCCCGAAGAGCGGATGGTTGGGAAGCAAAAGATGAATGAAGCTCTGGACTTGACAGCTCGAATGGGTTCAAGTCCGTCGGAAGCAGCGCTAAGAAAGAGTAGGCGCGCGGTTAGATTTATCCGCGTTTATGCCCAACGGTTGCGTCTGATGAATGTGATTGGTGAAATGGATTCTCAAATGACATATGCATGACTATTGATCCAATGTAAACGGTTTGAAATGTATTAAAAGGCAAAAATTTCTGCATAGAGATTATATTATACTATATTGGCTCATGGAGTTGTGGGTGCAAACGGGTTGAATCTAACTCTGAACGATGTCTATATATTTCTGGTGCAGAATGCTTTTCAGAATTAAGTCCTAATATTAAGAGTCCCTGTATCACCAAATAATCAAAATACCCCACTTAGCTAACTAAAGAAAAAGCAAAGATCATCATGGCCATTTAAACATATACACATTAGAGAACAGAACAGAAAACAAAACAATGAAGCGCCATCCCCCCAATGCATTTCCAGCTCAAGCACCCATGGCTCCTATTCCATCATACTCGTAAACCCGTCTATCAGGCCCTGCTTTAATATTTAGCGCCTGAATTCAATTTCACATGTATCCCCGCCGAGCAGGATCAACCTGCTAGGTCGTGATTGTTCCTTACAAGAATCCTTTCGTGTTGCTGGGCATCCTTTGTGGTATATCGCCGCCAAAAGCGCTGCTTCCCCGACGGCTGCCAACGTCGCTGAGGCCGGCCATAGGTCCACGTCCAATGGCACTTCCTCTCTCGACGCGCAAGGCTTTCCATCCGTCAAGCTCACGTTCCACTCGCAATAGCCTCTCCCGCTCTTCGCGAAGCTCTCGTTCGGCCCGACGGGCTTGAAGTTGCGCTTCCGAGTCACTCTGCTGGAGTTCTTCGATGTTGCGAAGGAGACGCTCGATTTTGTCGCGACCTTTGCTGACATCATCGTTGAGCTGAGCGTTGATCTTCTCCCGTCTTTCGATCTGTGACTGGAGATCCTTAACGGTACGGTCCACATTGCGCAGGGAGCGTTGCTCAGCAGTTTGCTTGGATTCTTGGTCTTCAAGATGAGTTTCCAACTGTTGATATATTAGCATCTTGTTATTAACAGAATAAGAGGATCGGAAATGCTTACCTCCTTGATTCTCTTGTGCAGGAACCTGACATCCTGACTACCAGATGAGTAGCTCTTAGTCTCCAAGTCGACGCACCGGAGCTGCGCTTCCTTGAGCTGCTTCTCCAACGCGGCCTTATCCTTGAAGAGCTGAGCATTGGATTCGCGTTCGGCTGTGACCTCCTTTTGCATTTCGGTCACGAGAGCGTCGGCTCGTCTCATCTTGCCAACTGCAGCAGCAGAGAGATCTTCTTGCTGCGCGAGTTGTGACTTGAGCTCAAGGAGTTCGCGGTCCATACTGGCGGCATTGCGCATTGATGGACTGCCTCCCTTGGCAAGGTCCTCCAGTCGTTCTCCTGCTTCTGCTAGTCGTGCCTCCAACATCTTCTTCTCCTTGAACAACATGTCCCGTTCCGATGTTACGTCGTCAACAGATGTCCGAAGGCTTCTGACCTGCGAGAGGAGAGAGACGACTCTGCCTTGAGCTTCGTTATGAGCATTAACAGCTTCGTCACGAGATGTTGTGACATCCTGAAGGGTGATGTCCATCCGGGACTTCTCCTTGGCCCATGTGGAACTATTGAGGACTTCATTATCCCATTTGCTGCGAAGGCTCTCAAGTTCTTCTCGGAGACGCGAGCTTTCTCCGCGAACGTTGAGGACCTTCTCGCGCTCCATCTCAAGCTCATTGTTCAGCGTCAGGAACTCTCTCTGGTATTTTTGCCGTGTCTGCTCCATCGAGGTTTCCTTATCTTCAATGTCAATCGCCCGTTGATTCCTGTAGTCCTCGAGTTCATTCTGAAGGCGCTGCTTTGTCTGTAGGGCACCTTGCAGTTCGGCCGCTTGGTCCTCCATCCTGGCTTCCAAGGACTGAGTTTGTCTTTGCAAATCCTCAACAAGGGCATCCATTTGCTTGCGCTCGGCCATTATCTGGGCGTATGTATCATCGGCCTCCTGGGCCTGTGATTTGGCAAACTGCTCAGCTCGAGACGCTTTCAAGACCGCGATTTCAGCCTGCTCAAGCTTGCTGAAGTATTCATCAGAGCGAGTCTTGTAAAGGCTTAGACTTGAGGCAAGGTCAGCGGACTTAGACAGCTCCGCATCCAAACGAATTTGCAGGTCAGCGAATTCCTGCAAAAGCTGATTCCTGCTGATCGAGTCTTGTTCTTTTGCCAATTGCAACTCCTGAGTCTCTGAATTTGCATCGCGAAGTTCGACTTCTAGAGTCGCCTTGGCTCGCTTCAGCTTTTCATAATGACCTTTTATGTCACTGAAATCGGCGATGGCTTCATTGTGAACCTTGAGCAACGATCGCCTGGATTGTTCCTGGGAGTTGATGAGGTCGTACAGTTCTTCGTGGGACTTCGCCTGAACATCACGTAGCGACAGATCCCCGGAACGGATACTTCGCTCCAACGAGGAAACCTTCTTGGAAGAATCATCGAGTTGGTCATGCAGACGACCATTTTCACGCTCCAGAAGTTGCATTCGTCTAACAGATGGGCTTTCATCTTGCCAGATGTCTTGAGATTGCGACCTGTTCTGAAGTTGATTCTGAAGGTGCTTGTTCTGCATCTCAGTCATCTGGAGCTTGTTCTGAAGTTCCTCGATCTCGGTCGCCAGGTCCATTCGCTTTTGGAAGCCAACGGTGTCCACTGTCTTATCGGACCGGCCAGAGTCATTAGCAGCATCATTGAGGTTGAACTTTCTGTTTGGTGTTGTTGGCGTGTTGAACTTCTTGAAAAGCGCATTATCAGAATTCTTTCGCAAGTGAGTAGGGGTGCGGTTGCCCACTTGGTTCTGATCGATTTCCTCCAGCAATGCACGTTTCGATGAAGAGTAACGAGCGTCAAGTTCTTTCATCTCGTCGCCGTGCCGGCGACGCATTTCTGCGAGTTGACTCTCCGCTCTACCGTACTTCTCTTCAGTCACCTGCAACTTACTCTGTACGGTATCCAGCAACTGAGCCAAGTCCACCTTCTTGGAAATATCAGGCTGAACAGCTTCCCAGGACTTGGTAGATTCATCAGCTGTCGGCTCAACGACCTTGTGCAGCACCATCAGCTGACGGTGTAGGTTGTCAATCTCCTTGTTGGCCGTGTCCAGTGAGCCTTGCAGTTTGCGAGTATTGGCCTGAGCTTGGGTCCGAAGCTGTCTCTCTGTTTCCAGATTTCTGTTTGCTTCCGCTAGTTGGATTCCAGCAGTAGAGGCAGCCTTTTCAGCGTTTCGGCTTGCTTTGTGTTCCCGATTGACCTCATGGTTCAAATCTTCCAGGCTTAGGGACAACTTCTCCTTTTGCTTTTCCAGGGACGTGATGGAAACCTGTAGATCTCCCATCTGGCGAGCTGTTTTCTTATTTTCTTCCTCGAGCCTTGCTTTCTCTCTTTGCAAATTTGTGATCCGGACTCGCTGGTTATCACTAGCTCTTGAATTGGACCTGGCGATGTCAAGGTTCTTTTGTTGGATCTTGGTAAGGAGAGCCCGATTATCATTCTCCGACGCCGTGAGCCTCCCTTTAAGAGTCACAAGTTCCCGTTCAAGCCGTTCCTTATGCTGGTCGTGGCGAATGCGGAAGTTGTCAGAATCCGCAATAGCTTGGGTAAGCTCCTGAATTCTCCCCGAAAGACGCGTTCTTTCAGCCTCCACTTCCTCCAGCTGCCGTGTCTTTTCGTCAAGATCCGATCGCATACCGTTCAATCGCTGATCGGCCTGCTTCGTGACAGTACGCTCAATCTCCGCTTCAGCATCCAAGCGAGCGTTTTCGACCTTGGTAACCCGATCCCGAAGCTTGATTAACTCTGCCTGCAGATCCTTTCGCGATTGTTCAGCAGCGACACGTGCCTCTGTAGCTCGACGAAGGGAGTCTTGTTGGATGTACATTTCCTTTTCAATGGTGATCTTGGAATCGTTTAAGGAGTCGTACTTGTCCCTCAACTCTTTAAGGTTGTGTTCTGCAAGCATTTGTACATCGTCTCTTGACTGCCGCTCACGACTAAGGTCCGCTTGTGCTTGGAAGAGCTGACTCTTCAGATCCTGGATCTGCTGCTCGAGCAATCTCCTGCTCTGCCCAGCCTCTTCGTCTTCGGTCATTTTCTCCTCGAGGAGCTTCTTGACATCGGAAATCTCGCGCTCGAGTTGAGTCTTCTCTGATTTCATCGCATCCGCTTCCGCCTGTAACTCTCTGAGGCGCTTTTGCATATTATCATGCCGAGTGGAAAGAGAAGCTTTTTCAGTTTCCATATACCTTGTCTCTTCCTCATGTCGTTTAACATCATTGCGAAGGACGGCCATTTCACTTTCTTTTCGCCTGAGCATTTCCTCGTAGCCAGTTGAAGTCGATGAAAGATCAGAAATCTGTTGTCGAATAGAACGGTTGTCCTCAATCAAGTCCTTGACTTGTTTCTTGGACTTGTCTAGTTCTTTCGAAGTGTTGGCAAGTTTGATATCAAGATCTTGGTCCGATTTCAACAGCTTCGCTTCTAGATCATGTAGTTTGCGTTCTTTCAGACTCAAGTGGCTTTGGAGCATCTTGATCTCCTGGCCGAGATCGTCGATTTGCCTATCTTTTGAGGAGGAAGCGCTGTCTGCCTCAGCTAGTCTGGCGTCGAGCTCCTCCAGGCGACTCTCCATGTCGTGTTTATCATTCTCCAGACGTTGGATGATTTCTCCTGCCTGCTCCAATTGGGTTATTCGAAGTTCAAGTTGGTCATCAGCCCTCTTCTTCGCGTCTATCAAGCTGTCCAATTGATCTTCGAGACTTTCCTGGTCGGCGATTGCACCTGCCAGCTTCTCGCTCAGCTCCACCTCTCGGATCTGAAGCCGCTTGAAGATCTCTTCCTTGTCAAGGGCAAGGGCTCGTTCGCTTTCCAAAGTTTGCTGGATTTTTTGGATTTCGACTTCAGTGCGACGCCGCTCTTCGTCCAATTTCTGGCGATCGGCAACGTCTTGCTTCCTCTTTGCTTCCAAGGCTTGAATTTTCTCGTCCCTTCTCTTAACCTCATTCGCTGTGCGGGTTTCTCCTAACAGGGGTTTCATTCGGGAGAATAACCTCCACCAAGGGTCGGCCTTCATATCCAGATACACATGGAAATTATGCTGGATGATACGGGTTGCTTCTGCACGGTATAAGCGCTTGTTCGAGATGCGCCGCTGCACAAACCCCCTGGCGAGGGATTGGAATCGGCCCATAATAGTGCGAATAAGCTGATCACGCTTCTCTTCGAGCTCAGCTAGAACACCAGCTCTGAAAAAGACCTTTGTTCTACCGACTCGATACCAAGCCGGGTCCATTCCCAGTTTCTGTAGCATCGTCTGAGCGGCAGTTTGTCCGTCTAGATAGCCCTTGGGCATATGTGAATAGAGCACTTCATATCGCTGCCTGAATTCGGCGAATAGAAGCCGATTGGGGAATCCTGTACGGGCAATTCGAATACCTTCCAGAACACCGTTGCATCGTAATTGATCCAGGACTAAGGGAGCGTTGAGCATCTTTGGGCGCTTCTTGTGATTTGGTATAATGCAGCGCACGAAGTGAGGGTGGGTTGAGTGCAGCTGGTTCATCAGACTAGACAGCTGCTCCTTGTGTCTCTGAGCAACAGTTCGGAACAGGCCCTTCTTCACGCGGCTCTTGGGGAAATCCCCATCATCGTCACCACCTCCACACTCGGAGAACAGATTTGCCACATGACTGTCGTTTGAACCTGCGAGAAGTCGCGTTACGTTGTCATTCAGGGGGTCCTTGTTCTTCTGTAGCCAATCCTCAGTGCCATATTCAACCTCGGCAGCGTAATGAGTGAGAATAAATCCCTGGTTGAGGCGAGCAGCGCGATACTTAGGGGACTTTCGATCCCAAAGTGAATGAAGCTTCTCAGTGAAGGATTTATCGGTGGCTTTTGGCATCACACAATCCTCGTCCAAACAAGAAAAGATACCGATCGGGTTTGTCAGTTCAATCAAGTCGATTGTTGGCTGCAAATCTTTCCCAAAATCAATAAATTGCCATTCGATTTGCTCACGAGCATATTCCTCTTGTTCCAAAACAAACATATGGTGGTTGAAGAATTGTTGGAGTTTCTCGTTGGTGTAATTGATACACAGCTGCTCAAAGCTATTGTTCTCAAAGATTTCGAATCCTGCAATATCAAGGACACCGATAAAATGAGGATCGTCACCTGTCATCGGGCTGCGGTCCAGCTGCTTGTTTATTCGAGTAACGAGATCTCCGAAGCCACGTTCGTAGATTCCTTTCGCCAAAGCGTCAAGAGCAAGGCGAACCTGCTCTGGGGTTTGTACCTTTTCCACCCACTCTCGGCCGGCCTTCACCTTTGGGTGGAGCAGGCCTTTGACGAAAGGCTCTGGATCAATTCCGAGGAGGTGACATGCCCTCTCTATGCTGTTTAATGAATCAGGTCCCAGCGCAGCCTGATCTGCACGCAGACTCTCTTTGATGACGGTGACATTTCCGAGATGCAGAACGGCGGCAATGGTCCGGAGAATACACATTTGGTCCTCCTCTGTGAACCTCATGACATGGAACGCCTCCATCAACGAGTTCCATTCGTCCACGTCAGATACCCCAGCGATTGTGTCATTGCCGTCTTTGGTGTAAGAGAAATCTTCAATGTGGAGATCGGATAATAGCAGGCCTTCCCGCAACCTCGAATCAGCGCCTTGTAGTAGCTGGTAGAAGATATGGTAGTTTCTTTCGTGAGCATTCGGTTTCACGACTCGAGACTTCTCCAGCAAGTACCAGTCAATAGAGGCACCTGATATTTGGCCAGAGCGGGAGAATTCGATTCTAATGAACTTTCCAAACCGTGAGGAGTTGTTGTTTCTAACTGTCTGCGCATTACCAAAGGCTTCGAGAATGGGATTTGCTCTCAATATCTGCTGCGAGAGAGTGGAAAATTGCTGTTTCGCTCCTGACCGAGCATACGGAGTGTCCGTTGTCGCAACCGCTGCAAGGTATTGGATGACCTTCTTCGTATTCTCTGTCTTACCAGCTCCTGACTCTCCCCTGTGCGATGTGATTAGACATTGTCTGGTTTTCCAACTTATATGATAAATAACTCACGTCACCAGAATACTTTGGTTTTCGCCCTCCTCAACCATATTCCGAAATGCCTGATCGGCCATCGCGAATATGTGAGGTCGAGTTTCCTCTCTGCTCCGGCCTTTATACATCTTCACATACTCGTTTGTGTATATTGGCAACGGGCAGTATGGATTGATTGTTACCAGGAAAAGCCCAGAATATGTCTAATAAAACCAGTATATTAGTGGAATTTGCATGCAAAGTGCAGTTGTCATGGATTGACTGACATAGATGAGATCTGCCTGATACCGTGTGTGCAAATTATGCACCACTGAAGCTTCATTTAGATGCGTGAGCTCGGCCATGTCATCTGCCTTGTCGAATTTGGCAGGGTTAACTTTGTCGACCTGGTCCGCATCTATTTCCCGTTGCTATAGGAAAGTGAGACTTATCAGCTTTCTGAAATCGGGGCAACAGGTTCTTTTTCATACATCACCATCATCAGTCTGGACTAATAACAGTCCATCTTCCATTTCTTCCAGCACCAACCCCCGAATAAATGCTTTCTCCTTGTCCCGTAACCACACATATTTATTGCCCGAGAAGTCATTTTCACCCTCGAGTCCTCGAATCTGATCTGCTCCCCGTTTCAGCTCCTCTGACTTGATAAATTCCGGCGCAAATGTCCCCGATGAGACATTATTTCGCAGTGAATTCGATCTCTGGCGGACTATCACCTGTGACGATTGTTTCGGTGAAGAGGCGATCTGGGAGTTGTTTCGAAAATGATTCTTGGCCTCCTCGAACTTGCCTGGCGATGACACTAACGCTGATTTTGGCCGTGGCCTACTCTGTGCTCCAGGAGATCGAGAAGGAGAAGGAGAAGGGGATGTGCGATTGAATAGGTTGGCACGCTTTGGCGAGCCATTTAACTGAGAGGGTAACATGGCGGCGTCAAATCAATGGGGCATCATTTGGCAGCAAGCTCGGATCGTATAGGTATCAATGACATAGAATCAAGATGAGAAAAGTAATAAAGACAAAACGACGAAGAAACACAAAACATAAGAGAGGAAAACAAGCACGATGGCTGGGTGGGGGATGACAGCACTGAGATGTGAAGCTGAGCAAGCTCTCATGCAGCCGGCTGTCAAGTTAATTAATTAAGCCCTTGGACTGCTGCTCCGCAGTTTGCCTGTTTGTTTACATCCTGCGTTCCTCAGGCTGCGGATGCCGCTCCACCCACGGCGCTAGTCCCGATCCGCACGGGGTCCTTCACGTGACGGAATGCGGCCGCGACACTCGATCCTTTTCGTTTTTGCACAGCGACTCGTGCTTCGGATCGATATTGGAACATTCTGTGCTGTGAATCCTCCGTGTCTGTCTGACCACTACCGCCCCTTTCCTCCTCCCTTACTTGGTCCGCTCTTTATAAAGACAGATATATACCGCCTTAGAGCAGCGTGTATAACTACTGTGCTGGTCCTAAAAAAAAAAAGTCTTGGATGGTATTCGGTGACCTCGACCTGCACTTCCTTCCGTGACGTGCACGAAACACCAACGAGACCTACATCCGTTGTTTTAATGATGTGCGATGCTTAATCACGCTGTAGTCTTTGCAGGTCACTGTTTTACTTACTAGACGCAGAATTTCCCCCACGCTGATATCCAGTGCCCGTCCGTGTACTTTTTAAAACATGTCTAATTATCCCCCTACGCCTTCCTTCGAGGCAGCGTCCAACTACACGCAACCATGGCCTCCTTCCCAATCATCTACAATGCCATCACTACTTCCGCCTAATTTTCCTTTGCCTGCTGATTTTGCCGCATCCACATCCCATCAACCACAAGATAACGCTGGACATGGACAACCGTTTGAGTATGATATGAGTGCATTTCAAGCAAACTCTCGTATCCCTGGCCTGGGAGGACTCGGTGGTGCTGGACAGCTACCGCCGCCGCCATTTCCCTTCATGCCCGCGATGAATGGTTCACAATTTCCTCCGCCTCCATTTCCCCCGATTCAAATGCCACCTTTGAGGTACCCACCGATCCCTCTGCCAAGTGCTCCGATCAACATGCCGCAAAATGGATCCGCGATGAACGATGCCCCTCACACGAACACTGCGGTTGTGAATGGGTTAGATTTCCACGCTGCAAGCTCACAAAGTTCGAGATTGGATGGTGATCGAGAGGAGGGTGAGCTAACGGATATGGAGGGTGGGAAATCAGCAAAATCGAAAAGTGAGATGAAGTATTCAAGACGGACCAACCAGAAGCAGGCAGCTTCAACACGTTCGTCCCAACGTGGTAAAGGTTCGCACGCGTCCAGGGCTTCCCACGGACAGAACACTTCCGAAATGGATTTGGACATGCCACGGACAAATACACAAAACTCGGTGAAGCCTGCTGCAAAGGCGTCCGGTAAAGCAAGCTCGGATCTGGAAGAGGGCGAGGCTTCATCATCTGAATCTAGCTCCTCATCTAGAGCTAGTGGATCCCGTAATAGCCCTGAATAACTCGCAGTTATCTCACTTGCTAATCACTTGCAGCTTACAACCCTCCCATGTCTATTTCTGCCAATTCACTTGCCCCTCATGAACAACCAGGAGCACAGCGCGACGCGTCGATACCGCCTCTCGAACAAGCCCCGCAGGAGCAGGCCCTGTCACATTCACATGAATCCCACGAGATCCCCGCTGTTAAATCTCTTGCACAATTACGAGTTCAAGCCCAAGGTGCCCTCCTCAGCCTAGCGCCGCACAACATTCGATATTCGGAGCTGGTGGGCGAAGGTATTAACCCAGCCGTGCTGAAACAACTATATGAGGAAGTTGGAATCAAAGTGGCCACTCCACAACGCGAGCCATCCCCAGAAGGCCCACCTCCCAAATCAGCCGTCGTGCCGGAGGGTTTGTCTGGGTTGGAGCATGATCAACAAAACCCATTAACCGCCATACCGGAACCTGTAGGACAAAGGGCGCGGGCAGAAATTCCAGGGCATGCAAAGCAAGAGGCACAGCAGTCCAGGGTGATAGAAACCAACGCCGTCGCCGTTCCATCTACTACTCAACCAGACACGACCAAGCCTATGGAAAGAAAGGAAGTGATTGCACGTATGCTGGCCGCTAAAGCTGCGAAAGCTTCTGGGTCCTCCGCTTCCCCTCAAACCGATACTCCAAAACCACCGTCTGCCGCCCCTGCTGAAATTCAGAACATGGACAAACCAGCCTCGACTACTCCGAGCGATGCATCTGCAAAAGAGAAGGAAGCTCCCGCTCGAGAAAAAAACAAAGCCCAAACAGAGTTGGCAAGACAGCGGATAGAACAGCTGAAAAAACAGGGGTTGATGAGGGCCCAGCAACGGTCACAACCGGATTCGTTTGCTCAAGAAAAGCCGCAGCCCGGCATCGAAATCAGTGAAGTTTCAGCGCCACCACCCGCTGAGCCTCTGGCAATTCAGCATCCCCTGCCTGAGCGCCCCCCTGAACCTGAGTCCGGTACCCCTGCCCGTATACCAGGGCTTTTCATGACGGAATCAGAACCCAGCCCGCCTCGTGACTCTTTCGTTACACCTGCTCAAGGTATTTCTCTCGATTCGACGCCACAACCTCGAGCTTCCCAGCGTAAGCGTCCGAGGGCATCTGATTTTGATGAGCCTGTCAATGTGCCCACATGGCCTTTTAGTCAGGGGGCGGAACCGCCTGTCCCAGAGGATAAGCTCATTATAGATATCAGTGACGATGATGAGTTTTACGGCGATGATGAGAACGACGTCATGGACATGGACACATCAGCGGATCAAACCCCCCAAGAATCAAGCCTGTCAGGGTTTGCTCGGGAGTTTATCCCTCAGAATCCGATGAACCACCTCCTTTCTAAATCCTCAACACCTCAATATTTAAGAAATAGCGAACAGGAGGACCTTCGAAAGAAGGAGCTGGAAATACAGCAAATGCGGCGACAAATTGCCGAGATGGAGCAGCGGAAAAAAGCAAAGCTGACTGCAAGTGGCACGCAGTCGCCCTGTGTTTTGAATTCTTCGGGCTCATCACTGGCTGAGAATTCAGTCGGGCCTGATGTTGCAATCACCAATGGTGCAATTGTGGGTCCTACAACTGCAGCTGATTCTGAGGCTGATAATACGACTGCCGCCCCCAACATTGTGCCAGCGAATCATGTCGCTCCGGCAAATAATAGAGATGTCTCGACGGGCGTGTCTCATCAACCGCTTGCTTCTCTAGATGCTTCCCAGCTGCAGGAAATACGAATGAAGATCTTGCGCAAGAATGAGATCCAAGCTGGCCTTCCCTCTCTGGATGCTGAGATAAGGAAATCCCAGGCGAAGCTTGCCGAATTCAAGCAAGAGGAAGGTATCATTTTACTTGAAATTGCAAGGGGCCAAGAAGGTCGTCGGCAGCTTGTGGAAGAATTGGAAAATCTTGGTTACGAGATCAATGGCGTGTCTCTTGAAGAGCTCGACGCGGCTCAGCATCAATCAGAGATCGCCGATCCACAGCCCATCTCAGATGAAGGTATGTCTTATGATTTGGACTTTGTTTCCCTGTGTCCTGCTTTTAACTCTGTCATTCAACCTTGGTGGCTGCTCTTGAATTTTCAATTCACTTACATTTTACACCTTCTAGCTACGACTATTCCACCGCCTTCATCCGTTCACAACCACATAACACCGCATGTTTCTGCGTTTCCGTCAATAAGCCAGGATGAATCTGATCCCATTCAAGATGCCGTTCCCGCTGGTTATGCGCCTGAAGATACAGTTGAACTTCCCTCGAGCCAGTCTCGCAATGCCGACACAGGCGACGTCGAATACGAAAAAGAACCATCGCCTAGTTCGCTATCTGAGTCCACCGGGTCGGCAATGGACGAGTCTGATGATAGTTCTAGTGCCGATTCCACCTCCGTTGCCCACGCGTCGAGGGAGAGTCCCGAACTAGCAGAACTCAGTGCGCCTGAACCCCTTGAACACTCTCAAGAAGCTGATCAAGAGGAAGAGAATGGTTCGGGCTCTGTGGACGGCTCCCATTCCCTACCTGCGCGTCCACGGTTCCCAAATGCTGATTCTCAGGATGAACTCCCCGAATCCGACAGCCAAGCCGAACAAATTCAACACACGTCCTCTCGTGAATCTTCTCTTGATTCGGAGGCGTATGAACCACCCGAGCCCGAGCCTAATCCCGGCTCACCGGAATCCGTTGAATCGATTTATACGCCCCCTTTGAGTCTAGCTTCTCCTGGTCCCGTAGAACACACTGAGGCTTCCAGGCCTCCATTAGACCAGTTGCAAGCTGATGAGCCGCTAACGGGAAAGGTCCAGGGATTGGAAACTGGGTCGCAGAATCATGTTCAGGTTGGCGTTCCCGACGTATGATGAAACTCGATTTTTTTGTCATGCTATGGAAGGTTCGATACTGACAGCTCCTAGCACGAGCGGCAACCAGAAGCGCCCGAGCGCAAATTTACACCATATTCTAGCCCACTCAAATACTTCAAGGCCTATCGCTACCATCCCGCCTACACTGATGACGTTTCGGACGGCTATCGTTCTCTAACATATAGCCACAACATTGATCCTATGAAGTATCTTTGTCCGTTTGAGGCTGCAGGTGGCGTCTGCAATGACCGGTCCTGTGAATTCCAACATTTCCGTGACATGACTCTTAGCGGTGCGTCGACCGACTTGAAACCATCAACACCTTCATCTGATCCATATCTGTCCCCCATTCGCATGTCCCTCTGATGCTTTAACCCACTCCATCTGTTTACCCCCCTGCTCGACCTCACCCAGCATAGTTCAATTTACATTGTATGAATGCTGACACGCAGTGTTATTAACGTCTGCAGATGACAAAATTCTGGTCCAGATGGGATCCCTCCGAGAAGGCAAGAGCCCAGAAGAGAAGGACCACTATATTGCCGGCCTGAAGCAAATCATCAATGATATGCGACGCGACAAGGTGAAAGACTTTAACACTGTGGCCACGGAGATTGCCGCATACCGTAGACGCTTCCTTCAAGACCCTTCGCGGGTGTTGCCCTTGTAACAAGCTTCGCCCACATTCCCACGGTACTTCCCGAGAAGGGCCCATTTCTTTTCTCTTTTATTTTCCCTACCTTGAGCAAGGTGAGCTGCCGATACAATTGTTTGAATCTGCATCTGCAGAGCACTTGAGCATGTCACAAGCGTGCCGAACGTGCAGCGATTCTTAAAAACGGTCGCATCTTGCGTTGTGCTGGCTTCAGCATAGCAGCTTCTTGATACCTTTTCTCAAACATTTTTCATTGCGCCAACTCGACCATTTTATATTCTGTCCAGCCAGGCAGCTACCTTTTTATCTATTTTATCTTTTTCTTTTTTTGTTGTCTCATGCATTAGCAAGCACGGCGTTCCAGCGTGATCTTGATACATCTGGGAATTCCTTTTGGTCCCTCGAATGGACATGATCTTAATCGATCTACCGATACTTTGGCATAAGAGACGGAGTATGGTACAGGAGCAAAAAAAAAAAGAAGAAGAAGAAGAAGAAGAAAAGAAAGAAAGAAAGAAAAGAACAAACAACCCGCAGTGGGCGTAAACGGCTTCTCCACATCCATCCACCCAGCAGAGGTAAATGCTTGGGGTCGTTCAGCCAGAGTCAAGCACGGTGGAACGGGGAGAGCACATGGCGATGGACGTTTGGATTATAGGAATACATAGTGTTAGCACACGGATAATAATCACTACCATTGATCTGCCAGAGCTGATAATTTTGGAAATAAACGAGATGCTCTAAAAGCGTAGATGAAGATCTCCACTTGGCACTTGAACCGGGCGTCTAGCGTCTACAAGGAGACGCAGCAAGGCGCAAAACGGGCGATTCGAACAGTGGATAATAGGAAACGGTGTCCTGAGAAGAGAAGAGAAGAGTAACTAAATGAAGTACAATCTGACTCCATTGACTGAACACAAAGTGAAACAAACCCCAAGGTCCTTGGGAAGAACGCCCGGTAGGCGCAGTGCCATGTTGTACAAAGAGACCAGTCTGAATAGTTTCATATAATCGGCCGCAGCGAACAGGGATGAAAGAATGAAACCCAGACCGACCCAGCATGGAACAATCTATTCTCGGCTAACATTCCGAGCGACCATAGTCATCAACTGTGAGGATGAGTAAAAAAAAAGAGGCAGTGTTATGCTGTGACAGATGGGAGTCATCGAGTGATGGCCTGACTGCATGAGAGAGTTATAGGGTTGAGTCATTATGTAGGAGAATTAATCCAATGAGTTGACTAGGAATATAGTTTTTAGCAAAATGATATCACATTGCTATGTATGCTGTTCTTTCAACTATTATTATCCATCTATTACTTGACTGTCTGAATATATTGATGTTCCTTTCCTAATCGAGAGCCCGACTCGACTATCAGACGGCGTAGTTATTCAGATAAATAATCCTTGGTTGATCAAAGGATCAATAGTAGAGTCAGTAGTAATATTCATAAAATATAGATCAGAAAATAAAAAATAAAAGCCAGGAAAATAATAATCTACAAAGAAAGTCTAGAAAGAAAAAAGTGTGAGCACAGCCTCAAAATGCAGTCCAAAACGCAGTCCAAAATGCCGTCGACAGCTGAAACCGAGCACGACCGCCATTTCACACGCACATGGAAGCGGCTACAGTGGGAAAACCCGGTGGAAAGGGCGGTGATGCATGTATGTCATGATCGACAGCCACTGTTGGATTAAGAATGCGGCTCTCGTATTTAGTTTTGGTTGGGTTTGGAATTTATTGTTATCATCATTATTAGATACTATTATTATTATTATTATTATTATTATTGTACGGATTCTATTATAGAAGATAGTATATCTATTAATTGTATATAGATTATATGTACGACAGTCAGCTGAACTGCTCACGACCAAGATAGAAATTTGGCCCCAAAACGAACCGGTCCAGGCATGCAAGGCAACGAGGCTCTCCGTATCAAGTAACAACAATTAATTTATTCTATTTTTTACTGTTTGGTCTTGCAGAATCAAAGGTCAATCATGATAATCAAAATAAATTGATCAGGGCTAAGGGCTGCAGGACTGAGTAATATCGTCTCAGTCTTGCAGCCCTCAGCCATTCTTCTAGTATAACATGTAGTCATCTTTATCCCCGAAATCTATGCAGCCCGGCTATGCAAGTCGTAATTGTAACAGAAAAAGAAAAATAGAAAAAGAAAAACATAAATCAAAACTCCCAAGATCCAGATATCCCAGAACCCTGCATGCTCGTTTCATCAATGATATGTGGTATGTAATATGTGTCGCTCAAACGCTCAAGTCAAGTCAAGTCGAATAAAAATCAATCAAGGCATTGTCGTAGCACCTGAGGTGAGATATGTTAGAATCCATGTAGTCTGATGAAGATTATGATGTTTCGTACCTGGTCATCTTCATTTGCAAGGCTTGCAGCTGGAGCAGACAACGTGATGGCACATCACACACTTTGGCTGGTTGTCCCATAGTTTAGGGCCGTCCTGGCATTGGCAGCAGATGTATAGGGCACCGCCGGCAGTCTTGACTCCTTCATTGGACATGTTGGGGATTCCGCAGCCAGACACATTCTCAAAACCGAGTGATGGGCCATTGGGCAAGGCGAGGTTGGCCATGGCCGGTGATACTCCCAAGTGGTGCGATGTGTGGTGGCATGTTGAAGTTGGGACTGGGTAAGGAGAGAGTTCATGGCAAGCGTCCATTGAAGGTTGACGCTCGTAGGTGCAGTCTTCGCAGCGTCGCTCTCCACACTCGAGGCAGGTAGACTGAAGATCGGCGTCGTGAGGGCCGAAGGAGCAGCCACAGCAGTACCAGGTGTAAGCCATTGTTGAGGAAGTAGAAGTAAACAGTAGATTGAAGACAGTGAGGATGTAGAAAGATGGTCAAGTCAAGTCAAGAAGAGAGATGAAATCTTATTATATTCGTGATGATGATGGAGAAAGAAGAAACAACGCCTGAGGAAGCAAGGAATTAAATAGATCAAGAATCTACATCACAACCATCATGGACCAGGTACAAGGCACCTTTGGCCAGGGTAAAAAAAAGTGGCTTCCCCCAGGCAAAACAGCCCGATAGGCTTCCGCGCCCCATACCAGAGCGATAGTATCGAGCAGCAGTAGGTAGAAGCCTCCATGCTGTCTTCAGGATATCCTCAGTTTGTCACGGGGCAACAGGGCCAGTATGGGACCGGCTGTAGATCAGACGTGGCTTGGCAGCTGCTTTGCCTGGGCTAGATGCTTCAGTCACAGTCATTTTGTGAGAAGATGACATTGAATCATAACGGTCTCTGTTTGAGAATCATCACCGCCGCTTCCAGTAAGAAGTTGACTCAATTTGGTAGCAAAAGCTCCACTGTTTGCCCGCGAAAAGGCGGAATCAGCGAGGCTTGGACACGCCCGTTTCGCCCGGGGGTCGAATGTCTTCTCCGCCATTTCTTTTTCTTTTTTAATAAAAGTATTATTTTTTCTGGCCCGTTTTTTCTTTTTCTGTTTTGGGTTCGTGTTATTTTTCTTTTTTCGTAGTGTGCTTGTTACATCTTTTCTTTTTTTAATCTGGCTTGTTCTCATTCCTGAGAATTCCTCGCGTCTAGCATTGGCGGTACACTCTGTCTCTGCCCCGAGTGATGCCTTGGTGATCGCTAGACAGCCACGGATATCAGGCAGCTGCCGCAGATTCTGGATCCTCCGAGTAATTCCTCCCATCACAGAGTCTCTTGGAGTCATCGCCAACGATGGTTTGGGAATCGGTGACTTCAGAATGGATGGATGGTTTGCCGGAGCACAATGGCTTCCCCCACTAGGGATTGCTGCCTAAGCCATCAACACGAGAACAACACGAGAACACGAATGCTGTCACTCGAGACTCGATGCTGTCCTCATCTTCGGTGTTCTCCGATCCGTTCTTTCTTTCGTTCTTTCGTTCTTTCGTTCTTTTCTTTTCTTTTCTTTTCTTTTCTTTTTTTCTGTCTTCTTTCATTGTCTGACTATGTGGTTGGTATACTATGCACAACTGAGCATAAGCATCAGTCTTCTTGCTACTAAGTCGAGATCGAGACTCGAGTATACATCACATCCAGTCCATCACATTGCTCAACGATGCTGCCTCAGATAGACTCATATTTGACTTTATGCTTGCGTCCTTATCAACATATTGCCGGCCTGAAAACGTGTCCAATGCCGTCCATCAACCCAGGCAGAGATATTCGGATGCCGGATCAAACTAGGAGCTAATCACAGTGCAGAATACATCGTGACTCGTCCCAGTTTGCTGTGTTCATATTACTTCATACCACTTCGATACCCTCGTCGCCTGGACCGATGTGGATGTATCGAGTACGTTTGTTGATGCCTGCTGCGATGACTTCGTCTGGTCGTTGATGGATTCCATCCGCTCGTCTGTATCATATTTCGCTCGAGTTTAGTGTAGGCAGCTGTCTATAAGTGTGGGGATCGTGATTTGTATAAGCAGTTCAGCACTTGAAGCTTGGTAGCTTTGAAGATTGTCAAGTCAGCGTAACGCATCAGTCAACAGGGTTATCACTCAGCTGCAGTGCACGTAGCTGTGCCAATACTCCATAGATACAGCAGTTGAGCTCAAATGACAGATCATTCGTCAAGTAGAGATCCTTGCAATCGGATCTATCGAGATCGCCAGATCCAGGAATGCTGTGTTTACCATCACGTGCATCACGTGTAGCGACGTCATGGTTTGCCCCGTTTGCATCCTCCTTTTATCGTCATCCTGCCATGTTTTGCAGCGCATCGTCGCATCCATCGCCCGTTTGTTCCCCAGGTGGCTGTACAGGGCATTTCACCTGATCGAACATGGGCGCAGACAGGTCCCGATCACCCTGATATATCACCTATTTCATCCTTTCACCTCCCCCCGGGCGATGCTCCCCAGTTTTCGCCTAGAAACTACAGCCTTATTTTTCAGATGGCTCCTCCGAGCAAGCGCGCGAATCTAGCGGTTGCCCGAATCATTCCCCCGATTCTCCTGGGCGTCGTGGTCTACGCCTGCTATGCCATCACCAAACCGCTATGCAGTAAGTTTTTTCTTTTTTTTGGGTCAGTGCTCGGGACTCGATTTGCTAAGCACTTTGATGGAAATAGTCGACTATCTAATTCATCCTGCGCCTCACCATCCTCATCGCAGCCCGCGGGTAGGCGCGGGTGCGGCCATTATCGCCGTCTTTTACTTCCTATTGATCCCCGTGATTGTTACATATCTTCGCTTATTGTACAATGTTGTTTGGAACCCCGGTTACCTTCCCCGGGGCACGCCCTGTCTTGAAACCCAAAATGCCCAATCGTCGAGCCGCCGGAGCCGAAGTTGCAGCCAAAGTCGCAGTAATCAGAGAAAAGGTGGTGAAGAGGGTCCGAAGACAACCGAGAAGACAGACAGGCCCGAGCCAGATCCAGAGAGTGGGTTAGAATACGATGCAGGGGGCAAAGCATTCCCGTTGGATACCACCGGGTTGGAGAGCTTTTACACCAAGGACGTTTTTGTTTGCCAGGCAGATGGAAGACCCGCATACTGCTCGACATGCTGTCAGTTCAAGACTGATAGGGCGCACCATTGCCGCGAAGTGGACCGCTGTGTCCGGAAAATGGATCATTTCTGTCCTTGGTAGGTTGAATCTTCCTTCAGAGTGAACGTGGCTGACAGGCTGCAGGGTCGGAGGTGTTGTCTCCGAAACATCGTTTAAATTTTTCATACAATTCGTTTTTTATACAATGGTTCTTTGCATATTTACTCTTATTGTTTGTGCGCTGTTTACCGCTGAGCTGAAGCGACAGGTGAGTGCATCTTTCTTCGCCCTTGGGCTATTGCTAACTTGGACCAGACTGGTAGTGTTAATCCTCATTGGATTGTTGGTATAGCATTGTGAGTACTATCTAGACTTAGCTCTGATATCTAGATCTAACAAATGTAGGAGTTCTCTCTTTGGCTTATTCGGTTTTGGAATGACCGTCAGTTCGCTGCAACTCGCCATGTTCAACCTGACGACGATTGAGAATCTTAGTCGCCGATCTGCCGTCTGGACGTTGGCTGTGCGGGTGCCTAATCATGTTCTCAGCAAGCTCAACCCCAATTCGCAATGGGCACCTACATTCCGCACCATCACCTATCCATTGCAGCCTACGCCTGCAGCCCCTGAGGTCTCCCAACAGGGCCCACCAACCGAATGGCATGTATTTGCCATTCTTCAAACGTTACCGGGTGAGAACCCATTCGATCTAGGCAGCGGCTTCAAGAACCTGCAGCAGGTCATGGGGCTTTCAGTATTCGACTGGTTCCTCCCTCTCAAGCAGAGCCCCTGTGCGGACCATAGTAGCCGAGAGAGTGCCTTTGAACTGGGGCCAGTGGTGGCTCGACTGAGGCAGGAAGCGGGACTTGAGCCGGCAGATGAGTCAAATCCTGGACGAAATCAAGTGAAACATAGACAACCTACTTAATTGTGAAGACATAGACTAATACATAGACATTCTTTTGCGTCTGAGACTTGAACATTGTCTCAGTATATGAAATTGGTTATAATTCTCATCAAACATGATTCATAGTACATGGATATCATACATAAAGCCCATCAATGCAAGAAAACGAATATGAAGAAGACCCGAAAAAGAGGAACAGCAGAATGACAGACAAAGTCGAATCAAAGAAGTGTGCAATTGTAGTCCTTGGAATGCCCACAGACAGAGCAACGCTCTGGAGCCAAAGCCGGGTTATTCTGCCCCCCACACGAGCAGCAAATCCACCATCCTGCCATAGACGGCGGACGAGCCGTTGGCCGGGTATGTTCGTCTGAGATAGCACGAGAGGAAGTGAATCTGGCACGGGAGTTTGCAGGACGAGTATGAGTACGAGGGTGAGTGTTGATGGGTCGAACCATCGGTTGAAGGGGAGGAGTTGTACGAGCAGTAGTAGTAGTTGATACAGAGAAAAGAGGCATTTTGATGATATTCTTATTGAATACGAGTATGGTTGACTGGCAGGCAGACACAGACTGGTATATAAATGGATTATACGACCTAATGCAGATAGAGGAAAGATTCGACTCGATTGACTCGACTTGAATGGAATGGAATTGAATTGACTCGACTCGACTCGACTTGAGGTGAAAGAAGAAGATGAAGACCAACCCAAATCCCCTTCATCACAACCCGTATAAATACCTTCTTCTTCTTCACGAAAACCCACTAACAGCCACAATACATTACTAAAAGTAAATCCAACCCGGGTACCTGGAAAATGGGCAGAAAGAAGGGCACCAAAAACCAAGTGCCCCATAGCACCGGCATGACAGGTTGCATCGAGTGAAGCAATTCCAGGAATCCAAAAACACAAGCTAACTAACTAGGCTAGACTAGGCAGTAATAGGTAAAGGGCAAGGCAACGAACGATGGATGATGATGAATTTATTCGAGGGTGTGGCGCAGTTCTTCACTTGAAGGTTACTTCGATTTCACCTTGTACAGAGTATGTAGGATATTAGGTCAAGATGGTCATAATCAGAGTCATGAGGGGGTTGATTGGGTTGTATGGGCATAGTTCAAGTCCGGTGATTGATTCTTTCTTCCTGTCTGTCAGGGATAACCGATCGCCTTGAATTATGTGGCAGTGTTGAAGGATCAGGATCATTCCGATAAAGTAATTGCCCTAGTGTCGATGAGTTATTTTATTTTCTTCTCTCTGCATGTATGATGAAGATGCGATGCCCTGCTTGCCCGGTTGGTGATGTCTGGACCTAAACTTGGGCAAAAACGAGTTGACTGACTGTGTCTGTTTGTGGCTTGGGTGAACTGTATGATGTGGCAGGATGCAATCAATTACTTTATGGATGATGGAAATAGAATATCATTTAATAATGGAGGGTGTTAATGTGAAGATCTCGTGCTGTTTCGTTTCTTTTGCTTGGTAGTATGTACTGCAGTTATGAGGTGGAGATGACGGAGCGGAGATAGGAGCAGTAGCAGGAGCAGTGCTCTGAGAGACCAGGTTAGTCCGTGTACATTTGCCTGGGTGCTCAAATTAATAGAAAGAAAGATCCAGACAAACCATCTTCCATCTTTGTAGGAATAATTGGCAACGGTTGGTTGATCTCCGAACCCTGGGACACAATCCAAGTACAGGTGCGGACATAATCTGGCATGAATAGTGACAGATTTTTCCATATTTAATATGTATTTTTCTATCTCATCGAAGAGCCTGCTAGATCTTGAGAGTATACTAACTTGAATTTGAGTCTAGATCAAATCGAACCATTCAATCATGCCCGATTCTGAACCAACGACAGACGTCGCATGGCGATGCCCATCCCAACCCCAAACAAACCCAGACACTCGGCTTCCCTGAAGGCGGCGCACGAGCATGAGACGTCGTGTGCGGATACACTGGGCTTATCTTCTGCTCCTTCGGCTACCTCAATGCCTTTGGTGTCTATCAGAAGTATTGCCAGTCGCACCAGCTCGCGCATAGACGGACGCCATCTCGTGGATTGGATCTCTTCAGGTCTTACTCCCATTTAGTGTGTTTGAATGGCACTGATCGTCAAGGATTCTTGGTATGGAGGATTTGAAATTAATCACTGAGTATCAGAAGCCCATTGACGAGCCTGGCGTAGCTGATGCTCCGGGCCATATCCTGACAGAATCGCACTCCGATACATGACCAGAAGCAACTGGGAAAGGAAAGTCGGGCTGGCATCGCTTGGACTGGACCACGATCTCTCGTATCCGACGTTGAAAGAGCAAATGTGGAAGATGGGAAATGGCAATTCCATCGTTCTGAAGTAATTCTGCACTAGGACATCAGCAGTCTTGCGAGTCGGCATGCTCTGCCAGGTCTGTTCTAAAGACGAAGTAGATGAAGGGATCTGGGCCTTGATCACTTTCCCCATTGCTTTTGATCTCTTAAGGAGGTCGTTTGTCTCTGGAAAAGCGGCCTCGTCGTGGAGGGGATCAGCTTCATTGCTAGTCTACTTGACACCGCAGCACACAGTATATTGTACTGATACAGGATTAGCAGATGTCAATCATACGGAGAGAAGACAAACCTGGGCAAAAGTAGTCATCCATTTGCTCATACCCTGCAAACGGCCTTTTGTATAAGTACCTTTTATATGTACTGGATCATCCTGCACTGGCCTCGAGATAGGCGCAGGTAGTGGAATATAAGGTCTCTCGGTGGTAGTTCAAGGTTCTTTCCGGTCGCATTTGAGCTTTCGTCGACGAAATTCAAGACAGGACAGTGTCGGACGTGATCTTCTGGGTTTGGTGGCATTCATTGTGATTTTGCGATGGCATCATGATGGTTGAGGATGGAGTTGTGGTGGTGAGTCTTTGTCGGAGCGGACATGTCGGAGATGGCGGATATAACAGAGAGAATGTCAATTGATACAATTGATGCTATATTATTATTATATATTATACTGTACTATGTTGTATAATAGTTATCTTATAGTATTATGGATATACTATATGTATAACATAATTGGAACAATGCTGAAGAATCAAATGCAGCAGATTGACTACTGCACTCGATCGTGTTTCAGGCAAGATTATTATTATTATTATTATTATAATTATATTTCAATGTCTTGATGTCTCTGATATTACTATTTCTGTGCCCGAAATGAAGGCAAAAGTGGATTGATGGATGCCCAATGATTGCCCACTTGGACTCTGTTGGTCACGTTGGATATTATTCCAGTGATGAAGTATTCATTCTGTATTGTTAAATTGTTATCGACTGATATATTGAGTGTAACTGATAAATTCATTTAATTCATAAAATTCCGGAGACATGATGTCATGAATATAGCCTGGTGGATCAAACCAAGTGAGACGCGGCAATTCGGAACAGCAGAAGACAATAATAATCATGGCTGGGAATCGTCAAAGTGAGGCAGAAGTGGAGCAGAAGCAACACCATCCCAGCTGAAAAGAAGAAAAGAAGAAAAAGAAAAGAAGCCATTGAAGGCCAGCAACGGCGTCCCTCCGAATGGCGGGCGGTTTCGATTAGGTTTCTGGATGATCTTCGCGTCGTCCATTTCTTTTCTTCTTTTTCTTCTTTCGATCCATGGTTGAGGCTATATAAGATCCATTCTTTATGTGTTGATATATCGACCCCTAACTACACCTCCTCTCAACTTCAAACATCCATCAAACAAGAGATCCAAATTCTCCTCGCTATAGCATCCTGCTCTATCCTCTCCGTCTCCTATATTAATCCCATTCCTCGAGCAGAAAAAAGCAAAGCAGTCCCCGCCGTTGCGTCATTCCCACAATAATCCTCATCGCAAATCCCCCTCGTCTTCAGGATTTATCAGCTTTTATCTATCTTCATTTATCTCCTTCAACTGTACCTCCATCCTCATCTTCGTCTTTTTCTTCATCTTCTTCATCTTCTTCCAGTTAGCTATTACTCAGCTGTTGGGCGGATCGTCCACTTCTTCCCCTCCGACGATCCCCTCAATTCCTCCTCTTCGCTTCTATTTCTCTTTCTTTCTTTTGCCCCTCAACAACATTCCAATTTCTCTCTGCTGGCAGAACCCCCACCTGACCTCCTCTTTTTTTTCTTTCTCCTCATCTTATCTTTTTCCTCTTTCTTCCTCTCTGATCTCACCTCTTCGACTCTCCACTACGCCAACTCGTATTTGTTCATCGCCACCGCAACCTTTTTCCCACAAATCCGACACCTGCACCCCCTCCTGTATACACAAATCTCCGATATACATTGACCCTGCATCTGCAAGGACCGTCTGCGAGGCTCGTCATGGATCCTTCTGCGCGTTATCGGCCCATGTCGCCTGCCGGCCGTATGATCGATCCGATGCGCGCCTCCACCGGTACAATGCAGCTGAGCTCATACGATCCTTACGAACCCCCCGCACCTCGATACGCATACAATTACAGCGGTTATCCCCCTGATGTGCCCTACCACGCACCCTACGATCCGCGATTGCACCGTGAATCCACCCTCGAAGCTCGTCCCATCGCGTCCAAGGCCTACCGAGACCACGGCCATCCGAAATTGAGAACCGAGTATGCCGTCCGTCCGAGACAGCGAAGCAATACGGCGTCGGCGGCTGATATTCCCCACTCGCCGTTGAGAGTTGCCATCCCCTCCTCGCCGTTGAGCAGACAGCCTCCCATCATCAGCTCGAGCTATGATCGACCTACAAGTCCACTGCCTGCGGATGAGCGGTATATGGTGCCAGCTTCGTCTCGGCACGGTCGGGCCCATCGCCGGCTCTATAGTAACGACTATTCCAGTGATACTGGACGATTGGGCCACAACGATAAAGCGATGGTAAAGTCGAGGGTGGACCCTGGCGCATACCGGGCGTACGAAGCCAGACATCCGCCGCGATACCCACACAACGCTCGGAAGGGAGAGGATATTGATGACTACGATGCATACTCTTATACGAACCCTAGAGAGCAGTTTGAAAAGGATTCTGCCGCCAGGATGAGCTACGATAGGGGTGTCCACAGACGGGAAAGACCGTTGAGTATGACGGGCATTGAAGACATCCCTCATTTAATGGCCAAGAAAGAACCTCGGACTCTTGGGCCACCTCCCTCTTCTAGAGGGTTTGATAAGCTCGAACGTGAGGCAAGAGTGAGAAGCTCCACTCTCAATTCCGGGGACAGTGACGCCTCTCGTGACTTTGCGAGGTCCCGCCGACGGTCCCGACAGCGGACTCCAATTGCTTTACACCAAGAATCCGACGACGGATATTCCTCTCTTACATATGACCTTAATGACAGTCGCCAGCACCGCCGGCGACGACGACCCCGACCCGAGGATGAGATGGGTCGACAACCTCACGACGACCGAGCGCTGAGAAAGATTACCGCTGGTGAATCCGTCGCATCACGGTCCAGTGCCGGACTGGGTACAGCTGGTCTGGGCTACTCGGATGACTTTGATTACGAGCTTTCTCCGCGATCCGATCGTCACAGACCTCGCGCACCGGGCTATGATGAGCACAGGCATCACAACCGATCGAGCAGACCTTCGAGACGGCGAGTGGAAAGCGACTCGGATGCATACACATCAGACGAGGACCTCAAGGACTACCGCCGGGAGCCAGCAGCTCCAAAGGCTCCTGGGTCTGACTCTTCTGCAGGAAGCGGCAAAGATCAATCACAACATCTGACAGTAGCTAGGCCACGGAGACGGTCAAAATCTCGGCCTCGGATTCTCGAGGCTTCACCTACCCAAGAACCAGGCTCGGGCAGCAGCCAGGAGGACCTCAAAACGAGCGTGACCGTGGATCCGACACCGACAAAGGAACTCGAGGCACCACCACCCAGGGGGATTCTGAAGCCTCCCCGGGAAAAGTTCCCCGAAGAACCCAATCCGGTGAGAGAAGGCGTTGCACCTCTGAAAGACGCGCACAAAAAGGGAATTCCGCCAGGAGCACGATGGACCAAGGTCGATCGGCGGCTGGTCAACCCGGCGGCACTGGAAGCATCGAACGAACGGTTTGAGGAACGGTCCGAGTATGTGATAGTGTTGCGGGTGTTGACCAAGGAGGAAATCCAAGCGTTCGCTGTTAAAACGCAGGAGATTCGAGGTAAGGACGAGAGAGGTCTTCTGACAGATGATGGAGACTGACAGCAGCCAGATGCCCGTCAGCAAGAGTACCTGCGGGATCGACGTCGACGCCGAGAAGAGGACCGACGCCACGGGCGGCGGGTGGATGATTTTTCGAGCGATGACGAGGAAGAGGAGGAGGAAGCACCACGGGCGATCGAAGCGCCACCGAGTCAGGGATGAATGTTTGCTTAGTTGTTTGTCAGGTGTCAAGTGCCAGGTGTTTTTGCTTTTGTATTAGACATGATAAGACTAGACTCATACAGCATAGTCCCATTCGGGGGACTGAATTTGGCGGAAATGACTCGACAAAGAAAGCAAGCTGTACAAGGTATCACAGATGCTTAGGTACGCACATGCAGCGTCACCAATAGTGGACGATAGCACGGCGGTCATTTAGGATTCTCGTAGCATTCGACGGAACATTGATGATTGGATGGGCGATGACATACAGAATGTCGTACGAGGTGACATTCATTCGAATACGATCAGCCTGTCCAACCTGACAGTTAACTGTCCTGTCATCTGTCATTGTTGGAGTAGAAGATTGTCACATGGTACGGCCGAATATATGGAAATCTCTCCATAATCTACTTGAAATTGAATGTAACCTATACAATCTCAGATATAATCCTTGAAACATGAGGCCACATCCAAGTTACATTACCAAAATACCTCAACCTCCATCTAAAGATAAACAGGAATAATGACCTGCCTAATACACACACTCCGTCTGTCCATCAATATGAAAAAAAAATAAAATAATATTCAAAAAAAGGAAAACGAAAATGAATCATGTCATGTGCACTGTTCTTCTGTTTAGAACAACGCCACACTCGAACTTGCGGGATTTTGTTGCTGACGGATTCGGTCTGGCCATTAGCGGGTCTACCTACTACTTACTCCGTAGGTACTGTCTATATGTATGCACGGAGAAATAATGCACAGTATGATTGTGATTATCACATACTGAGTAAGAAACAGGAAAAATGAGGGGGATGGATGAGATAAACTCATGAACTGTGCTATTCAACTCTAAGCAGGGAATCGACGGGAAGGCTGGGGGGGTAACCCTGCCCTGTCATGGTCTTTCTTTCATACATATTCTCCAGTAAGTTAGATTCGTATACACTTATGGAGAAGGTGGTGAGGGGAAAGGCAAACGTTGCCTTTGCTCTGCTGCCTTCCTCTCTGCGTTAGTGAGTAGCAAACAATTATGACGACAGACATCGGGTCATCGGCATGAATATCAATAATATGGATATTAAACAAATACTTGGTTAATAAATAAGTGATAAATGAAATGCCTAGCTACGGACACTACGGGACTAGGAGGAGCTACATGGTACATACATTAGTTTCTGAGGTCAAAGCCCTTTGCCCTGCCAGACAGAGTACGAAGGAGGAGGAGGGAGGATGATGATACTTCTTCACAATGCCTTATAGACAGTAGACACTCGGGATAATTAGAAGAGAAGCTTTTTACTGCTCACATTTCCAGTCGGTGAATTATATATTATACTTTCGTCCACGTTCAACCTTAACATCCATCCTATCCTGATAAATAACTAGTAGAGGATACCTGGAATCCACATGGCCCGATAATCACCCGTTGAGAGCACGGACACAGGACATGATGGGTTATATTTATCCTTGCGATGATAGACAAACCATGGTGTGAGTGTTTTGAATCTCATTTCGCATGGTTGGAATTATCCCCAACTCTCGGTACTTTGTTGCGGGTGGTGGGGCCGGTAGTGTTAGGGCTCAGATCACATGTTCTCTATAGTGAGTGTACTGTGTAGGAGACACGGAGGAAATAGCAAAAGAATGTTATTACCTATTTATTAATATCAGCAGTCACATCGCCATAGCTCAGATGATTGGCAGATCAACCTGGAGACAGCCGGGCATTTTGTTGGACTCCACCAGAGCAAAAACCAGGCAGAACTCCATACTCCATCTCGGCATCTCCATCCTGATCCCATCGTCTCATCTCATCTCGCCTTAAGCTAAGCTAGCCATACCCTACCCGTCGGAGTATTCCGTCTTAAATAGCCTAACACACAGCTTGAATGTTTGGTCCGGCCTACGGAGTAGTGTTCCAAACTTCCCTTTTCGATTGACACTGGCCCGTGTGTTTCTGATCTGTGGAGAAAAAAAAAAAAAAAAAAAGATGGAAATCAGTAATCACCTCAGCTATTTTTGCGATTGCTGATGATTGGGTGGATGGGTCATGTCAGCCTGTAAGGTAGGTATTTCCAGACTCCGAAAACCGTTGGTTGGTTTTCTGGGCTGCTGTCGGGGAGCTGTTAGTTGGCATGGATGGATCTAATTTCACTAGGATTGATGGAGCCCCTTAATCGATATGTTATGGTCAGGGCGTTATCCATCTACATAGCCAGTATTGACAAATACATCCAATACTACTCGATTACGGAACAGTCAATAGTAAGAAGAGACTCAAGTAGAAGAGAAATCCTGCCAAGAGCCAAGGCAAGACAACAAGACACTGTGATAGGCGCATTTGCTTATTATAATCAACATCTCGTCTGTAGGCAAGAAAAGTTAGCGCGGGGTGGATATGGCATTCTGCTCTGGTTGGTGTGGTGCCATTCGCTGTGGCCTAATGATAACAGTGGAGTGGTGCGGGGCTGGTCTGGACTCGTAGGATCATGAGCACTTAGTATTCAGAGTACTATTGTAGGTAGAGAGTATTGTAGAGAAGATAGTATTGTTACTTGCTACTTGGTAGATACTGAGATCAAACCGGGCACTACAATTGATGTGCATGACACCCCATGCCGTCGATCACCACCTAAACAATCCTAGTCCAGGCAGACAGCGTCAACTGTTGAGAAGAAAAAAAAAAAAAAGAAATATCAACCCTGGACAATGTGGCGTTGATGATTTATTTCCTCGACTCGAAGTTGCATGTCAACTGCATATTCTAATTTCCGTGACTCGAACAACATAACGATTACATGACTGGAAGGGAAATGTTTGCCCTGTTCATGCCATGTTACTCTCTGAACCTTTGGTGGTCATTGTTTGGTTCGCACAAAAGTCAATCCTGTAATGACGTACGGTCTTTGTTTGATCGCCAAAGTTACTTGGCTTGGTCAAAGAGATATGTGCAACTGTATTCCACCGATGATGTTGCGATGATGCTCTATCGAAGCCGATCCGAAAGCGAGGGAGATTTGGTTGATCCGCCCAGGGGTTCTCTCTTTCTGTCTCTCTGGCTGGCTTTGTTCGGGATTGTTGGCTCCCTCCCCGTGCTTCGGAGTATACTGTGTACCTACAGTAGTATCTGTCCACGGAAACTGTCGTACATTATTATTATTCTGTACAAACGACAGACTACACTCCATCAACCCAAGTCGGAGCACGAACCCCCGATGTGATGGATTAGTACTCAGGTACGGTAAATAATACTGATAATACAGTACTGGGTTACATACTCCGCGTCAATCGTTCGCCAAAGCTTCGCCCGCCACCCGCCCCTCCCATCCTGTCACATCCATCGAAGTTAGGGTAGAACCATCGAACCGTTATGGAATGACCGGACACGAACAAAAAAAAAAAAAAAAAAAAAAAAAGTAAACATTCGTAAATTCTAAATCCGAGCATTCCTAAATCCTAAATACGAAATCTAAAACCCCCCCAAACTCTCTCCCAAGACACCAAGACAAAAAGAAAGGAAAAAAAGAACGAGGGGGGTGGGGCCGGAGACGGCAAGCTACCGGGGGGATACGGAACTATGGAGACCAACGATGAGCCGGTCTTGAGCACCCTGCATCGATCACAACGCCTTTTGCCAATGGCTGCGAGTGTGAGCACGCCACACACACATGGCCAGATATTTTGCTATTTATTTTATTCATATATTATTTACTTATTATGCTGCGATTACGACGACAGACCACCAACTGCCGCTAAGCCGGATTCTGGAAAGTCCGGTCTCAGTTCTCTCCATTCTCCTTATTCGGTTATTCCTGACTGGTTGGTTGCTTTAGTTCTGGTTGAGTTGATTGTGATTGAGACATCTTTATCTCTGGAGTCTGTAGTCTGGAGTCCGTACCTGCCTTGTCAGTGCTATGGTGGGCTAGAACTGTGCTGAGGCCATATGTGGAGGACGGGACCTCCACATTTAGTCTCTATTCAGCTACCATGTACTTCCGTACACACCAGATACATATTAGAGTATCTCTGTACTCGTAGAATATGACACTGATATTATCCCGTGACGGATCTTCACTCACATGGCCCGAAGCACGAGGTGCTGGATGATAGATAGAAAAAAAAAGAAAAAGAAAAAAAGAAAAAAAGCAGCATCTGAATGTCTTGTATGCACGTTTTTGTTACAAAACAAAAAAGCATAAAAAATGACTCGACCGACGGAGGGCACCGCTTTTATCGATTGCAACCGCCAAGATCCACTAGGCCGGCCAAACTACGGCCCTGATTGCACCGAGCAGGTGGAGCCGCCCGATAGGCCCCGGTGGTCTCGAGGGAAGCGGGAGTCAAACTAGAATATACTTTCTTTTTTGATTTTTGATTTTTTGTTTTCTGATTTATTTTCTGATTTATTTATTCATTTATTATTATTTATTACTCCGACAAATGTACTTTTACTTAGTGTGCTGCGGCAGCTCCAGTTATGAAATTTATGTACTCACTCTGTACTGTACTCTAGCCGAGAGGTTTAAATGCTTCTCGTTCATATTGCTACAGTATTCATTCTACCTACAGATGCAGATTTAGTCGCCGGGAAGCAGCAGCCACTAGACCAGGGAGCCCGTGATTGATCAGCCACTTTCTGTCTGGGGTTACACGACGACATTATTCCAGATACTTGCCTAGGTACCTCCTACATACAGTGTACTCAGTACTGTATTCACAGTACAGTATTCGGATGGGCGCCGTTAGGGTGTTTCGAGTTTATTTAGACCGGGGCCGAGGAGGGGGTGGATTTGACTTTTGGACAGGGGCAGCGCGACTGGCTAGTGTCGACGAAGAGGAGCTAAAAGACCAGCCACTAGATGAGGGCGAGTGGGGAACCAAAGAGGAAAAAAAAAAGGCAGCGGTCCAATGGCTCGGTGTGTGGCGCCAGTGGAAACAGTGGAAACAACCTAGGCTGATGGCAGCAAGTCAGATCGATGGAGACTCCACGTACCGGAATGTAACCAGATCAGTTGCGAGAGACAGGCAAAAAGAAAAAGAAAGTGTAAGGAACGGAAAACAAACCTAGATGGGAAGACCAAGAAAGATAACTGAACTACGCCTATTTCGAACTCCGTCGGTTACTATATCTAGTATGGTATAGGTCGAGCAGGACTGACGATCTTTTCGATATAGGTCCATGCACACCAAGTGGAGGCAGGCAGGCTGTCAGGGCGCGGCTTTGGTTCGTGCGAATGATATGGAGGACTACTTGATGGAGGATTGGGATTTTCTGAGACACATCCAACTGACAAGACGACAGGTAGAAAGTCGAGAAACCGTAGAAAATGATGGATAATGCTCGTGTGAGTGAAACTGGTGGTACCTGAATTTGGTCTCACTCTGCAAGATCCTAATTTCTCACCAGCGTCAAAAAAATAAAATAATAAAATAAAATATGAGAAAAAAAAAAAAAAAAAGGAGACTAAGGAATTGAAGCTGCTGTCTGCCAATCTTCATTATTCCAGGCCATCCGTTCTAACTAGCGGCGCAAATAAAGACCCCGTTCGAGGCCTTGACGCCGTTGTCGAGTTATGCCCAACTCCGATCTGGCTGGGAAATTCTGGTCTAGTCAGAACATTGTCATCTCCACTGCATTCTTTGTTTCTTTTTCGACTCTTTGCCCAACCTCGCGGGCCAATCAGAGCCCCTCTGCGTCTCTGCTTCTGTGCTTCTCTTCTATCGATATCGATCAATCTCCGAGAATACGCTCAAGGCCCGCAGTTTGCTTCGGTTAATCCTGTCATCCGCATCTTAATATCCCTATTATTATTTTGATTATTTGGTGATTCTTATTTCCCTCCTTCCTTTCCACGCACCGTCTCTGCAAGCTGCAAATCATCCTGCTTCCCCTCCTCTCCTCCTCTTCTTCCCCCCCCATCCATCTCGGCTACAACCGTCGAGCTTCTTTCCGGAGCCCTGATTGAATCTGGTCGAGTCTTTTCCTCTTCCTGCAGTCGCGTCTTTTTTTCTTTTTTTCTGAAAAATCCCTCTTTTCTTTTTTATTTTTGTTTTTATTCTTATTATTTTTCGCCCTCTCTCTCTCTCTTTCTTCCTCTCCTGCATCCATCCTGGTCGATATTACACCACTTTCCCGCTAGTTACAAGCTCATCCTGATATCCCCACCAGTCACTGAATCCCTCTGACGCCTGTCCTGCCCTCCTTCGCTCTTCTTCCAGTTCTTCATCCCGTCCATTTTCTTCTGAAGGATCGTCCTTAATTTTTCCCTTCTCCATTACCTATTGTCGTTATTTTGTTTATTATTATCTCCATTATTTCCATTATTATTTCGCTGCTTATTGATCATTACTGCCTGAAGGATGGGTCTGCCGTGCAGCTAAATAACTACCCTGGACCCTCCACATTGCACTGGCACTCGCATCGCACCGTTCGAGCCCGTCCGAATCTCCCCTCCCACTCACAGCCATCCCATCTTCTGCCCCCCAGTCCCAGTCCCAGTCCCAGCCCAGGCCAGCAGCCACTGCCGTTGTCTGTCCTTCAGCCTCTCTCTTAGCCTCAACTCTGTCGACTCTATCTCTGTCGCCCTCGAGCCCTACTCTACTTACCTCTCTACCCTCTCTCTACAATTCCTGCGCATTCTCTGGACAGCTCTCGACAGCCCGTCAGTCGAACGCACTGAACGAGCATAATATCCAGCTCAACTCCGTATCGCCGCATGGTCAGTCATGACCGGCATGGTTCAGACTGACCTAGGACCTCCCACGGCGAAATACAAGGAAGAACCCGTTGACGATGTGAGTCTTTCTTTCTATATCTCCTTCATTCAATCCATCGACACATGGCTATCCCCAGAAAAGCGTGGATGTATATCAAAGCATCCTCATCCTGGAGCATCGTACAAGCATTTCCCACTTCACTTCAACCCCCGGTTTCCTTTCCCCTGCACGAATCCTTCGAGTTGACGGGAAACCCTGTCAATTGAGCCGCTGTTCCTGTCTACACGTTTTGTGCCTGGTTCATCCGGGTGAATCCATGGTTGAGCTGGTTCTATTCATGGAATACCCTACATATGGCGTCTGCTTCGTCTGAAGCTTCCTTTTGAACTGCACCTATCCTCCAGCCCATCATCTACCCCACCAGATCTTTGGAATACACCGAGAAACAAAAAAGAATCCTTAATTTGGACACATAAAGTGGTTGCCTGAGTGTGTAGCTCTTGCGATTGCGAAAGAGCTTTCCTGGGACTGGCTGAAATAGCCATATCTACTCCCATTCCTTCAAGCGAATACCAGCAATATTCACATAAACGCGAACGAGCTTTTCATAATTGAAAATACTCCCGTTGACAGAATGGATCGACTGGTCTGCTGCTCTTCATGTCCGCATTATAATCCTCAATCTCATTTCTCTAATTCATGTTTCCTACTATTTCCCCTCAGACCATGTACCATAGAAATACAGTCTGGATTAAGCAGACACTGACAGTATCTTCTTCAGCTTCGACACCCTGCATCTGGACTCGCGGGTCCGCAACCCCTTACTCTTCAACACCCTAGAACCGCAAGCTTTGTTCACCCTAAGCAACATCCGGCCTCTCCCCACCAGCCTACTACAACTATCCCCTCAGGTGCATATACGCCTCACGCCCTAGGAAACAACGTCATTCACCAGACCCATTACGGACAGCCAACGCAGGAATCTGCTTATTATACGCCGCATACCGCTTCTTACGCCACCGCAAGTGCGCCTGGACATTATCCCTCGAGTGGTAAGCCAAATCTCTTCGCGATGAGCAAGATGACTGGTCTCAACAGAGTGGTTATCTCGAGAAATTATCAAATGAACAGGGCTAATTCTTTTTAGGACCACCAGAAATCATGGCGACCAGTGCCCAAATGCAGAGGCCTTACCCCCCTATTTACCATACCCCCCAGTCAAGCTCCCCAGCATCGGTAGCTTCCCAAACTCATGATCCCCACGGCCGAAGTATTTATGCACAATCCCCACAAATGACACCCCAGATATATGGATATCAACCGTATCCGTCTATGAACCCCGTGCCACCACAATATGCACCGCACCCGTCACCCCAGCAGCATCCTCTCACAACGCAGCCGTTGATGATGCCTCACCAGACGAGTGCCGCTCAAGTACACCCTATTCAGGCGCCAGCCGCCGTAATGTCCAGCCCAAGATCCGCAACACAGCAACCAACGCCAGAGCAAAGGGCGGTATTGAACCCACCCCACCCTGGAACAGCTGGCACTTCTATCGCCACAAGCAGTGTCCACCAGAGCCCATCTGTTGGGACAAGCTCCAGTGCAGCACCGGGACCAATTCCAGCCACGACCCCCCTGGTAGTCCGACAAGATAGCAACGGGGTACAGTGGATTGCTTTCGAATATTCTCGAGATCGAGTGAAGATGGAATATACCATCCGATGTGACGTTGAATCCGTCAACGTGGACACCCTAAGCCAGGAATTCAAGACGGAAAACTGTGTCTATCCTAGGGCCTGCTGCAGCAAGGATCAGTATAGAGGTAACCGACTAGTCTACGAAACCGAGTGTAATGCCGTTGGCTGGGCGCTGGCGGATCTTAACCCTGCCTTAAGAGGAAAGCGAGGGCTGATCCAACGAGCCGTTGACAGCTGGAGAAATAGCAACCAAGACCCTCGCTTACGGAGCAGGCGTGTGAGAAGAATGGCCAAGATCAACAAGCGCCAAACCGTTCCGGCACACCCAACCGCCCACATGGCCACTACTTCTCCGGTTGCCCCCGGCATTCCGGGCAATGTCATGTCCACGGGCGGCCCGCGTCCTGCGGTCGGTCCCTTGATGGGACCTCCCCAGCTGCACCATCACCATGCCCATCCTGATACAGTTACAGGCAATGAGGAAGTCAGCGGTATGTTCCACCATGTATGATGTGTTTGCTGCTTTTGCCGTTTCTTTTAAAAACAAAAATCCGTCATGGTGGGAATGTCTGATGACCCTGCATGACCCCCCGTTTTGTATAGAGCCACTAATGGCCCGGGCGTATTTGCGAAGATTGATGGAGATGTATTTCTTTTGTACTTTTATATGTCTCGGGACTGGTTTGATCTTTAGTTCTGATTTTTGTTTGTTTCTTTTTCCTTTTAACCCATACCCTATGTTGTTTGTTATGTTATTGGATACCTACCCTCCCTGCTTTCAATTGTGACATGCCCCCGAGCATTTTAGCCGTAGGCTAATTTCTATATATCTTGATATGTTATAATATAGGCGCCGCTGAATTTGCGAACGCTACTCATCGTCCATCCACCGCAGAAAGCCATCCACCACCAGGGCAGACACCAACGGATATTCGAACCGCGCAGGTCTTTCACGGATACCAGGCCTTCCCACCACCCATGGCCGCTCATGGAGATCCAAGAGGACCATCGATGCCTCCCCTCCTTCGAGACAGCGGCATAGGAGCCCTGGGACGACACCATGCCGTCGCAACATCCACGAACAGAGCCAGTGAAGCCGAGATTGACGACGACGATGAACGCAACCCAGACAACGACGACCTATTCGGGACACTCCCAGAAGGCAAACGCCGCAAGTTCATCCTCGTCGATGATACCCAGCGGGGCTGTCGTGTCCGGGTCAAGGTTATGCTCGACAATGTCGACATGAACGAGATTCCCGATTCGTATCGCATGTCTAACTCGGTATTCCCGCGGACCTACTTCCCCGTGCAAATGAAAAACCCGCCGAACCGGGTGGTTCCCGGGAAGAGATATTTCAAGGAAGAAGGAGAGATGGACGATGACGAAGAGTCCGCGACAATCGGGAGGACTATGGTTCCGGCCCCGTCGCTTGATGGAGAGAGCGAAGTGGCCGTCCCCAAGATATCAAGAGGACGGCGCAAGAAGGAGGTCTTGCTCAACGACCTCGGATACCGAATGAGCTGGAGCCAAAGCCGAGTTTTTTCAGGAAGGATGCTATTTCTGCAGCGATCTCGTGCGTACCCACCCAGAATTTCCCTCGCCCCTTGCTTGTGACATCCGCGTGCGGCATGTATTGACAGTTATTGTCATGTCTGTCCCACACCCTGGCAATGGCATGGTGTCTCACCGTACTTGGCATGGAAACTAACTTTATTTCAATAGTTGACGCGTACCGCAATAAAATGCGCAGCACAATGGTGGTGGGCGGCCAGGATGTCTCATCGATTCCCTCGCATTTTGAGACACGAGCCGGAAAGCGACGGTTCCTAGAGCGCAGAAAGCGACAGACCAGTGACTCGAACGCCTCCAAACGCAGTGCCGAAGAAGTCGAAGCTTGATTTGATGAATCTCCCTTTCTTCTTTTTTTGTTTCTTTTATCTTATGTCTTTTATGTTCGACGTTTGACGTTCTACTTTATGGGTTGATGATTTATGTTTAAGCTATGAGAATACAGACGTGTAATCTAATAGAGATGTGAGATGTGACGAAGAAACAGGAGATTATGTGAAGGATGATTTGAAACGGACGGAAAAGAGAAAAACGACGCAAAAAAAACACTGACGGAAATGGTGTTGGTGGATTTGGGTTATTTTTTTTTCTTTGTCTCTTTTATTATGTGACTTTTTTATTTTTATTTTCTTTGTTCGATACGACCTGATGATTACGCCAGCTGAGAAATCATGACGAATGGATGAATGAAGAATGAAACGAATGCTTGTCTTTTCTTGTCTTTCTTTCCTGTTTATGGATTTGTATTTACTTATTCGATGTGTGTGATACTTTTTCGTCTCGAATACTTGATATATCAAAAGTGGCATCCAAGTCTAGAGATAAGGGAATCCTACAGTTGCATTACATTTACAGAATACAGAATGCATTATCTCGAATAATAAGCAGCGACATACAATAACTCTGTCTGCAGATATAATTAGAACAACTACGCAATGTGACTTGCCTATTCGGGAACTGCCGCGCGCAGTGGCCGCTTCCCAATACGGCAACCAACGGGTATTCCGGTCGCATATCAAGATCCACCGATTTTCAGGGTCCATCACTTTATCTCGCTGTACAGAGATGAATTACTATTACAGTTGCAACTACTGGTGAAGGAATAGGAGTGGGAAGATGGATGAAATCAGCCAGGATGAAAGCATCCTTTCTGTCATTGTGACAGGTATCCAGTGTGGGGGTGATCCGCATCCAGGGTCGACAAGCACCACCACGGCGTCTGAGCGTTCAGCGTTCCAGTATACAGTACTGAATGTCTCTGACTACTGCAGTAGAAAGTATCGAGTAAAGTCAAACAAGCAAATCAGCTGATCGCACATTTCTTGTCTGAAATAAGACTTTTTTGCCTCGATCGCATCCAGTTATGTCGTGGTATTGCCATTGTCCAGTCCCCAGTCCTCGCGTTGTCCGGGCCACAGCCGCCGTCAATCCCTCCAACTACACCGCATGCAGGCAGCTTCAACTGCCCCTCTCGCCTTCACTTTCAGCGGTAGTTTTTTTTCTTTTTCTTTTTTCATCTTTCTCTGCTAGTTTATTTTCTCTTCTATCTTCATTTCTCCTTTCTCTCCTCCTTTCCCCTTCGATTCCCTCCTACGCTTTCCTGCGCACCCAGTACATACCATTCTCTCTTGGCTGTCGCTGATCGACAATCACTGGTTTGATTGTTGATCCTACGGAGAAAGGATTCCTTGCTGCTGACTGTCTGACTGTCTGTCTGTCCACAGTTGGTCCTTCATTTCTTCATTTCTGTCATCCTCACAAGATTTAAAAAAAGACTCAGAATAGAACCACCGAATCTGAATCAACTCGAACCACGGTTCGAGGGTTTCTGACTTGCCCGCGGATTTCATTCTCGCCCGCGTTTCAAGGAACAAAAGTCAGTGCCTGGACCGGACTTGTCGTTAATAAGGGTCCGTTTCGAATGAGGGCTTTTTGATTTCTTTCTTTCTTCTTTCGTCTATTTCTCTTCGTCGCTTGGCTTTCTTCACTTCCGTTCTAGACAACCCCCGCTATCGCTACAAGACAGTAAGACTATACGAACAAAGCCATGTCCGGTGGCAACCGGGTTTTCAGTTTTAACCCCGGCGACGACGGGAATGGAGTAGCTGAGAATCGACCCATCTCGCCCATTCCATCATCTGGTGGCGAACACAACCCAGCCCGACAGACTCAATACAGCGATGTCTCGCCGGTTTCTGAATCGCCGCCTCACCACTTCGAAGGTTTAGACTCTTTCTCACAATCGTATGGTGATCGATCGCGCACAGCCATGACGGCCACTCCGGGCGTGGATGATCTGGGCCCAGCAGCGGCGGGAGGTGGAATTGGTGGAATCGCCCTGGGTATCGCGAATAACCATGACCGTCAGAGTGGAATCGAGGCTTTTCGGGGCACGGATGGGAATGGCGATGGGTATGTTGGTCCTCCGGAACGAGGGTTTAATACCACCGGATCGGATACGCCGTATATTCCTACACCACCGGCTCGGGGGGTAGCGTTCGCAGGGAGTACGGATACACTCAGGCCGAGAGATTCTTACGGTTCGAATGTCCCTCTGGGAGCCGCGGGTGCTCCCGCGGGTCAGGGAAGTCCTGGACAGCTTGGGGCGTTGAATCCTTCCCAGCACAATCTGTTGGAGCAGTCCGGGGATCCGTATCAGGGTGTTGGGCCTTTGAATGCCGGTCCATATCAGCGACAGTCTGCTTATGGGTCTGGAGATTATCCTGTTGATATCAATCCGGACGAAATCGCCGATGATGGGGATGACGGGTTCCACCCCGCCCCAGCGGATACTCGCAGATCGCAGGCGGTTCCGGCCGCGGCAGCTGGAGGAGCTGCCACTGGGGGTATTCTGGGAGGATTGGCAGGTTTGTTCAAGGGGAAGAAGTCTGCTGCTGCCGCTGCTGGTGACAGTACATCTTATAACCCAGTCCCAGGTGCAGGTTTGGAGGCCGGTGAAAAGAGTCGATGGGCACAACCGACAGCAAGTGCGGGGAGCAAGAAGCGAGCTTTGATCGTGGGACTGATTCTCGGGTTCATCGTTGTTGGGGCTATTGTTGGAGGTGCTGTTGGTGGTATTCTGGGTCACAAAGAGAACGAAAAGCCGGAAAAAACGTCATCTGCAACGGAAGACTCGGATTCTAACGGCGACCTCAACAAGAATTCCAAGGAAATCAAGGATTTGATGAACAACAAGGAATTGCACAAGGTGTTTCCCGGTGTCGACTATACCCCGTGGGGTGTCCAGTATCCGCTGTGTCTCAAGTACCCGCCATCTCAAAATAACGTCACTCGTGATATGGCCGTGCTTTCTCAATTGACCAATACCGTTCGACTTTATGGTACCGACTGCAACCAGACTGAAATGGTTCTCCATGCTATTGACCGGCTGGAACTGACAGACATGAAACTCTGGCTGGGAGTGTGGATTGACACCAACAAGACTACGACAGAGCGACAAATCAACAAGCTGTACGACATCTTGGACAACTCCAATGACACTTCCATCTTCAAGGGCGCCATCGTTGGTAATGAAGCACTCTTCCGCGCCGGCCCTGACACTTCTACCGCCAAGAAGACCTTGATCAGCTACATGCAAGACGTCAAAGACCACTTCAAGAGCAAAAGCATTGATCTGCCCGTGGCCACGTCTGATCTAGGAGACAACTGGGACCAGGAACTCGTCAAGGAAGCCGATCTGGTCATGTCGAACGTGCATCCGTTCTTCGCGGGTGTTAGCGTGGACCTTGGAGCCAGCTGGACCTGGGATTTCTGGCAAGAACACGATGTCAAGTTGACACAGGGAACGAACAAGAAGCAGGTCATTTCCGAAGTAGGATGGCCCAGTTCTGGAGGAAATGACTGTGGATCTGGCAACAAGTGCCCGGATAAAACCTCAGGGTCTGTGGCTGGCATTGATGAGATGAACCAATTCATGTCGGACTGGATTTGTCAGGCGTTGGACAATGGCACTGATTACTTCTGGTATGTTTATCTATCATCTCTTCTAGTGGATGGTCTAACAATGAACAGGTTCGAAGCGTTCGATGAACCATGGAAGGTCCAATTCAACACCGAAGACCAAAATTGGGAAGACAAATGGGGTCTCATGGACGCAGACCGCAAGGTGAAGCCCGGCCTCAAAATCCCCGACTGCGGGGGCAAACCGATCTGATGGGTGGATATTCTACCTGGATTGACAGATCTTTCTTTTCTTTCCTGTGAACAATTAATGATGGATGATTTTCAATGTATAAACGCGCAAAACAGCGTGCTGATGTGATGGGTCAGGGCGTGTCAATGGTTTCTGATTGATTCTTTCGGTGTTTGATTCTGTATTCTAGTGAGTTTGGGAGACTTGCTTTTCCTTTTTTTTTTTTTTTTTTTTCTTTTCGCATTGCTCTTTTTATGCTTAATTGCATGTGTGTATATAGCGTGGGGCCTTCTTTCAAGGATGTTTATGGTTCGTTACGTGTTGGACATGGCTATTAAAATGTGACTTTGTTTCTGCAGATATGCAAATCATTCCATTCCTTGTATACTCCAACCCATGCAATATATATCCATCCGTATACTCATATTGATATTCACGTCTACCCATGATAAACCCTCATCTCCCAAAAGGCATGTTCCAGCAGCTCAAACACAGGTACCCGTTTCGACTCGGTCTCCGCACAAAACCGATTCAACACCTCGGACTCGGTATCCTCGAGCGGACCACCGAAGAGCAGACGAGGCCGATGTTGAAGTAATTGTTCGAGATGCGATCGTTCTGCGCCGGGGCAGTAGAGGAAGGAATGTGGGGAGACGAGGTCGAAGGCGGCGGGGTGATCGAGGACGGAGACGCCGAGGGAGGAGAGAAGAGATTTGTCGAGGGTGTTGAATACGGGGTCTTGGGCGTAGATTGGGATTTCTTATAAATTAGTTGATGGTTTCATCAGTATTTCAAATGAAGGAAGACACCTACCTTTATCTATTAGATCTATAGTTGTCGTCAATGCAGCGAGTTGGTACATGGAGACACTTCTCCGATCGACCCAACCCCCGCGAAGAAACCCACTGGGACTTCCGAGTCCAATGCAGATGATATTCTTCACCTCAATTGCCTTTTTATCATCGTCATCATCATCCACAGACGCAGAGAGAGCAGCCTGCACCGTCTCCCTCAGCACGCGACACGTCGCCGACCCGATCCATTTCTCGCGATACGTCTCGAATTGCGCCGTGAGATTTTCCAGGTTCAAGTTGCGCGGTGCTTCGGCGGGGACGAGGAAGCGCTGTTTATCTTCATCTTGGGCATTCGCATTTGAATCCTCTGTGGCAGGTTTTCGCTGCTGGCGACGGGCATTCTTCCCTTTGTGGGTGGTGGTGACGTGAGTCCAGCCGTCGTCGGAGGTGACTTCGAGGCGCTTGGAGATGGTGTTCTTGTTCTTGCTTTTGGTGCGGGCGCTGCTGTGGGGCATGGTTGATTTGATCTGTGCTGTAGCTTGCTGTAGGTGTGGTGTAGGATTTAGTGTGGTGTGGTGTAGCTGTAGCTGTCGGATGTGAGGTACTTTGTGTGGCGCTTGGAGGTGCAGGTTATGTATGTCTCTGTATGTGATGGAGTTGAATGGGAATTGTGGTTGTCATTTTGGTGGATAGAATTGATTTTAGAATTGGGGAAGTGGGGGAGTTGAGTTGGAGTCAAAGTGGTTCTGCCAATACACTGCCATGGGATATAATTGTATGATTGTAGGTTTATTCTATTCTATATATTCTGTACGAGAGAATGTCTATGTGAGGCTATAACTGTATAGCAGTTTCTATCCAATAAAGAAGAATCAAAAACACAGGTCACATGGAACTGCTAAGCATTTTGCCAGCGTTAAGCATTGGTCGACAATCACCACCAAACCAAAAAGACATCCAACATCTCCTCTTCTTCCATAAGTCCAAAATTCATCCAAATCATCAAAATCATCCAGAGTATCCACATCACACTGATCACCCACTTGCTGCACTCACAACGCATCTCTAACCGCCCTGCACCCTCCCCCGTGTGATGTCTCCTCCTTTAGCGCCCGATCGGGCGCTTCCACCACTTCCTCTCCGCGAATGAATGGCCTCATCCTGCCCTTGGCCAACGTGATGTCTCTTGCAGTCCGCACATCTTCTTCCCAGTCTGTTCGTGCGGGCCTCATCACATCCTCCGTTCTGCCTCTTCTCACTCGTCCGACCATGGCCTGCCATTCCCCGCCCCGGCGTGTAGATGCTCGTCCTGTCCTTGGACGTTCCCCCTCAAAAAGACTCGCCAATCCTCCCGTCTCTTTTTTTTAATTCTCCCCCTCCTCCCGGATTGCCGCTGGAAGCTTGTCATGGGCGATGATCTTTTTGGGTAAATGCGGAATGGTTTGCTGTTGATACTTTGATCTGAAGTCTGAACCTTTTTCGAACACTTTTTTAAAACTCGAGACGTTTGAGAATAAGTCTTGGTGAAGCTTGGTTTTCTTCCTTTGCTTTTCTTTGCTTCTTCTCTTTTTCGTCTTTTAATCAAATCACAATGGAGTTCGTCCAAAAGTCGATATCGCGATGGTCGGCCATCGTCACTATCCTCTGCGTGGCTCTGGCCAACGCTCACAGTGTCATCGTATACCCAGGATACAGAGGAAACAATCTACATACCAACGGTACCGTTGAAGATGCAAATGGCTTGGGTGCAGCATACTTTAACAACTCGCTGATCTACCCTTACGGCATGGAGTGGATTTATCCATGTAAGACATCACAGCCAAAGACAATCAAGTCGATTCTTTCCATGGCTAATACAATCCTCAACAGGTGGTGGCATGCCTACTACAACAAACCGAACCAAATGGCCTACCACCGGAGGCGCTGTCTCAGTTCAACCTGGCTGGTTCCCAGGTCACTCCAGCGCCCTCATCTACATCAACCTGGGTCTGGGAACTGTGCCTCCGAACATGAGCCATCCCATGGTTAAGCCCTTTCAGATCGTCGGTCCTACCAATAACCCTTACCCGGGTACCTTTTGTCTGCCCCAGGTCCCGCTGCCAGCCGATATTTCTGTTAAGGCGGGTGACAATGCCACTATCCAGGTCGTTGAGACCGCTCAGCACGGTGCTGCTTTGTATAATGTATGTTCTGTCTAGCTCTTCTTTATCTCTCTGCTTTCGGTAAGCTAATGTGTATGCGTGCAGTGTGTGGATATCACATTCGCCGATCCCCAAGACCCCGAACTCCAAGAAGTTACCCGCGATAACTGCTTCAACTCGTCGGATATTTCATTCGACTTGATTGTAACTACCTCCGCGCTGACGTCCGACGCAGCTGTGCTGCCATCATTCGGACTGGCCAGTTTGATCTTGGCGGTGGTGGTAATGGGTGTACTGATGTCTTAGATACCTTTTCTGTTTTCTGTTTTTGCCTTTAGTTTCTTTTTTGCTATCCAGTACTATACATACCCCACGAGTTACTGCATGATATCTTTGATTCGTCCATCTGACCCCGTTTATACTATGATTTGATCTATTATGAAAACTGAAAACCGAAATGACTCTGGACGTCGTGGATTTCATTCTCTTGTCTTGATGACAAACATATATACCTATCTACCTATCTATCTACCTAATCTGGCGCTACGCTACTATCTCTTCGATGATTAACTGAATCAAAATCAATCAAGCCATAAAGTCGAGTATATCAAACTACGATCCATCCTTAGTTAATACCCTTCACCAACTCCAGAATAACCTCAACCACAACCTCCGGACTCTCCTGCGGAGTCCAATGTCCAGCCCCATCAACCAACCTCACCACCCGAAGATCACTACAGACCTCCCCCGCCATCATCTTCTCCAACGCCCCGGGTTCCTGATAATTGCCCCAATCCTGCTTCCCGGAAACAAACGCACACGGTACCTCGATCTTCTTCCCCGCAAACGTATCGTAGTCCCGCATGTGCCGTCCCCCAGCCGCTGTCCGGACCCGGTACCAGTTCAATCCACCCTGGAACCCGGTACGTGCATACTCAGAGGCATAGACTGCTAGATCGTCGTCGGAGAGCCAGGCGTGGGAGGCGAGTTTGTCTGCGTCGCTCTCTTGTGCCATGTCTAGTTCTACGGCTTCGGGCATGGTGGCGGATAACGGCATGATGTAGTAGTAAGGAAGCTGGGTGAGTTCTGGTGCTGACCATGCCTTGAGGGGATGGGGGTTGTTGTGTTTCCAGGATCCGCTTTTGAGGTGGAAGTAGCCGCGAAGAAAGTCGTGGAGGCCTGATGGGGTGGAAAAGCTTGTCATGTCGTGGTTTGCGGTTGGTGTGGAGTAGTACCTTTTGGATAATTAGCTATTGAAAGATGTATTAAATGAGGACATGGGTGCAAAGGGTGTACCATTTGTAGTGACGTCTACCTAACGCTGCTAGATCGTTATGGACATCTGCACCACTACTCCCACTCATTTGGCCTCCGTCTGATGTGTTGGCCGTATTGAATGGAAGAGAAGGGGTTCCATTAAATGGATGGCTCATGATCGTGACACTCTGGAAGAAATCCGGCCGGATAAGCGCACACATGGCCGCAGAGACAGCACCGCAGTCATGTCCCACGACACAACGGACAGAGCGATACCCCAGTGCATGAACGAGGATCACGACATCCCGGACGAGAGATGTCAGCGAAAAGGTGGATAGGTCTACCTCGTTGTAGCTGCTTGTATCCCAACCGGTGGTCCGGCCGAAACCGCGCTGATCCAAAGCGACAGCGTAGAAGCCAGCATCTGCTAGGCGGGGAAGGACTTTGCGCCAGGAGAAAGCGATCTCGGGAAATCCATGGAGGAGGATGATAAGCGGGCGCGAGTTATCTGGGGAATAGCCCGATTCAAGGATGTGAAAGTTGAGAGCGGAAGTGGAGATAATTCGACTCCTGATGGAGGGAGGGAGGGGGAGAGGGGGGAGATCTGGGGATGAGGCCATAGTGGAGATATATAGTCGATAGGGGGTGGGCTAGTGTCGTATACGAACTATGCAGTAAATGAGGATGAACTGATCCAAGATGAAGATGTCTCGCATGGGAGATCTCGCGAGATTAAATGAGGAGCAACATCTTTTAGTATTTATTAATCTACTCGGTGCAAACCGGGACTTGGTTCAGGCAGAGAAATCATCCCAAGCGCATGGAAGCAGTATGACGAGGTCCAAAGCGACTCGAAGCTGCAGAAGAATGCAGGAACCGGAAGCCATCTCGCCCATTCGCTCTCCAGGGCCAGATTCTTTCTTTCATCTGCCCCTCGCTTGGATCATCAGAAACCTGAAATTAACCTCCTCCTGTCTCGAGAATCGGTTTCCATCTTCGATGATTGCAAGACCCATGATCATGATCTGCATTGCCGTCCAGTCATGACGCAAGTCTCGAGTCCAACTCAACAAAAAACCTCCTCTTCTTCCCGTTTTTTCCTTTCCCTTCCCTTTCTTCCCCTCCTGTCCTGGTCGTCGCGGGTTTTGTCATTAATTCATCTTCTTCCTTCATTCTTTATCTTCTAAAAAATACAAATCTAATTTTTATGTGTTTTTCTTTCTCCCCTGTCTCACTTTCTCCACTACTGCCGATCCCAGCCAGCCTTGATTTCTAGCGACCGTCGCCCCGTCGAGATCCTGGATTCCCATCCCTACCAGCCTTTCTCGCCAGAGTCTGCAGCGACCGAAATCATCGATACTTTTCTTCTTCTTCAGAACATTCTATACATTATCTTCACGATTATATCTCCGAAATCCGTGACTCCGGTGTCGTCTAGTCCCACTCGCGTGTCCGCCGCCGAAAGGCAGACACGGCCTCGTTCCTCTCTTGCGGACATTCACCAAACATGTTCCGCCGTAAGAGGAGCTCTTCGCATCATCAGGTACGTGCTTTCTTTTACGTTAGACATATTGGCAGAAATTATTTGGACGAAAATACCCTCAATGTGATTTACCCCTACAAATGGCTAATTTCGTTGCCTCCGATAGCCTCTCTCCACCAGTTCATCGCAATCTGCGCAGAGCGCGGCCACCCATGCCTTTCTCAAATCCCAACCCTCATCCAGCAGTCTATCGTCTGCTGCCGCTGCGACTGCCTTAAGGAGTCTCACGCCAACTCCGCAACCCGTGGAAAATGTCCAGACCAAACGAATGGTCCAGCGGCGGGCGTCCGTTACATCGCAGACCAGTTTTACCCCTAGCCTTCGCTCCAACAGCAGAAATGGCCTCCGTCGAATCAATAGCTCAAGTTCCATGTCCAACCGGTCTTTTCGAGACCCGTCCCCCCGTCGACCTGCGACCAGCTCAGGCCCCGTTGGAGCCGTCGATGTGGCCCCGCCGCTGCCTTCAATTCCCCCGGAATATGCTGGCCGAAAGCCCCAGACTCGACGTTCCGTCAGCCTCGATCCGCCAATGCGATCGACTCCGTCCCCGAGGCGTACGCAGAACCGTGGGATAAGTGTTGACCCCGGAGTGAGGGCTTCAACTGGTCAAGCGTACAGTGGCCGGCTTAACAGTCTGACCACAGTCCCGGAACTCGACAAGGACTTGGAAAGATCTGGGAGCAGAAACTCTATCAATTTTTCTTACCCGATGGGTGCTCGACCTAGTCCACCACCGAGTCCTTACAATAAGCGCGATGGTTCTGCGGGAGCGTCATTGGCTCAATTGTCTCCAGCGGAAATCTCCAATATTCAGAACCAGCCCCTCAAGAAGCCGACCAACAAGAATTCAAAGGGAGCTTCTCCCCAAACTCCTGAGAAGGGCCACACGGTTGGGACTGCTGTCGCAGCGGCGCAGGCTGCCATTGTGCCTAGCAAAGAGACCCCGAATTTAAACACCCCTCGTTCTGCAGCTTCTCGCGACCCCACTGATCAGAGGCCATCACCGTCCCGCCCTGGCCCGAATAAACGACCACAACCTACGGCCATTGAAAATCATGATGCCCGTGCGGAATTGGGCACTTCGGGTGAAATTTCTAGTCAAAAGCGTGCTGGTAGTGGTTCCCCAGTTGATCGGTCGGTGCCTCAGCAAAATGGAAATCCCCGTACTGCCAACCCACCGAAGGAGCATCTGACAGGCAGAGTCACACCTACTACCGAAGTGACGATTGCGCCATCACTGAACCAGGCTGTTGGTTCGTCGGGATCTGACCGTTCTATCGAGACGGAGCCTGGGCCTTCCACTCTGCAATTGAACAGTAGCCCGGGTAGATCTGCACGCTTCTCGAATCGACTTTCTGTCACGGGCCTTGATCAATTGCACCATCCTCCCCCGAGGTCGGTGTCTCCGGTCAAATCTGCAATGAAGCAGTCGAATTCGCCAAAGGGCTCTTTGTCCCCAGAGAGACGAGTTGGAGTAGTTGTTCGCCCCGGCCCAGCGCTCAGCGAAATATCAGACGGCACTTCGGTGGCTTCAGATGAGGGTTCCAGGCTGGGCGTCAGGAGAAAGCCTGTTAAAGTCAGCTTTGATGACGAGGCCGAAATTGTTGGTGTTGCGGCGAGCCCACCTACATCACCTGAAGAAATGTCCCCGGAATCTCCCCCAGGCAAGTTCAAAGCGAAGAACAACTGGTTTGGTGTCGCAAAACGAAAGCCGCTTCTGCTGGACAATTCCGGCATGGATGATTTCGATGAAGTGCTAAAGCCCCGGCCTGCGCTCCCTTCGTTTGGCAGTATACGGGGGGCCAGGGATACGGAGCAGCAAGGTGTTATCAAGGAAGAGCCAAGTGACAACGAATCTACTGCTTCGTCGAGTTCCAATATGGTGGTGCCAGGTTGGTCTCTTTCAAACGACCATGCCATTGGTGGTATTCTATCCAGGGCCCAGTCAGAGGATGTTGAGGAGCGTAAAGATCTTGACCATGCGCCGCTTCCCGCAGTAAACGAAACACCTAATGCCCCCAGCTATGCGGAGAAACTCAAAGAAAATCTACCAGCTGAGCCGACTCCACAGACATTGGTGGTTGAGTCCGTGCCAGGGTTGGGAACAAACCCGAACTCGGATGTGAAAGAGGAAGTAGCTACCACTGCGGATTCGAAACCGTCCATCCCCGCTATTGCTGTCCAGCCCGCCACCCCAGGGATTGAAAAGGAGAGATCGAGTCTTGAGATCTATACTGTTCCCGGTGGATTTCCTCGGTCCTCCATGGAGTTCGATCCCAAAGCTTCTGGAAAGAAAAAAGGCAAAAAATCCCATGAAAGGTCTGGTTCTGGAACCAGTGTCTCATTTGATGAGTCTGGCATGTCGGTGCCAAATGCCAATCATTCCGATGAAGACTCTGGTGATAGTATTTACAGCGATGCTGCTGAAGATATGGAAGGCGACGGTTTTGGTTCCATCAATGCCATAGTGGATAGTCGACAGGCTGCTGGTGCAGACCCATTCATTGCTACGAACGGCCCTACTGAGGTCGCTTCAAATGGCATTATGCCTGATAAGCCTGATGCCACGGATGATACAGATCAAATCGGTCGCGCGGTGACCCCAGCACAAGGAGCAGCCATTCCGGATGTTGCGGATTCTCCCGAGTCTCCCAAGATGCCTCTGCCATTTTCATCGCCATACCCACCTTTTCCAGTCAACAACAAAGGAGGTGTCGCGAGGTCAAACACCACCTCGAAGAAAGCCGGACGGCCCGTGTCGGTGGCTGCCCCCCGTGAACCTCTGCCACAAGCTACTCAGGGACCTGGTCAAGAGCGTAAGAAGAGGCCTGTGTCCATGGGTCCAGTTTTCCACAAGACCAAGGACGTTGGCTTTGATGATGCCGGGCCACGTATGAACGGAAGACGTGCCAATTCCTTGGCGAGGCCAACGTCGAGTGGTAGCGATTCGTCAAGCAGTTTCAAACGAACCAATCGCTCGCCGAAAGGGGACTCACCACATGCCATGCGACGGACAATGAGGGGAAATGCTCAGAGTTCTCAAATACAATCACCCTCTCACAGTCCGACATTGCCAACTGAACGACGGCCGATGTCCTCGGGATCTACTTCAAGCAAAGCGATGCGAACAACTCTCCGAGGAAATGGTCTTCAAAATGGAAAGGCTTCGTTTTTCACCACAGGCAAACCGCCTCGGACGAAGATAGCCAAGGCACCCACCACTGTGTGTTCTTTGTCACGATTTGCCGACTCCGACGATGAAGACGGTGGAAACCAGTCGCGGAATTTCCGCAGTCGATTTGTGGACTCGAGTGACGAGGAGGGACCAGCTACGAGCAACCTCCGCCCAGTTCGAGGCATTCCCCGCCGTCAAGGTGCACATGATGGGGACTCAACTGAGCTGGAAGACAGCTCAGATGAGGACAAGCGTCAAGGTGCACCGTCTACCCCCGCAAAAAAGCAAAACGGAACAGGCCCGACGGGCACATCTCCATTGGCTGCAGTGGCCAAATCCCGCGGAGTGAGTGAACAGGAATTGGAGGAGTTTCTTCACCAACCAAACCGGGGGCGAGTATCGGGATTTTTCAGTCGTCTCAGTATCAAAAAGCCCAAAAATTCCGACCATAGGATCCGCAGGTCTACTTTGGAAAGCCCGAGCAGACGCGATACGCCCCTGGAGCGTTCGCGCCAGGAACTCGACCAAATTCGAGAGGAGCCTCTGGGTACGGTAACAACCGTTACATCCGATAACGTCGACAACAACCATTCACCATCACCTTCCAAGCTTCTGAGAAAGGGCTCTCGCAGAGCGGGACCGGGCGAGAAGTGGCCGCTTGAACAGGACTCGAAGGACTCGGAAGCAGCAAAGACAAACGGGGTTCCGTTAGCCAACCGACAGCCTGAACGGCCTCGAACCGCAGATGGTGTGCTCCGCAATGAGAGTGCCATGGTCAATGGCACGAGTAACGGCAATGGGACGGCTGCTAAAGAGCCAGAGAGTCCTCATGCCCGGTCCAATGGTGAAGGATCACATTTCGGCAATCGCAACAGTACGGCATTGGACGTGATCATTGAACCCTCTGGACGAAAGAAGCGGTTTCCCATGCTCCGCAAGGCATTTGGCCTGCGGAATTAACCTTACAAAATCTTTTTGATCCTTTTCTTTACTCGATCTACCTTTAATACCTTTACGACTTCTAATATGCCCTAGTTGCTGTCAGCGATGGCAACCAGGGGATTGTTATATCGGAAGAGTTATGACATTTACACGCTTTCTACGCTTCAGACTAGGATGGGATTGGATACCGGGTTTGGAGTTTCAACATTTTTTTTTCTTTTTATTTTTCTCATTCTGACTTGATACCCTCGTTTGATTGACTCGGTGCATCTGACTATCTGCGATGATGGCAGATGGATGGAGTAATTCACTTCTTTCATTCGTTTATATTATATAAACCGTTCTTGGTTATTTATTTTAATGTTTTTTTTTTTATTTTTTATTTTTTTATATATATTTGATTGTGATTTATTCTGTTCAAAGCTGAGAGAACGATTGGTGTTTGTGGGAGGGGGTAGAAAAGAAGAGTCAGATCATTGGGGGATTTTGATTGATACCAGTCTGACAGCCCCATACTATATTTAATATCAATTAATCTATGACCACAGAGCAAGGGCCACGAAGCGCAAGGTCAATGGCTACTCCATGCGCACGTAGTACGAGGCAAAGACGCGAAAATGGTGAATTCGACTCCAAACTCCATATCTGAACCTCGGCGATGGGGGAGAAGCTCTCTCCACCCCGGCCGATCGATAGGCAACCTGATTTCTGAGCTGCGATGGAGACCAGCTCCATAGCAACCAGGGTCGCTAAGCTAGGAGCGAGAAAAGTACCGAGCGTGCAGCCTCTGAGCGCCTGTGATGTGACCATGACTGGCCGATCACATCTAGACTCCAGCTGAGTGGCAAAAAGAGGGCTGGGAATCCGCCGTGGCTGGCGGAGAGAGTGAATCCAGACGAGTGGAGTCGCACGGGGAGACCGGAGTGTATCAGGATGATTGCTGCGTCTTGGAGACCTTGCCAATGAAGGAAGACCACGACAGCACGTCGGAGAAAGATGTATGAATTCCATCTCAATTCTTCCCCATTTTCTTCTACACATCGTATTCCATCCCAATCCCTTATCCTGTATCGTGTATTTTATCCTATCTCCATCACAAGAACCATGGATAATCGGCGCGTCGATCGCTGGACACCCGCGCCAAGAGGGTCCGAATCGACCCGTGGAAGATGTTGCCATGGAAATCGGGCGGCTAGACAGGATGCTAAAATCAGCCGATGGGGATGTGATGGACAGACGGTGGCTGAAGCTGGCCAGCCTCTCCGCATGTGAAGAAGAGCTGAGGGTATGTGCATCTGCAGACAGTTAGTCGGACAGCTCCATAACATATTTATTATACGCAGCACGGAGGAATTGAGGAGGAGGGGACAAGAAGAATGCTAGCTGCACGAGGTCCACATTCCACCTTAGATATCGATAGATGTAGATGTAGATGTTTGATAGATGAATCAATGTATCTGTAGAAATCAGAGTCAAGAGCAAGGGATTGCCTCGGGATTGAGAGAATCAGAGACAGATGAGAAGCAACTGAATCCAAAACAAAAAATGGGAGAGGCTGGAGGCTTCCCCGATCCGGCAAGGCGCGGTAAACAAGCCCAACAACGCGTCACGAACAGCTGCACTCACGCTCGTCCTTCAAATCCCCTCTTGTTCCCCTCTCTTCTTCTTCTTCTTCTTCTCCTCTTCCATTCCTGCTCCATCATTCTTCCCATCTCTAATTCCTAATCTTATCCCCCAATTCAAATCTCATCTGATAGTCGAGGCATCTTTGAGATCCCTCTTCTTTCCACAAACCCACTTCTCTTCGAGAAAGACTTCTTAATCCAAAGTCTTTTCTTGTCTCGTCTTTCGTTCTCCAAAGTTCGAAAGGCATTCGAGAAAAGACGCTCAAAGGACAGCCAATCTGGACTTTGACGCCCGCGTCCCCATCCCCTTCAGTGTCTTCCCGTCGTCGTACCGGAGTGACGCTGTTCCTGAGCCTACTCCAGAAAGAGTAGAGGGAGAAGAAGCCAATCTCGATCGTCCTTCGCACGTCGAACGGGAAGATACTCGAACCTCCGCTCCTCTCCCTGACCCTCGTGTCTACGGAAAGGAAGAAGTCGATCTCCACGCTCCTCCCCAGCAGGAATATCCCCAGTTCCAGCACCAGCACCAGCCGCAGCAGTACGAGCAGTACCCTCAGCACGAGCAGTACCAGCAGTACCAGCAGCCCCAGGAGTTTCAGCCTCAGCAGCCTCAATATCCCGAACAGTACTCTACTGCCTACGAGGACCGTGCTAGCCACAATCCCCAGGTTGATCTGAGCCGTGAAAGGTATGTGATAGTGATTATAGTGCTTTTCAGCTCCCGGGGGCTTTGTTTATATGGCTTTGTTTTTCTTTTTGTTTTCCCGCCAAAGTGGAGAGACGCAAGAAGCGGTGTCGCCTGGGCTGCAGCCCAAAAGTGGCGCCATCTTCGATCGGCTGTTTTTTGGTCTGTTTTGGTGTTTGTTTTGTTCTGTTAGGCTCGGATGATATTCCGGGCCTAAAAAAACAACACCTTTTAGTTCCACCCACTCTTACGTGTCCCCCCAAAAAGAAAAACAAAACCAAAACAAAACAAAGGCCCTTTCACCCAATCGGCGGTGTCCATTGTGTTTGTTCCTCTTGTTTATATGTATCTGACCGTGCCCCAGTTACCGTGAACCCACCTCTGTCCGCTACCCTGAGCAGCAGACATACGACAAGCAAGGCCTCGAGAACCAGCTCGACATCACCGAGAGAGAATATCGTCGTCGCGTCAACCCGACCTACGACGTTAACCCCTCTTCGTCCTACCAGCCTACCGTAGCCCCTAACCAAGGCTACCAGCCCCAGCCCGCTTCGGACGTCTCGTACAGCCGGACCTTCCCGTCTCAAGCTTCGTACGACCGCCCTTACAAGGACCAGCCCCTCGAGACCTACCGAGGAGCCTCTTCTTCTACTGGTCGCAGCAGCACCGAGTCCGTTGCACCTTCTTCTACTTCTTCTTCTTTTGACAAGGTTAAGTCCTTGAAGCCTTTCACCGTTCTCGATCAAGCACCAGTTCGCAAAATGGGTTACTACGACGACGACGGTAAATACCACTCCTTCCGCCGTGGGGTGGAGCGTGCTGCGGACCGCATCATGCACCCTCACGGCCACCACCACCAGCACGACCATGATGAGATTGTTGTGGCTGACCAGAGTGGCCCAGTCGCCCCCTCCCGTGGCAATGTCCGCGTTGTTGAGCCTCGCGGCCGTGGTGGCTCCGACGGCAACGTCCCGATCCCCTGCCACTTCATCCGCATCGGAGACATCCTGATCCTTCAGGGCCGTCCCTGCCAGGTCATCCGGATCTCCGTCTCCCCCCAGACCGGCCAGCACCGCTACCTTGGTGTCGACCTCTTCACCCGCCAGTTGCAGGAGGAGTCTAGCTTCGTTGCTAACCCCTCCCCCTCTGTCGTGGTCCAGACCATGCTTGGCCCCGTCTACAAGACCTACCGTATCCTTGACATCCGTGATGACGGTGACATCGTCGCCATGACCGAGAACGGCGATGTCAAGCAGGGTCTGCCTTGCATCAGCCAGGGTAACCTCAAGCGTAAGATCGCCGATGCCTTCGCCGATGGCCGTGGAAGCGTTCGCGCCCTCGTCATCAACGACGGTGGTCACGACCTGGTTGTTGACTACAAGGTCATCCACGGTTCCCGCCTGTAAACCCTTTGCCCCTTTCGGTTTAGGGTTCGGCACCTGGTTAGTCATCCCGTTCCCATTCACAACCAAACCTTGGTTCCTTCCCGGGGCCGCTTTTACTGACGTCAACTTCACAGCTTTTCCTTTGTACCTATGGCTCGACGAATTTTATTGAAGTTTGTCATGATGGAATTTGTAACTTGAAATGGTGGACCATGATCAGGCCTGGAAAAATGTAACGTTTGCACTTTTGTATCAAACATGGCCTACCTTTATGTACCTAAGCGATCTAATGCTCATGTTTCTCAATTCGTTTTCCCTTGTAAAAATCCTCTTCTCCTGTAGTTGATTGTCTTTGGTCTGTTGTCTTTGGTCTAGAAATAACATAGCTAACACATACCTTTGTCGCAACTTTCCCTTGAACTGTCTTAGTCCTTTGCATATATACCAAGCCATCTTGACTACGGAGCACTTACTATATCCCTCAACCAATTCATATACAAGTAAAACAAGTCAAACAGATACCTTCAAATGCATTATTAACCTCCGCAGCTAATTCCTTTACAATCAAACAAATTGACAACCAACACAACAGACCAAAGAACACCTAGAAACATATATGACAAGATCTTGAATACAACGCCCCCTATCAGCCAGTGCATAGAATATGAAAACAAACGAGATGAACAAAAACATCCAGCGAGTATAGAATGAAATAGAAGTAATAATAGAGGAATCATATGGAAACAGAAACACAACACGCCCCTTCCACCAGCCCAGCTAGTGAATCCCATATATCCTAGATTTGATAAAGATGAAGTGTAGAAATGAAATGAATAAGGCGACAAGTATGATTGTTCACAAGACATAAAAATGGAGATATTGCGAAGATTATTTTGCGGGAAGTCCAGAGGGTCTACAAAAGACCTTGGACAAGTCGAGGAGAGAAACAGTAGTATAGCAAAAACATTCGTTTCAGCCAGAACTAGTCAAACAACAAATCAGTCTCGTCATGTCCTCAGCAGAAAACATTTATTTGGAGCATGAGAATGGCCGTGTGATATCTGATATAAAGTACTCCGTAAATGAACTGGACCCAATCAAAATCCCTGAAAAGAAAGAAATAAAACAATAATATTGATGCCATGAGATTCTCGCGACGCCGTGCCCGATGAGGTAAGTTCAAGATGCTGTTCCAGAAGCCGTAGTATACATATCCACAGGTGCGATGAGATAAGAGTCGAGGAGGGTATCGTGCATTCTCGAAACCTCAACAACAAATGGGGTTTCGAGTATTAAAACAAGAGAAAGAAGTGAAACAGTGAAGGCGATGGTGGTTACTGAGGTATAGGGGTGTCGAGTTAGTCGATTGCGGTGTCACCTCTCTGGAAATTTGCCAAACTCCTGCTGCCATTTTAGAAGATGCCGTGTAAGCACGTCCATCATCTCAACACTGCTGAGATCCTTGAAATCTTTCTCCTTCGGTGGCTGGACGGCTCCGGATTCGCCGTCGGTGGCTGGACCGGACTCTCCGCCATCACTGCTACCCGATGGAATAAAGGTCTCGAGTGAGTCGACCATGTTTTTGAGAAGAGTGCCGTGCATCCGATCCCCATTGCTAGCAGGGGAGCTCTCGCCGGCCACAGCCATCTCAACTTGCATCCGTGAGATGAATTCAAGGATCGCAGCTACACGTCTCTTCATGTCGGGCATCGTTGTCCGCTGTGGGTTTATGTAGCGTGGCCTGCTCGGTTTCCCAAGTTCTGTGCCATTCAAATGCGTTCCATTTGCACCTCCTACTCGAGGTGAGTCCCCACCGGTATCATTCGAATGTCCTCGGCGTGGAGAGTTCAGCATGTTCGACTCTGCTCCATTGCCATTGGTATCACGATCCCTGGTGTATTGGTTGCGTCCCACTCGAGCACCACGGCGCGCGGGTGGGCGGCCAGATTTGCGTGTCGACGGACGAGAGGGTGCAGGCTCTTGAGCGACCGCAGGGGTATCAGGGCTAGGCTGCGAAGGTTCTGGTTCATTAACGGCTGATTTTGGTGGTGACCCAACCTCATGCTCAGATTCTGCTTGGCTTATTAGTTTCATAGCCACATTGTACAGCATCGGAGAAACCTACCATCGTCCTTCCGCTTTTCCGTCCTTCCTTTCCTACGGTTCCCTGTCTCTGGTCGTTCAGCTTCTGGTTCCTCTGTATCTTTGGTTTCTTTTTCGCGATGGCCTCGAGACGTTGCTCGCTGTTTTTTAGCTCCGTTCGTGGCTAGCTTTGCTTTCGACTCGTCTTCTGAAGCAGGCTGGGAATTGGAATGACTTTGTTTCGAGGCGGCGGTTGGGGTTGGTGAGCTCGTTCGCTGTCTTTTCGACGTTTGCCTGTGACTGCATCGTTGGTACGTTAGCATCGAATGCTAATTTTTGTCCAGTTACACGCTTACTGCATCAAAAGCAGCATGATAATTGACTTACGCTTCGCTGTCGCTTCGACTTCTCTTGCCCCTCCGTGTGACTGTTTCCTCTCCATCGGACTTTGTATCTTCCTTGCTCTCCTCAATCGCACGCCGAAGCTGCTCCTCTTCATCATATGCAGCATCACGGCTGTTCATGGTGGAGCGCCGTTTCACATTATTCGGGTCATTTTGTCGAGACTTGGAATCCTTCCCACGTCTAGAAGTATCTTGAGAGGATGCTCGAGAGGAAGGAGCGGGGGATGAGACTGGAGCGACAGGGAGGTACGAAGATGAGTATTGCCTACAGAATTGGAAGAAAGATCAGCATTTTTCAACTTGTACATGGAGAACAGCGAGCGTAGAAAAGCCAGTAGTCGACCTGGTGCTGAGGAAGACTGTGGGAGAGTTCTCCTCGCGGTCATTCCTCCAGTGGGGACAAGACCGCGAAGGTCCGGGAAGCAAATTTCAAAATTCACCCAAAGAAGGTAGCAGGAAGAAATTGATCCCCCCAAGAAACCGGGGGATACTAGAGAAATAATTTGGATGACTTACCCGTTTGGTTCGCTCCGAATTCTGTGGAGGTCCTTTCGACACTCCTCACAAAAATATTCATCAGGGCTCATGGCCTCGTCCATGATTCCGACACAACCACCATGTTGCCAAACCTTACAGGAGTCACATTGAATAAACATACTCCCAACATCGTCGGATAATAGGTCCGATGAGTCCAAGTTCAATGCAGCTTCGTCCTTGACACCACCCGCAGGCAAACCACTGCGACCGACAGCCTCCCGACGAGAGGGTGGCAGGCCTGGGTATTCCTGCTGTCCGCAAAGACATCGGGTGATTTCCTCCTCTTCTTCTTCATCTTCCCCGTCCTCTTCTTCGTCTTCTCCTTCACCTTGTTTCATTGTTGGGTCCTGGTCGTCTTCCCCTCGGGCGCGACGTTGCCGCGTATGTGGGAAGTCATTTTTTGAGCCACCATCCGCATCATCGATGGACTGGGAACGTTGGGTCGAAGATCTCTGAGGGGAAGAAATCTTATGATTCGATCGAGTATTTCTCTCACCTCGATTTAGCGAGGTTGACGAGCTAGAGGAGTTGGTGTGCTGAAGAATGGCCGGCGAGGGCTGGGAGGTGCGGGCACGGGAGGAGCGACGAGGCGTCATGATTGAGATCGGAGGTTATACTGGAGGTAATAATAGAAAAAATTTTCTTTTCTGAAATCAAACAGTAGAATGTCGTCACAAGTAAAGATAGAAAGCAAAAAAGCAGGCGAGCAGAAACTGCCCGTGGGCGAGCTGTCGCAGAGAGAGAGCTAGGATTCGAACAAGCGACTCGTACAAAAGGATCGCAGGCAAGAGAAAAGAGAGCTAAGCAATTGGGATGAAAGAGCAGAAAGATCCAAAAACAGAGTCTGCGAGCCCGTACCAGAGCCGAGGACTACATAGTCTGAAGTTTTTGGAGGAGCGACATGAGAGGAGCGGGGAGCAAAAAGAGGAGAGGAAGAAAGCGAGCGAGAGGCCGGCGAGGGCGAAAGACGGAACGGGCCTCCTTCGCGGATTTCTTTCTCGTTGCGGCCACAGTGAGAAGAGTCGGCCGCTTTTTTCCCCGCTCAACGCTCGTCATAATCATGGCTCTCGACGAGAAGGAAAGAAGACTGCTTTTTGAGGTGATGCTATTGCAGAGTGTTTTAATCTGGTTTCATCTCTACGTGGACTGTTCAATCCGTGCTTACCTGGACCAGCTTTTTCTCTAGGTGAATGATGGCATCGCCAATTATTGAATCATCCTCACCCCGCTTCCCAACGCGTCCGCGAAGATCCCTCATCGCCCTATGCTCGCGCGACTGACCGTGTTTCTTTCTTCCCCTCTCTTCTCCTACTTCTTGCTCTGTTATACTGCTGTCAGACTCTCGGGTCTCACCTCTTTGATCGTCATCTTGCGTTCTGCTTGGTTCGAGTTGATTGCTGTAAAGAGTATGGAGGCTGATATGAAACCGTCGCAGATGATATCATCCCCAGCTAAACCTCTATACCCAACTTTGCGATACTCTATCGGTAGAGCTTAGGTGATGATTTATTACAACTCATTGTCATGAAGGAACCCGGTCAAGCGCTCATTTATAATTGACAGTCGCCTACTGGAGGAAGAATGAATGACATAAAAGAACTAGCGTTGGATAATGGAGCACAATTCCTTCATTAGTTTGAAGTTCAAGAATATATATCATGGTGAAAGCAAGTTCTTTGCTTGCTCAATTTGCCGCTAGGAACAGATGTACACACTCTCAACAACTGCTGAGTGCGCACTGCGTGCCAGTTGGCGTACGAGAAAAGGGAGCCTCGTACACGTGCACCCATGCTGGCCGTGCTTTGGTACTGTTGATATACTACATCACGTATGCGTGGAAACCTCTGGATGATCAGCGCAAGGTGAACAGGTGCCTTGGTGCTTCGAGTCCTAGGCCTGCAGGGGACCTGATGGCTATTCTCGGAAAGACCTTTGCCCAAATTCCCCAGCACTAAGGTACTTATACACGACGGCCTGTATATCTCCACCATAGACAAAACATGGCTTCTGATAGCTCCTGGATAGTAATAATTCACAAACCCATCTGCATGCAATGAAGGCATTATTATATCACCGACCACTGTTGCTCCTCGGCAACAAATCGGCAGGGGGCCACAATGGGGGGGATTTCCGAAAGAGGACTAGCGGCCTGCTCCAACGAATCCGCAGTTCAACGCCGTCCAACACTGGCGATGATGATTATTATTATTCCACCCCCTCCACATTCTATCATCATCCTCCTTTCTCTTCCCACTCCACATTCCCCTTCTCAAAGCCTCAAGCTTGTCCGTTCCTTATTGTTGGTCTTCACCTGTGCCTCCGCCAGGGAGCGGTGATCTGGATTTATCATCTGCTTCCTACGCCGGGATTCCTCAAGAGTTTACGTGGGTGCTGATTAATTCTTGACTGTGTAAGTACCTGGCTCTTTTTCTTCTCGTCTACGGAGCTTCTCCGACTGTTCCATCTGCGGAGGAAGATGCGGTAAATTGTTGGGACCTGCTTTTGTTCCATCCAATTTATGATCTTCCGTGTTCTCCGAATTGCCAACGTTGACCACATGGCACACTCACTGACTGTGGGTGCGATACAGTTTTGTCTAGGATCACCCCCGTATTTATACGCCCACTCCTTGCCAGAAATACGGGATATAAAGGAAGGAGACATCTCGTATTCTGATAGGAGGAGACATCAAAAGGATAAAAAAGAAAGAAAAGAATACTGCGGGGCTGGGGCTCACAGACAAAACAGCGTTTGGCTGTTGCTGTGGCGTCTGAGACGGTTGACAATTTACACACTATGACTGCTACGTTGAGTATGTCCTTTTCATCAAGGGTGGATACTGCTCCGGAGGACATATTGCCTGGTATGGGTTCACAGAAGCTGGATAGGAAACTCCAGAGGAGAGTCTGCTGGTTGCTCAGTTGCTGATACTGTTCACCTGCAGATGGGACGTATAACTCGGCCCCTGATACACCATCTCCAGTCTACCCAGATAGATTGATTCGGCCCCTTCCCAAACGCACCCTTCGTTCCCGCCTGTCCTCCGATGCCGCCGAGTCCATTTTCTACCCTCCGTCTCCCGCAGCGACCCAACTGTTTTACGGATCCTGTGTGGATAACGGGGAGGTGGTGAATGATTCCAAGGTCTACGTGCAGCAGAATCTGGATACCGAGAGCCATGATGAAACCTTAGAGCGCGATCCCCACCATTCGTATGACAACGAAGTGGAGTATGAGAGCGGTGATGAGGATGGCCCCGTAGTTGTTCGTCGGAGTGCCGGTTTCCGCGGCTCGTCCCTGTCTCCTTCTGCTTCCAGCACACAACCCCACGGCCCCTCTGTCAACGCGGAAGGAACCCAGATCAAACCATCTTCGGCAGGTCCCGATGGGTATGACGCCTTTGAAAATACAAACAACAAGAAGAAACGTAAAATCCCAACACCTGGCAGTTTGAGTGGTCACCCCTCCACGCTTTCTCCTGAATTTTCGAATATGGGACTGGCGAGTTCTACCCCCGCTCCTTCATCAGGTGCCGGTGATGGCAATAATGCCGGGACCTACTATGGCACTGGGAATCCGGCATCCCCTGTGGGCAATGGAATTTCCGGCGCTGGTAGAGGCCGACTTGGGCGCCATGTGGCACGCAGTAGCAGTGGAAGGATCCCGCTTTCTGTTCAAACCCAGAGTGCATGGACAAATGCTCGAACGTCAAATCGTCACGATGGGTTATTGTCTTCACCAGGACCGACAGGTATACTTAATAAATCTACCCCGCTTCCTTCAAGAATATTCACTCACGGTGTTTGTAGGTGACTTCGCTGGAAAACCTGACCAAGGTATTATATCTGCTGCCATAGCGAACGCAGCGGCATTTTCGTCTCCTCCCCGAGGCCCAGGAAACGTCAGCTTGCTCGAGCAGCAGGCCACCACACCTACCAAGACCCAGTTTACTTTTACGTGCGAATCGGATTCGTCCAAAGGAATGGCGCTGCAAGCACAAGCCCCCTACTCTATCCCACACCGCTCGCCCACGTCGCCTTTATCCGGCGCAACACAACATCCGCGGGGCATGCCTACGCAGGGGACACAGACAAGTCCAAGCATGGCTGCACGGATGAACCAGCAAGGGCACACTGAGCAGCCGCAAGGGCCGGGTACCGAACCGATTAGCACGGGCAGGAAGAAAAAACGGTCCCCTGGCAGCCTTTATGCGCTGGCTGCACGTCAACGCAAGATTCAACAGCAATATTCCAACCTCCACCACCCTCCTAGTATGGAAGATATTTGGATTTGTGAATTCTGCGAGTATGAAAGCATCTTTGGGCGTCCACCCGAGGCGCTTATCAGACAGTACGAAATCAAAGATCGCAAAGAGCGGAAGCGATTGGCAGAGAAGAAGAGACTTCTTGAGAAGGCAAAAATGAAGGGTCGCAAGGGCAAGAAGGCGACCAAGAACGCAAACAAGAACACTGCGGCTCCCCAGGGTGGATATCAACATGGGCACCATCGAGCATCAGTTGACCATTCATCTGCGGGTGGATCCGGAGCACACGAGGATGACGAATTGGGTAACGACTACGAGGAGGAATCCATTCCTGAACCTTCTTCTGGGGCGCTGGCATCCTTTAAAACCCCTCTTCCACCTGGGAATCAACCCAAAATATCAGCGAACACATCCAATAGCAAAAATGCAATAGACGCGGAAAAGAATCGACCACCCTGACAATTGGGTTGAACGGCTCGCAGGGCGCGTGGGTAACATCAGGTGGCAGGCATGATTTGGCAGTCTTGCTAAAACATGAAGACGCCGTCGAAGTGTGACCGGACCACCTCGTCCTGTTGGATGGGGCCGTTCCTTCTTCCCTTTGTCTATTGTTTTGTTCCTGTTCCGAGTCATGATTCTGTTTGTTTTCTTGGTCAGAGTAATTTAGCCTTTGTTTTGGTTGTTTTTTTGTTTTTTCTATTCTTGTCTTTTCTGCAAATTCTGTTGCATAATGAAATCGCCTCTCCACTATCAACGCATTGACGAGCATCACGTCAGCATCATAACGCATTGAATTTTGTTCGGGATGGGCAAATGTCTCTTATTCCTTTAATAATTAGGGTCGCGTCGGAGGGTCAAATTGGAGTGATCGGGGTATGCATATCATGAAGACAAAATGACGGTTTGGAAATCATGGATGTTATGCAGAAATGCTCGAGTTGGATTGTTTATTTCTGAGAAGGCAGAGGATGGAGATTGCATCAAGCATGAGTCTGTGTGGAGTTACCGAAGACAGTTGAACAGTGTGGATAATACATCGCATGAAGACGGTTGTTGAGACTTGAGTCTGACCTTGTAGGGATCTGATGCTGAGGATCGACAGTAAGCGTGAAGGATTGGTTCCAGGATGAAGAACCATTTTAGACCATCGCGGCCAGTCATTCTGCAACGGCGCCTCGCCGGCTATATTTACAGCGCCAATCCGAACAACCCAATCTGGAACTGTCTAGTTTTGCGTTCATTGTCCTTTAAAATAGCTGCCTATTTTTGCAGACAGTCTAATAACTGTGGGCAATGGATAGAATTGTCCCTGGCATGAAACGTCCAGGCCAGTCTTGTTAGCGCGCGCGAAGAAAAGAGCTTCCCCTGGCATTTCTTCCGCAAAAGCTGTTTCATCTGGCATTCGCAAGCTGGACTTTCTGGCTGAGACGAGCTGAAGCTGTGGATATCGTGTAATAGGATGGAGAACCAGGGCGGCATGAATCCATCTTTAGATGTTGAAAGAGTAGCTATACAAAATATATAAAGCATTGATGGCTGGTAATTGCTACAATCATTCATTCAGCATCTTTTCTTTGTTCAGCTTCATCTTCACTTTCAATCGTCTTTCTTTTTCTTTCTATCTTCCTTTGTCTGTTTCGTCTTTGTGGCATCTTTCATTCACTGAACTTGCCAGACTCAACTTCACTTCACTTTACTAGATATAGGGCTGTAGTGCTGTGCACCGTCCTCATCTCTCATTGATATACATTTGATTACTTCTACTTGTTTAAACACACCACATACACAAAATTAATCCATGTGGTTCCTCGTCCTCCGAATCTTCAAACTCGGCCTCTCCCAAGCCAAAAAACACAAAACCAACAAAAACCAAGCCAACCAACAACCTCAACCTCAACCAGAACCGGAATCCAACATGCGCCTCCCATCCTCCTACTTCACCTCCTCCAACGCCCGCAACCCGCTCAAAACCCTCCTCGAAACCCTCTTCCGCTTCTTCCAATTCATCCTCGGCCTGACCATCATCGGCCTCTACGCCCAAGACATTCACACAGGGTCTGACGCGCCCTCGCCAGACGCAAAATGGGTCTACGCCGTCGTCACGGCCTTCCTCGCCACGCTCTCAGCCCTGGTTTACCTAATCCTACCTTTCATCTTGAAGGATAGGCCGCTGGCTACGCGGAAAGTCACGCACCTCCCGCTGTTTCTCTGGGAGTGTGTGTTGTGTATCCTGCTGTTGACGCTGTTTGGGCTATTTGGGAAAATGTATATTGGGGAGCATGAGGGGGGAAGTCAGACGACGCGGATGAGGCATGCGGTTTGGGTGGATTTGATTACGTTGGTACTTTGGGTTGGGACGGGGTTTTGGGCGGGGTTGAGGTGGTGGAGGGGGGAGCAGGATGGGAAGGATGAGGAGACTAAGGAAGTTGATGCTGAGAAGGGGGATGCTTGATTGATTTTTGGTCGTGATGATGATGGATGATAAAATATGGGGCGGATGATGGAGGAGGATGATTATGTACCACCAGGTGTGGGATTGGCATGGGATATGAAAATGGCTGTACTGTTATTGAGATGTTTTTATTTCTGATTATCTGTTTAATAATGCACGGGAAGAATGGCTCATTTGGGGTAGTGAATTGTTTCATAAATCGTAATAACTAACTGCATGCAGCAGTATGTCAATCTACCTATCCTATCCGCTGACACCAATCTAACACCGTATCCAACGGCCGATCAAGTAAATCAAGCAGAAATAATAAAAATTACCGTAAGTCTCGTAGCCCTAAAACAAACAGCCAACATGCAAGAATCCATCCAGGTACAATGCCAGTCAAAGAGGAAGAAAGAATGAGAAAGAGAAAGAGAAGAAAGCCCGAAATCGTTTACTCATCAGTTACCATCGTATGTCCGCAACTGAGAGTCTTGGTGCTGCTTCGGCTTTGCTCGATCAGCAGACTCAGCTGGCTCCGAGGCCGTGGTATCGACATGGTTGGTGTTTGGAAGGGTGACAAACCCGATGTTCCGGGGGTGACTGGTGTAGGAAGGCCTCCGGGATTCTGGTCATTGCTGAAATCGTTACACGAGATAGCAGGCACGGTAGAGCTAGCTGGTGGTGTCAATCCGTCACCACTGTAGTAGGGCGGAGACGAATAGGTCCCGTTGGTTTCCGTGCCAGACTGGTTGTATGGGTTCATGGAGTTAAAATACGAGGCCGCAGAAAGCTGTTCTTGGCGAACTTTTTCTGCAAATCGGGTTCGAAAGTCCTTCTCCACTAGCGACTGTGATGACGGTTGGAATGATGCCGGCGAAAGACCCGTTAGATCTCGACGGGCTGGTGTGCAGTATCCACTGGATGATTTCACTTTTGAAGGCGGTATGTTCTGGGTACTGAGAAGCAGCTTTAAGCTGGAGACAAAAGAAGAAGGCAATGCGCCTGGCTTTACGTTTAACGCAGGATTGGGAAGTGGAAGGTCTTTGGAGATTAGCAAAATCTCTCGGTGGGTAGGTAGATAGTGCCTTACCGTCTGCCCACTGCCACTTCGATTCATCCTCTTTATCATCTTCATCCTTTTCAGATCCCTTTTCAGGTTTAAGCTCATTCTCCGACGGGGGCTCCGCTGGCTTGGGATGCGGGCTTTGTGCGCGGGTAAAATTCGTCCCCGATGACGGCTGTGACGACTTGCGCCGGACGAGACCCGGTCTGCGCTTTGCGCCTTTTCCTGGTTTACTCGCCACAAAGTACGTCTTCTTGGAGTTTTGCCGGTTGGTCATATCACCTGTTGACGAGTTGGGGGTGACGGGAGTTGGAGGGTTGGATGGTTTGCGTGTGGCGTTCTGACCACCTAGGTCTGTGATAAGTAACCTAGTTTTCTTTTGCGACTCTCCCTGTGCTGGGTTTCCTTGGACTGCGCTTGGCTTCTTTAGAATAGGAGGTAAAGGCGATCGACTTGTCCCGCTTCCACTCATCGACCGTCCTGACTCTTTATTTTCAATCTGCTTCTTGGAGGACTCATGCATCTAGTTCGAGTCAGTAGGACGTCAAAGTTCAGAACGAGTACAACCCACCTTGATCAACTTCTTCAACGAAGCCAAAGACGACGGACCAGGCTGGGAGACATGCGAAAACAACTGCGCCAGCGTCGACCCCCGAATCGTATCCAAGATCCGCTTACTGCCCCATATCCTCCAAAAGAGATTCTCGAGTCTGTATCCCACATTGTCTTCAAGTACTCTGGGGTTGGTATGATACACTGGCCCGCAGACAAGCGAGAGGTCAGCGCCAAGATAGCAGCATTAATTTTTTCGTCCTTCCAAAAAAGTAGTAGCAGGTACCTTTCCATAACTTCAAAATGTCTTCCACACGGACTAGATTCGGGTCATTGAGTTCCGAGGACAGCTTTCCTGTTGTGGTCACCAGGCCTTCGGGGAGACCCTCCATGCTGGCTGTAATCGTCTCAGATAACTAGGTAAACGAGATGGATATGAAATGCTGAATGAATAGTCGTATCCACAGCTACATCATCAGAAACATAGACATGGTAGCGTGGTCTAGCAGGGGGTATCGTATTTGAGATGAAGAAAGAGAGGCGGGAGAAGAGGAAGAAGAGAAGAAGACGAAGAGAGGAAAACACAAAAGGGTCAGACTCAAACTGGACTTGCAACGCCCACAAAAACCCACGACAAGCTGGCAGTCATCGATGCTGGCTTAGTCTAATTTTTTTTTTTCTCTTTGGATCTGGCGGTGAATTTTAGGGTGGGTTGACAACAGAGCAAAACAAAACGAAGAAAAAAAAAAGCTGAGCCGGATTTCAGTCGTCGATGGAAATAATGCAGGGGGTGGGGACAAAGTGTCAGTGCTTTGGAGGAAATCGAAGGAGATCGAAAGAGAAGAAGAAGAAGAAGCTCTTTTCGATTCCCCCTTGAGGCAGCAGGAGAGGCTTCAAATACCGAAACACGATTACTACAACAGAAGGGGAAGGTCACACAGATAGAGTAATGCTAGGTAGAAAGAAAGTCGCCTGGAATCGACATTTAGATTTATTACAGAAGGGAATGCAGGATTAGCCGCAAAGCCGGGGAAGAAAAGAGCGAGAAAAGCACTAGAAAAAGAGAAAGAGAGAGGGGCAAAAAAAAGAAAAGAAGAGAAGAGAAACAGACACGATGTCTGCCTGACTGGGGTTAGCACCGGCGATTGCCGAACAGCTGCAGAATCAAATGAAAAAGAATCGGAAAATAAAAGAGAAAAAAGAGTTGCCTCTTGAACGGATCAAGATGAACAAAGAACGGCATCATTGCCTTTCGGGGATTCGGAGCCGTTGGGGATGATAAGCATCCTCATCATCCGCTGTATAGAAGACAGATGGAAGATGACTCTCACCGCATGAAGGCCCGTCGCAGTCAGCAATTAAGGCAAAACGTGGGGCGAAAACAGCGTCAAGTGACCGGATATTCAATAATAGGAGGCATTAAGAAACACCAAAAACCAGCCGATCGGATCAATCCCGAGCCTCATTCTGGCTGCTTGCAGAGATCTGTCAATAGTAGACTGACTATAGTCTGATCCTGGACCCTGTGCTACAATACGAACTCTGCTAACGGCTAGAGAAACGCCTGGAATGTGACTATTATATATGGATGGCTTCTTTTTCTCGGAAGGATGAAACATGGCATTCTGATGAAGCTACAGTATCATCGCCTTCTACCCCACACTTTATCCCACAGTATCCCCAACTGGAATGCAAGGGTGGAACTTGACGATGGAAAAAATGGCGGGGTTGCAGTGTTACACTCTACACCACATGTGCATTCTCTACTCTTATATAGCTATCTGCATGAAGCTCAACAAAAATGCTGGAGATGAGATGATCTTATTCAACCAGATCAGGTGCGTCTGCAGTCAGTCCGGGGTATGATGGAGAAAAAGCAATCATACCGTCTTTACCATTAGCCGCCACTTCCTGCGAATATTCACCGACTGTCGGGTCACCACTATAACTGTTCTACAGCACTCTCATGGATACTACTAGTTAGTTATGAGTTATAGTGAATAATGAAATGTTTGTTGATCTTGTCAGTAGCTCATATGAATGACATTATGCCATGAGCCCATCCGACACAAATAATCATGTCTATCGCTTGCAATCAATGGCTATTTTTCTTGTACTCCATAGAAAATAGAAAACCCTTCACGCTCAAAAAGAAATATATTCCCTGCGAGATACCCCTGTCCGAGGAGAAATCTCGAAAATCATCGTAACGCATGGTTTCGTCAGATCACACATCAATATGATGTAAACATCCAGTCCACCGGGTCACATCATGGGGTATTATGTCAATGGACCTCTCGTAACCCAGAAAGAGTCCAATGCTTCTGTAAAATAAAACAATCCGATCTATATCGCAGCCCATAAACAATCCCGTACATCATGCCGTAGATTAAGTAAAGAAAAACCACATGTCCAGATAGGTTTGGCTTAGGTCAGGGTGTAGCCACCGTCGACACGGAGTTCCGCACCGGTCATGTACTTGGAGGCATCACTGAGCAGGAAGGTAACGGCCCCCATCAGATCCTCTGGTGTACCCATCTTCCCGACGGGAATAAGCGAGATCCACTTGTCTCTCAGTTCGGGGTTCTCGTCCAGAATCTTGCGGGTCCTGGATAAAAGTGGGCTGTTAGTATACTCCACCGACCGACATGACGGTTGGGTCCACTCACAAAGCTGTCAACATGTATCCGGGGCTGATCACATTCACACGAATATCGTAGCCGGCCCATTCGACGGCGAGGGACGAAGCCAGATGGCGGACAGCTGCTTTGGCTGCATTGTAAGGAGCCTGGGGCTGGGGAACGTTGACAATGGCACCAGACATGCTACCGATCATCACCATGCTTCCTGGGGCTTTACGCTCCATCAAGTGCTTGGCAACAGCAGTCGAAAACAAGTATGTACCATCAACAACTACACCCCACAGCTTCTGCATGCGATCATGGGGGTATGAAATGGCGTCAAAGTTCTCGGTGAAACCGGCCGACGTGACCAAGTGATCAATCTTGCCGTGCTTGCTGATGATCTCCGCAATCGATTCGTTCACCGAGTCAGGGCTAGCCACATCGGCATAGTGAGCGGTAACGTTAGGCAGCCTGAAGGTGAATTAGCTTTATCATCCGAGTTATGTTCAATGAACATACTGTTCCAAGCCCGGGTTCTCCTTTTGGAATTGCTCGACAAGCTTCTGTGCCTGTTCCTCAGCTTCCTGACCTACAATGCATCAGTAAAAAAAAATAGCTTTGAATAAATCCACATACGATTCAAATCAACAATGGCAATATCAGAACCAGAAGCAACCAAAGCCTGGGCCATAACCAGACCCAAACCACGGGCACCCCCAGTAATCACGCTAACCTTATTCTCCAGCGAGAACTGAGCCAGGGTTCGCTTAAAGTGTACACCTCCACGGCCCTGGACAATCGGACTGCGAGGCATGTGGGCATCATCGGGGTATTCAATCTTCACGTTCTCGTCGGTACGAGCGAAACGACCTTCCTGGTCGCCTGCAGCACCTTCAGGAGCCTTGGTGGTGGCAGAGAGAAGAGGGTCATTCTTGATGATTTCATCTTCGTCGTCGGTTTTGAAACGAGGAGCGGTGTGTGAAAGGGGACGGGAGAAGAAGGTACTGGTCACAGCTGGTCGGGAGGAACCCAACGCAGCAGGGCGGGAGCTCTGATTGAAAGCCTTGAAGGCCTGGCGAGCGATTGTAGGTCTGAACATGGTGATGGGACAGCTGAAAGAGCTGTGGAATTGGGATGAGATTCGTGTGTATGAATCTTGGAGAGGGGGTGGTAGAGTGAGGAAAAGGGAAAACAGGAGACGGAGGTGTATATGTAGCAGGGGAGGGGAGAAAATGAAAGACGAAGGAAAAGAAGGTGAATGAAAACCTTGTTGCTTTTTTTCGTCGGCTAAGAGAGCTTCACCAGTGAATAAGGACAGTCCAACACAGGCGGCCAAAACGAGAATAAAAATAAAAAAGAGGGACGCAGGAGAGAGCTGGGGAATGCAGGAGGAGGGCTGCAATTGCGGAGGGATCTGCCACTCCACCAGTCAGCCCAGGAGACGGTGTGCAATTCTATTCTCTTCTTACAGAGTGTTCTAAGTTTATTCTTTCTTTCCATCTTTCAAAAATAAAGCATCACCATCCAAATAGCTACTAAATCCCCTAACAGTGATGTCAGGCGGACTCTTTCTGGCCAGACCCAACATGCAGCGATCGCACCAGGATCTGCCCTTCCGTGGATCCAGCATCGCCTCCCACGGACTGGGGTTTGTTTTGCCTCCCGCGTGACCTCGATTTCTCCTTATTGTGTTTCTATTTCTGCTTTATTTGTTGTCCACATCACCGACTATTATTGACATTATTGATGAGCATTGACGGCTCTTTGACTACCTAGCCGCATATAGAATGTGAGGAGGCGAAATTGATGCCGAAACAGCCACTCCCATGCTGCTGCTTGACCGCCCCGATTTGCTGTCTGTTCGCTGAGTAGACAGATGCATCAGACTCCTCTAGCACGTTGTTACGTATCCTCATAGGATAGGCGATTACCAGGAGTGAGTGGCAAATGCAGAACGAAAGAGGCAATTCCAGAACAATCTCCACCAGGCCATCTCTGAATATTGATTGATTGATTGATTGGTGTCTGACCACCGGCCAAAGTACCGCCATGGATTGGCTTTCGGCTGTTTGGCTGGGCATCCCGCCAGTCTGCAGGGATGCATGCAAGCAGAGGCATAAGCTTGTTGCTTTCGACCGGGGTTGATAGGCGCTAAAAGGTTAACAGATAACAGCTTGATCTTGGTGGATATCACTTCAGCTATCTAATTATTGAGAATCAGGCTCGTATATTGCTCCAACACGGTAGAACTCCTGACAGCCCACATATATCCCAACTAGCCTCGACTTGCTCGGGGGTGTGTATACCCGGTCTCCTATTGAGAGCGGCTGGTAGCTTTCTGCGGACGTCTCATCCTTACACCATAAATTTCGCCAGTCGTATCCGGTGGTAGTGGCCGGTCTATGGGGCGAACTGATGAACAGTTTAAGTTTCTTGTACTGAGACAGCTCATTCACTTCAACCTCGAACTCGATTTCCATAAGCCTGCGGTCTGTTGCCACAACCGACAATCCAACAATCCGATCTTCCCGCTCAAAATGAACTGTCTGACATGTCTCGGTGTCGAAATCACCCACCCTCGCTCTTGTACCAGATGTATAGACGAACGCAAGTCCGATAATCGCCCCGTCTCGGAAGTAAGCCTCGGCTGTGACTATCGTCTCTCTGCAGCCGTCATCATCCTGCCTTTCAAAGTAAATATTTTGTAGCTGGTCAAAAGGAGGCTCTTGTTCCGGGACCAATATCCGAGCTCTCCGGTTTTGTTTCGTAGAAACGACTGCCCGGATGCGATCAGATAGTGAAGTCAATATCCAGGAGATAGCTGTCAGTTTCTCGTCAGAGTCACTCTGGTACTGGTCGTGCAGCTTTCGCGGCGGAAGGGAGTGAGACTCCGGAGAGCGAGATGTCACATTACGAGCAAGTGTCGTCTCAATGTGTATGGCTGCGACTTGACCTATTTCCATTCCCCGGCACTCAGTAGAGAAGCCCGTTGGAGTGAGCCAGATAGTCAACGATCTGACTTCCTCGTCTGGGGATAGTTCAAGCCACCATCAAGTTCATTCATCCATTGTCCCACTATACTGGAACTTGGATGGCTATGATACTCGAGCTTCAAACCGGTTATGCGATTAGGAGATCTGGATCGGCCAGGCATGCCCGTGGATGCCTAGGTCTTCCGCACGTTCTTCAGTGATGCATAAGTTTGATAGTTACCGGGATTTAAACTGTCTATGAAATGAGAGAATCTTTCGGCGTATCGCAGCTGATCTTCGGATGTTTGATGACATTCAAAATCCAGGGTATCCGGTGTCATAGGCTGTTCGTCACATTGTTGGGACTGAATACTGAGTCGGATGAAGCGTTTTCGGTATGTCTGGACGGTCAGCTACCTTCTGGATCTTCTGGTATTGTTGCTGGGCGGCGAAATTGGTATTGTCTGAACCGCTGCGTTGAGTCGAAGGCAAAAAGGAGCGAAAGTGGCAGTTCGTCCGTAGTTTGTTGAGATCTAAGTCAATATTAGCATTGCACACTTAGAGAATGCGTAGAAAAGACCTGCAAGCCAGCGAGACCGATATATGCGTAGTATCTCCTATTGCCTTCTAGAGCATCTATTCGGTTGATACGCTCCCCTTTCGAGCCGTCGATAGAAAAGGATATCTCGCAGCCACCATTAGAGCCGAAAAGAACAGTCCTCCCATCAGAGTAGGATGTCTCTATTCCGACGAGTGGGTAAGGATATGATGCCATGTGGAACACAAGCCTTGTCAAAGACCCAAGAAGCAGACCCCTTGGACCACCGAAGTCAATATTAATCAGTGGTTCAAAAGCCCAGTCAGACAGAGATGGTAGGAGGGTGCTTATTCTCAAATCTTCGTACCCTGGGGCATACGGTGTCCATAATTTGAACTGTACACACGAGAGATCCATTGCGCCCTGAGAGGAAAGCTTCAGAGAAGCGTCAGGGTGATCGGGCAATTTGCCCAGGCCGAGTGAGACGATCTTGAATCGATCTAAACCTGCAAGCAGGTAATACCAATTTAACCTCCCCGGAACATTAAGGGTTCCTTGAGCAATACCTGGGCTACTACTATCACCAACCCAGTCCGATGAATCCGAATTTGTGAATTTAAACCTGATCCCCGTCAGCCCTTCCGAGCAAAATGCCACAGAAAGAGATTTCACGTGGGAGGTGGATGATATCTCTATCCATCTCTCGGAAGCTATATTGTGATACCCAGGTGTCTTCAAGAGATGAACGTGGATGCTGGTCATCATTGGGTTGAGCAAGTTGAGCACCATTTTCGCCCTTTTCATAGCGAAACGTCATGTGCCTGGTGGATGTCAGAAGCATGCTGTTCCAATTCCTTTGCGGAAGGAATCGTACAGGGGTCAGCGTAGAAGAGTGAGCTCGGATCCATCTTTGGCCGCCCGATCGATTTGTGTGTTTGCGCGGCGCCCTCATAGTCGTGGCCAAAATGGAAACTGGAGTATTCAAGACAAGGTGTGCAATAGAGCTGGTAGAAGACCGATTCTACAATGGCGATATTATCCTGCCCATGACTGAGCCTGAGGAGAAGCAATCTCCAGCACGAGCTATGAAAGCCAAAGCCCCAACGGCTTTCAAATGGTTCACACAGCCTCCATGCTTCTAGTTCCCCAATCCCCACGTCGGAATAGGGTAGATCACTGTCAAGCGGCGCGTATAGAATGTTCCGGCAGCGTACTATTCCTAGCCCAGTTATGTTGATATCGCCAACAGCTGGGTTGGTTGAGTAGATGCCACGTACTTCTGCGTACCAGGGCGAATGCGAGTCTGGAAAGATACTGAATCATCATCACGATGGCGATCAGGTAGTAGTATTACACCACAGAAAGGACAGTAAACGTTAGAAGGCATCACATTGAGATGTCGTACGTTCTGTATCCTTGGTCAGTGGACTATAAGAATAGCCTGGTGCTCGAGTAATTTTTAAGGAAAGTTCCAGAATAATTCCCTGAGTTGATTGCCAATAATGGGTGCCGCTGCGGAAGTCGGTGTTGTCTTTTGGTCCTGATTGCCAGATTTCCTAGGCAGCAAGGCCTCGCTAGCCCTGGTGAGAAACTATTATTTACGATCCCCCACCTGTTCGATATCGCCAATACCATGGCCACCTATACACCATCATTGAGGCAGAACCTCAGCTTCCTCAACACACTGCAGTTGGTAAAGCCAGAGAGCCTGGAAGACACGGTCCAACCTGTCTGGCAGGGGATAGTCCTCGAGTGGTTCCTTGGCCGTGATGGCTACAAGTGGGACTTCAAAGCTTCCACGGTCGCCAACAATAACATGCTTAATGTCACTGTCATCCAAGTTACGGCACTAGCTCAGAATCCTCTACAAGTACAATCAACCGAGTGGACCGAACGTCAAATCTTACTAGTCCAATGCAAGCGCCCATCCAGCGATAGGGACGATACCATCACGAGCCAGTTCAAGGACGATCTCTCACAAACTTTGAATTCTTCCGAAAGACTGTTTGAAGCAGTTGCTATAGGCAAGAAAGTGAGGTTCTACCGATTCGATGGACGAGCAGCAAACAATCAAAACTTGGTTCAACTTCATCAGGGAACTTTCGATATGGACAACCCAAATGGTATTGTTCAGGTCGAAAATATGATGAACTATGTCAAGGCAAATGGATGGCAATGGGCTAGCTCCTAGATCTAGTGTTTTCAGGGTGATGCATAATCGCTTATATATTGTGTTTGACTATAGTTATATTGATTTACGATATCTCGGTCTATAATCTATATACCCTACCTCTAGGTCCTGGAAAGATTCTTTGACAAAATGAGAAATACAGAAGTAACACCCTGTGCATGTTGCAGTGTGCACAGTCTGTTCCTTCCAAATTCTGAAATGAATTAATTGTGATCCCACAAAAAAAGGTATAAACATGGCCACGATTTCGACCTATGACAGTCCAGCAGCAAAAGCTGACTGAAGAAGTGGGACCTTCCCTCCATTGGATTAGGTTGACTGCTCCATCCCGTGCGCTAATGAGCGCCCGGGGTGTGGGGCATGGATCTGCCACCCAAAACTCACCTTCTGACCTTCTGGCAAGAGTTCCGCTTAAATCGGTATTTCCTTCTGCTTTATCTCATGTTAAAAATAAAAGTTTCTAAAGAAGCTGGTCGAATCTGATTTTCTGGGTCTATTTTTTTTGCGTTTCAAGCCGCTGTTTACCACTGACAGATATGGTGGGCCTTGCTGTCAGATCAAGCACCTAGATCTACGACTGTTTGTACTCCGCGATAGTCCATACAGCATAATTATGTAAGTACAATACAGAGTAATGCGCCTTTCCCAGGGCACTGCCATCTTCTCGGTAGCATTTAAATAACTGCAGAAAAATAAAAGCCAATCGGTATGTAAATGAGTTTCCAGCCCTTGCATGACTTCGATATATGCTCCATGATTACTTTTATATTCGCCTCGCTATCAAGGGAATTCCATTCTGCAACTCTCTCCGATGCGTCCCTGGAAGATCCCCTTTCCCCCATATTTTCAGGATTTACTATGCAGGTTAGAAACCTCCGCGCATCCCGCCCCCTATTTCCACCCCTATAGGTCCTCAGTTCTCACCGCTCTCTCCCGCAAATTCGACAAGCGGTGTTCCGCTCTTGCATTGGTCCTGCAGGGCACACGTTAGTCATCATTCATCGCCTGGAATGGTGTTTGGGGATTGCCAAAGACGAAGCGAGCCCGTATGGAAGCTTGACACCCAGGGACCGTGCTTTCAGCAGAACCAGGAACGTATGTGATTCCTGCCTGATCAGACAGTTCTGTGGACTGGGTCATTTGAAAGCAGTTCTGGTCCCTGGACCCAATCATTGTCGCCTCGCAAGCCACCAGACTGAGCTCAACTCCTCTTATTTTCAATAGGTCGATTTATCAATGGATAGATGGGCAATAGCAAATGTTCAAGGGCTTTGGTGTTGCAATAAAAGGGGCCGCGTGACTTACTCCTGTTTTATGTACCACTCTGGAAATCGTCCCCCGTTGCGGGCTGCGGATAACCGTCTCCATCTTCATACTCTCAATCACGACTAGCGGCTGGTCCTTTTCCACAGTGTCACCCGCTTGAACTTCCACACGCAGAATTTTGCACGGCATTGGGGCCAGAACGCTGTTGGTGATGTCTTTCATGCCCAATGCTTTGTCCATCCACCCTGCCCTCGGGACTGTCAACCGATATTGAGTCCCGCGCTGGAAAGCGATGATAGTGTCCTCATCTCGGATCACAGTAGTATCGAGGCGTGTGTGAGGGAAAAACGAGGTGATAACTTGGGAAGCCGGGTTGCGGTGACTCAAGACCCTCTCAAACTTTCGTCCACCTACTTCAACATTGAACACATTGTCGCCTACTTGTTGGACGTGAACATGGAACTTGGTGCTGTCTTTGGACTCTGGGGCCGAAAGATTCGCGAACGTTAACTGCCGTGTTTGGTAGCTTGGGAGGAAGCCAACAGCCGACCCTTCGAAATCGGCTTGCTTTCGGGATGCTGGGTCGGAGTCGCCATGCAGACAAGCTAACGCCACTTGGGCGAGCACTTCGTCTTCAATAACCCCCTTGTTGAAAAGCTCCTCGCGGTGCTTTTCAATATAACCCGTTTCAACTTCGCCAGCAATGAAGTCAGAGCTCTTGCAAATGGTCTTTAAGAACTCAATATTTGTTATTGGCCCCGCAATTTCGTATTCTTCTAATGCTGCTGCAAGTTTGCGTATCGCCTCTTGCCGGGTGTCTCCTCTCACAATCAATTTGGCGATCATCGGGTCATAATGGGCCGAGACTTCATCGCCTGCGACGAAGCCTGCATCTATTCTGGTGTCCTCCGTTGGTTCAGGGGTGCGGACATGAAGCAAGCGACCAGAGTCTGGAATAAACCCTTGGTCAGGGTTCTCTGCATAGATTCTAGCCTCAATGGCATGTCCACGGCTAGCCATCTGGGCTTCCACTTCCTCTTGCGTCAGTGGCAGCACGGCGCCCTCGGCCACTTTGAGCTGCCAGTAGACCAGATCTTGACCGGTGACCATCTCTGTCACGGGGTGTTCAACTTGAAGGCGAGTGTTCATTTCCATGAAAAAGAACTCGCCCGTATCATTGTCGAATATAAACTCCACAGTACCAGCGCCTTCGTAGCCCACAGCCAAGGCAGCCTCTCTTGCTTTTGCCCAGATGTCTTTCCTTGTCGCATCTGGCAGGTGAGGGGCTGGAGACTCCTCCAAGATCTTCTGATGCCGTCGCTGTATGCTACAATCCCGCTCTCCAAGAGCAACACAGTTACCGTGCTTGTCTGCAAAAACCTGTACCTCGATGTGTCGTGGCGTTGTGACAAACTTCTCTACCAATACCTGGTCATCGCCGAACGAGTTCATGGCTTCTGATTTTGCAGACTGCAGTTGGGCTTGGAATTCAGATTTAGAGCTGGCTATCCGCATCCCCTTGCCACCTCCACCTTTGATGGCTTTGATGAGCACCGGGTATTTGATTTTGTCGGCCTCAGCTTCGAGAAAGTCGACATCTTGGTTGTGACCGTGATATCCAGGAACGCAGGGTACTCCTGCAGCTGTCATGATCTCTTTCGACCGGCTTCAGGAATCTCAGTACCATGTTCCTAGGGATAACGAAGACAACGGCTTACCTTTTATCCCCCATATCCTCTATAGCTTTCCACGGAGGGCCGATGAAGACCAGTCCGGCTTCTGTGCACTTTTGTGCAAACGCCGAATTCTCGCTGAGCTACATCAATTTAAAGCATTAGTATGCATAGTGATTGCTGATTACAGTCCAAATTCTGAACTCACGAAGCCATAACCCGGGTGTATTCCTTGACAACCCTCTTTCTTTGCAATCTCAATGATGCGGTCTCCGTCGAGGTAAGCGGAAACCGAGCCCAGATTGTATGCAAATGGCGAACTGAGTGCGTGTTGGGATTGACTATCTGGGTCGGTGTAGAGCGTAGTTACTCTGATGCCATGTTGAGCAGCGGTTCGTCCAACACGCCTGGAGCACGGTCAGCAGCAGTAGATTATCATCACATAGAAGACATACAGAGCTATTTCTCCTCTATTTGCAATGAGGATCGAATCTAATGAGTTTTGATATTTTGGGACACTGGAAGAAACGGTGGAAGCAGTTCGTCTTGACCTCCAAACTGCGGTCGGCCCCAGGCGGGGAGTAATGCGGAGAAACGATGAAAGTGGCATTGTAGAAGAAGGCACTAATCCAAAGCCACTAGCAGACACAACAAGAGATGGAAAAGACAATGTGCATATTCCAAGTGACTTCGACAGGGTTATAAAGAAATTGGGAAGGTTCAACAAGAGAGATGCAGCTCATCGTCTTCCAAGTGTATGCGGACAGGAAGCTCCCCCTTGAGCCGACGCAAAGCGAGCTGCGGGGAAACATGCGGCACGTGACTCGGCACCAACCGAGCTTTTCTGCCTTTTCTTTTTTTTCCGCCGAACGAGCGAAGGCGCGATCAGCAAAGCGACCATCACGACGACGACGTCACAGGTGGGCTTTTTCTAACCGGTTGCTCTAGTGGATTTGACGTCTATCTCATTCAATCCCTTGTCCCTCCCAAAATACCCTTATCAATTTGTCTTGGGGTATCGCTTCGGACTGTCGCACACGCTACTCTCCTTTTCGCGGCGGCTCACATTTGCTGGGGACCGGATCGCATGGTATTATCTTCTAATACTTAGTGTATAGAAAGACCTGAGTCGGCGCTATATTTAAATCCTTTTTGGGCATTATACTCCCGTTTCAAACACAGCAAACCTTTCAGAGTCCTAGTTCGCGACTTTCACGACCATTATGTCTGACGACGAATATTACGACGAATATGACGAGGATATCTTCTGGATTGAGGAGCCTGAACCGGATATTGCTGTTAGTATAAACTTGCTGTATTTAATTTCGACCTTGGCTGACTATCATCCATATAGGACGACCTAGCTGCAACTGCAAACTACGACGCGATCTTCTTTGGCGACCCTTCTCTTGAGGTGGAAGATTACTACAGTGACTGGGACGACCTATCCGACGATTACTACGATGACGATCCGACTGCCGTGCGGCGACAACGAGTTATGGATCGACAAGCGAAGAAAAAGCAGAGCAATGGCGAATATCAGAAATCCAACGGAGAGAGCACGAAGGAATTATCATCTTTGAAACCGAATGCAGCATTCTTTCAGAGCGTGATATGGAAAAATCCAGAGCATGATGATAGAGCTATCAAGCTCCACGAACCAGGCGATGGAGAAAAAGTGGCATTATTAAAGAATTGGCGAGAGGTATTCAGATCCTCTCACCCCGCCATCGGCCGATCACGAATGCGGAAGGAGAGAGTGTTGGGGTTCCTTAACTCCGATGCCAGCACTACTCCTTTAAATACCATTGATAGTATCATGGAAGATGAAAACAGAGAAGTCAGTGCCGACCTAACGTCAGGCCTATCTTCACTTGAAACCCTTCGCGAATCCGATGTTGACTCTGGCAATATGTCGAATACGACTCCCGGGAAGTCAGTGTCTCCACCCTCCATGCGTATCGACAGGGATCTTGCAGCCAATACGAAAACGGCCAATGATGGACACTCGATTGAAGACTCAGGACCCGCAACCCGAAGTTCTCGTTCCTCAGCGTCCAACGGTACCAATCTCAATAAATTGCCCAAGACAAGCGCGCCCTCTCCAGCGAAGAGCAGAAAACGCAAGGCCTCTGATTCCTTCGATGAGGAGGCCAGTGAGAATAAAAACACTATGGAAGATGTCGAGAAACCCAGATCCAAGAGAATTGCATCAAAGAAAGTCGGCCAGGAAACCAACTCGACATCGACATCGTCAGCTCCCGTGCGAAGATCGACGAGGCAAGGCAAGAAATAAAATCTATGCTTGTCAGTTGCCAGTATAAATTGTTCTGTGGCGACAGCGCTTAGAGTACATATTCACGAGCCAACATATGAAGACCAGTGTAGATGCCATCCAGTTATATATAATGTATGACCAATGAAAAATTAATAACTACTTGACAGTTCCATTTCGTTCCTCTAGTATATACTGTGTACACACCGCTAAACTAGGCATACTCTTTATTAAACGCACGACCGATGACCATACGCCTGATCTCACTAGTCCCAGCCCCGATCTCGTACAATTTTGCGTCCCGGAGCAATCTCCCAGCCGAAATTTCATTGATGTAACCATTTCCTCCCATGAGCTGGATGGCATCAAGTGAGCACTCAGTCGCCCTCTCCGCTGCATAGAGAATGGCACCCGCACAATCGTGTGTCCGGATGGTCATTTCTGAGGGGGTGACGGCGGCATTGTCAACCTGCCGTGCCGTGGCATAGGTGTAGGCACGAGAGACGGCAAGCTTAGTGTACATGTCTGCCAGTTTCCCTTGGATGAATTGGTTGTGGGCGATAGGAGTCCCAAATTGTTTACGAACGTGGGTGTAGGGGAGAACAAGATCAAGAGCTGCTTGCATGATTCTGGAAGATGGTTAGAATACTTGATAGTCTGAGGAACGGCTTTTCAGAACTTACCCCAGCGGTCCTGCGCTCAGAACAAGACGCTCGAGATCGAGGCCTTCCATCAATACTTTGACTCCTCGGTTCACTTCCCCGAGGAGATTCTCCTTGGGGACGAACACATCTTCAAAAATAAGTTCTCCGGTGTTAGAGCCACGCATTCCAAGCTTGTCCAGCTTCCTCGCGCACGAAAAGCCTTTAAAGCCCTTTTCTACCACGAATGCGGTGATGCCTTTTGAGCCTTTCTCAGGCTCTGTCTTTGCATATACGACAACGTAGTCCGCATCGGGCCCCTATATGGTGAAAGCTATGAATGAATAATTCCCGTTGGAACGAGTAATGGAGGCGAAGCAACTCACGTTTGTAATCCACATCTTCGTTCCATTCAGCAACCAACCACCATCAACTGCTTTGGCTGTCGTCTTCATACTGACGACGTCGGAACCTGCAGAGTGTTCTGACATTGCCAGTGCTCCAACCTTTTCTCCAGAAAGAAGGCCGGGAAGAAAGCGAGCTTTCTGGTCCTCATTACCGTTCAGGGAGAGTTGGTTTACGCACAGCTGGGAGTGTGCAGCGTAAGACAACCCGATACTCCCTAAAACGAAAAGATACCGCGTCAGAAAATGAAACAACATCCCATTAGAGAGGTGGTAAAAGGAAGTAAATACCTGAAGCTCTGCTAATCTCTTCCATAACTACACAATGGGCCTGGTAGCCCATTCCAAGTCCCCCATATTCTTCATTGGCAGTAACACCGAGGAACCTAGGGAGAAACGACAGTCAGATAAAAGTGAAGAACCAAGCCAGATAGATTGTGAAATAATACCCAGCATCTCCCAGCTTTCTCCACATCTCCGCCGGGAACTCATTCTGTGTATCTGTTCGTGCTGCGACTTCCTCGGATATTTCTCGCCCTTGATTGAATTGATTGTTAGACACGGATGCGTATTATAGGGATTCTGCTTTTCACGGAATACTGACTGGTGAATTCCTGAACACTATTCCGTAGTTCTAGCAGGTCATCCTCCGTGGGAGGTACAAAACCCTTGGGGTGCTTTGTTGACAACGTTCGTAATGCGGGGGTGTGGATGAGGGGGTTCCGGATCCCATACACAGCCCTCGAGGAATTTCGGAGGAGAGACGAAGAAAGTCTCGATAAGGAAGCCATTATGAACGAGATTGTTCAGAGAAAGAGAGTGTGAGAATGGAAGAACGGGTATGAACAGGTGGAAAGGCGCGAAGAGTGTCTTTACATGACGGAGGATGAGCGGAGAACACCCTCGGCGGCTACACGCGGCAATCGTCGCTTCGCCCATTCTTGTTCTTCTCCGCAACTCCTCCCAGTCCGGGGAACACTCGTCGTCCTTTATTATCCCTCATTTCTCACCTTCTTCTGCTGTCCCTTGACAGACTACTTCAAGTTAAAATATTCTGCAGCAAAGGCCATGGTCTATTTGATTTAACGTGTATTTCTGAACACCTGACACAAAACCCATATTGGCTCCACGGCTGTCATCCTTCTCCCCGCAATGCGTGCTCCATCTCCGCTCCTCCTGCGGAGCTTGAGCTTGAGCTCGAAAAAAGCACTGCCATATTCTCGACGACTTGTCCCCCAAAGGCATCTCAGATCAACTTATATCTGCCCGTCATCGTCAAGATCAATTGCTAGCTACACGCACCCTCATCATGCTTCGGCAGTCTCCACCCTCCCTACCGCCGTGGACACCTCCTCGCCAGACTTCCAGGAAAATTCCCAACAAATGAAGGAGCTGTTGGACCGCATGTCTACCCTGCATGGCACCATCGCCCAGGGGGGTCCACAGAAAGCCAGGGATAAGCACGTAGCCAGAGGAAAAATGCTGCCACGAGATCGGGTTACAGCTTTGATCGACCCTGGCACATCATTTCTGGAACTCTCTCCCCTGGCGGGCCACGAGGTGTATTCAGACGATGTGCCCGCGGGAGGTATCATCACAGGGATCGGGACCGTCGAAGGGGTTACGTGCATGATTGTTGCTAATGATAGCACGGTCAAAGGTGGCACGTACTATCCTATCACCGTGAAAAAGCATCTACGCGCGCAGGCTGTTGCACAAGAAAACAAGCTTCCGTGTCTGTACCTCGTGGATTCGGGTGGTGCAAACCTGCCGCATCAAGCGGATGTCTTCCCTGACAAGGAGCATTTTGGACGAATCTTCTTCAATCAGGCTAGAATGAGCTCGCTTGGAATTCCCCAAATCTCCGTGGTCATGGGACCATGCACAGCCGGAGGGGCGTATGTTCCCGCAATGAGCGATGAGACTATCATCGTCGAAAACCAGGGAACTATCTTCCTTGCAGGACCTCCTCTGGTCAAGGCTGCAACTGGTGAAGAAGTATCTGCGGAGGATCTGGGCGGAGGTCAGCTTCACAGCTCGATTTCAGGCGTGACAGATTACTTGGCCGTTGATGATGCACACGCACTTGTCCTGGCACGCAGATCTATTGCCAACCTAAACTACCCAAAGACAAGTGTACCTTCACAGGTATCTGAGGTCATCAAAGAGCCCCTGTACGATCCTAATGAACTAAATGGTATCGTCGGAACCAACCTTCGCCGCCAAATACCAGTCCACGAGGTCATTGCTCGCATCGTAGACGGAAGTGAATTCGCCGAGTTCAAACGCGACTACGGTAGCACGCTTGTCACTGGGTTCGCCCGTATCTACGGTCATCAAGTGGGCATAGTCGCCAACAATGGCATTCTCTTTTCGGAGTCATCGTTGAAGGGAGCTCACTTCATTGAACTCTGCGCGCAACGCAAGATCCCCTTGCTCTTCCTCCAAAATATCTCTGGCTTCATGGTTGGTGCCGATGCTGAAAAGGGCGGCATCGCAAAGAATGGTGCAAAGCTCGTTACTGCAGTTGCCTGTGCAGATGTCCCCAAATTCACAGTCGTGTTTGGGTCCAGCGCCGGTGCAGGAAACTATGGAATGTGGTAAATTACTGCCCAACACTGGATCCCCACTAAAAGTGGTTCAAACATGATTAAACAGTAATACTAACATCAACCCCAGTGGCCGCGCATACTCCCCTCGCCTACTATTCATGTGGCCCAACGCCAAAATCGGCGTGATGGGCTCCGAGCAACTCTCCGCAGTGATGGAGGCAGTCGGCCGCACCGCAGACCCCGAACTGAAAGCCCGAATCGACCGCGAATCCGAAGCGATCTTTTCGTCGGCTCGTCTTTGGGACGACGGCGTCATCCCACCCGCACAGACGAGACGCGTACTAGGCCTCAGTCTTGCGGCCGCCTTGGGCGGAAGAGACGATAAGGACGTGCAGACCCGGTTCGGTGTGTTCCGGATGTAATGGAAAATAAATATAGGATATCCAAACACCTAATGAACCTTAAACCGCTTATCCTCACTAAAAGATAGTCAAAAAGCAAAAAAAGCCATGTTATATAGGAACAATCACGACAGTCATGGATTCATAAGCATTTCTTCTATGTCACAGAGATTGTCACATTGACATTCACAAAAAAGTAAACGGCCGTATCACTGGGGAGGTGTGTCGCGAGACATGCGTTCTTGCTTCTTAATCAGTCAAAAACGGCAGATAAACAAAACAGAATAAATATAAAGGGGAGAGTACCCTGCCGTTGACTACCACCGTCGGACAAGCAAGACTTAACTAAGTCAAGTCTTATGCGGGGGACAGTCGACGACAGAGAGAAGGTGAAATAAATATAAAAACTTTTGTTCAGTTTTGAAGACAAGGGGCAGAAAGAAGATAGGCGGGTGTAGATATAAAAAAAAGAGGAGTAAGAAGAAATCGTGTTAAAAAAACAAAGCGATAAACGTTATAAAATGGATATAAATCTATCATTCGAGGTAGCACATAGACAGCGTATGATGTAACATGATATAAGATGATAAAGCTGGACATTAGAAGCATGGTGTAATTGTAATGTAAGAATGGGTTTCGTATAATAAGTAACCACAGGCGATTGCCCGGGTTTGTAGTAGTGTAAGGGGTGGGTGGGAGAGGCCGTATGGGATGAGTTTCGTTTTGTAGTTTTAGTCTGTATAGATTATAGGATCACACAGGGGCGTCCGTTCTGTCGTCTCTTATCTCTCTTTCTGTCGTGGCGGTTCGGGCCTTCCCGCTTGCGCGACGACTCGCCGTGCTTCGATGATCCTTGCAGATCCTTTCTGATGATTTGGCGACAGAGGTCGATGAATACCTCGTTGACATTGGCCCTTCGACGAGCGGAAGTCTCATAATAGGGTGCGTTGCCCCAGCTCTGGGAGAGAGCGAAGGCTCGGGCACGAGCGACGGCACGGTCTTCTTCCAGGTCGGACTTATTTCCCACAATTACTATGGGGACCTTTTCGTCGTCTTTGATGCGGATGATTTGCTCGCGCAGTTCAGATAACTCGTTCAGAGACGACATGCTAGTGATGGAGAATACGAGCAAAAAGCCTTGGCCTTGCTTCATGTATAACTCTCTGGGCATGATTTAGTATGATGGTGTATAACGCTTAGAAACAATACACGCTGAGCGTGGTGGGATATTTACCTCATAGCAGCTAAAAAAAGATTGTTAGTATGAGATTGGTGTTGGCTTAGAAAGTTTGCAGACTTACTGAATTGTTCCATTCCTGCAGTATCAAGACTATAAGCAAGAAAGTGGGTCAGCAAGGTTGTCATTCGCAGGTATCCACAATACCAATGACATGGCATGGCACATACATTTCCAGGATACATTGTCGGCCCTGGGGACATTAGCAAACAGCCTGGGATGGAAAAAGAAGGAATCAACTCACATCTACTTCGATCTGCTTGCGGTATGAATCTTCGATGGTAGGGTCATAACTCTCAATCCAGACATTTTGGACGAATTGAGCTGCAAGAGTGTTAACCTCGGTAAAAGCAAGTCGAATCACCTTCTGTAGGAAGATGTATGGCACAGGGGCAGAAGAGAAGGGGAGTATGTACCAGTTAGACAACTTTTTCCCACACCTCCTATTGCGCAATAACTATGATCAGTGACGTGCACTTTTTGAACTTGAGACAATGAGTATATGCCTACCAGCACCTAGCACAACAATGTGGTATTCGCGTCTGGTTGAAACGGCCATTAGAATCCATGTAAAACAACTCCGACACCAGCTCCGAGGGGTGACTTACTGTGGTCGCATTGAGATGGCAGCTGTAGTTTCTAACTAGAGAAATGGTATAAAACAAAGCGTAAAGCTCAAGCAAGTAAAAATTCGGCAAATGTCAAGGCAGAGAGAAAATATGACCGGGATATCGATTCGTTATAGTTCCTTCAACCGAGGTATGATGTTGCGGTGTCCAACCGGGCGTCGACGTGAAATAGAAATATATCGTCAATTGGATCCTGCCAAACCGAATGCTTCTTTCTCGATATAGAATCTGGGCTTCCTGGCAAAGCCGCTGGGTAGAGCAAGGGCAGCGACACGCGATCCGGTTACATGGGTCTCGACGCCAATTCCTCGCAGATATCTCCTCGACGCGGCAGAATAATCGGAGCCTGCCTTGAAATAAGCCTCCAACAAGGCACGATAGTGGAGAAAGGTGGCTGGCAAAGGAAGCGCAGGACCAAAAAGGAACTTTCAATGACAACAGATCGAGTTGGAATCGGAAGAGGCTAGGTAGACTCAAGGCCGTGTCAGGAGATGAGGGAGAACGGGGTCGGAGGTTGGATGGGGATGGGGAGAGAGGGATCAATTGGAGATTCTGCAGGGTCGTCAATGGGTCGTGGACTCGTGGTGCATGAGCTCGTGGGCAAAGGAAAGAGAAAAAAGAAAAGAGAAGAGAAGAGAAGAAGGGAAAAAAGGTTTGTCGAAACCTTCTGGGATGAAGACGCGATAGAGAAATGCTAGTTCGTTCAGGTCTTGCTGGGCGGCGGTGAGAATCTCGATTTTTGTGCGGACACGACGGCCGATCCTATATCCGCCAAACTTTAAGTGATAATATGATTGTAATAGTAATAATAATAATATGGATGGGGATATATTATTATTATGATTAATTATTGTGGTGAAGCCCTAATTATCGCAAGGGTTAGTGAGCTGGGCACTTAAAAATAATATGGGAAGAAGATAGAGAGAGAAAGAGAGAGAGAGAGAAAAAGACCCCCAACCGTGTCTGTGGAGAGAAGAAAGCATTCATCACAAGGGAAAAAAAGCATAGAAAAAGCACCAGCCATGGGACTATCATCCATCCCCATCGCCTTCAAGGGCTGCTCAACGCCAATAATTGAGAAATAATCAACCATCATCAGCGTCATCCCCTTCTCCATCCTTCTTGTCAGGAGATGTGGGTGTGTTTGGTGGATCTGCCATCGCTCGCCCTGGTCGCAGACTGGCTTGAGCGTTGTCCCAGATTTCGAGACAACAACTCTATCACGAAACAAATTGATGACAGAGATGAAACAAAATGAACAGAGGTGAAGATGAAACAGATGAGAATGCAGTCAACTTACCAGGCAGAATAATGGGAATCAGAAAGTGTGGATGGGAAAGCAGACAGACAGACAGCAGCAGATCACCACATCTTTAGCATGTCTCCTCAACACCTCCTCCTCGTCGAATGTCGTGCAGAACGTGTCAAACTGTCAGAAAAATCCATCCATCACCTTTTCCTGCCGCCCTCCTTCGCCTCCTGAAACCCAACCAATATCGACTCCCGCAGTCGCACTGTTACCTATCACCCTCGACCGTGATGGATTATCGGGGATACAACGGGATGATCTGCTGGTCATCATCGTCTTCCATCATCATGCAGGATGGATGTCATTCCGAAGCAGCCATTGGGAAATAACACGGGGTACTTCTTCAGGTGCATCCCGGGGAACCAGGATTATCCATCAGCTTGTCGACGCTGCCAGGCACCGCCAGCCTTGTAGGCAGGCCACTTGCTAATTTGATCACCAGGTTGGTTCGATAATGGATACATAAATCAGTCGATCAATCAATCAATAAAATTATTAAAATATTGAAAATATTATAAACGCAGGGAAAAAAAGGTGCGTGACTGCAGGAGGACACGACATTTTGCATCCCCCGATGTTGGGCCAAGGGGAGTCAAGCTGAAGAACTTTCCAATGAACAGGATACACATTTCCATCTCAGCAGCAAACAAAAGGCAGCGTCTACAGATCTACAGACGAGAAAGGGCAACAAAAACCAAATCCCAGTTCATTTGACGATCTTTCACACCGTATACTCGGGTTCGATAGTCCAACAACACACTGATTACCATCCAAACCACCAGAATCGCTACCAGCAGAACCCGTCATTTCCGTGTCGATGGCACATCGTACTTTGTACAACATCGGGAGATGCGGTAAGGGGGGTGGGCCAGGGTTGGACGATAAAAAAAAAAGCCCTGCGAATATACCCAATAGAACGGTTCTTTTTAAGAATCTCGATCCAGTGCAGCCTCACTTGACAATCAAGTGACAATGGAAATAAATATGCATCAAGGGGCGGCAGGATAATTCAATCGGATCGAAGTTCCGGCCCCCATAATCATCTGGAATGTTGCAGAATGCCGTCGTCATATCCCATGGGAGGGAACTAATCTACCTGCAGCAAACATGCTATAAAAAGCATTCTCGACTTACGGTGTAAGTTAATTCGAATATCCAGAGTGACTGCTTATCGTGATTTCGTGGCATTTTATTAAAGCGGCCAGAAGGCTTACATAACTATGCTATACTTCAACTCAATATTGCCTGTTTATACATTGTGTAATGTTCATCAACACAGACTGACAGGAGCATGAAAGACAGTCCAGGCAAATAACTGAAATATATCACTCAGCTCTTGTAAGATGGGTCTACTATCGAGGTCATCGTATCGGATTAATAGCTTGCAGTTGTATCCTTCCAGCTAAGTCGAGATAAAGTGGGGGCATGCTGCCCCTCTTCATCACCACTTTGACTTGATATTCTGTATACTATGTCAGAATTACAATGCATTCATACTGTTGGTTATGAATACCCATGGCAGAAATGATTAGGGCAAAGGTTTATTGCAGAATCCAGCTGAATCAGCAATTCGACATAAGTACTCTTCATCTTCATCACCACCAATTCCCACCAGTCCCATCACCACTATAAGCCCTCTTCAAAATATCCCATATCATCAGACCTGCTCACCAGTATACCCCTCCAACACTCCCCTCCCGTCTCTTCCATAGGATAGATTAAATCAATTACATACACATACTACCTACCTAATAGGTATATTAATTCGTAAGGCAGCGTCTTCTAACCCCCACGTTCAAAGTACTGCTATGATGTATCACACAGATTGATCCACCCCATGCACCATCTTACCCCGTACAGAATAGATGTATAAAACCACGGATCATACGAGGGGGGGGCAACGAATGTGACTCGTGAATTATTTTCAGTGCAAGTTATTTGTCTTCCTGTTCTGGTCGCGGTAAACGCGAGATCTAAGATTATTGTGGGTTGTGATAATCAAGATCAGTTGGTTGCATGTAGAAGGTGGGCTACGAGTACGAGGTTATTAGGTAGGTGATGCATGCGCCTTTATCAAGAAGTGGTACTGTAGATTGAATAAACGACACGTCTCAAGAGTGGTTCTATCAAACATGATTGTCGGGTTCGATATAGAGTAACCAACGCAGAAGAAACAAGTACATGAAGTATTATCAAAAATCAATAACTATCTATAGTACATGCCGAGTTTAGGGCATACATAAATCTCACATAGAAGTCAGGGAAAAAAAAAAAAAAACAGGCGCTTACGCTCACGCAAAATATCACTTGCATCTTGCTCTTATGGACCAACCTTTCCAGAGGCAAGATGAGTCCTGCGTCCAGACGCAGTGTTTGCAAGTGGTTTGCCGCCCAGCAGTCTTGAATCGGTAGTAGATTGCTCTCTATCGCCATTTGTCTCATCTGCCATGTTTTCCTTGAAGCTCAATGACACTGGCGCTTTGCCGCTGTAACACTCGAGTGCCTCAAAAACATGGCCGAAAACTTTGTCATCCACATCCGTTGCCCACAAGAAGTCGAGATGCTCGTACTCGGCAATCTGTTTGGCAACGATATTACGCGGCAGTCCTCGCAACATCACATCAATGTCGATAAGACTGTCGCTTCCACCATAGAGCAGGACGATGGGGGTCTTGATGTTTTTTGTGGGGTACTTGACCGGCTTGTAGAATCGTTCGCTGGCCGCAGCGTTGAGCGGAGCATGGATCTCGTCGTCGTAGAATTGGAAATTTTTGTTGCGGATGACCTGGAACCAATGAACCACCGATTTCGTGCTAGTAAATGAAAAGAGGTGGAGATATCCTGCAAGCTTCTGAAGCCGGCTAATCCTCTTGCACTGCCAGTTGAAGAGCAAAGACAGTGATGAGTCAATGATCCGGACGAAGATCGGTGGGTACAGAATAGTCTGCCACATGGTCGTTGAACTGAGGATGCTTCGCCGGCCAAAAAGCAGAAACAGAAAGTTAGGCGACGCTTTCATCAGGGAGTCCACAATGCGGTTGGGCAATCCCGAAGGAGCCATCGCTGGCGCAAGCGCCACGAATACATCGACCTTTTGGTTCAGCAAAGGGTGGATTGCGAGGGTTGCAAATGCTTGGGCTGTTCCCTGTGAGAATCCGATATATGACAGCGAAGGCTGCTCTGTGACCTCAAGGATGTATTCAATACTGTCTGGGATATCGTGAAAGGCGAACTGATCGATCGAAAAGTCCCAGAATTCATTGCTTGATGGAGAGTGCCTGACGGATTTCTTCGAGTACTTGTTGCCCCGGTTGTTACCAAGCCACACATCGTAACCTCTTTCCACAAGTTGAAAGGGTAGACAGCGTTGCTCCTCTGACAGGCAAACCCAAACCTCACTACACATCATGAGACCATGGTGGAGATAGACAACCGGCTTCCTGGTACTGTTTTCACCCTGGTTAACTCGCGACCCTTCTTCCCCTTTTCGATAGGGCAAACGGTGGAGACCTAGAAGGTAACCATCGCCAGTCTGAACAATATGCTCTTCGGCTTCGTAGCCGAAGAGGGCGCATATGTCCGCAAAGTCTGATGTTTGAGCGATTTCCACGGCAAAGGACTCCTTTGCATCACGCTTGACTGGTTCCTCTTGTGGTAAAAGTAGGTTGAAAAGGGTTTTGGACCGATCGTAGCAGAAATTGATCACCGGCTCCGCTATTCGAAGTCAGCCCCTATTCCCAAACAGAACACAAAAAGCAATAAAAAGGCCCAACGGGCAGTAGCGTGCAAGTACTTACGCAGACAAAAAGTGATAACATGAATGATAGATTCCAGTAGAACCAAAAGAAGAGACGTGAAGAGAGCAAAGTACTCGAACCAGAACAACCGTCCGAAAAGAGGTACTTGTGCCATGGTGAGAGGTCGTATCAGGTACAGGGTTATTCAGTTGCAGATATCAAACAAATATCATCGAGCAACGATGTCAATAACGGCACAGATACAGAAAACTGAATAGACGGTTCCAGTGGACTCCATCACACACTGGGAGGATTTAAAAGAAATTGTCGCCTCTCCCTGTTCCCATCGTGTTGACAGTTTCCGACGTCATTTCCCTGACGGTCAATCCGTTTCTCCCATGTGATGCTTACCTAATCTGGGGAAGTCGAGAATCACCTGATTTTTGCCGAAGAGAGAACGCATCTTGACGATCGTCTCGGGTTGTTCACCAGGGCCGGTGGTGTCAGGACGTTGTCTCTCGCGTTTTCAAAATGCCTAGCTCTTGCAATGACATTCGTAAGTGTTGTCAAGTTTGTTTTTGGCGATCCGAAAAGATCACTCTCCTCCCAGTGAACTCATCCCGGGATCATCGGCGGTGATGCTTTGCGAAAAAGTGACCCCATTCTAACAAGCTTGTCAAATATCTACAGGAGATGCCCTGGCGCAATGTCTCCAGGAATCCGACTGTATCATGGTCCAGCGCCACACCCCGCGTGAATGTCTGAGCTCTCCGCACGCCGAGGAACTGCCCATGAAATGTCAGCAATTGCGGAAAGGTTTCAGCGAGTGCAAGTATGTCATCCATTTCCGCTTGCTTGAAAGTGCTTGTGGACGTAATGAACTGATTTCTGAATCTCTCTTAGACGCGGTTTGATCGATATGCGCAAACGATTCCGTGGCAACCAACCCCTCTCTTTATCCAAAGAGCTCGACGGCGGCAAACCCAAGAAGTCTGAGCAACTTTACGCCGGAAAGCCAGCATTCGAGAGTGTCAAGGAGATTAGTGGCGACGAAGTCCAGATGGACCCCGAAAAGACACGCGGGCTGTGAGCGAGAAAGATTCATGACATTGGATATACAAGCAATTTGCAACATTTTTTGAGGCGCCATGTTATTTCAAGTTTGATGATATTATCCTCTCCCTTGGCATGAACTGGAGTTGTGTTTGGGAAGATTGATGTCGAATAGAATCTGGTGTACGATACTGAGCTATATAGGACTGTACATAGTAAACAAATTTTAAAGGAACATGTCTATTTATATTCATCCGCTTGATCAAGCTGCGGATTTATGGCTTCCTACAGGCCAATGCATCTACGCCTATAGAAAACACAAATACCAGCTTGCGCTATTTTGCACAAGATTCAATAATAATTTCAAACAATATTGAATAATACACCGTTTACTGCGTCTTCTTATTCTTGGACGCAGCAGCTGAAGGCGGCTCGGCGTAGAGCCACACGAAGACAAAAGCAAGGAATCCGGCAATGACAGACCAGAGACCGGCAATCCAGACCCATCCACCGGTAATCTTCCAGCTGCGGGGATACTCATCGTGAGCATAATGACGGACGGTAACCTCGTGCTTCTCCTCGATGTTGGTGAGGAATGGGCGCTTGTAGTTGACACGGAAAGAGAAGATTCCGTGCTGGTCTGGAACGACGAAGCTCGTGCTGAACACGGTGCTGTTTTCGGTTCGGCGGACAGGTTGCAGGTTAAGACGGTGGAAGGGAGAGAGCATGGTGAACTCGAGCTGGAGGTCATCTTCAGCTGGAACCTCGAAAGGCACATAGTGGTCGTTCTTGTATTCAGAAATCTCGATTTCGAAAACCTGGAGGACCATGTTAGCAAGTTCGGTTGAATGATAAGAATGCATCACATACAGTCTCGTTCTTGATACGGTAGAGAGTGGGGTTTAGTTCGGTTTCACCCTTTCCGGCCAGATGGTGCTCAATCTTTCCAACCTTTAAAACTCCAGTCTCCTTGAAGGTCCACGAAGTCAATTGCTGGGCAAAAGCCTGGTTGACAGTGGTGGTCTCCTTTCCGTTGGGTACCTTGACGCTAGCAGAGAACCACTTGTCCTGCAAACTTTCGACAGAGCCCAGAAGGGTGAAGCGAGCCGAGTTTCTAGCTTGCATGGCCGAGACGAGGCCGAGCTGAGAGCCAGTAGCCAAAACATCCTCGACCGCGTTGGTCGACTCCTTGGGGTTGTAGCTGTAGGCAGTCACCGGAGCGCGGAGGATAGGCGCGAGAAGAGGGTTCGAGGCACCCAGGGTGTGAGGGGCAGCATTAGGGAGAGCTAGGACGCCCTCACCACTAAAGTAAGCCTTGGTGTCGGGTCTCAATGGACCGGGGCGCTGGACAAGGAGGACGTTGTGCTTCTCGGTTGCCGAAAGAGTGTCATAGTTGAAGTGGTCGACGACAACGGAGGAACGGTCAGTGGCCAAGTGAAGATCAAGCTCGATCAAAAGCGAGCTGATGGCGCTGGGAGTTGTGGATTTCCCGGAGAGGGTGAGGAGGACGTTGCCGTCCTTGTTCATGAAGTCAATGATGTTCTTGGGGCTGAGAGATGGACCAAATCCTGCACCATTGAGTCAATTGGATTGCACAGGAGATAGCATTCAATGTTTATCGGATAGCGCTAACCTTTCGACTTGGGGGGAAGGAGAAGGAGGTGGTCGTAAGCTCTGTCGCCATGCTGGAACAGAGAGAGCTTGTCACTCTTGGGCGATTCGAAAGTAAGACTGTATCCTCTGGCTATTATAGCTCATCAGCATCTCCTCAATTCTTCCTATCAGACATGCACACCTTCTAAGTCTGTCCAGAATGTGGAATACAACTCCTGCTCTGCTGCATCTTCCAGAACAACCAAAAGGCGATTTCCCGCACTGCTCAAGGCATTGACAACAGCCAAGAAGCAGAACAGCAGAAGAGAAAGACACCACCGCATCGTGAGGATATCCGCACAGCGGAGCGGAAGGTTACAGAAAATATCCGAAGCGACAGGAAAGCGTGGAAACCGAAGTTGTCGAGAAGTTCGTCGATCTCGTCCCTCGTTTCTGTACAGTTGGTAAGAAACGGGCGACGTGTTTGGACCCGAGAGCGCCAAGACCCGTGACGGCTTTCGTCACCTCCAGCCTAGTCCGACGCTCTAACCTCTCTCCATTGCTTCCCCTCGCCTCTCCGTCGCATCATCTCGGCCCTGTGCTGGCAAGCTTCTCGTCGTTGTTGGAACCCCGGAGTCGTCCGTCTTATCTGTGATACGGCTCAATTGTCCGTCTGGTCTGCAAGCGATCTTCTCTCCGTGTCGTCGTAACCGAATCCCGACCCCAAAAACTCTTGCGCTTCAATTCAATCCAACCACCACCCCCTTCACCCACTGTCACAATGTCCAACCCTCAATTCTGGTCGGCTCCTCTCCGCTACCTTCGCTGGGCCTCCCACGAAAAGCCGGCTATCTTCTACTCCATGATTATTGGAACAACGGGACCCGTCCTGCTTGTGTCTCTGCCCCCGATCCGGCGATTCTTCGGCGACGTTGACCCGCAACCCATCCCATTGACATATCCCAGTAAGACTCCTAACTGCTCGAGATGATATGGAGGTATCCAGGTCGACATGATACTGATATATCAACAGTTCCCCAGGGTCCCCGAAAGATCCCGCAAGGCTACGACGACGAGTAAATTCCCTCCCATAATGGAAAAAGATACAAAAAAGAAAGCCCGTGGAGTTATATTCTGATTCGATTTGCTTTGGTGTATTTAACTGGGAGTCAACTAAGCACAGTTCTGGGAACTGAACCATGAGGGGGGGGGAATGTGCGAATATGCGAATACCTATCTATCAATTGAGAGACAACTGAACTGGCGAGCGCTCATTTTTCTTCTTCAATATTTCATACCCCCCCTGGGAAATCGCTTCAGCTATTATCCCTATTTTCCGCCTGAGAGTCTTCGTATTGAGATTTGAGGATGGCCTTGAGAACGGCCTTTTCAGTCCAGTGCGAGAGATAGTGTATTGTACATGGAAACGAGTTGAGAATCCTCATTTCAGTTATTTACGGTATTCTCTAAGGTATTTGGTATAGTCTTGACATTAAGTAGGTATCGACGGTTGATCTATTCACGTGCATCATTTCTATGATAGTCCAATGCAATGCAACATCCAAACTCCTTATCTCGTAACCAAAAAAAAGGTCACATAAAAGACTCCTTGCAATGCAAATAACCCATGTCGAGCTAGCAAAAGGCGAAACCAAACCTCAATCACTCACGAACTGGTATCATCCAAGGATATGGATGTCGAGAAGGGAAGCAGCGACAGTGATAGTCCCTACATCCCCTCCAAGACATCCCGCACCGAGGGATCCCAACCCCCAAGTATCTCTTCCAACCGCTTCATCGACCAAAACCCCGCCACTACCAGCTCCTGCAGTGAAGCGCTCGTGAAATCATTCATGCCCTCCATATCATCCGGCCTGACCCTCCAAACCAGATCCTCATCATCGACTTCACAGCACGTCAAATATGGCAACTAAGCCATGGTTTTTGAACCCTGCCAATGCGTCCGATTCACCATCAACGGCATCACAAATTGCTTCATTTCCTCTTTAAACTCGGTCAGTACGTGCGGAACATGGCCCACATCCCTCCTGGTTAATTGGACGTTATTAATAAAGCGCACTTGCTCACCTGTATTCAAGTATCGATCCCCGCCTGTCGCGATGGCACGGTAGAATTCGGCTCCGCCATCGTCAGCGTTATGTGCGTGTCTTTTGTATACTTTATGGCAAACCCACTGTCTGTATACGAGCGCTGCTGCTTGCGTCTGTCTTTCCTCGATGGGTACGGTGTCCCCGTCCTTGTTTGTAAGTACGATGTCGGTAGGGTAATGGGCTAGGATGGTGTTGTTAATGGCGATTTTGCGTTGGAGGAGATTGAAGAATTTGATGTCGCAGAGTCTATGGATCCAGGGTGGAAGGCAGCTGCGCTGTTCTTGGGATATTTTGGTCCAATTTCCAACGAGATGGACGATGGTGTCTTTGAGGATATCCGCGGACTGAATTCGGTCTGCCAGACATGTCCAATTGATCGGGAGCTTGGGTATGGAGTTGTAGAGTTTCTGGTCGGGAACGAGCGCGTTGGTGATGGCTCCACTGATGAAATTGCTCGCTTGGATGGTATGCGCTATATCGAACAGCCCGCAGCCGAGTGTCGGTACATTGTCGATGCCAAAAGCGTATAGATCCGGGCTGATACCGTAGAAGGACTTGAAAATGTCCAACCAGTGGCTGCAGGTCGTTTCCGGCCAGGGAGGAGATACAGCTACGTTTTCTACTTGCCGGACGAAATCGGCAATTACCTATCGCACTATCAGCACTTACTCCAACACATCTTGAAAGGTGAATTGCATGCATGCATACATACATGAACTTCCAAAACCCCATGCCTAGACCTCTCCGACTTAACTAACACCAATTCAATATACGGAAGATCATCGCCATCATCGTCATCATCGTTATTATCGTCCAGCATCTTCTACATATCGCGAGCTTTTGCGAGAACAGCCTTGAAGAACCCCGAGTGTCTAGATAGAACCTGCGAATGAAACTGGTAGTGTTCTGAGGATATGGTGATGCCGACATCGCCGTCTGGGAAGTATGGGAAGCCAAAGAAGAAGGGCAAGGGGCGTTCAAGGGCCATTTTCTTTTCTCTGTTTTTGTAAACAGATATGTGAGGGAGGGTTTATTGAATATTCAAGTAGATAGTAGATACAAGTTGATAAGATAGACTGCCAAAAAGGTAGGATTGAGATGAGTCGACTGCATGTTGAGGTTTTTGTAGGAAGGAAGCAATTACGGCCACAATGACATTCGCATATCTTGCAAGTTTCATCTTGACAATCTGCTTCAATGAAAATATCAATCTGCTTTGACATGTTTTGTATGAGCAGTCTTTGTTGTCTTCGTTTTGAAAGAGAACATGACACAATGAACCGGAAGCCCTGCCAAAGAGATGGATGGTATGGTATGGTACAAAGGAACCGACCTAGTCAGTCAACAAGAGAAGTAATGTTTCGTAAGTTGAAAGCAAGTTTTGTGAAACGGCATTGTGTGGAACGGTACATTGTCCAAATTATGAGCAAGGATGCTGGTGGAGTAGTCGATTATAAGTGGTTTATAAGTGCATAGTCATTCAAATCCAAGGGACCAAGATGGGATCAAAGATGCACGCATCCAGGATGTTCCAACGGTGGCAATTCCCGATAGATATCCGGAGATGGCAGATCCAGCACGGTGCCTGGGGAATAAAAGGATAATGCCCCGAACGCATCGATAAGGGAAAACGGGGGGTAAGTAGAACTTTCAATGATGATTTATTAAGAAGCTTTCGAGACCGCAGGCCAGTGTCAAAACCATTGAACACCCAGAGAAAATAAGAACGCCGTATAGTATGCTCATATCTACATGTAGCTCGTGGACAGCATCAGTGTGTATCGAAGCCCCTGACTGATGCAACATGAAATCAGCTGGATGCTCCCGCAAAGACTCAACATGGCTGTGAGAAATAATCCAAAGCACCTCTCAAACCAAAAAATAGAAAATGAAAAGGATACAGAAAAAGAGACAAAAGCACCTGTACACCGTGAAACAACCAAAAGAATATAGGCATATACTGCCAACAGGAGATGAGTGTAGCCAAAACCGGGATTAGAACAATAGAAAGCCAAAAATCCGCCTTTTCATCACCCCGTCACACAAGAGCAAGAGGTTGGTCAACCTCTTCAAGCAAGGTGACCACAAAAAAAAGATCGAAGCAAATGGCCAGATATGGAGCGAGCACCAGTCAGCAATATCTGCAAAGGTGCTTAGCAGATTCCAACGGAATCAACCAAGGCCAGCTTGAATGGCATCCATCAAAAGGGATCCGGACTTCCTAGGATTCTGGCTCCACTGGAAGGCATTTTGATATCAAATAAAACATAATTTATCCGGTCTAATATCCCTGGATAGAGATTTGAAGATTTTGGTCCAAAAAAAGAAAAATTGTAGGAAAAAAAATTGAAGAAGAGACGCATGAAAAAAATTGCTTTTTTTCAAAACATTATCGTCAAGTTCTTCTTTCCAAAAGTGATTGTGATCCCGGGGCACCAGAAAGGTTGTAATTAAATCCGGGAGTTCTCCAATAACTCGGTTAAGTAATATTAGAAAATATCCTCTACCGAGGCCGGCGAGGCTGGGTCTCTCTGGCCGGTTGTGGCCTAGGGTTGCGGTCAGGGTATGTTGCCGAGTCGGGAGTATATCTAGGGTCCATTCCTATCCGGGGGTCTGGGGCTGTAGTGGCAGGGTAAGGCATTCCAGAGGTCACAGGGGAATAGTCTGGCTCGGCATCATAACCAGGCCCAGTATATCTAGGGGCGTTGTTTCTCCCAGCATCGTAGGCATAAGGCGCGTTGCTCGTGTATGTGTATGTTGGGTGCATATCAGCAGTGACTGCCGGCTGGCTTGGAGCAGAGTAGGGAATCTGGGGAGGGTAGGTATTCTGACTTGATCCAAAGGGCGAGTGACTGGTTGGGTAGGTAGGTTGAGTTGGGTACGGTGGACTCTGGGTCGCACTGTATGGGTGGCTCTGGGGATAGTCCATGTATGGTGGCTGAGCAGGGGGAACACTGTAAGTGGGAGGAGATGGTCCTGGCTGCGGGCGCCCTTCATGCATCGCAGAGCCCGAGTAGCTTGCTGAAACTGGAGGGGGCTGTGAGATGCTGTAGTCTTGTTGGATATAGCTGCCTCGGGGATAGCCTTGGTCAGCCCGACGCGACACATCTGCCTCCCAGCGAGCAGAGTCGGCCTTGAGATCAGCAATCATTTCCTGTAGCGCAGTCGAGTCAGCTTCAAATTCTATACATCACATCACAAGATCCCTCCATAAAAGTGCCTCGACTTACAGATGTGAGATTCCGGTAGGCACGAATGAAAAATCCCTGACGACCCTGTTTGCAAGTCAGTAAGAATTCAAGGGGGAGTAAACAGTATTTTCAAAGAGATTCGGAAGGCAGACATTATGGTTTCCAGGTCTTACGAGCGCATCATTTCCAAGGTAGCGGCAAATGTCTGCTTGGATGACTTCCCGGCTGATACCATCGCCGGGAATGAAATACTCATTTTGACGCTCCGGGCGTGCATCATATCCGTGGCGTCCAGTCATTGTGTCCAGGGAGAGTAAAAAAGGTCACCGGTATTAAGAGATTAATCACAATAGGGATCCAAGTGGCCACAATTCAAAAGTCCGGAGATGTTATAGGAATAGCCGAGGTCCAGGAAATGGGAGAGATTGCCGGCAGAAAGGAATTCTTTGGGTTGATTGGAAGAAGAAAAGTACAGTTCTATTAAGACTGTGTCCAGGAAAATCCAGGGCTGGTAATGAAAGCTAATTCGACTTTTTTTTTTCTCCTTTTTTTCTTTCTTTTTTGTCTTTTGTCTTTCTCTTTTGTGCACACACAAACGCAACGCAATGCAGAATAGGCAGGGCGTCAATAATCCAGGGAGGGTCCAGGTCTGGTCACTTTGCTTCAAGTCCGGGCGAACGAATTATCCAGGGGTTGATCAAGAAAACTGTTCAACAGAAAAAAGAAAAATCCTCAAGAGGTTTCTTTCCAGCAGAGAAGGGAAGAGTTGTTGTGGTTGTTGAAGAATCGAAGGAGGATTCAAGGAAATAAAAGCGTTGATGGGAGGGGCAACCAGGAAGATAGATCCTTTTCCACGGGGGGGGCTCTCCTCTTTTTGTCCAAGAGAATAAGTGTATTTTCCAACACTTATTGAACACAGAGGTCTGCGTGAATTAATATCCCTTTTATATTTCCAACTGGCCGGGAAAAAAAAAAAAAGCCAGAGTAATCCAGGGAGTTAAGGAAGAGAGGGAGGGGTGGGGGGAGAAGGGAGGCCGAAAGAGATGGGAGAGAAAGAGAGGAAAGGAAGAGAGAGGAGAGTCAGAGAAGACGGGGAGATAAGAAAGAAAAGACGACGCAGGGAAGATCGGGCGTGAGGAAGAGAAAGCGTGAAAAGAAAGAAGAGGGGGGGCGAAGGAAAACGAGGGTGTTGTGGGCTCTGAATGAGTCGAAGCGGTTGGCTTGGGCGGTTGGGCCGGTTTTCCCTTTGGGCTGGTGTCTGGTGCCACGCCGACTCCACCGCTGATTGGCTGTAGAGGTCATCAGAAGCACAATGACAGAGGAGTGGCCAGAGCATGCATATCGACTAATAGGGCTTAGAAGAGAAGGAAAGGCTGAGGGGGGGGGCGACAGAGTGCAGAATATTCTCTAGCCGCCGTGGATCAACATGAGACAAAGAAAGATGCAAATGTTTCTACGAGAGTCCAATGGGAGACTGGTTCATATCGTCGTTCAATAGTGATGCTGCCATCGATCTGCCCTCATTTCAACCATTCCCAGCCTTCATTATTTTCGTGTTGTAGTAAGTAGTCTTTTTTTTTGTTTTTGTTTATTATGAGATGCTCGGTTTCTCCGCTTTGGACCCATCGTGGTACCACGGGTCCAGGAGTATTATTCGTTCCCAAAGTGTGGGACAGGAGGGCGGTGATATCAAAGCAGTCATGGCCACCACATGAACAGGCCGGTGTAGCCTCACTATTGGTACTCTGCTGAGTGATGCTGATGATGATGCTATGCTTTTGCACTTTTCAGCTGAAAGGACAGTCCTCCAGCCTCCCAGCAGGAGGCAAAAAATAAAATAATCTGATCATGACCGCATCTGGTCGACAGGCCCTGGTGTATGGCTTGGTTTGATTTTGGGTATCCCTGTATGAGTCAGTAGTGTGACCTCAGTTTTCTTTCCAAGGCTCTTTTCGTAGGCAGAAAACAGAGCAACGCAACGCAACGCAAAAGAAAAAAAATCATAGCCAGATGACAGAAACGGACGAGATTCTCATCGAAGTTTCAATAATAACATGTCCAGTCCATGAAAATACCCCGAGATGGACGCATATTATTAGATGTTTGGAGGGGGGGTTGACTCACAGCCCACCGTGAGGAGATGCCATCCCCGTCTGCCAACACATCAGCTCTTCTTCTGCAGCGGAACTGGATGGAAGCAGCTCCAATCCGTCTGGCTGGCTGTTCAGCCAATCACAGTGCTGCATTCCCTTGCCACGGACTCGCTGTTGGGCACAAATGCAGTTCGGGTATGCATGCCTGATTCCGCTCCAGGCTCCAAGGCATCAAGGCTCCAAGGCCGCCATCGTACTTTGCTTTCTTTTCCCGCGGCTGTTGGAGATCTTCGCTTCGCTTGCCACAGTACTTTTGTTTTTTTCTTTTTTTTTTTTTTTTTTTTTTTTTTTCGCTCGTTGGATTTCTACAAATTCGCCTCCCTCGCACGGATTCGAGTTTGGCTGATTTTCAGTCGATCGGAGGCAACATATTATTGCGGTGTGCTGATATGAGGGCAATGTGCAGTGCATCGATATCAGCATCCCACATGCACACCATGACGTCTGGCGCTGTAAGTCCAGCGGTGAGACGCAACGCCTCGTCCTGCTTGCTCAAATAACATCAGACCAGGTGTCCTTTTCCTGTATCTTAGTGCGGATAGAATGTTCGATTACGTGCTGTCTAAGCTGAGTAGGCTTTTTCCAGAGAGAATTAGTGAACCTAGAAACTTGTAGTTCGACACTACAATAAGGCCGTACGAGATGATGATGAATAAGCTCAGGCATCATTAGGTACTCTATAGAAGAGTATCTATTATGTCCAATGGGCATATTTTCTGTATGACTAAATATGGGCATGTGAAGGTTCTTCAGACCAGAGGCAAGCAGAGATAGAGGATATAGGATAGAGAGGAATTGGACGTTGCAATGCATAGAACTACTTATATCATCATCTCAGATTGATCAAGAGCTATCTTCATAACTCCTTATTAGTGTTGAGGATTCGATAATATATCTTGTGGCATAGGATTGGTTAAGATGGTGATATATATATTCGCCTTCACTCAAAATTATGTATGAAGATAAATTTATATATCCAGATAATGACTTCATACAAAGTCACCAAAGCTGCCCTTAACATGCTAACAGTGTTGTGTGCGCACCTGCTGTATTACTGAATCTGTTCCTAGTCAAAACCATCTGTGCAGTGCTTGAAAACAGGTATGGGTACTTCCCATACTGATCTCCCAGCTCAAGTGGGAGTCAAGGCAGCCCATCTTGGATAAGATCCGTAGCATTAGAAAAGAAGGAAATGGAAGTTTCTTCAACAATCATGTCCCTGATTGGGAGAATAACCTGGGTGCCAACCTGTATGATGGGAGGAATTGCCATGGTAGTCTGGATAGGTAAATATGAAGTTATTCAGATAAAATAAACACATGAAGCGCAGAAAGGAGAAAGCAATCTAATTGGTCAAGCATGCCCAAACTGATCAAACACAGATGCTGATCGGTCAGTGCGGTCTATAGATGGGACGGCATTATTTGATGTCTTCAGTGGGAGCAATTCAGCAGAATCCAAGTATGCGAAACTGCCCGTACTGCCATGCTCCAATGTCATCCCATTGATCCAGTGATTCGTTTATATAAGGGTTTGGCTGTTTGCAGAATTGGAGGTCAGACTGTCAAGATGCCTTCTCTGATAATATTGGCTCTTCTACAAGTTACAACAGATCCATGATGTGGAGTGATGTCGCATCAATTTGATGTCATGAAGCACTACTGTATCTAGATGAACCACTCACTGTCTCTAGTGCGTTACCAGATCTTGATTCCCAAGCGTTTGGGCTCAGCACTATATCTAAAGTGGTTACCTTCTCTCGTATAGTTTGCATGCTACTGGCTGGATCGACACTACACTTAAGTGGGGTGCGATTTTAGCGAGTATCGTGAAGACTTTGACGCGATTATTTCCAATGAGGAGCAGAATTACCAGATGATACTCTGTCTACCGCCTCTTCTGAGCGAGGGGTTTCTGTATCTGTGGGAAATTAGACTTTCTTAGTGGTGGTTGATGGGATGAAATGAGACCAGCATTGGTTGATATCGTATGCTAGATCAGCAACTACTCCAGTCACTCTGGGACCCTTTTGTATCGGCCTGGCAATACAGTACGGCTTCTTCCATGGACTTGGTAATATTACCCAGGCCCATTATATATGGCGAACACACTCAGAAAAGACCAGTATTGCTTTCATATACTCAATTGGTTCTAGTCAGATTGTTTCCCTAGGCCAGCTCACCATGTCGACTCCCATTGCTATCTGTGGTATCGGATTGAGGCTTCCAGGTGGCATCTCAACCCCAGCTCAGCTCTGGGACTTTCTCCTGGAGAAGAAGAATGCGAAATCCCGAGTCCCCGAGAGTCGATATAATGTTTCCAGCTACTATTCCAAGTCTGGAGGAAACGGTGTGATCAAAACAGAGCATGGGTATTTCCTGGATGACAACCTTGCTGCCCTTGATACCAGTTTCTTCAGCTTTACCAAGGTGGAACTGGAGGCGGTTGACCCTCAGCAACGCTTGCTGCTTGAAGTGGTTCGGGAGTGTTTGGAAAGTGCCGGCGAAGTTGACTACAGAGGCAAGGATATCGGTTGTTTTGTGGGATCTTATGGCGATGACTGGATCCAAAACCTCTTTCACGACCCCCAGATGTATTCCAAGTATCCATTGATGGTTGGTGGTGATTTTTCCATTCCCAACCGCATCTTGTACGAGTATGATCTTCGTGGACCCAGTATGATGATCCGCACCGCGTGCTCTTCAGCCACTGTCGGTCTGCATGAGGCATGCCTGGCCATACAGAGAGGAGAGTGCTCAGCGGCGATTGTCGGAGGCTGCAACCTTGTCATGTCCCCTACTATGACTGCTATCATGTCGCGAAAGGAGTTCTCTCGAATGACGCCACCTCCAAGACCTTTGATGCCGACGCTGATGGATATGGCCGTGGAGAGGCCATCAATGCCATCTATATCAAACCATTGGCAGATGCCATTTGTGATGGAAACCAATAAGAGCTGTTATCAGGGGCACTGCAACAAACTGCGATGGCAAAACCAGTGGAGTGAATGTTCCTAGCGCCCTTGCTCAGGAGAATGTAATACGCAAAGCATATGCCGCTGCTGGAATCGACGACATCTCGGACACTCCATTTGTGGAGTGTCACGGGACCGGGACTGCGGTTGGGGACCCCATCGAAGTGGCAGCCATTGCCAACACATTTGGGGATAGAGGCATTTACATTGGCGCTGTCAAGCCGAATATTGGACACTCTGAAGGTGCATCTGGTCTTACCTCACTTATCAAGGCAGTGCTAGCCCTGGAGAATCAGGTCGTCCCCCCAAACATTAACTTCAACACACCAAACCCCAGGATCCCCTTCGCAGAAAAGAAGTTAACAGTCCCCGTTGAGTCAACTCCATGGCCTCAGGATCGTGATGTCAGAATCAGCGTGAACAGTTTTGGTATGGGGGGAGTTAATGCCCACGTTGTCCTTGAGTCTGCTGAAAGCTTCACTCCTCCCTGTTCACCAACAGAAGCTACTGCCAAAGCGGTGTCATTGCTGGTATTTTCAGCCAACACCTCCAGTTCCCTCCATCGCTTGATGGACGAGCATCAGCAATACCTGCAGATCCACCCTGACTCTTTGGCTAACATGGCCTACACTCTGGGGGTAAGACGAGAGCACTTGCCATTCCGCGCAGCGTCCATCGTACGGCAGGGCTCGTCTATAGCTGTTACGACGCAGATGACGAAGAGTTCCTCATCACCGCCAAAGGTGGTCTTCGTGTTTACTGGTCAAGGTGCTCAATGGCCTGGGGTGGGAGTTGCACTTTACAAATCCAATCCAACATTTAGACGATCCATTTTAGGGTTGGAAGAAATCTTGTGCACTCTACCACAAGCCCCTACCTGGTCCATAATCGATGAGATGATGAATCCAGTCGAAAAGAGTAACCTTCACAAAGCCAGCTATGCGCAACCTATCTGCACTGCAGTACAGATCGGGCTTGTTGACACTCTAACTCGAACTTGGAGTCACTCCATACGCGGTCGTCGGCCACTCATCCGGTGAGCTTGCGGCAGCTTATACAGCCGGTAAACTGACTGCACGAGAAGCCTTTATTTTTGCATTTTATCGTGGTGTTCTGTCTGAGCATGTCAAGAAGACTGGAGGCATGGCGGCTGTAGGAATGTGTAAAGAGGAAACCAATCAATTCTTGGTTCCTGGAGTGGCCATTGCCTGCGACAACTCACCATCCAGTGTTACAATCTCAGGTGATCTAGAGGAGCTGGTGAACGTCATACAAGCAATCAAAAAACCACGACCAGATGTATTGGTCCGACAACTGAAGGTTGATTTGGCGTATCATTCCCCCCACATGAAAGATCTCGGGGACACATATCGTTCTCATATGGAGTGCTTTGCCACAAACTCCTCAACCGCACGTTCACCTCCCGTCCACTTCTACTCAAGCGTCACTGGAACTTGTTTGGATGACTCTGCTACTCTGGGCCCTCAGTACTGGCAGTCCAACCTTGAATCGCCTGTTCTCTTCCGTACCGCAATCCAAGGGCTCATATCTGATAACAATGGTCAATTCCTGTTCTTAGAGATCGGTCTCCATTCGGCGCTCTCTGGCCCAACTTGGTCGAAGGGATTTGGAAAGCCGTGATCCTATAATGACATTGACTGTGGGGTCATATGGTACCCTGGATTCACTCACAGGAGCTGCTAGCGTCAATGAGAATGTTATACAAGACGATCAAGTCGAAATTGAGGTAGATACCGTCGGGGTTAACTTCAAGGTACGCTATATATACACACCCACCAGAACTTCTGCCCCGCGCTAAAAGGTTGCTGATACTTGTACCAGGACGTACTCGTCACTCTAGGTATTGTAAATGTAGCGGACAATAGACTAGGTCTAGAGGCCACAGGGGTTGTACGCAAGGCTCAAAAGTGCGCGATCTTTCCCCCGGAGACCGTGTCTTTGCAGTCGGTGCAGGATGTTTTGCAACAAAGATAGTCGTATCTTCTACACAGTGTACAAAGATCCCAGATCATCTATCATTGCAAGATGCCGCAACCATGCCTCTCATTTTTGGAACAGTGTATCTACTCTCTCATTGACATTGGACAACTGGAAAGGTCCCAGGTACGTGTAAGTTTACCTGATTGACAGGAGAGCCACGCTTATGTTCATAGTAGACTGTCCTTATCCACGCTGCATCCGGGGGTGTAGGGATTGCTGCCATCCAGATCTGCCAAATGCTTGGAGCGACCATTTACGCAACCGTAGGCAGCGACGAGAAAGCCGAACATCTCATGAAAACCTATACTATTCCACGAGAGCATATATTTAATTCTCGAGATTCCTCATTCCTCCCTGGAGTAATGAAGGCAACCAATGGCCGCGGTGTTGATATCGTGCTGAACTCGCTTTCTGGAGAGCTGTTCCGTGCTTCATGTGAATGTGTCACTGACTGTGGTAAATTGATAGACCTTACTAAAAAAGATCGTCCCAGGGGTGCACAGCCTGCTATGCTGTTGCGCTCAAACGCTGTGTATGCAGCTGTCGATTTGACGGATTATGTCAGGCTAAGGCCAGAGAAATGCAAACAGTATGTTCGCAGATCCTTATGTCCTGGCCCCAATGCTAACGTACAATGCCAGACTTCTCCAGAGGATTTTAGGCCTCTACACACAAGGTTATATCTGCCCTGTTCGTCCGGTTCAGACATTTGCGGCAGACTCAGTGGTCGGTTGCCTCCGATATATGCAGAGCGGCCGGCATGTTGGCAAACTCCGGATCTCATTCAATAGCCCGGGGAAGCAGCTAGAGCCCTCATTCCCTCAAGAGTCTATGACTTTCCGCAGTGACGCTACCTATCTGCTCGTAGGGGGCTTAGGAGGGCTGGGTAAGGGAATCGCACGGTGGATGGCCGAACATAATGTGAAAAACTTGATGTTTTTGTCTCGAAGCGCAGGGGCTACTGTGCCAAACCAAGAGCTTTTCTGTGAGCTCGAGAGTCAAGGGTGTTCCGTAACTGTTGTCCAAGGAAACATCTGCAATGTGACTGATGTTGAAACTGCGATTTCATCGGCACCAATGCCACTGAAGGGAATTATCAATCTTTCCATGGTGCTAGAAGATAAATCGCTACTGCAGATGTCTCTGGACGAATGGAACACTGCCACAGGACCAAAAGTGCAAGGCACTTGGAATTTGCACAAGGTGTCCGCGGGTCTCGACCTTGACTTCTTTATGCTTCTCAGCTCCATGTGTGGTATTCTTGGTATGCCTGGTCAGGCCAGCTACGCTTCAGCAAACACATTTATGGACTCATTTGTCCAATATCGTCACAGTCTTGGCTTGCTTGCATCTGTCATCGACCTTGGTGCAGTTGACGGCATTGGTCACGTTGCTGACAACCCGCAAGTCCTGGAACGTTCCAAGTGGATGAAGCACCTCATCATGAGCCAGGAAGAGCTATTTAGCACTGTAACTGTTGCAATAAGTCGGAGTCTCCCATCTCAGGATGAGACGGAGTATTCTGGCTACACGAATCCCGCTCAGATAATGACTGGGTTCCGCAACACGACAACGGCGAGCGCGGCAGATTCATTTAATGGCAATACATTATTTTTTTGATGGCCGCTTAGCGACATACTTGAATAACAACACTGAGGAAAATGTCATTGATCAATCGACGGGTCAAAATCAACTGAGCCATTTTGTTGCTGCGGTAGCCGCGGAGCCCAGCAATTTAACCGAGCCTTCTGCTGGTGAATTTATTTCCAAGCAGATCGCGCACTATGTCTTCGATCTCATGTTGAAGCCCGTCGATGATGATTCCGAGATTGACCTCTCGCGCTCACTGTCCGATGTTGGTGTTGATAGTCTTGCTGCGGTAGAAGTACGATCTTGGTTGAAGTCCACCATTGGACTCGACATCAGTGTCCTGGAAATCATGTCATTGGCTAGCTTTGTTGCACTTGGAGATCTCGCACTTCGGGGACTGAGGCAGAGGTTTGCCTCGAAAGAATAAAGGGAAGGAAGAGAAGCATCCCCGCTTGGGAATTTGAATTGCTTGCGATCACGTTTACCGTACTGTTACCATGAAGCAAAACTTCGACAATATTGGATACATAATGTATCTCGAAAGCACAAGTCGTTCAAGTGAAGAATTGAATTGAACGTTGTTGAAAGTACTGGGTTGATGTCACTGTAGACAGTAAGCCAGACAAGCTAACCCCTTTCGGCGTAGAGCCGTGGACCAACTCATCCCCACCATGGAATTCCAGCTTCACGTTTTTGAATCTCTCGCAATGATTTCCATACCGCAAGCAATTGGTAGTCTACACTGAGAATACCGTGATACACTCACGATACCCCCTTCCAATGAGATCCGCCATGACTGTATCACCCTCGAGATGTCGCGCTCTTCCCCGGAACCTTTCCTCGCCTCGTCCTCCCCCGGCGATTCCCTGAAACCCCAATCTCGCTACACCTATCGTCAATTACAACTTCTTCGCCAGAACTCGACCGCGTGCCCATTGCGCGTTATTGCCCACGTCGATCTCGATGCCTTTTACGCTCAATGTGAGATGGTCCGTCTGGGGACGGAACGCACGACGCCCCTTGCTGTTCGACAATGGGACTCGCTCATTGCCGTGAACTACCCCGCCCGATCGTCTGGGATTAGCAGAATGATTTCTGCGGCTGAGGCGCGGAAGCTCTGTCCGAATATTGTATTACAGCATGTTGCGACCTTTCGAGAAGGCGAGGGTGGGAGATGGGCGTATAGGGATGACTCGTTCAAAAATATTAGCACGGATAAGGTCTCGCTGGATCCATACCGGGCAGAATCACGGAAAATATTGAGTGTGATGAAGGAGGAACTGTCGCGATGGCATGCGGATTTGGTCGGCGATGAATCCGTGCATGGGCAGATACAACCTGCTGGTCTTGAGAAAGCTAGTGTGGATGAGGTTTTCATTGACCTGTCGTCTTTGGTATTTGGGGTTCTGCTTCGAAGGTATCCGGAATTGCGAGCATCGCATGGTAGTGATGAAAAAGTGGCGTTGTTGCCTCATCCGCCGACAACGGCGTTGGAGTGGAATGCTGAGGACTGTCTGGTTGACTTGGACGAGAAAGAGACTGAAGTCGATGACCCTGACTGGGACGATCTTGCTATGCTTATAGGGTCAGAGATTGTTCGGTCAGTTCGGGCAGCCATTTGGGACAGACTCACTTATACCTGTTCTGCGGGAATTGCGAGGAACAAGATGATGGCGAAGCTTGGGAGCGGCTGTAACAAGCCGAATAAACAAACAGTTATTCGAAACCGAGCAGTCCAGAACTTTCTTGGAGGATTCAAATTCACCAAAATTCGGATGCTCGGAGGCAAGTTAGGAGATCAGGTATCTGCGTTCTTTGGAACAGAGCAGGTTAATGATCTTCTCAACGTTCCCCTTGAACAGTTTCGGGCCAAGCTAGACGATGATACCGCTGCTTGGCTATATGGCATTATCCGTGGAGACGACAGAAGTGAAGTCAATCCCAGAACGCAAATAAAGTCTATGCTGTCAGCCAAGTCGTTTAGGCCAAGTATAAACTCCGCTGAGCAGGCAGATAGATGGCTACGCATCTTTGCCGCTGACATATACGGTCGCCTAGTTCAGGATGGGGTGCTTGAGAATAGACGCCGTCCAAAAACGATCACTCTGCATCATAGGCAAAATGCTCAAGTCAGATCTCGTTCGATGCCAATTCCAGGCTCGAAACATGTCGACGAGATGGTGCTCTTCGAGCTTGGTAAAACTCTGCTTCGACAGGTCATGGATGATGCGCGTGCGTGGCCTTGTGCGAATCTCTCGTTAAGCGTTGGCGGGTTCGAAGATGGTGTCACCAAAAATCAAGCAATTGATGGGTTTCTACTTCGTGGAGCTCACGCTAAGACTTTGGGTCATTCTACGAGAGAGCTGGATGATGAACCAATGGCAGAAAAACAACCTGATGGGAAGCGCAGGAAAGTTGAAGATAACAAAGGTATAAGGCAATTCTTCACCAAACCGCCGGATGTTGACAAGGCTCCATCTCAGCTCGCTGAGACAACGGCCGAAGAATCACAAATATATGATCCAGAAACAGGACACTCGGCAGATCGTGTCGAAAGCCATGGTCCTATGTCTCCTTCCGAAGATACCGTGGATCACTATTCGGATATTCCGCTAGGACTATACACCTGCAGCCAGTGCGGCAAATCAATACCAGAATATGAAAAGAATGAACACGACGACTGGCATTTCGCTAAAGAGCTGGAAAACGAAGAAAGACAAGCAGCGAGAAGCTCTCAGCAGACATCACGTCCGATAGCTACTTCGGGTCCGTCTCGTAGCCGAGGCGGTCGTGGTCGTGGTAAGCCGGAGAAAGGGCAGATGCGACTTACTTTTGGGTAGAGCTACTATGTACAAATTGAATAATTGTATACCGACATCTTATAGCATATACTGTACTGTTATTTCTCGGACGTTTATAACTGCTTGTCTTACTCCTGTTGTTAATAAGCGGTCATTGATATCGCCACACTAGGGCTGAGCCCCAGATCATGATGTGGCTGACTGAAGTGGTCAGCTCAGCTGTCAGCATCCATCTGGGAATACTACTACACAAGTGCGAAACGGCATATATAAGGCTCAATGTACATGCTGAAGAGCTGCTGAGAGCACGCTGTGGTAGTGAAACTTGATTTTTTTTTTTTTTTTCAAAGTGACTAGGCTGACGCGGGAAACAGATGCAGCTATATCAACATGGAGCACATGTTCATTCATGTCAAAAAGCCGGGAGATGCCCTCAATTTAGCAAAAGGATCTCCAGTTCGATCGCACGTGGCTCGTCAGCAGTGGAAAAGCCATAATGAACAGCGATTGCTAGCTGCATCTTCGACGGCTGTGAGACGGGAGGAATTCCTTCCGATCCGTGTCGAATTAGACTGTTCAGCCCTGCAACCGAAAGGTGGTGATCCTGCAATAGCATCAAGTCAAGAAATTGTCAATCCTCATAGTGACTTTCTTTCAATACCGCCCTTAATAGGCGGGTTTCGGGTCGATCCGTTCAGATCCTACCCAATCCCATGGAGACCTTTTATCCCGCCACTCGTGGACCATTGTAAGGATCATATACACAGATCTCCGATGCGTGAGACTAACAGGACTGTTACATCAGATCTGGGAACCATGGCAGTTGACATCCCCGAGCTCGACCAGCCGGGAAACCGGGGACTACTCCGAACGAGCTGGTTCCCACTAGTGATGACCGAGCCATGCCTGTTCCTGGTCATCGTGCTGCTTGCGGCATCAAACTATGCATCCGTGCACCAAACCTCCATGGATCTGAAACTTAATCTCCTCAGTCTGCGATGCGAAGCTGTGAACTCGATCAACCGCGCCTTGGACGATCGACATGGTGCCGTAGACGACGCGCTAGTGGGCGCAATAGCTAAAATGGCAAGCTACGAAGCCATGTTTGGCGATCTGGATAATTACAGCGTGCATATGCAGGGCCTTCGGCAAGTCGTCGGGCTACGCGGTGGTTTGCCATCGCTCGGTCTGAATGGTTTGCTTCGTCGGATGGTGGTTTGGATCGATCGCAACGGAGCCTTTCTTAATGGATCGTCGCTATATTTCCCCGGTGCTACTTTTGCTCCTGGTCAACCATTGCCTGATCCTAACCCTGGCCACTTTCTGGGAGCTTCCTAGTCGACCCTTTCGGAATTCATAGATACCCCCGAGCATAATCACACGGAGTCAAGCGGAAATAACGGATTTTTTCGAATTTAAGCTCTATCTTCTCTTCCATATGAATCATCCACATATCCAGATGGATCCCGTCACTACCCGCCATTACCGCTTTCGTCAGTTGCTGCCATTTAGGGTTCCAAACATTCCCGATTAAGGCATCACATCAGCCCCACCACAGCAGATCTCCGACATTCAGCCAATCACATCTTCATATGTGACATATTTTTCGTCATCGACAGCCTGAAATGCTCCACTCTTCCCTTCTGGGATAACGCATCCTAAGCCAATCTAAACTGCTGGCGGCCAATCACAGCCGATTCTGGCTTGTCTCATCTGTGAGCAGTTCAGCTGAAGTTCAGCTGAAGGTGGGATGGAACACATACGCAATCATGAGCGGGGGATAAATAGAGCACAATGGTTCTCCAGAGAGCTCTAAAGATCCTTCATCAATCCTCTTCATTTACAACGCTTGAATAATTCAACTTTCAAACCACCATGTCTCTCACTGGAAAGGTCGCTCTCGTCACTGGAGGCGCAAAGAACCTGGGCGCTGAGATCGCCCGCCAACTGGCCGCTGAAGGTGCCAGTCTGTCCCTCCACTACAACTCGGCCAGCTCCAAGAACGATGCCACTCAGCTGGAAGCTGAGCTGAAGCAGAAATTCCCCTCGTCCAAGGTCGCCTTCTACCAGGGCGATTTGACCTCTGCTGCGGCCGTCACCAAGCTGTTCAAGGATACTGTGCAGGAGTTCGGAAAGGTTGACATTGTTGTCAACACGGTCGGCAAGGTCCTCAAGAAGCCCATTGGCGAGATTAGTGAGGAGGAATATGACTCTATGTTTGCGTATGTCGCTCTGTTCTATACTGTCTAGTATCTACGATGGCTGATCTGATTGATTCTTAGGATCAACTCCAAGGCTGCTTTCTTCATCCTGAAAGAGGCTGCTGCCCATGTGTCGGATGGTGGTAAGATCATCTCGATTGTCACTGCTCTGCTGGGCGCTTTCACCGGCTTCTACACCTCTTATGCCGGAAGCAAGGCGCCAGTTGAGCACTTCACTCGGTAAGAACTCTTGGTCTGTGATAGAAGATCCTTATACTGATATATCCAACAGTGGTGTCTGCAAGGAACTGCAAGGTCGTCGCGTCAGCGTCAACTGTGTCGCACCGGGTCCTATGGACACTCGTGAGTTGCCTCTATCTTGACTATATCTGAGACAAACGACTAATCGTTTTCATTTATAGCATTCTTCTACCCCCAGGAGTCTCCCGAGGCCGTCGAATTCCACAAGGCCAACGGTATGGGCGGACGTCTTACCGAGGTCAGCGATATTGCGCCCATTGTCAAGTTCCTGTGCACTGAAGGGACCTGGATTACTGGTCAAACCCTCTTTGCCAATGGTGGATACACAACTCGGTAAAGGATTGAAGATAGCCATGGGTTATGGTGGGACGAACCTCGTCTGATGGATGATGACATCAGTATAACCATGAAATATTCTCTATGATGTTTATATTATAATGAAAGTTATGAATTTATCATTTCGATTCGAATGTACAGCCTTGTTATTCTGGTGATGATGGATACGATGATGTAAAGACAGAAATATATATCAAAGCTAATCCCATCATCGACCCACGGGTCAAATGAGCCAAATTAAGCTTAATAGAAATATCCGAGAAGGTACATGCATATCAAAATAAATCCTCATCCTCCTGTCTTGTCATAAAACGTGCGAATATCGCGTGGAAAATCGCTCCCACCCAGCCCGGAGTGTGACATCAGCTGCCGCGGGGTCGACAACAACTCCTCGTCACCGAATGCTGCTTTTCGCTTCCTGGACAACAAATGAACAAATCAGCCCTGAACACCTGCATACGGGCCTCGACTTGATCGCCCTCATTGGATGCGTGTTTATTTCTCGTCCTATCTCTGACTCGTGCCCTTTCTTCCACGCAGTTGCTGCTTTTCTATCGAATGGGATGTTTCCCAACCGACTTATTCCACGGCGGAATTATTCACAGCCAGCCCACACAAATAATATCTCGTCATTGAATCTCGCTGCATCGTCCATTTAACTACTCTTAACTCTATCCGAATCTATCGATAATTTATTTCCCATCTAACCCACACCGCCACGTTGCACATTATCGGTTGGTCATGCCTCGACGACCCCCTCGTGAGTATTACGAGGAGGAAGTCAAAAAAGCAGCCGCAGAAGGCCCGCGAGATCGAGATCGCCATTCCCACCGCTCAAGACGCCAGCGCATCGTCGACGATGACTCCGACTTCCGCCGTCGATTGTCCGTCCCTCCCCTGGAGGAGTTGGAACGGCTCAATCTTCGTGCTCCATCCCCGCCCGATTTCACGCGTGAGAGTTTCGGGAGTCAGAGAGAGAGAGGCCCTGGCCCTGGCCCTACCATGACTATGAGACGGGAGAAGGAGAGGGAGGAGAAAAAGAAGAAGAAGCCGGATATGGCACCACCGCCGCCGCCACCACAACCACCACAGCCACCATCACTACATCCTCGGGAGAGAGTTAGAAGGGAGAGGGATGAACGGGTGTTCCGGGGTCGACCGCGACGGCTTAGGGAAGCTGAGAGTGACGAGTCGAGCTCAGAAGAGGAGGAGAGTAAGAGTGGTTTGACGGATTATTCGGACGATGATGGGATGTTTGCGAGGAAGAGGGAGGCTGCGATGCCGCCGCCTCCTCCTCCACCGGCACCACCACCGTTGGAATATGATAGTGATGAGGAGTTTGAACGACGAAAGAAAGCTCCGAGATTTGCGAGGCCTCCGACGTCGCCGTCTGTACCAACGCCGATGGGATTTGACAGTGACGATGAATTCGAACGGCGTACAAAGAGAGTTCCGAGAAATGGAATGCCGCCACCACCGCCGCCACCAGAAGCACCACCGTTGGGATTTGACAGCGATGATATATTTGAACGGCGTACTAAAAGGGCCCCGAGGGCTGCGATGCCACCGCCGCCTCCAGCAGCACCATCGCCAATGGCATACCATAGTGATGAGGAATTTGGACGACGTGGTAAGAAAGTTCCCAGGTCTACAATGCCTCCACCACCGCCGCCGTCTGTACCGCCACCGATAGCATACGATAGTGATGAAGAATTTGGTCGACGTGGTAGGAAAGCTCCGAGATCTGCGATGCCTCCGCCGCCGCCATCTGCACCAACGCCGATGGAATACGATAGCGATGAGGAATTCGAGCGCCGTGATAAAAGAGCGCCGAGGAAAGGGATGCCGGCACCAGCAGCACCGCAATTGGGATACGACAGCGACGATGAGTTTGAACGGCGTATCAAGGGAGTCCCGAAGTCTGCGATGCCACCTGCACCACCTCCGCCTGCTCCTCCGGGAGCATATTATAGCGATGATGAATTCGACCGACGTGATAAGGGACCTCCGCCTCCGAGTGCAATGCCGCCAGAATTGGATCATGGAATTGGAGCTTTCTTCCCTGGGCCTCCTCGCAGGGACAGTACCAGAGGGGGTTACGAAAGAGGACATCCAAGGGATCAGGGCATGTTTCGTCCTTTGGAACGCCCTCATATGGAAGTGCGGCGACCTGCAACTCTCGATTCTACAGAAACTACGGATGGTGATGATAGTGATGACAGCGATGATGAAGAAGAGGAAGAGGAGGAAGAAGAACATCCTGCCGTTCAAAAAGACCGACGAGGACCTAGCAAAAAGGAGGAAATCGAGAAGATAATCAAGATGCAAGAGACGTCATCATCGTCATCATCTGAAGAAGAGCCGCCTGCTAGAATGTCTCGATCTGCTCGAATGCCGCCAAAGCATCGAGATGCAGCCCCTCGCAGAGCTGTAGATGAGGGTACGGATCTTGCTGACCTGCACAACCGACTCGACAGAAATACTAATGTCTCGCTAGATGAATGGACTCTACCTCACGTTCCCACCCCGGAACTTCATTCACCAAGTAGCTTTGAGGAGCTGGAGACCCATCACCGGTAGGTAAATACGGATTGATGGTTTACATGTCCGCTAACGGGATCTAGAAGCGCACCTCCCCTCCGCGAGGTCGTTGTTGAGCGACGAAAAGACGGCACTCCCCCTGTACGCCACATATCACCAGAGCCATTGTCCCAGCGAGGAAACGGGGGTGTCAACATCGCCCACGCTCTACCCCAACCCCTTGATCGCGAACGAGACCTGGTGATTCTAGAACGAGAACAACACCGACGGAATAAAGATCTGCAAGAGGAAGTTGACCTCGTCCGGGGAGATCTTAGCCGACGCCCCGAGCACTTTTATTCCGAAGTCGGTAGCTCTAGTCAGGAGAGACGGCGGCGACGCAAAGGAGAGCGGAAGCCCAAGGTTATCGCGGAAGACACCGAAGAGACGGAAGATGACGCGGATCGCAAAGGAGGCAAGGTCGGACGACGATATATCGGAGTCAAGAGCCGACAAGAACGACTGTGGACGGAAATAACAAAGGACCTTGTGGTGAAGGAAGCGATCGAGCGGGTAGGATATGAATATGACGAGACGGAGCTATACTACTACATATTTTCGTACCTTCAATATGTGAGTTCAACCATGTCCATCACGGGCGATGAGTGTCCAGATCTAACAGCCTGCAGGAGGATATCTCCGCTCTCGTTGAGCTGTCCGAAGAGATTCGCCGTGCCCGTCGGAGGCGAATCCATGAGATCCAACGCGAGCGCGCTTCCTTGCCTCCTCCCCCACTGGCACCAATAGCCGATAAACCAGGCTCCCTATTAGTCGAGCAGCCCCCGCCGCCCCGGTATTGGCCTCGGAGAGAGCACTGGATGCCGGAGCGGGAAATGATTCTAGACGACAGTCGGCGGCGACTCCCTCCCGGGCGATCCGGAAGATGGTAAAAGCTTTGATCAAGTGTTATGTTTCAGCATGTTTTTCTTTCCTTTTTTCTTATTTATTCATGAATCATGAGAGTTCTGTGCTGGTTATATGTGATAGAATAAGCAGCTGATTCGAAGCCCGATGTTTACGTTGGGCCGAAGCTGTAAGGGAGGACCTTACAGACAGACAGCTTTACAGATGATGCCACGAATGTACGGAGTATTATGATCCATATGCAAGATCCACAGGGGTAAAAAAAAAATCAAGGAAGAGTCCAGAGCGATTCACGAAGTACTATTCTAAGTTCTTTTTTCTGGTCAAGCAGAATAGCCTTGCGGTCAGTTAATGACCTACTCAACGGAGGGCGATCGTCTCCTATATTTGACAACTGATATATATAGCGAAATCTGGATCTGGACTGGAGGAGAATAGAATGAAGGTCTGGACAGAGCGACACGGACAAAGCCATAGCCATAGCGAAAAGGCCAAGTAGGTCTAGAGCGCAAACGAAGTGGCAAAACTGGATTTGAAGCTCAGACGCAAGCAGAAAGAAAGGTTGTTTCACACGGGGCTGGATGATTGGTCATTATGGGGATGGATGTTATTATGGTGGAGTGTGTGTATGCACCTATGTACGCATACCCATTTATTATACAGAGTACATACATACAGAACAGTCAGACTCATCCCTGTGTTGGAGATCGATCATTTCAGTATAATATGTGCATAACAAAAATGACTTATTATGATAGATCTGTTGTTGGTGGTTTGAAGTGGATATGGAATAAATCAATAATTGCCTTGTTAGGGATGTTTTTGTTTTCTATACATAGCAATGTGTACCCAGTATTATTAGTATTCCAAAATTAGGTACACAAAACAAACGGGAAATTGGGTTGACTTTTTTTTTGGTTGTTTTCTTTCCAGCCACAAAAGTCAAGGGAAATTTGTTTACCACGAGTTGATATTTATATTCGATATTATATTGATTGTTAAATATAGATGGATGTTAATCGAGTTGCTATGTGGAATGTAGAATGTAGATAATAGGATGTGGTGTTATTGGTCAAGCTAAGATCGGCAGGATTCTCGGTGATAAACAAACTTCTATATATACTCGGTACTCTACACAGTATGTACTCTGTAGCAGTGTAGCGACAGAGGAGCTTGTAATAAGCATGCTAATTAACAGGATACGGATAGTAAAATAATAATAATAATCAGGTTAATATCCAAGTGGCAGGAAACCGGATGCTAGGTTATCTACTAGGTTGTCTCAGACGCTGCCGATGCGTGGATGGGCTGGTCAGTGGGACTCAGCCACAGTATTACATACATACAGTACAGTACAGTACCATACCGTATGTAACATTCTAGGTGTGTTCGATGTCATCGATGGAGCTGTGCAGTTACCCCTGGGGGTCATCGCAATTTGCCACCAGGTACAGTGGAGAGAGTTATTCGATATTTATGATGATGACAATGATGAGAGAATATTTTATATAAGTAACTGAGTAAGTAATATTCAGTATGCTCAGCTTTCATCAGCTCAGGCTGTGATAAGCGGGGTTTTGTTGTCTTCCAAGCTACCGATCGTTGGCGTCATTGGGTTATCTTCCCCTCATTCATCAGCACTATTCCTACAGAGTGGCTATGGAGATGCTATGGATATGAATATGAGATGAGATGATGGCTCATGATCCCAGTATTAGAAGATCATGAAGATCCTGTAGATGATTTTCAGTAAGCAGTCGATCATCTTATTTGATCTTATTCAACATTCAACATTGTCGAATAATATACCCCCCAATTCATAGCATCCCGACAGAAAACTCAACAGAATGGGATGGCTGATGGCGATGCCACACAGACATCGGCTAGTGCGGGGGCGAGGGAAAAAGCAACGGAAAGAGGGGAGAGAACTTCTCCGGAGTCCGAATAACCTCCAGACCCCGAGACAGTACAAGCACAGTTGAGATGCAACTGCAAGGACTCATGGCGTATTCCGGATGTTGCGATGCGAATGAGGCTGGGTTACACATGCAGAGTCATCTGACTTGATGCCACTGCCTACATATGTAGATAGAGTAGAGAGTAGAATGAAGGCAACTAGATCCAGTTGATATAATTGTCGCACTACTGCACTCTGTTCACAATCACAGTGTTTTTTCCTAGACCAAAGCTTGTTGTCTGGGAGGCTTCATCTCCCACCGAAACGGAGCCACTGCAACAACACGGCAAGATATCGCGTCAACCGTGGTCGACAGTGTCTGTTGTGCTCCCATCCAAGGATGTCGCTTGCTCTCATCCTTGGAATTGTGGACGGGAAGAACCCGGCCGAAACCAGCAGATCCACTACCATCGTACATATGTATGATGACGGAGTCTCTAGTATGAGTATTTAGCTTGTATACCATCTCAAACCGAGTTTCTTCTTTCTTTTCTTTCTTCTTTTCTTTTGCTTGAGTTATCGCTTACTGTTACGGCTTACCGTACTGTACGCCTCATTCCACTGGGTGCCCACATGGAGAGTGTACGGTATGTAATATTTGGAATTACTAGCCCCCTGTCTCTCCACCAATCAAACCGCCGAGATCTACGGTGGTGGTCCTGTCTCGGTCGCTGAAAGGTGGAAAAGTGGCTTTCGTTTTACCATCCATTATTAGCATTTGCTGTCTCTGGCCGCGTGTCAGTTACAGGAGTGACGCGGTCAATGAGCTGATATATTAACTGACTCCTGGACAATATTCGAATATCCTATGTTATAGACAGATACCTAGTTCTTATACGGAGTACCTAGTAGGTAGTTGGTAGAGTGTAGGAAGACTAGAATTCAGGCAGCATCTTATCGTGATTTTGCCAAGTCAGTGGCGCCACACAAACATCCAGACCGATTTGATTGGTATTTTGTTGTACACCGATTCTTACGTACAATACCCCCAAACATTGCATCATCATCGATCAGTCGGTTGATTTGATTCTCATTCTATCTGCTGATAAATGCAGCTCTATCACTATCTTCAAGCTTATTTATTTCCCTAGTTACAGCACAATCTGTCGAGTCGAATATGTAGCAGCCCTTCAGATCGGAAAGCGGGTATGTATGCCGGACTGTATGATACGTCTATACGTACATAAACATACAGTGGACATCCTGGATACAGGATGCATACATGATCATTTTAAATAAAATAAAGATAATTTGAATCATTCCTGCAATGAGATTATTTTCTCTACTATTTCCTGCTAAATCATCTCATTCACTGGCTCACACGTACAGTACCGTATCGTACAATACAATACACAGTACACTAAGCACCGCACCAGTCGACTAATACCATCGATCCATCCTACCAAATCCTCTGCATTATTTCCATCCCGCTGCAGCTGAATCTCTCGCTCGCTTTCTTTCTTTCTTCTCTCTTTCTTCCTTTCCTTTGCTGCTCTTTTGCTCTTTTCTCTTCGTCTCAACTGCTTTCTCTCTTTTGCTACCCCTGCCGCCAAGTTGTCAGTCGGTTGCCATTCTCTCTCTTCTCCTGGTTTTCCCCCCTCGTCATAGGGTGCTGATGATGCACATCACCTTCTGATCCTGTCGGTATCGTCCTTGGTCCCTCCCAAATGCCTGGCTGCGTCCGTTCGCAGGTGAAGGAAGACCCGGGAATATTTTGCTAGCTCGCTGTGCTCTCCCTCTGTTTATCGGTACGACCTACCTGCCTACCTACATATCTTTCTCTGCAAAATCTTTTCGTCTCGCCAAATGGAAGGATCGTATTGACTGATCGATCGACAACAGAACCGATACATCATTAATTTAAGTTGCGCAAGATCGCCTCTTACTGCAGGCCATTGTTTGCTCGACCTTTTTTTTTATTTATTTTAGCGCTGGGGAGATCGATCTTAACCATCTTGCCCGACTTATGACCTTGCTCCTTTTTCTCTCACCGAAACCATTTTGACTATCTTCGATCACGATCCGTTATCTCTTCCGACCCATTGTTTGTTGATCGATCTCGGCTGTTGAAGCTTAGGAGGATCCGGAAAAAATATAAGAAAAAAAAATAAAACATTCTGGGGAGGGTAACCGGCTGTCGACAACTCTTGGGATTGATTATTGGGGTTGAATATACAGCGGCATAGGGGCTGGCTGGAGAATTTCAAATATCGCATCTTCGACACGTACCGGAGGGGGGACTCGATTCGTCATGCATTTCGTTCTCGGTCTTCCGCTGCTTGCTTCGCTGGCAATGCCAGTCTCTGCATCCTCCGACATTGCATATTGTTCTACGGTGAACACTGGATCGTCGTTTAACGCAAGTATGTGTTCATGCCTTGCTGTCAGTGAGTGTCTACTGACCTTTTCCCAGACAGCAGTATCTACCAGTCAAACGGTGCATGCCAAGAGCTATGCAATGCCGACTATGCTTTTGGCATTCTTATGGACAAACGTTGCTGGTGCTCGAATATCGCACCAAACAAGGCAACCAACGTCGATGTCTCCGAATGTAGCGATGGGTGCCCGGGTTATCCTGCTGATAGCTGCGGCAATGAATCCAAGGGGTACTATGCGTACCTGGAAATGTCGATGCACATGGCTTCGGGGACAGCCACGGTTTCATCCACAGCAACCTCAACTGGAACCTCGGTTAGTCAATTCCCACCCACGGAAAACTAATGCTACACTGGCACTTGGTTACCTTAACTTTCGGGATGAGTCATGTGCCTATCTTACAGTACACTAACTATCATCTAGTCAAGTTCCTCGGACTCGACAAGCTCTGGAGATTCCACCACCACCGGAACGGTTGCGGTCCACACTGTCGCTGGTGTGGTAGAAACAGTCACCGTTGGAGGCTCGCAGTCCACCAGTTCATCTTCGTCTAGCAATAGCAGCGGCGACAGTTCGAGCCTGAGCAAAGGCGCTGTGGCGGGTGTTGTGGTTGGTTCTGTCGCCGGATGCGTCGGTATAATACTTTTGATTTTCCTTGTCCTGGCTGCCAAACGTCGGGCGCGTGCCAACAGCCCTGACCCAAGTGTACAAAATATCCTCCTCGATGGACGACAAAGCAAAGGCTCACAGATGAGTTTCATGAAGGGCGTCTTTTCCGATAACCACAGCCATACATTGTCCGCCGGCTCGTCGATCACACCTCAACGCATGCCGACCTTTACCGATAATCGCATGAAGACCGATGCGGCGCTTTATCACCACGGTCACCACAGAGATAGCACCACATCACTGCAAGATAATGAAGACTATTCTCGGCCTGTTTTGCGGGTAAGTAAGATTTACTCAAACAATGATGCACAACTAACGAGTGTCTAGTTGACCAACCCCGACTGAGCGTTCATTTTTGCGAAAAAAAATCTCCTTACTTTCTTTCCTTGTGTCTTTGCATCTCATTGTCCTCTATTCGATTTGCGCGTCTCGGCGAAAACAGCGGTGTTATGATACCCAATTGTCACATACTCACTTCTCTTACTTCTTTTCTTCCCTTCTTGATATGAAATATGGAGAGATCCGGGCCTGACACTCTTCTCCGTCTATACCTGCTTAATCCATCGATCATGGATACTGGGTTATGGTCCACTATTCGACATCGGAGAAGAAATTTTGATGCCCGTGGATTGCCCTTTCAGCAGGGTAGGCGGTGTTTCCAGATCAACCACGATAATTGAAACAATCGTTTGATCACCACCTGGAGGTCCTGGAAGTCGACTCAAGCGAGCTAGGCTTGATCAAGCTCTCCTTTGATTGTGTACATGGAAGCACATGGATTGTGTGCTTGCAAGTTGAGTACATACCCAAATGAACTTCTCACAGATTGTGTCTTGTTTCTTTTACTGTATTCCTTTTCCATTCCTTTTCTTTTCTGTCATCATTTTAGCCTCTTCAGGATCATTCAATTATTTCTTTAGAATTGTGAGACGGGGTGGATCGCAAGATTGACGGGTAGTGTTATTATTAAGGGGACGTTTCATCATGTAAATCATAGCAATAATGGGATTAGTGTGAGGTCAGGTTTCTTAGTGAAACATAATTGCATGGTATTTTGATACGATACTGGTCTCGAAGCGAAGCAATTGATTTCTACCTATTGAATAACAGCTAACTCCTGCAGGTTTCACCCTAACCTGCTACTCCATAACGTCCCTAGGAATCCAACAGTGCCTAATTCTGTGAGCATAAAAAAGAGGGAAAAAGCGTACTTTGATGATGCCTGAAACCTCAGCTTGGCATATGATAATACAACAAGAGCCACAGCTCCCGCCTCCCCAAAAACACAGCCAAATCCATAGGCGTTCGCTGGTCGGTATCTGTAATCGATAAATCCGCACCACAAGCAATCAGCTTGCGCACGATATGCGAGTACCCCTTTTCGACAGCGAGGTGCAACGGCGTTTCTAACCAGTTAGTCTGGGCATTGATATCAACGTTTCCCCGCGCAAGAAGTGGACTTACAACTTCGATCAATCCCGTGTTCGCCGCGTGGTGTAATTCGGTTAGGCCCCTGTGTGCGCGGACGCCGACGTTGATGCCTCGTTCGATGAAGAGGAGGGCGGGCTGGGGCAGGTACAAGCTGATCGCGTAGTGGAGGGCGGTGTCGCCTTCGTCGTCTTGGATATTGAGATCGATCCCTGCGTCGACGAGCATCGTGATGATATCCATGTCTTCGAGGTTCAGGGCTGGCCAGAGCAGCGACTGTCCGAGGACGTTTTGCGTCGAGATGAGATCTGGGAGCTCTTTCAGCATGAGAGGGAGGATTTCGGGGTAATCACTGTCCATGGCCCATCGAAGGACCGTTTCACCGGTTGCAGGCAGAGGTTGCCGCAGATCTGCGCCGAGGGACACGGCCATCTGGATCGTTTCCATCCGACAGAACTTGACGATTGTATGGATGACACCTGGGGCGTTGACATCCGCGCCTGCACGGAGAAGCTTCTGCACTAGAAAATCATACCCCATGTACGCTGCTGCGCCGAGAGGCGTCCACTCACTGTTTTGCACATTCGGCAGTGACGGATCGGCACCGTACTCCAGCAGCAGATCGACGATCGGAAACCCGTTCTCGGGCGCCTCATCACCGACAGCCAGACATAGCATGCGGAAGCCGAAGATGGTGTGTGCGTTTGGATCCACGCCTGCGTCGAGCAGGAACTTGACGGCCTCGTACTGGCCCATCACGACGACTTGGGCGAGACGTTCACGCGGCCGGTCGAGCGTTCCGTTTGCCTCGGATACTTGGAACAAGCCGGAGATGTCGGTGTAGATGCGGCTTTGGTATTCTTCTTCTGATGGGAGGGCGACTTCTCGTGCTGCTTGCTGTAGGGTGGTGTGGAGGAGGGTGTGGACCTGTTTTGAGGACTGGGAGAGGTGAGCTAGAGTTGCGATGTCGAGGAAGTCAGACATGTTGAGGACGAGCTCTGGGGGGAGATTGGCGAATTGGGGGAATGTTTGAAGATCCATTGTGACGGTGGTAAGTTGGCTGATGCTAGTTTTGATGCTTGAGCAATTGATGCTGAGATTGGGATTGAGATTGAGATTGAAGGTATCTATTGAGATCTGAGAGATCAGAAAGATGATGTCCATAACTGACGACCTCAGCCTGGTATATATATTCCAACTTAAGACATATGTCTTGTATACTGAAAGAAATGAAGCTGAACAATAGAGACAATGGATAAAGAGGATTGTTGTCCTTTTCTACAACTGATGTCTCAACTGGATTAGCATTTTCATTCTTCTATTCTGTTGTTCCTTTAGGATTTGTCTTATTCTATGAAAGAGATGTCTTATTTGGATAATGGTATTGTTTCTTCGAATTTTTGTATAGGATTCGTACATCATATCCTGATCTAAGACCGAGTTTGAAGCAACTGAACAAAGAGAAGTAGATTATGAACTTTGGCAGTCACACTGAACATATCAAATATCTCGACATCTTTAGATAATCTAATTCTATCTGTATACTGTAAGTTCGTGATAGGTAAGTGGAAGCACATGACCACGGGACTCTTTTACCCTTTCGGGCAACGCGATTCTCCCTCTCTTTGTCTTTCTTTTCCCCTTCTGTCAACTCGATCCAGCCCAGCAGCCGATATTACTGTCAGAAAGAGAGGAAAGCAAAATGAAAGTCTGGAAATATACTAAGAAAGTATCACTGTCCGTGATAAGTGAGCTATTTCCCCTCATTCTATTCAATTGCCTGACTAACTCGACTCCGACGAGAAGAACAGGACCCCCACGCTGACTGCCACAAGCAAGGAATTAAATATCGATAAATAAGAGCTGACAGAATGAGAGGAAGAGAATATATATAAGACATACTTACTGTCACTTATACTTACACACCGTATCCGATGCTATCAATTCCACCATCCACCCCCCGCCTCCAACATGTCGTCATTGTCATACCAAACTGCCATCCAAGGAACCTTTTCTTGTCTAAGATAAGGGGACTCGGTGGTTACATCCTATCGACGACAGCCATGCCATCTCTTATCCTTATCTCTAACTGATCGGCGTCTTTTCGCCAAACATGGTAACCGCATTCGCATGTATCCTCCGTTAAAGGCAGGCAGAATGAGCACCTACGGCTGGCAAATAGTACATATTGACTGGCTGGCTGGATGAGGGGATCTGGATCACATGTACTGTTTCCCCGTCTTTTGCATCCCCGGCTGGATTTAGGTTATGGGTATATATGGATGTTTCCTGTTTTTGGGGTTTGTTCTTAGTTTGGTTCTTGTATGACTTGACTTGCCTGGGGATTTTGCAGGTGTCGCTTCGGTTTTGATTATCGATTATACTCGTTCTCGCCTCGCTTTTGTTCACCGCGCATGACGTTGATATGGATACGAGCGTCCTGCCGACTCTGAATAATGTGTGGCCTGTAGGCCTGGTCGTGGTGGTGCTGACTGGATTCTACATCGCGTTGGATAGATCGTATGGGAAAACCATCCTGAGACTTCGCTCCCGTCGAGTATCGTCTGCTACAACGCCCCCGCGATCGATCTCCCCCGATACAAAGACAAAGGCGCCATCGTCACAGTCGGGTTATTCGCATGCCTTGCCACCACAGCGTCGACAGGCTCTCGCCGAACTGAAGGGCTACACGGGGCTATGGAAGGATGTTGACGAGGCAGAGGTCAACCGGCGTCCGCTGTCTATGGAGGCAGACTACCGAGAGTCTGAAGACCAGAGATACACGCCGACCGGGTTTTCTGTAGAGGAAATCAAAGCATTAGGTGATTTCCCGGACTATGCGACACTCAGCGGTGTGCCTATGCCTTCGCCATACACCGAGTTTGATATTGAAAAGGCGTTGCCACGGCCTTATCGTCCGTTTAGATGGGGTTACCACCAGACTATGTGTAAGACTTCAATTCTACGTCCTATACCAGACTAGAGATTAATCGTTACTGTAACAGCCCTCACAAAATTAGAAACGGACTGGTGGCTCGAACTCGAAAATACCTACAAAGCCCGAATCGCCCAGCGAAAGGAACTATACGCCAAACACGGCTCCGATCTTCTGGGATATCTCCCCGGCTCAGAACTAGCCTGCAAAGAACTCATGGAGATGGTCTTACAGTTTGCCTGCGCACGATACCCGCAGTACTTTTCCATCGTGGACAATCGAATCTTTCAGAACAGAATCCTCGGCACAGAGCAGGACGTCACTTCTAAGCATCCACTGGAGATTCTGCTCGATAATATACCCGAGGACTTTGCAATTATGCTGCGTGATGAGAAGACGGGCTTCTACTTCCTCCGTGCGGGCGTGATTTGCTCTGCGCTGGGCTGGAATGTAGCTACCAAGGTTGGCCTTCAGCTTCATGAGATTCACCAGCCTGTCCCGGACTACAAAGAGAAGATGCAATTCTCCATGGACAGGTATGGTCTCCCCGAGACTTGATTATATTGTTACAATCCTGACAAGTGATATAGATTCTTCACCAAAATGCCCACCGAAAAACCAATCCAGCGAGGATCCTGGGGCCTGGAAGTTGGAAAACCGCTCTACATGCCCAAAGGCGACCCGCACGAGGTCCAGCGACTATCTCAAGACCCCAACCTCAAACTGGAAGACTGTCACCTACGAGTCGACTGGCAGACACTGCGCCGTCTTCCTCTCTCCGCGGCGATCGTGTTTAACTTCAAGGCGCTCTTCACGCCTATTAGCGAATTCCGCGATGAACCTGGTGTTCCGGCGCTGGTGGCCAAGGTCTTGAAAGAGGGGAAGAAGAATCTGATGGAGTATAAGAGTACATGGCATGTGGAACATGTTGTACTCCCGAGCCTGGAGGAGTGGGCGAAAGAGCAGGAGGAAACAGGGTTGATTGAGAAGGATTGGGAAGTGGCTACTTTGGAGGATAGTCCGTGGTTTAAGAATTGGGAGGATAAATGGCATCGACAACAGGGGTTTTAGCTTTTTTTTCTTCAAGATTGTACTGCGTTTTCTGCTGGCTGGTGGTTATATGATAACTTGGGAGGTATGCGTTCTATTTTGTATATGGGTAGGTTACATTGTTTAATGATGCACATGATGAAGATAAGGATATCATTTATATTTCAGTAGATGTTCAGAATATCTAATAGTAGCTCGTCTCATTCAAGAGTCAAGTTCAATAGAAGCAGCATTCCCGGGGCGTTTAAGCAAAAGGGCAAATCAGTCCATCGCGGGCATATCTCATGACAGTCTGCAAGCGAAGCTTCATCCAAAATTGATATGCCTGGAAGCTGGAATGCAAATTCTTCACCGGTATCGTGGTATGTGATTCAAGAGAGGTATGTCAGAGCCACCCGTTCGAAAATGACGGTGTGGTATTTCCCTCTGATGGAATCGGTTGACAATAAAGTCCCGGACGTGTGACGACCGGTCGACGATCGAAATCGGAAGACTCCCAAGATGCAGCTTGGTAGAATCAAGATGCGTCAAGCAGTCTTGAAGATTCAATCGTCACTCCTGCTCTTCGCAGACCCTGCATCGCTAGCATCGTCACCCTCCGCATTGCTCTCATTGTCCATCTCTTCCAATTCCGCCGCCAACGGACTGACTCGTTCTTCCAGCAAGTCCAAATCCTCCAACTGCTGCCGCGACGGTAACTTCCACAGACTGGTACCACACACACGGTCCTTGGTGAGAAGGTCATCGACGAACTGATCCATATGCGTGAGCATGAACGAGTCGCGCACCCGACGCTTTAATTTCCGGTAATCGAGGAGAAGAGGCTCCAACGCCCTATACACATCCGCCGCGTCAAAGGTGAGCCGGATATAAAACGCTGCCAGCGCGCGCAGGTATTTGAAGTCGCCTCGGTCTTGGAGGACACCGTTCCGGGCCTGCTCATAGGCTGTATTTTCTCCTTCGTCGTCACTGCCGGGGTCGGTGAAGTTGAGGTATTCGAGGACCATGTCGCGGTCGGGTGAGAGCTGGAGCATCTTGAAGGCTAGGCAGAGGAATGGGGTGGGTTTTTCGGATACGCCGTATGTACCACCGATGCAGGTCAATTCAACGGCTCGATCGCATAGAGTCGCAGAGTTTAATCCGAAGCATTGTTCTTTCCAGTAGTAGGAGTCGGTGATGCGGTCGCGGACGGCTTTTTCGAACAGCGTGGCGGGGTTGACGCCGCGGACTAGAGGGCCGGTATAGCCGCGGTTGTCGAGAAGAGTGCTGGCATCCGCACGATGGCCAGACATGGTGGGTGTAAATGATGCTATAAGGGAGAGTGATATTGTGGATTGTGGTGAATCGTGATGATGGAAAGATGAAGAAAGCGAAGATCACGAGATGCGCCAAGCCGGGCTTATCGATAGTCGCGCCGCCAACGCCGAGTGGTAAACAGCGAAGAAGTCAGGATGAAACACCGAGTCTCACCTGCACGATGGCTGCTTGGCCAGGCTATCGTCGTCTGTCGTCTGTCGTTTGTGTTATTCTTCTTGTCAATGTCGTCTCATAATTGGGACTGTCTTCGATGGTGATCCCCATTCGCCTTGACAGCAGCCATGGTGCTTCTGACTTCCTCGACCGTCTCCGTTATCATCTCGACCGGCGTCATCTCTCTCTTCACTCTCCTTCTGTTTCTCTCGGGTTATGTCCTGCAGCAGCAGTCCGTTCGCAGCATTCAAAATGCTCTCCGACCTGATCCCGCACCCAATCCCGTCCTGAATCCTGCAAGGCACGGATCATCGAGATCGTCATCCCAGAAGGCTGAACGAGGTCTGCTCTCTGATATCGTGCCTGATGGCCCAGTGACGAGCGGGAATTTCGCCTATCTCCAACTCCTATCTACTCCAGATCCATCCAACATCTGTTCTGCGATTCTCTTCTTCAAACATCTCGCGACAAATGGCACGGCTATACAAGACCGTCTTTTTATGTACCCACAAGAATGGGACCAGATGTCTGCCAAGAAACTCTCGAAACCCGTCTCAACCGCACTCTCTCTCCTCCGTGCAGCGAGTCTCAAATATAACATCTGGATGCTCCCCATTGACATGACAGCGGCGACTTCTGCGGGGTATACCCCCACCGACACCAAACTGCTACGTCTGGGCCAGATTCAATTCCTGCAGTATGACAGCGTGCTGTATGTGCAAACTCCCGGTCTACTTCTCGACACGGAAAAGCTGGATTCTGTCGTGCTCTCTCGACCTTTGCCTCTGCGACATGATAAAAATAGACCGGATTCCTACAACAATGAGGCATGGATTCCTATGCCCCTCCGCGCAGAGCGCGACGACACATTGCCACCTGTGTATCTGATCACAGTCAACAACATAGGCTCTGGGCATATCGAGGCCCGCACCCACATTCCCAATGTTGCTATTCCAGGGTTTGGTCAATTAGTCACTGGTCCGTGGGGGGCCAAGTCTACTAAGGATAGCGATTATGATGCCGACCAGCAACCAGGCTACGTCTTCTTCGAGCATGATCGTGATGGACATGTTCGGTGGGCAGATAATCCATTGTTTGGGACTTGGAGAGCACAGCAGTATGAGGTATGCGACGGTCTAGATCTTGACGATGCTATTCATGATGAGGAATGATTTGTCTTTATTTTCTTGTTTTATATGGTTTATTGTATATGGCGATTGAGGGGTTGGACATATTGAGCTAGGGCGTTGGTCTGGTTGATCTGGGTATATACATTGATTTCTTCTATCTTGCATATTTTATCTTGAATCATATATACGAGGATATGAATCAATGATGGCATTTGTCATGCATACTCTCTTAGAGTTGGTTTGATGACTGATTCCATCGGACCACAGTCAGCCGATCACCACGACTCGCCACGGCGTTGTCTGCACCACCTGCAGCGACTATCGTGTATTGAATTGATCAATTGAATGCGATATTTATAATGCCACGATCGTCAAGTCCAGTATCAAAGCAGATTGAACTACGAGCAGTATGTTCCACTCCATGTCGTACTCCACCCTGCTAACCAGCAAAGTGTTTAGAATGTCGGGTGAGAAGATCCGAGGATATGGACTGACTTGCTGCTAATTATTATCAATTGCCGCAGAAACGTAAGAGCAAGGTAAGTGAATGCCTTTGTATAAACTCGTCTATATTAACTCGATCAGTGCTCTGGGGGTTCGCCCTGCCAGTACTGCTCTCGAAGCAAGAAGCAATGCGTCTATGGCCGTGCTCCATCTCGCACTCCACTGACGCGAAAGTAAAATCACTCTGATAGCATCCTTATTGATTAAATCTAATATCGGTAGAAATCTCGATGAAACAGAACGTCGCTGTGCAAAGTTGATGGCTCTACTTCATAAACTCAACCCGGATGTTGACATTGAAGTTGCGCTGAAGCATGAAGGCTTTGAATTCCCACTCAAGAGTCTACAGAGCGCAGATTCTGAGATAGAAAGCCCTGCCTCTGTGGATCGATTCGAGTGGAATGAAGCTGCGTTGGCGTCGCCGTCGCGGTCGCAAAAAGAGTGCCCGGACGGGATGGCATCATTGGTGCCGAGTGGGAGGGCAGGATGTGGATATCTTGGTGAGTGAACTGAATGCATGTTGGATATCTGTCTGATGAAGCTTAGGAAATAGTTCTGGATCGCATCTGCTGCGGAATATCTCAGGCTTATTCCCTGATAACCCTGACTCTGTGGCTACTGAGCAAACATCGCCTGTCGATGCGAGCCAGATCGAAAGTCCATCATGGTCAGCCCATCTGAGCAACACTGCGGTCTTGGACAGGCTGGTTGATGCATACTTCATGTGTTACAATTCATCATTTCCGATTCTACACGAGAGCACATTTCGACAAAAGTACCGCAATCGCCAGCAGATTCATCTCCGCTCGAGTTGGCATCCGATCTTCTATCTTGTCCTGGCAATTGGGGACTGGATTCTGGCTGGTGGAGCAGAGGCTGAACAGTCGAGATATTATACGGCTGCACGGTCACGCATGTCGATGCGTATGTTGGAGTCGGGCAATCTGCTCACCGTGCAGGCTTTTCTACTGATGGTGAGTGAGGATCACTGAGATGGTGAAGGTATACTGACGGAACAGGGTAATTATCTTCAGAAACGCGATCGGCCTAATACGGGGTACAATTTTATTGGGATTGCATATAGGATGGCCCTTGGGCTAGGACTTCATCGCGAGCCACCCGCGGATACACCTGATTCACTGTTCAATGAACGGAGGAGAGTCGTCTGGTGGATTGTCTATTGCTTCGATAGTGGGTTCAGCTTGACCACGGGGAGGCCTGTGATGGCTTCTGATGGGTTTATCGAAACACGACTTCCACGGAATATTGATGACTCGGTAGGTTGCATTCATCATGACAGAGAAAGACAGCTAATATCTTCAGGCGTGTACATTGGATTCTATCCTCCCAGCACCGACAGAAGAGCCAACCACCTACTCGGCGATTATAGCACAGGCACGGCTATCCTCGATTGGAAACATGGTGTATCGTGACGTGATATCCGCGTCGAAAGAAACCCCCCTCGATCTGAGGGTGGCACGCTCGATTGACCACCAGTTCAAAGCCTGGAAACTATCCTTGCCAGTCTACTTTACAGCCCAAGACATTCCTCACTGGTTCCATGGCCCACGGGCAATCATCCGATGGAAGGAAGAGAATGTGCGCATGATGCTGTGGTGGGGAAGCCAGCGCCTGTGCAGTTTGCCATCAGACAGCGACGAAGCACAGAACATGTGCCATTACACTGCGATTGAGACTATCCAGGACATTACGACCTTCTGCCTGGACCATCCAGATACCCTCCACGCCGGGACCAACTGGTACGCCACGTACTTTTTATTCCAAGCAACGATCGTGCTCAGCATTCACTATCTACGACCGTGTCAGTCCAGGGACACCACAGCCACGCAGGAGTTATGGTTTCTCTCCATCTCACGAGCACGAGATTGTCTCGCCTTTCTGAGCACGAATAACAAAGCTGCCTCGCGATGTCTGGCTGTGCTCGATAGAATCAGAGATCAATCCCAGCCGTCACAACCTGCGTCGGCACCAGTACCTCCTGACCCTGACTCGACACAGTTACAAACTATTCCTGGAGATCCGGGCATGCATTCACCTACTTTTGCGATTGACCCTGCGCTGCAGATCTTCTTTCAGGATACTACGTGGGATAATGATATCTTTGAAGGTCTTCAGGGCTTTCCTAGTACGGATGAGACTGAGTCGTTTGACTATATCCGGCTTACTGATCCGAGTTTGGAGCCTAGTTAGTTTGACATTTCATATCAGATGTAGAAGACATGAACAAACATATGCAGTTAATCTGGCCCCCTGATCAACGTCTTAATCCCCTCTCCCCGTTTGGCAGCCTCCCATGCCTCCGTAGCAGCTTCAAACGGAAACACATTGCTCACCAACCCAGCCAGCTTCAACTTGCCCTGCCCAACCAGATGAATCCCCAGATCGAAATCCCCAGCGCCATACCGAAAACACCCCTTCGCCGTGATTTCCTTCTCACACATTTCCGATATCGGGAATTCAATCTTGCGCTTCCCCATCCCAGCCTGCACATACGTGCCTCCCTTCCGCAGCGCAAAGATAGCCGTATTGATAGACAACTCCGCCCCAGACGCATCAATAGCGATATCAGCCCCTTCACCCAATCCACACTCCTCCACAAGACGAGCCGCATTCTCCTCGGCACTACGCCCCAAATCCGGAATCGTCGTCCTGCTCACCCCCTCCCCCACAAACTCCCTCGCAAACGCAACCTTCCTCTCCAAGACATCCACCGAAACCACAATCCCCGCCCCAAACTCCCTCGCCACAGCCGCCGTGAACAATCCCACCGTCCCAGCCCCAAACACAACCACCTTCTGTCCGATCCTCACATCCGCCTGCCGGACCGCATGCACGCCCACCGCCAACGGCTCCATCAACACCGCCTCGTCCAGCCCAATTCCGGCAGGAACCCTGTAGCAGAAATCCGCAGGGAGGCGGAAATACCGACTCAGCGTCCCGTGCAGCTTGGGCGGGTCTGCGGCGAATTTCATCTCCGGACAGAGATTGTATCGTCCGATTTTGCACCGCTCGCACCGTCGACACGGGTAGCCGGGCTCGATGGCGACTTTGTCGCCGGGACTGAGGGAGGTCACGGCTGAGCCGACGGCGTGGATGGTGCCGGATGCTTCGTGGCCCATTGTTAGGGGTTGGGATGGGGAGACGAAGGTGCGGATTCCACCGCGGAGCCAGAAGTGGACCTTTGCCTTGAGTTAGTATTATAGTTGTTTTTATGGGAGTAGGTGTTTACATCGCTGCCGCAGACGCCTGTGTAGGCGATTTTGACGATGACATCGTGGGGATTGTCGAGGGTGGGAACGGGTCGGTTTTCGAAGCGGGCATCTAGTGGTCCGTAGAGGAGACAGGAGGGGTTGTCTGTTTTGGAATCCATTTTAATAAATAGATAGAAGATGAAGAAGAATGTCTTTCATTAGAGGATGCTGAACTGTGTTCTTATAGCTTCGGCACTATCTCCGCTGCAGATGATATCGGCTGACAGTCGACCGATATTCTGGTAGATGGAGAAAATCCCTGAATCCCTGGAATATTGTCATTGGCTGTAAAGATATTCAAGATCTTAAAAGGCCGGTCAGATCTGCTGGAAATGAAATAATAGAATCATCTGCAGTACTATATCCCATAAGTAAACAATCTATCTTACCTACTAAATTACTATATAGACAAAAAAGTGACAAGAATAGAATAGATAAAACACAAAAGGTACCACAATTAACCAGCCAGCTCATGAATATGCGTATCTTTCAATTCATGTATAGGCACAACCTTGGGCTTATGCTCAGACTCAACAGGCGATTCCTGAGCAACATCCGATCCCCCCAACTCCACCGCACGAGTCGAACTATCCTTCCGCTGCTCACTCTGAAGCCGAATCTTGCGCTGAGCTCTTTGTCGATGGAAGAACCACAATGCGATCAGCGATAAGAAGGCAACACCAGCCACGCCCACACCAGCTCCGATCCCGGCTTTGGCACCTGTCGATAGCCCAGTTGACGGGGTGGATGAAGGAGCGGCGGAGGTGAAACTGGGAGCTTTTGAAGAGGGGAGAGGAGACGCAGTGCCGATGACTGAGGCGTATAGACTTGAGTCTGTGGCTTGGAGTTGGACCGTGATGGGCTGGGCTATCATGCTCATGGGGCCGGTGACTTGGGTGCCTTCGTTTAATCCCGTGTGGCGGACAGAGACGATTGTCGTGCTGGACGAGGGAAGGCTGCTGATGCATCCGGCCCACATGGAGGAGGAAGAGTAGGAGAAGTTTCTGATATGTTAGTCTAGTCCTATCTTGTATGGTGTATGTGTATTAGACTTACGGAAGACAGCAGATAGCAGTAGTCTGGGGCCCGTTGATATTGATATTGGCCGAAGTATATCCCATCGGACAGTATCCAGGGCTAAAAGTCTGTGATCCTTGGAATCTGCCCAGATTGGTGAATCCAGGTGGGAAACAGGCCGAGTCGACTGCGACGGCATTTTGGAGCAACACGCCGTTTTGGAACGTGTTGTAGGCTGGGGGCTCGTATGTGAAGCGGGTGGAACATGATGCTGGGGGAGTGAAGATGGTCGTGAGTGGGATTACTGTGGAGTCTGTTGTTTTGGTGGAGGGTTCTGATGTTGTTGCTGTGGATGATGTTGAGGATGCTGATGTCGCTGATGGTGCTTTTGCTGGGGCTGCTTTTGTTTCTGCTGCTTGTGCTTCTACCGTTGATGAAGATGAAGATGATGAAGAATCAAAAGTGTCACTTGAAGGAGAATCTGAAGAATCCGATGCCAGCATCGCCAGTAATGCCGGATCAGTCGTAGTCACCATATGAGAGATCAACATGGCGATGGATCCCACTCATACACTAACCACGAGCAAGCCAAAGATCATGATGCATTAGCCGCCAGGCCCACGGCTTATGGGGCTCTGGCATGGGTGTTTATATTAAGGGCCCCTCAAAGAGACCCATTTTCGAGGGTCCAAGGCACGAAATGGCGCACCGTCGATCCCGACAGCAGGACAAAGAAATCGTGGCGTCAGCCATCGTGGTTGTCAAAGGAGCAACAGGAAACAGTCCAAAATAGCGGCACTCATCTTGAGTCGCTCGAAGCATCAAAGAAAGAGTTGCAGCGCCAGCCAAGACCTCGTGGCTCGTGTCCTTTGTTGAAACGCAACTTCATTTCACTAAAAGTTAGCACCTGCGATAGTCTTCAAGTTAGCCGGAAAGGGAAATCCCAGTGCTATGGCATCCAGCCGGATCGATAGGCCCAGCCCACTGGGTAGGGACCATTCGTTGCCATTTGCAAATGTTTATCAATCTGTCATGAGGTTATCACATCGAAGCACGCGAAGTAATTATTCACTCTGGAACACTCAGCGCTTAGAGGCACACTAACACGCGGGGATGTATCAAGTACCAGCGGCTAAAGCTCAGAGTCACAATGCCATTTAATACAATGGTCGTGGGACTCCATAAATGTATCATTAATTTTACAGACTCATTCTCGAGGTCCAAAATGGCTATCATAGCTAGCGTTCAGCAAGTGCCTTTTTTTGGCTTGTTCTTCAATTATCGGCTACACTTGCTACACGGTGCTTCTTTACCGAGGGTCCAATGCAAACTCAGAAATGCAGCCTTGCTTTCTAGAACAGAAGAATAGTGCTTGCTGCTCAATTGACAAAACCAGAGACCAGCCAAATGACATCTGCACTTCGACTGGACTCTGTTTGGCGTAGGTGAACCCATATAGAGGCATGTTCATGCTGAATGCCTGCACGGATGGCTCGTGGGGATCGGGTTGTCCTCGTCTTAATGACACTTACTGTCCTGTCGGAAAGTAGTTCGTCAATGCGGAGGATAGTGATAGAATCATAATCTCATTACTTCTAGAAACCACCATACAGTAATCCTCCGGTATACATGTCTTACCATGTCCCGCCGTGAACCACTAGTGCTGTAGTCTCAACGGCAGCGATTGCGGCGACAACACCTTTCTCCTCGACGTGGGCACCGTGATGCTTCCGAACAACACTTCCTCCACCAACACATTCACAACCGACTGCAAACGGCCAGCGCTGGAAGCGCAGCAACAACAACAACACGGACTCCAAGACAACCATCGTCAGTGCTGGTGCTGGTGTGGGCGTTGGCTTGAGTGCTTGTCTCGCAGCGACTATCGGTGCAATTATCTTCCAAAGGCGGATGTACCAGAAGAAGCTGCGAGAGATGGAACAGCTCAAAAGGATGTTGACCTGTGTTCTTATATCCGCTGCAGATGAGATTGGCTGACAGTCGAACGATATTCTGATGGGATAATCATCTCTGCAATATTGCCATGGGCAGTAAATATTCAAGATGTAAAAGCCGGTTTGATCTCTTCCGATGTTATGCAGATCGAAATTCATGATATCTGGACTAGGCAGCGATGCCAAATTGTTATTTCCCAGTGAGTAGTGTTGAATAGTATCTATGAAATGGTATATAAGATCGAAATAAAGAATGCCCAAAGAATACACAACAAACGTATTATCTAAATGACAAATAGGTATCATAGAATATAAATTAACCGCCCAGTTCATGTATAGGGGCAGGGAGGTCTTTTCGAGCACCATATACTTCCAACTCAGCCGGTGATAATGGCTCCCCCAATTTGGTCCCATAAGGTGCCCAATCTTGCCCTAGATGAGCATTCGGCATGGGTTGAACTTTTCGTTTATTCTTTCGTCGTTGTAAGAGCCATATGGCGAGCAGAATAAAGACAGCAGCTCCAGCAACGCCCACCCCGACCCCGATTCCGGTTTTCGCGCCGGCGGATAGCCCACTTGATGGAGATTGTGACTGAGATGGAGGCTCGGGGGTCGTCGTGGAAGTTGATGTAGATGTGGCAGAGGAGGCTGTGACTGAGGCGGCAGGGGAAGAGGTGGCGGTTGATGTGACGTACAAACTCGAGTCTGTTGATTGAAGTTGGACTGTGATAGGTTGTGCCCACATGGTAATGGGTCCAGTGACCTGAGTGCCTTCATCTGTTCCAGTGCCGCGGGCAGAAACGATCGTTTTACTTGATGAGGAGAGGCTGCTGATGCATCCGGCGTATGTGGCTGAATCCAGATCCTTGTACATCATAATAGAGGTATAGTAGGAGAAGTTTCTGCGAATGTTAGCCATGCTTTTGCTATGCCATGTATGGCCACACTCACGAGATACAGCAGATGGCCGTAGTTGTAGGTCCATCAATGGCGACATTAGCTGAAGTATAGCCCCCTGGACAGTAGCCAGGGCTGAAAACCTGTGTCCCCTGGGCTCTGCCGACATGACTAAACCCAGATGGAAAACAGGAGGGGTCGTTTGCAATGGCATTTTGAAGCAGAAGACCATCTCCGACCAGGTTGTAACCTGACGGCTCGTAGGTCCAATGCGATGAGCAGGATGCCGGGGGAGTGAAGACGGTAGTCAAGGGTATTGGTGTAATTGTAGACTCTGCTGTACTGGCTGTAGTAGCCGGTGGAGTTGTTGTTGTCATCACTATTGCTGCTTCTGTCTTCGTTACCACTTCGGCAGTTGTCTTTGTTGACGAAGAGAATAATGGTGATGATGACGAAGAAGAGGAGGAAGAGGAAGAAGAAGTGGATGGCAGCAGTGATAACAACAGCGCCTGCATCGGTTGTAGGAACCATCTGCGAGATCAACACAATGGCGATGGCCGCTCAGGGCACACGGTCAGCACATCCGAAGAGCCAAAGACCATGATGCATTAACCGCCAGGCCCACGGGGCTATGGGTCACTGACATGGATGTTTATATTAAGGGCCGGACATTCCGACATTGGCCTTCAAAGCGACAAACTTTTCAGAGATATAGGCACGAACTGGAGCAGTGTGGGTACCGACAACAGGACACAAATCCTGGCGTCAACCATAGTGGTGATCATTGACCAAGATGAGCAAAGGAGCAGCAAAAAAACAGTCCAAAACAGCGGCCCGATCCCGAACCAAGTTTAGGAGCATCCAAGAGGCACTGACTCGTGTTCTTGGTTAGAACGTGATTATTGGTCGCTAAGACATTAGCACCTGCGATAGCCCTCACAATAACCGCAACAGGAAATTCCCAGTGGTATGGCGCCCAACCGGATCGCCGCGCACCCAGCCCTGTGTCCATCTGCAATCAGTCCGGCGTGAAGCCGGCGCTTCAACACACACCCAATGAAGCCAATCACCCTCAAACCCCTCAGCTCCGGTGTCCACGGCTGCTGAGTCGGGCGCTTCTTATAAATCGCGTGAAGCTGCATCTGCGCGACTGCGATGTTGTTTTCATCGGTAAACACCTCCATATATATTATATTCCCTTTCGAGTCTGGCATTCAAGGAATGGCAGGTTCCTTTCCCCCACAATGGCTCATTTTTACACAGTTCGCAGCCGGCGTTCGAAGCTGCGCCCGTTCGTGCATTTGGCTTTAGCGTTTGCAGCGGTATTCTCGATATTGCGATTATTCTCTTATTTTTGTATGCCTGATAACACCCCATCTCTGAAAGAGAGGTTAACTGACAAATTAGCACGTAACGACCACAACACAATACAGCCGACAATAGGCAAAGTGACCATGGTATACGGCAGCAACGAAATCTACGACCGAGCATTAGATACCCATAAAGAACACAGTAATCGACACGGGTATCCTCTTCATATCCTCCGCAGACCAATTCTCGACGGCGTTTGGAATAAATACGCGATTCTCTTATCGGTTCTGTTGGAGGAGCTGGCGAAGCCAGTGGGGGAGAGATTGGAGTGGCTTTTGTGAGTCTCCTTTTTTTAAAAATCGAGATTGTGAAGTTGTGCGCTAACTGAACAGTTGGTCCGATGCCGACACAGTTCTAATGAATCCCAACATGCCCCTCGAGACCTTCCTCCCACCCCCAGAAGCCACTCATATCCATCTGCTCCTCACCAAAGACTGGAACGGGATGAACAACGGCGTCTTCCCGATCCGCGTACATCCATGGTCCGTCGAGCTCCTCTCCGCCGCAATGTCCTATCCCACCATGCACCCGGACGAGGAACTATTCTGGCCGGACCAGACGGCTCTCAGCAACGTGATCAAGACAAATGAGTATTTCTCGAAAGCGGTTGTGTATTGCCCGCTGCGTTGGTTTAATGCATATATGAGGATGCCAGATGGCATCGGACTGAATCCGGATTCTCCGCCGCATTTGCAGGTGCATCCGGGGGATTTGCTGGTTCATTTCCCTGGGACGCCAAAGGAGAACTTGAAATCGACATTGGGGCCGTATCTTGATATTGCCGAGTCCCATCGGGCGGATTGGGAGATGGATTTAGAGACAACTGGGTATCTGGAGGAGACGAGGAAGTTTTGGGATCTGCATTTGGTGTCGAGTTCATAATACCCGCGTTTTTGGTTAGGTGTTCTATCATTGTAAATACTATAGACAAGCTGAGATATCCTATTCAGAATCATAAGCGTACATAAGCCAAAGGATATAGTGGATAGTAGGTATATAGCAAGAATCAAGTGTATATCGTCACCGAGGAACGCCAATCTCATATCCGAGCAACACTTCGGTCGTGTTGCCTTCCCAACCTCTATTCCCGCTCGTCGAAATCATGTATCGGCATGCTGGATCAACATATAGCTGTGAGATGGTTCCTGTGCGATGACCTGGAATGATGAGGAATGGAACGGTCGAGTGTTTGGTTACTTGTTCATGCTTCAAATCGTATAGTCGAAGGATATCATGCGATGCGCTAATAAGTAAGCAATGATCCTCAAAGTTAAAGTGATCCAGACTCACCAGACAACATGTCGCCCATTTGGCATCGCCTTCAAGGCCGTTACAGGCCCGCTCCCGGTTGGGAATTTAAACACCCGCTCAGGATTCCGTAGTCCTTTGTGCACACTAAACTCTTCGACTGTGCCGTTTCTTCGTCCGGCATATATGTAGTTCCCGTCAGGAGACCAGCAAGCATTCATACACCATGGCGGCGAGTTGTATGGAGTTATTCGAGCCACAGGGTCCGGTTGCCGTCTGTCCCATACTCGAATAGTGCCGTCGATAGAGGCGGCCAGAAATGTAGAGTCCGATACCACGTTGTTTGACTCGGACTGACTTGGTTGTGTAAATGTCTGACTCTGAGAAGGCTGCTCCAGCTCCTCGGCATGAGGTAGTCCGTTGACCATGGGCTGCGACGACCCATTGGGCTCTGTAGGCTCCGGTTTTGCATCCGTCATTTCCACATCTGGGTTTGCGTCACCCTGAGGAGCTAGTGCCTCTGCAGCGCTGTTTTCCTGGTCCATAGTATCGGGCTCTCCCTGGGCATCTGCTTCTAGAGGTGCGCCATTGGCAATCACCTTGCCAAACTCATCGTCTTCGTCGACACCAAACGCATCGCCCGATGGACCAGCCCCTTCACCAGGACCATCGCCATCTCCAAATAGAGAATCAGCTCCACCAAAAAGCGAGTCTGCCGGAGAACCCGCCGGTTGATTCGAGGCATCACCAAATTCACCTTGATCGTTTGAAGTATCCATGAAGCTGTAGTTTTCGCCTCCACTGGCCTGGTTATTAGACGAGTATGTCCCATTTGATTGCTGCGGCTCGACCGTGTCCTTTGGGACCGGAATGTTCGATTCCGGTCGGATTTCGATTGTAGAGATCTGTCCAGCAATGGATCCAAAAGAGCGCCTGGTCTGACCGGTGTTCAAATCCCAATCAAAAATCCGTTTGTCCCAGCTTCCCGAGAGCAAAGACTTTTCATCCGGTGTCAGACTAAGAACGGATACGGCCGATGTGTGCTGTTGTAGGAGGGCAATCTCCTTGCCCTCTTCATGACGAACCGATTGCAGTCGGATACTGCCCGATTCCAACCCGGAAAGCAACCAAAGACCTTCGCTATGACTCGCCAACGAGTAAACCGGTGACAACGAAGGCCCATCCATATTTTCCCAGTATGTCATCAGCATGCCGGCTTTCACCACACTGTCGACAAATGGGTGTCTTTGCGCCACGGTCAACATCGACTTGCTGTTGATCGAGTCCACCCAGTTGAACTTGCGCACGTATCCATCTGATCCACCACTGAAAACCCATCTCATATCTGCCGTAGCTGTCACTGCATTGATCGAAGTGCTGTGCGGAGCAGCAGTTGTCGGAACAACATCGTAGGTGGAGCACGTCAAACATTCTGCGCGCACGGGGGGGTGAAAGGCGGAGATATAATCGGACACTGTGCCATTATTACCAGAACCAGGTGTGGGCAACGGAACATCAGGATTCGGTTGGGATGCTACTCCGGCGCCCTCGGACACATGGCTGGTATTGGATGGGCTCTCTGCATCCTGGTCCGCATCTTGATCCGCTTCGGGTTCGTTATCACCATCGCCGTCATCTGCGTCTCGGAGGTTGTCCTCGAGTTCGTTCTCGGAGCTTCCGTCTTGCGAGCCTAATACACCGAATCACGAGTTAGTTCTTCTGGCTCGAAGCAATATATCGCAGGGAGCTTACCTGCAAGATCTCGATCGTCGTCGTCCTCTAGCGAAGCCATTGCGGGGTGATCGCAAATTATTCCAACCTCTCAAAGTGGACAAGAAGTAGTATAATATAATGATAAGCAGATCCTAGATTTCAAAAAAGTGACCCAGTTCGAATCTCAAGAAAATGCGCAAGGCGCAACGATATCGCTCAGTCAAAGGCGCGCATGCCCTCGTGAATCAAACAGCCATTTTCCCTTGAACAGCTGCGTATTATTAATATTTAGAGCATATAGGACCAAAAAGATTTAAAGAGCATAAATAAAGATAAAAAGAGCGACTGAGGCTGTTAATATCCTCTGCGATACGTCAATTGAAGAATAATCCGATGATGCGTTCCTCGGACTTCCCCAGACGCAGTCACGTTGACTGCCCGCCTTCTGCCTGAGGCACCAAGTCTTCCATCCGCGCCTTTCCTAAATGGGTAATCGATGCCAAACACCAGGCATTCGATGCTCAGCGATATCATTGTCATCTCTTCAATATTTACATTTTACAGTCTCTATCTAATTACCGGAGCCTTCCTCAATTCTCACGCAAACTTTGGAAAAGTGCTTCTGGGCCATCATATACTCATATGCCTCCTTCGCCTCCTCATATCCAAACACCCTCTCGTCAACCACTGGCCGAATTTGGTGCTGGTGGACAAACCGATTCATCTCCTTGAACTGTCGCCTAGTACCCAAAACAATACCTCTTGCAGTACACGGTTTGAAAAGTGTATGCATCAAACCGGGCACTTCTTGAGTCAGAAGCGCTGCCTAATACCCCTGTAATGGAAATGACTCCATCAGGGCGTACTGCCTTGAACGATTGATTGAGTGTCGACAAGCCCCCGACATCGACGACAAGATCACACCCTTTCTGACCAGGCGTGAGTGTCTTGGCTGTTTCGCCCCAGTTTGGGTTCGTCCGATAGTTCAGAACATGATGGGCGCCCAGTGACTGGAGTTTCTGGGCTTTGGAATCAGAGCTCGTGGTTGCTATGATGGTGGCACCGCAAACCAATGCAAACTATTTCGTCAGTCAGCATTTCAAAAACCGTCGAAGCCCCCGATAATGGGAAAAAAAAAAAAAAAAATTTACCTGCAATGCTATAACGGAAACGCCGCCCGTTCCCTGCACCAAGACAGCGTCTCCTTTCTTGGGCCCTCGCCCCTCCAGTCCAAGAAGCGCATTCCAGGCTGTCAGCCCTGCGCATGTCAATGTGCTTGCTTCTATGAAAATAGACCGGAGGGCATCTTGACCAGCCCCGATTCATGGAACACGCCGTACGGACGTAAATTCCCGTCGAGGTGTTGACCGAGTCCGGTAGTAATCTCTCGGAGAGAAACTGGCTCCGACTCAGGGTACTCTGAGACGAGGTGTGTGCATACTTCGTCGTCAGGTTAGAACGAAGTCACTTTTGAACCGACGGATTGAACGACTCCGGCTCCATCAGAGCCGGGGACGACTTTGTCTTTGATGATGAGAGAGTGATCACCTTACAAGTCCGATCGACGACTTAACAATCCATAGACTAGGTCTCATATATGGAAAGTAGCTGTGATACATACCTTGGCTATGGCTAATTCACGGTGGTTCAACGACGCAGCGTAAATCCGTACCAACACTTCATGGTCCCCTGGTCGAGGGATTTCCTTATCAACGACCTTCAAGCTTTCAATGCCGTTCTGGCCTTGCAGGACCCAGGAACTGGAGATCTGCATTTTGAATATGATTTGAACTTGGCTTTACAGGGGTGATAGGTGAATATATCCTCTAGCAAGGATTTACGAAGCCAGGGAGGCACATTTTAAATGCTTATCAAGCATTAGAGGCAAAATCCAACCTGATTCACGAAAATGGAGACGAGGTGGACCGAATGACTCTTGAAAGTGGATACTAAACTGATCCTGACTTGAAATTTCTGTCCATCTCAGGGGAAAACTGAGTTTAATGACTTGATCAAGGCATTGAGGCACCTATGATAGTGGGAAAGCACACACAGCCCGGCCAATTATATCGTGTCCCGATTTCCTAGTTACTCGTTCCACCAGACTCCTTGACCTGCTTCCCAGTTCTCAGGAACATAACAATGTCGCCACGTTCCATGCGATATTCAATGCGATTGACAGTTATCCATGCATTATTAATATTATCAGGCTTAACTACTATTTGCATACGACGGCACTTGCATGCAATGGACAGAGGAAATCCTATTTTCCCACAAATTCCGTCTCTGTTTTTGACCAAGTCGCAGAATCCTTCAGGCCAGAATGTATTCAATTGTTGGACATCTGCCTTACATCGATCATAAAGCTACTGGGAAATGCATCCTTTATCTTTCACCAGCCACAGAATTAGGTAGGCAACAAACCGGAAACAAAGCCACCTTGTCTTCCTGTAGCGCCGGTGATCGCTCCAGCTGACATGCTGCCTTTCCGATTGCAAGATGTAGCACCCTCGACAAGTTCTTTTGGTGGAAATGGGAGAGATATTACGACTAGAGATGAAATACTTCTTGATTTATTGGTATTTTCGTTGTAAATAATACTTTATCTTCTATTAACGAGTAGTTGATTAAAAGTAGTATCTCGGGCTAGAACACGCCGAGTTTGGATGTTGTTCTTGAAGCTTCATTTGTGCCGTCAATTATTGCAACATGATATTTGATTTCAAATGATAAATATATCTAATCCTAACTAGTAGCAATTGACCAAATTGAGCATGGTCCATGAAGATCTCTGCAGCCAACCGTCGAGACTGATTTTTGGTGATTCGGATAGTGGCATCTACATCATGCACGACTACACAAAGAGACTTGACGGCTTTCTGCATGCTTCCTAGCGTCTGACGATATGCTGGGATGGCCTTTGATATGGTATATCAATTATACTGATTGCTAGAATTTTGATGGATAATATTCTGTCGTTTGTGTTTTGGCAATGCTACTAATTCATTACTATCAGTCCAATAAAAACAGTTCACTGATTTTATATAGAAGAAGATATGAAATTCATATAGCAAGTGATTGATTCTCTGTGAATTAAAGAGCTGTCAATTACTCTGCTTCACTTGGATTTAGTTGCAGCAATCAATCCCATCTTTTGTGGTGTGAATATCCGTGGCTTTCTTCCCTGCAAACGCAGACTGTTACCTCCCTCGACTCTCTTAAACTGCTCTCTTTCTCTTTCTCTCTCTTTCCTGCCCCTCACAGCACCCTCGTCTCTCATCATAGTTTTTTAACCTTCACATCAATTCGGACTCAGTGCAAATTTCGTGACCATGGATTCTGGAGATGAGACAAATTACATGCCCCTTGTCCAAGATCTCAATGAGATATTGAAACCTACCCAAGCTGACTCCGTTGCCCTCGTCAACCCAGACATCAGAAATTACTTTATCAAGAGAAGCTACGAAGAAAATCCGGAGAAAGATGTCTGGCTTTCAAAGCCAGAGATTCCTTCGTCGGACGAGATTCTGGGCACGGACTTGGCCGAAGAAGTTGAACTTATGCCTAATAAGATCGACGGTCCTTGGCCTTCTAAGGATGCTTACCTGAAAGCCCACTACGAGCTTCTCAGAGAGGATGCGGTCGCTCCATTGCGAGATGCCGTGGCTTACTTTCGAGAGGATCCTCATATGATGGACTCCCAAGCTGTCTCGATCTACGATAGGGTGAGTGTCTGGCTCTAGTGAAGTTGCATTGATTGCTGACTTGAGGCTTCATTTCATGGCAGGTCTACGTAACTGGTCTTACCTTCGCGCAACAAGGCTTGGCTTTTCGACTACACTTCTCGACAACTCGTGCAGGGAAGAACATTGTCTGGGAATACTCTAAACGCTTGGTTACTGGTACAATTGTTGCACTGTCTCCTGCCGATGACTGCTTCCAGAATGAATGCATCATCGCTGTCGTTGCAGCGAGGCCCTTGGAAGGGGTGAAGAAGCTGCCTCGGGAGATTGATGTTTTCTTTGCCAGACCTGAAGAAGCGAACTTTGATCCCCAGTTAGAATGGATTATGGTGGAGGCAAGAACTGGATACTACGAGTCATTGAGACATACAATGACTGCTTTGCAAAAGATGAATCACGAAAGGTTAGTCATCTTCCTGGGAATGTATTGAAGTGAAACTAATTATTTGCAGTTTCCCTCTAGCAGACCATATCTGCTCACTCGATTCTAACATCGATGCCCCTGAATATGTCAAAGAGAGCCCCGTCATTGATATACAATCCGCCATTGACGGCCCCGGCAAAGAGGGCAGGGTGAATATTCTTGAGGATTGGCCAAGGTTACCAACCGGTGACCTGGATAACTCGCAATGGGCAGCTTTAGAGCAAATCCTGACCAAGAAATTGTCCATCGCTCAGGGACCTCCAGGCACTGGAAAAACTTACGTCTCAGTTGTCGCTCTGCGGATCTTGCTCTCCAACATGCAAAGTGGTGACCCGCCCATCATAATCGCTGCTCAAACCAATCATGCCCTGGACCAATTGCTCAACCATATCTCTCACTTCGAAAAGAATTACATTCGACTGGGTGCGAGAAGCAGTGATGTCGAAATCAAGAAGCGCACACTGTTTGCCGTGAGACAGAAAGAGCCCATGGTTACTATTCACGGAAGTGTCTTAGGGCCGGCCAGGAAGACATACAGAAGTCTGAGTCGTTCAATCACAGAACTCTTGCAAGCATTTAACCAGGAAAATGCCGACGCACCGCTTCCATCTTCCTTCTTTGCCAAGCACGGTCTTCTTACGCAAGATCAGTGTGATTCTCTGGAAAAGGATGCAAAAGGCTGGATACGACCCCAAGCAGATGAAAACTTTGATCCCTTAGAGACTTGGCTTGGTGATGAAGCAGTTAAGTTTGAAGTCAAATACTCGCCGGAGAACTTTGGCTTTTCAGAGGATGAGGTTGACCTGGAGTATGAGCAGTTGAAGGAACTCGAAGCTGAGCAAGGGATTGAGGAAGACGACTATGAAACTCTCAAGGGCCAGTTCATTCACCTCAGTGACGGGTTTCAGGGGAGAGAAGTGACCTCCAGCTCCGAGGATGCTGCCCTAGACTATCTCAGGTTATCTGACATGCGAAAGATACCTTTGAGGTCACGCGGGTCTGTTTATAACGCTCTCCGGAAACTTGCCAAGGAAAAGCTTCTGCTCGATTTTCGCAAATTACTAGCGCTATACAACACCAACTGTGACGATCTTCAAATTGGCAAATGGGAGAGAGATCATCTCATCCTTCAAAACACAAAAGTGATCGGGATGACAACCACGGGGTTGAGCAAGTACCGAGGTCTCATATCAAGCTTGAAGCCGAAGGTTATCTTGATTGAAGAGGCAGCCGAAGTCATCGAAGCACCAATTTCGGTGGCATGTCTCGATTCACTGCAGCATCTGATTCTAGTGGGCGACCATCAGCAGCTCAGAGGACACTGTTCAGTCCAGGACCTGGAAGGAGAACCGTTCTTCTTGGATACATCAATGTTTGAACGACTTGTGCACAATAGGATTAAATACGTGACCCTCAGACGACAGCGAAGGATGGCTCCAGAGATTCGTCAATTGCTAGAGCCCATATACGGAGACCTGCAAGATCACCCATCCGTCCAAAAACGCCCTCAAGTTTCCGGAATGGGCAAAGTCAGGTCCTTTTTCTTCAGCCACAGCTGGCCGGAAAGTAGTGACAGTATGTACTCAAAGTTCAATGAGATGGAAGCCAATATGGTCGTGGGATTCTTTGTTCATCTCGTCCTCAATGGAGTTCCGGTCAAGGACATTACAATCCTGACATTTTACAACGGTCAGAGGAAACGCTTATTGAAAATGCTGAGGAACCACCCCTATCTCCAAGGCCATTACGTGAAGGTGGTGACCGTCGACTCTTACCAAGGAGAAGAAAATGAAATTGTGATATTATCACTTGTCAGAAGTCCACCAAACAAGAACATTGGATTTCTCTCCATCGAAAATCGTGTTTGCGTCGCCCTTTCGCGCGCAAAGAGTGGATTCTATATCTTTGGAAACGCCAAAACACTCGCTTCTGCAGATCCGATTTGGTGGCAGGTCATCTCCATCATGGGTACAGCAGAAGCAAATGGGAAGACAAGACGGTTAGGGTTTTACTTGCCCTTGACATGCACCAAGCATGGAAAAAAGACATTTATTCAAGGTACGTCATTACCCTTTACGAGTCGGCTGCTTACACTGCTAACATATAACAACAGATCCATCCGAGTGGAGCAAGACTAATGGAGGATGCGAACTTGGTTGCAATGAAAAGTTAGAATGCGGCCACACTTGTGCCCTGCGATGCCATAGGTAAGAAGAATGGCCATACTATGATTCCCAATGAAGATGCTAATTAGATGGCTACAATAGCTTTTCTCACGATCAGGTAAAATGCGATAAAGTCTGCGGCAAGTTGCTCTTTTGCTCTCACAGCTGCACACAGCCTTGCGCACCAGGCCACAGTTGTTTATGCAAGGACAAGTGTAAACTAGTGATGGAAGCGGACGATGAGGCCAGTCTCATTCATAACTACAGCAATGGCAGGTCCGACATGGAAAAGCTGCGTGCAGAGTCAATTCGAAAGTACCATGAATTTGCGAATGGAGGAGTCAAAGAACACGATGCAATTCTTCTAGCCAAGGCTAGGAGTTTAGAAGAGTATAAAATGTCGAGAGCATTGGATAGCATGGCGCTAGAAGATGCCGACGAAGGCGAGATAGATAGAGCAGCTCAGAGGAGCTTTGCTTCGTCTAGCGCTGACTCCGAGGACCCCGAATACCTCCTTTCGCAATTCACGACTACGAAGGCAACTGTTTCGAAATTCAAAAAGCCCAAATCAAAGGGCAAACAGCCTCAACGACATGTGCCCCAGGGAAATCTCCTCGACTGAACTATAGCCATTGAAATGTGCCTACATATCTTCATTCAAACTGCAGTTGATGTTAAAATAGAGCATACCGATCATATATTCATAGTCTTATGATAATTTGATGTAGTAATATATGCTAACTCAATGTCCCAACCAGTTGGAGTAGAAAATACTAAACATTGTCATTTACAAGTCGTTAAACCATAAACAAAAAGCAATAACTATCTTAATTCTTCTCCAGTATAGCTCCTGGTTTGGCTGGCATAAGTGCCCCAGCCGCAGGAGCATTCTTGCTCTTGAAGTCGTCGCTGACCTGTTCCATTGTCACGAACTCGACGCCTTCGTGCTTTTTGAAATGCTCAATGAGTCTATAAAATGTCAGACATGCATCGATTAGAATACCAGGGGCGGTTGAAAAAAAATACCTTTCATGCATCAAAAGCGCATGTGGTCTTCCAGATACATCAGGATGAATCGTAATCGGAAAGATGAACTCATCATATTCCCGGTAGAAATAATCGAAATGATCACGCCAGATGTCCTCAACATCGCGAGCATTCACGAAACCATGGCTGTTGGGAGCTGTCTTGACGAACATCATTGGCGGGAGATCGTCAATGTACCAATTGGCAGGAATCTCAACAAGCCCTGTCTCCTGTCCGAAAACCATGGGCTTCATCCATTCCTCTGCCTTCTTGGTGTAGTCGATGTTTGTCCATGTATCGCCTGTTCGGAGGTAGTATGCTTGACAATCTTCGTGGCTCATGCTGTGATCGTATTCAATTCCATAGTCGAGAAGTAACTGGGCACCTTCTTTGCTGGTTTCCCACCTATTCGACCGTGTCAGTATGTGCTATTTTTGTATTTCCATGTCGAGTATAGCTTACCATGGAGCCACACTTCCTCGAGGAGGCTTTCCAGCAAACTCAGTGAGCATCCGGTATGTCTTATCCAAAATATCCCGCTGTTGTTCCAGAGTCATATCCTTCGGGTTCTCGTGAGAATAACCATGCAACCCAATTTCGTGTCCTGCATCGCGAATAGCTGCCATCTCCTTGGGGAAGGACTCCAACGAATGACCAGGGATAAACCATGTCGACTTGATTCCGTACTTTTCGAAGAGCTTTAGAACACGCTGTGTACCAACGGTAGCCGCCCAGACACCTATTTTATACGAAGTTAGGAACCACCCTGGATGTAGAAGAAAATATAGTCATTCATGGATTAATTACCTCGACTAATGTCGCTGGTTGAATCTTCTCCACCGTAGGAACCGAGCCATCCTGCGACAGCGTCGACATCAACTCCGTAGGTGATGAGAACGCGCTTCTTTCCCATCGTTTTGGCGATGATATTGTACAGAGGCTGGAAGGAAGGGATTCTTAATCGGAATTGCGCGAAGTAACGAGGACAAGAGCCTTTGCTAATTGCAAGCCAGTCGATTGTCTAGAGAAGGAGGGATATTTAAATTCATACCGCAGCCGATCACCGAACCCCTCGTTCCTCCCGTGTATTTCCAATCAGGTCGATCGCTGTTATCACTCCCCACCTTCTCATTGCGGGGGCGAATATCTCCAAAAATGCTGGAGATAATGAAGATAACCGGTTCTGGGAGTCTCCGAATGGCGTTGCAGTTCGAGTGAAGCTGCTGCGTAGCCTGCATGCCATTTGGGGGAGCCACCGAGGTTCTCCAACTCGACTCCAACTCGCTTGGAGAATCGAGAGGCGACGGTTTCTGGGCAGGTCTTGGTCATTTTTAATCATTATAAAGCGATTTCTAAGATTGCAGGTGAAGGGTTTATCTTGAGAGATTCTGCTGGGGACGAGAAAAAATTCAACAATCTTATCAGCTTCACACGTTAACCGTTGCCATGTCGGTTCTATTTACTTCTATTTCTGAGTAAGTCGAGGCTCTCGTTGAATTGAACCGGAAACCAGGACAAGCTGATGAATTGAATAGAAACAACCCGGTGCAAAGGGATGATGCGCAGCGACTTGTGCAGCATCTCGGTGTCACCATTGAGCCTGACGAGGTCGACGACTTCCATACGCTCCTCGCCGCCGTTCACGACTGCGCCGAAGATATCGCGAACCTCCCCGATTATCAGCCGATCCCGGATTTAGAACGTTACCCGCGGGAAAACATTCGGAGACCATCCGAGGAGGAACAGGTGTTCGGACATGCGTGGGCCCATAAATTTCTCATCAAGGGCAATCCCGACGGTGGTCCTCTTGCTGGCAAGTCAGTCACTCTCAAAGATGTGATCGCCGTGGCTGGTGTCCCCCAATTTATGGGAAGCGATGTAGCTCCTCCTTGGACGCCTTCGACAGATGCGACCGTCGTGACTCGAGTTTTGGATGCAGGCGCCGATATTGTTGGAACTTCCACATGCGAGAACTTGTGCCACACGACTTCTTCATTTACTAGTGCTCAGGGCACTGTGGAGAATCCATATGCGCCTGGATACTCCTCTGGTGGGAGTACATCCGGCGGTGCAGCATTAGTTGGAGGTGGCTTGGTGGATATTACAATCGGTGGAGATCAAGGAGGGAGCATCAGAGTGCCTGCGGCATTCAGTGGATGTATGCAAACCCTCTATCTGACATTGATTCCATGCTATTTAAACCTAACCAATGCGTTCGTCTAGGTGTCGGACTTAAAGCCACATATGGATTGGTCCCCTTCAGTGGAATCGCCAGTGGTGATGCTATGATCGACCACACAGGACCTCTTGGCAGAACAGTATTGGATACCGCATTATGCTTGGACGCCATCAGTGGTTATGATGGGATGGACGATCGATGCCTGGGGAGCCCTGAGCATGGATCGACTTCCTTCGCCAAAACATTACAACAAGAACCGACTAGACTGGATGGATTCAAGATTGCTATTCTGACCGAAGGTTTCGAACATAGCGCAGTAGATCCAGCCGTGAAAAAATCGGTCATGGGCGCCGCACGGAGATTCGAGGAGCTGGGTGCAACTATTGAAGAGGTCTCCTGTCCCGACCATCTCCACGGCCCAGCTATTTGGACAATTCAGCAGCGTATCGCAGGTACTCAGAATCTTCTGGGACAGGCCCATGGAAGACGAGGTCTCGGTTTAACGGAAATGGAACGCGGTCGACTCCCCTGGACAAACGAGGCCTTTCAGCGAGCTTTCCCGGCCACCAAGAACGTCATTATCAACGGATTATACCTCACTTCCAAATTCCCAGATCTCTACAGCAAGACCGTCAACATTGGTCGAAAGATGCGAGATTCATACGAGGCAATCTTTGAAAAGTATGATATTGTGATCATGCCTACAACGCCCGTTGTCGCTCCCAGAAACGGGAAGCGTGGTCTTCCCCTGGAGTCTGTCAAGCCTAGCTCGGGGTTGACTATCAACACTGCGATTTTCAATATAACCGGTCATCCAGCTATTTCGATACCCGTAGGGTTCGCTCCTGCGAAGGATAACCCCGATGTCCGTTTACCGGTGGGTATGCAGATTGTCGGAGGATTGTGGCAGGAATCCAAGATTCTCCGCGCTGGTCATGCATGGCAGACCCATTTCGATTGGAAAGAAACACAAGCAGCAGATATTGATTAGAGATATGGACAATCGTTGCTTAGATATCGTGTGTATATACATAAGTTCAATGCAGAAGGCTCATTGCACAAGAACTTCCTAGTTAATAACGTAACCCCCATCAACAACTAACGAATGGCCCTGAATAAATGAAGCTTGTGTAGAGCACAAGAACAGAACAGCATCAGCAACTTCTGTCGGCTTACCCATTCTTTTCATCGGGGCTATCTCGACTGCAGGCCTCAATCGCTCACTGACTTCTCCATTGTGAGAGGTCATGGGGGTCTCGATTACTCCGGGACAAACACAGTTTACCCTGATCCCATCTGCCGAATAATCAATCGCATCCGCGCGGGTCATGGCAATGATGGCGGCCTTAGAGCTACAGTATGCAGCTAAGAAATGTCAGATCATACTCATAAGATTTGGGCAGTAGAAAGAGACTTACGAGCACTGGGTCGCCCGACAATTCCCAACTGGCTTGCGATATTGACTACCGCACCTCGCTGAGGGCTGCGATCCGGATCATGACTTGGCAGTGGGTCTTGCTTCAGCATCTCTTTCAATGCTGCTCGAGAAAATAACCAGCTGCCCCGGTAGTTGACGTTATTTACAATGTCGAAAGATTCTGGAGTCATCTCCGTCGACCGCTCCGCCGCCCCGAGTATTCCCGCACAGTTCACAGCATAGTCCAGACGCTCGAACGTGGCAGCTACTTCTTTTATGAAGGTATCCACGAATTTCTCATCCGCAATATCTCCAGCCATATGGACCACACGAGCCTGGGGGTTTGTGGACAGAACCGCTTGTCGCGTTTGTTCTAACGAAGTCGCATTGAGATCTGTGATTGCAATTCGACTGCATCCTGAGGCAGCAAATCTTTTGGCTACTGCAGCTCCGATTCCTATCGGTTTTATCATTAGTATGGTACGTTCGATGGGGTCCTGACATCATACCTGTGCCACCAGCGCCTGTGACGACCGCCACGCCTGGGAATGAATATTGCAAAGCCATATTGATAAAGTAGCTGATGTTCTCTTTGAGATCAAGATAGTACGTTATCTCGCCAAACCACTCGACCCAGCAGAGATATAAAACACCTGTCCACCCCCCCCTCCTCTTATCACCGCGTTGGAGTCGCTGTCCCTCTTATCACAGGGTGGGGAATGTCAGGTGTCAGTTGGGGTCGCCGCCTTACCGTATTGGGACCGGATCCCACGCAATTTCGGCCCGAAACCAAATGTTGGAGTCATTTTCTCCTCTCCAGACCTCAACTTGTCCCTTTGTCTCCTGAAGTCCACCTGCATTGCCCACCTAGCTGCGTCCTGCGTCTCCAACAATCCAGTGGAGAGGCCTCGCCATCACAATCATTGTTGTATCCCATCCCCAAATGCCTTAATGCTGTCCCAGTCGCCTCAAGTCCATAGAGGGACTCGTCGCTCGAACGTTGGAGCAAAAGCTCGCGTCTGCCCTCATTGCGGTCGGGGTTTTAGGCGGACTGAGCATTTGGAGCGCCATATTCGGACTCGTAATATGCCCCCGTCCTGATCTGGAAAATGGGGTCGATCTCTGTTTTTTATATTGCTTTTTTGTCATAGTGCAAAAGTACTGACTTTTTCTGTCTGCCCAGATACCAAAGAAAAGCCGTTTACTTGCTACTGTGGTGCCGCATTCACGCGCCGTGATCTCTTGAAGCGGCACAACCGCATCGCACACCAGAATGGTGATGACACCAATGGCTTGATTTCGCCCCCCTCTCAACCCGACCAGGACGTCGCTGAAGGCCAGAATGTAAATGACCTTCACACACCCGAAGCTCCCGCAACCTCACAGCCGTTCGATCCGCAGGCCGGGGTGGGACCAGCCGTGCCTGTACCTCTTCCTGGACCGTCTGCTGTCGAGCAATGGGCTGCGCCTCAACGTGCGCCGTACATAGAACAATCTCAACCCGTACTTAGTACAGGGGAGAATAATGCGGGCTTGGTCACGCATGCAGGGGTTGTCCCAGATGCAGAGATCCTGCAGGCCGCCCAGCTTCTTTTGCCAGGTAGTTTCCGAGATCCTCAGCCCGCTCGTAAGAGGTTATTAACTGCCATTTATCGAGTTTATGACTAACTTGAGATCAGATCAACCGATGCCATATCTTCCCGAAGAATTCAACCACTTCCAAGACTTCACCCATTTCCTGGACTCGATCGGATTGCCAGCTGAATGGGTCCCCACTGGGGTAGAAGCCACGCAGGTCCAGAGTGCTGTTCCTGACGATGTCCCCGAGGTCAGGCGGATGTCTCGGGATCTGCAGGGAACTTCTAGTCGCGGTCGAGAGGGCTCACGCGCAGATTCTCCATTTAGATCCTGGCTACCATCGGTGCCTCCAGGGGATCAGAGCCTAGGAACTATATCTGATTATGGTAGGCATCCTTCATTCTCCATCCGTAATGGCCTATTTGTAAAGGCAGAGCAGCAATTGTAACCGTTTCATATAGAACCACCACAGGCAGCTAAAAATCGGTCCCCTTTGAAGGTCAGCGAAGAGCAAAGACTGCGCCTCGCGGCTTCATTGGAGGAGTTTCGCCATATCATCCCAGAATTCGTCTTACCGTCTCGGCATACCTTGACGAGATACTTGACCTCATTTTTTGACGGTTTCCATTCTCATTTGCCCTACATACATCTTCCTACGCTTCGGATCAATGAGCGTTCACCGGAATTGATACTTGCTTTCTTAACTGTGGGAGCTCAATATCGCTTCGAGCACCGTAATGCAGAAAGGCTATTCTATGCTGCGAAAGCAATTTTGTTTGAGAGATTATCCAAAATGCCCGCGCCATCATCGTATAACAACGGTTCCAAAATCCCACACCAGCCCGGAAAAGCACCGGTACTCCCACCTCCCGACGCTGTTGCAGGGTTCAGCACATGGAGACAGATAGAAAATATTCGTACTCTTCTTACACTCATGGGTTATGCCTCATGGGAAGATGCTCGGTTGGTCCAGGAGGCTTTTGCTCTTCAAAACCTGCTTGTACGATGTCTCCGCGAGTTTGGGTTGACAGAAAATATCACAATTGGCCCAAAACATTCCCCTCCGCAATGGCATGAATGGGCGGAAGAAGAATCTGTCAGGCGGACAAGATTGATTTCTTTCTGTTTTGTTCATGTTCACAGCATTGCGTACAATATTTACCCCATGCTCCGGAGCAGCGAAATCCATCTACGCCTTCCGTGCTCCACGAAGGAGTGGAAAGCAAACAATGCCAGCGAGTGGGAGGCTGCTCAGAAAGAGGTTCCTTCTCAGCAGCTGTTTTTCCAGGATGCCTTAGCACTTCTCTTGCAGCAGTCACGGAACTCAGTTATGCTGGATCCAATCCCCGCGCCCCTAGGTAACTACATCCTCCTACATGGTCTTCTCCAGCGGATCCACCTGGTGAGCGAGCTGTCTTTACCCACTGGTAACCAGACATTTTCCCTACCAACTGAGGAATTGAACAAACTAGAGTGAGTTTTACTTTTAGACCATGGTATTAGATGGTTTTGTGATGAGATTCTAACAATCTGGGTATAGGAGAGCACTCCGTTCTTGGACTTCCGTTTGGCAACAAGCCCCGGAGTCAAGTCTTGACCCCCATAATGAGAACGGTCCAATTCCTTTCACCTCGAGTTCACTATTGGGCCTGGCTTATGTTCGGCTCTCACTCAATCTCGGACCGTATCGTCAGTTGGAAACCCGAGATCCGTTTGCTATTGCCGCAGCACTACATAGATCGCCCAGGCCCGGGCGAAGCTATCGACTGACGCCTGCTCTCATCTACTCCGCACATGCATTGAGTATTCCTGTGCGGCTTGGCATCGACCATGTTGCGCGCAGCCAAGCTTTCTTCTGGAGTGTTCGACATTCCATTGCGAGTCTGGAGTGTGCGGTCCTTCTAAGTAAATGGCTATTGTCTCTGGCAGAGCCAGGAAATGGCCAAAACCTCACAGGTATTTAATAAGAGTCTACACTGTCTGATGTCTATACTAATATTCTCTAGAAAATGAAAACCGAATCCTGCATTGGACCCGCTGCATAGTCCAGGAAGCATATTCTTCAATGGACTTGGACGACGGTGATAGTTTGGAAAACCTCGAACCTTTTAGCCTGGGGTGCGCCGTGATAAAACTTTGGGCGCGATTGTTCGTGAGAAACACTCAGTGGCCATTTATAAACGTCATGGGACAAAGTCTGGAGAGATATTTGGCCATCATTCAGGGAGGCTGAAAAGACCTTGCCTTGAGTTGGGCTCGACAATTTGGAGACTCACTGCTTACTTTCACATACCTCTATTGAGGTGGTATCGTGTCAACAGGCTCCCCAATATAGGCAATGATGGGGATGTTCCATTCATCCCGCCGATACCCGCCCCAGTTACTGGGCATTGTTTTGAGCAATTTCCCTCAAATTATCTGCAGGAAATCGAATAGGTATACGGAATACACCGGAACCTCCAATCTGGATATTTTGTGATATTTCTTAACATCCCGACTGTTGCAACCAGTCGATATATTTGATGGTACAACCGACCCCGGCACGAGCGAGAGCCCCGCCTAGGACACATCGGGAAATCATTGACTCATCATTTTGGGCGCCCTTCGAGGATTCGCAATGTACTCTTCTTTTGTTCAAACTATCATATGAATGGATTTAATTGATACGAAATATATACTGTTCCTGCTTGTGTAATGATTTTGCAACGCACCGAAAGGTCTATCATGGATGTAAATATTGAATTTTTGAAGACTGATGACTATATTCAGAGAACTTTTCATCATAAGCTGCCTGAGAGTAGTATAGATCAAACGCAATTTATCATGCGAACGAACAAGGTAAGTAAGCGAAAGGCTTCATAGAATTTTATACTGAAAAGTTCCCAGAATATCAATCAGATTCATTAATATTACGCACGTTGGTAGCATTAATTACAGGAGCGAAGGAAGTGCTCTTGTTCAAAATCATCATTTGACGCCAAAACGTCCATTACTCCGACCTATTATCCTTCTTTTAAACGCGAATGCGTTTCTTTTTCTCTTCCCCTGATTCCATTGGCTAATTTGTCCAGAGAAACTAGCTTAAGTCGAGCTAGGGCTTGCGGAGGCAGAGGCAGGGGTACTCGACGCGGCAGCACCACCAGAGCTAGATGCGGCAAAGCTAGAGATACTAGGAGTGCTAGTGGCGAACACAGAGCTGGCAATATCGGCAGAGCTAGAAGCAGCAGCAGCACTGGAAGGCTGGACCAGATTGGCAGTGAGAGGACCAATCACCAAGTCCTGGCCGCAGGGGCCAGGGGGGGCAGACAAGCAGCCACCCAGGTAGCTGCCCAGCTTTCCGGGGCCCTTTCCAGAGCTGAGGACCTCTTCCGGAGTGTACGCTTCGATAGCGAAGGTGGAGTTGGACTTGAAGACGGTGGACTCGGTGTTGCTCGCAATGTATGTGGCCTGCACGCCGTGCTGGGTGGCCACACGGGCCAGGAGGAAGGAAACCTCGGGGGCCTGGGTGAACCCGGCAAGACCGATGAAAGCGCCGCTGATGGTGGACTCGAGCTGCAGGGCAGTCTCCAGGAATGAGGTGCCATTGGCGACCTTCGGGAGAGTGTAGTTGCATGTGGGAACCTGGAAGCCCACCTTATCGCCGAGCTGCTTGAGGGCACGAGTGCTCCAACGGTTCTGACGCTCCAGATTGCGAAGGTTGGTGCCATAGTTCACAGAAGAGCTGTTGGGCAAGGTGGAGATCAGGGACTGGTTGAGCGGGACAGAGGCGTAGAATTGGGTGAGGAAGTACTGGATGCCCCAGGCGAACTGGAGAACCTCATTGTCGGACGAAGAAGGCGTGCAGTTTTCGCAGGCGGCGAGGGAGGTCGATGCTCCAGCCAAGAGAAGGCTACCGAGGGCGAAGAAACGCATGATGATGATTGGTTGGTAGATTGAAGGGAATATAGAAAGGGGATTCTGGAGCTCAAAGCGTGATAGGATTGCGTTGGACGAAGCTTCCGGGAGGCAGAAGTATCCGCCAACTTATACCTTTGCCCGGGGACACCCCTCGGAGGACAGGAGATTTCACCATCGCTAGTTTTCACGTATCAAGAGAGACGAATGCAACTGTGCGATGGCAAATCTTGAGGATTTGCCTTGTTATCCCCAATGTACAAAGTTTATCGCACGGTCCTTGCATCATGACACCCCGGAACGCCCGGGATAGCAACCAACCAGCCTGGATGAACTGCGCCCAAGTCCAAGTATCTCAATCATGCATTTCATAGATGATCGGGTAGACGCGTACTCTCGCGTTAACCACCGCGACAAGTACAAGATTTTTGAACAATTGCCACTCGATGATATCATGAAGCCTGATAGCTAGGAAGCTTGGCTGGGGTAGATGAGATCATGCCTGTAGAGTCATGGCCCTTGATGATTTTTACACGGACTGGTTTGCATGCCGGATGTTCCTGCTCGCCCTGTTTGTCCCTGTATGTACTTGAGGATCCATCTAATGATGATCCTGTCATATTCGTGAGGTTTCACTGTTCGGTCTTGAATCGTGATGATCGATGATCCGCGCTACACGATGGATCTCGGTGCCAAGACGCTAATGCACGCTTATCTGAGACAAACAAAACAAACACAAATTTACATCTGGATAGCGTCATCGTTGAGGATAATACGGCTCTACTTCATACTTCTACCTATTAGAATCAAAATTACTCAACGCAATGCCTCTGGTTTACTTCCCGCCCGACCTGGAGTCAATTCCTCAAGCTCAACCACTTTCCGTGGCTCACGATAGTATCCAGAGCCTTGATTCCCCTTCCGTTCATATATAATCGGCACAACCGGAGAATTCGAAGTAAACGAAGCATCCGACACGTCACGATGACATTGGCGTCGTTGAGCGGAAAGGGTTCTTCTCCGTTTCTGCATACACGATGGGTCTGGTTGGTGGTGATGCCGATGCAGCAGTATTAAGAATTGTATAACATACATCCTAGACACTGTTTGGAGCAGTCCTTTCCCCAGTCTTTATCCGTACAGCTTCCTCTCGAGGGACGAATGGCTGTCTCATACTCACGCAGAGTCTATTGCTGAGACAGATGGAACCCGTGCTACAGCATGGACTGTGTAAATTCGAGGCACAGGGAACAGCTCCTTGAGCGATGGAGCCATCAGGGAAGTGACAGGAACTGGCAGTAGCAAGAGCAGCAAAAAGAAGAGGTTTTGTGTCATGCTGGCGATAGTATCAACTTACATTAGTTATTTATTACGAGGGCTCAGTAAGCATTGATGGCGTATATTGATCTTCTTTTCTCTTCGAATGATTCTTTCTTTGTCGAACTGATGTGACTACAACATAGCTATTAATATCAACAACACAAAGAAATATTCGATAACGTCCATCGAAGCTTCGACCCACGAGCTTCCTTTGTTGGTCACTGCCCTTTCATTTCAGCGTTTCCAGATACATCAATGGGAGGACGACAGTGAATACACACAGACAGACACAGACAGACAGAGCACGCTGAATTCGATATATATTGAAGAGGAATTAAGATTATTTTATTATGTACTTGTAGTATTCTAGGTATAAGTTTACTCTACATTATTCTATATATAATAGTATATTTTTAAAGTTTTTATTATAGTATAGTATATAAGATATAGTATACCGGGGACCATATAGCGGGATTTGGGGGGGTTTCTCTATCCTCAGCTACACCCCGCATCTTGGTTCGGATCGCATTTATCTATCTGGACGAGGGACTGTGGACCGGCAACGGGGTGTCTGATGTTGTCGAGAAGCTGCACGCCCATGGCTGGTCCTTTGGTGAGGGCAAGTTACGCTTCAATTGGTCAGTTATATCCTTTTATGGTAATAGGACTGTATAATAATAAATCACAGTTCCCTGGGTATGTTCTACCTCGCACAGCTAGCAGCAGCCATCTACCGCTATTCCTCCCAACTGGAAGGTGACTTCCCCTCCTCTGATTTCCCTACCTATACAGCCCACCACGCCCTCTTACACTCCTCCGTCTGGCGCTCCTACTACTCCCTCCCCTTCCTCACCCAGCACACCACCGCGCGCTTCTACCGCCTGCCCGACCTCCAGGACCTCCCTGACTCCTCCCCGCTATGCCAGCCGCGCCACCGTCCAGTATCCACAAACATCCTGAAACTCCCCCGCTGGGCCTACCCGATTGAGTGCACGCGCCGCCGGCAGCCCTTTCTACCATTTGCGACTCTTACTGCAGTCGCCCTCAGCACGCTGGAGACAACCATGGCCCGCCTGCACACGGCCTACCCCAGCGCACCACCCTATTCAGAATCACATGCGCGCTTCTGGCTTGACTATTTTACTCCCAATCCATCTCGTCTGGCTACGGTAACTCCCCAGGAAGGGCCCAATCGCTTTGGGGTATTAGTCGCGCAGGGAATGTATGATATACATGGGTTGGAAGCAGAGTACCTCGCACAGGTATCAGAGGGAGAGGGTGCCGAGGGAGCGGGCGAGTCAGAGCCGGTGATGTGGTGTGGGTTGCCGGATGATGCAGAGGAGAGGGAGGCGGGCCAGGGAGGCTGTGGGAACCATGGAGCCGTATGTACGCGCATGGCAGGGCATGTGGCCTGGTGTAGAGGAGAGGGGGAAGATGCTGCGGCAGATCCTGGTGGAGAATGCGCAGCTCTTTGCACGCTGGAGTCATTGAAGCAGTTCATGTTTGACAATTTCTCAAGCCGCGCGATCTGAGCCCCACGTCAGAGGATTACACAACAGCTGTCCGTGTGACAATTGCGACAGTTGGTCTACTGTCTCGGAGACCTGGGATGACTGAAAGGTAAGAAAGACGTGGCATAGAACTCATTGAAGCTAACTCACATCAAACTGCTGCTATAGCGAGCCAGGGTATACAGCCTGGGCAATGGGTGACACTACAGAAGGCCTTTCCCATTCCAGTCAAACACACTGGTTCATGGTGGTTGCCAGCCATTGTCTTGGAGTTCTGTACGACCACCGCTTCCATAATGATCCAGTGAAATCTGCCATAAGATGGCAATACTGACTCATGATGCACCGAATATCCAATGGGTAACATTACATATCAATATCGGGGGCATCAAGGGATATACTGTGAGGCGTGGAATATCACATCAACGAACCCCTAGCATTGGACATTTCCTATGATGTTAAGATTCAAGTGCACTTGGGTTGACGCCGTCTGCGTTGACATATAATACGATGATATGTGATGTGGCGGTGAACTGTGCAGCCAAAGCCATCCAGTCTATTGTGCGCCTCAATATATTTGCTTTTTCAAACATGTTCTACTCGATCTTCGGGATTTGCTGCATTATTATACAGCGAGTCATGAGAACCACTGATCAAAGCATATTCCAAATCCCACTGCTGCGCCTGTGATCTTATCTACTGCTTCTACTGCATATAAAGCTTCCAGCATGTCCAGATCGATTCTCCCAGGCTAACCCACATTCTTCAGCAGTCAGCATGGCTTCGTCAGACTCAGTAGCCTCTACGGCTTCATCGCCTTTCACTTTCGAACCATACCATCTCACCCCCTTGGACCATGCCGTCGCCTCCACACACTTGGTCTTTTTCTTGCGATTCAATCTGACGGGCAAGAATCCATCCGAAGCCCTCCATCGCCTAGACGAGGCCATCTCCAGACTCATTTCCCTCCATCCGTTCCTCTCAGGGAATGTCGCCCCAGCTGCAGACACACCAGACAGGGTGAATGTCTTCCAGGTCCAGCCGGCCGGTATATCAGATCTGCAGAAGACCCCCATGCTATCCGTCCAACAACACACATCTGACCGTTCGCAATGGACCCATAATGGTGATCCTGATGAGGAATTCTTGCCTCTACCGATCGTCAGTCCGGCTGGGCCAAAGCCTGTCCTTCGATTCAAGGCCAACCTTGTCCGGGACGACCTCGTCCTCTACATTGCGTTTGCCCACCAGGCAATGGATGGCTGGGGCATGTCGATGATATATAGGACTCTGTCGCAGCTCTGTCGAGATCCGAACTCTCCTATTGACACATTGCCAACCATCCCCGACATCCACAGGCAATCCAGGCAGCGGATCAGCGACCTTGCATCTTCTAGTTCCCCAGGTGAGCTTCGTTGGACCTCAGCGACGCCTTCATTAGAGTCCAACCAGCCAGACGATCACGACGCCCACGGTAATGTGATCGGTCGCGTCCATGAATTCAGCGTAGGGAAGATCAAGGCTCTCCAGGAAGCCTGCCATTCACTCCTGTGCAGTCTCCCAGCGCCTTGGGCAGAACAATTCAAAGACACCACCCTCTCCTCCACCTTGATCGTTTCCGCACTTCTCGCGATCTCAGGGACTCGATCCCTTCCACAGAATACCTCCGCCACAGAGTCATCACCACCATCACCATCTCCAAAAGTCATGATCGCAGCCGATACCCGAGCCCAATGCGGATTACCACCCTCATATACAGGCAACGCCATCGTCCCACTAGAAGTGCCCTATAAACCTGACCTCCTCCCCCACCCAATCCCAACCAAACCCCCATCTTCACTACCCGGCATCAGCGAAGAAGACCTACACCACATCTGTACCCTAGCCCTCTCCCTTCTCACCACATTCAAACGTCTGAACAAGACATACATCCGCGGCGCCCTCGCAACCATGAACCACACCCGAGACTGGACTTCGTATAAACCCGCATACCACGGCATCCTCGTAAGCTGTCTTCGCGGAATGGAATATTACGAAAACTTCGGACCCCTCTGCGATCCGCTAGAGGTCGATATCCCGTCTCACAGTCTGCCGGGGCATTTCTGGATTTTGCCGGTGCGGTCGTTGCGAGAGCCGTGGAGGGTACGGATTATTCTGGACGAGGATGCGATGGGACGGTTTGCGGGGGATGGGCTTGTTCGGTGGGCGTCGACATCGTCGTCGGAAAGACAGAGCCAAGGTTCCTCGAGGCTGTGATTGGCGTAGATAGAGCTGCTACCGTTAGTACTATGAGGCACATTGACACATGCTAGAAATCTAGATAGACATACTAATATTAATGTCTTTTTCAGTGGTTTCTCGCATTTTTAGAGAAACCAAAAGGAAATTAAACCCAAGATAAGAATCTAAACGCACTAGACCCAACCCCATCTATGTATATAAAAAGCCCAAACATAGCTTACCAAGCTCCCTCGTCAAAATTATGGACGGACCAACTTTTCAGCTTTCCGATCTCTAGTCAGTCAGTAGTTAGTAGTTAGTAACTATCCCGCGTGGATCTCGTAAATCGTCGATATTCGTTGATATTCAGGCACACACGCGAGGTCTCAATTTTCAGTCGTCTCATGCTGAAACCCGCCGTTCGTGATGCATTATTCAGTTCTCACCCCCATCTCGCAAGTAATTCCCCTTCACTGTCTACCAAGGACTATGTGTGCCTGTAGATCCTTTCTAATTTTATTTCCTCGAGAAAGAGCTATTATCTCCGAAAGGGTTGTCGAGATCACCTCGTTGGAGGGCATGGACCATTCGGCGTCCCACCCCTATTCGGGTTAAGATGCATACACAGACAAAGGAATTATGAATCGAAAGGGTGGATAGGAGGTGTTTTCATATCCAAGTCGAGGATATAAAATCCTCTTCGTTCGCTGTTGAAAATCGTTTCTTTCCAGCAGTATCGCATCGCATCGCATCGCATCGCATCCAGTCACTCGTTATCTATTCACTCGTTCTTCTCTCTCCATTTCATCTGTCTTCCTCTATCTATAGGTGCGAATCATTCCCTTTACCTATCTGCCACTCATTCAATCGCTGACTCTTCTAGATCTTCTTAATTCCAACAATCACGATGCAGTTCCCTGTCGTCTCCGCCCTCATGGCCCTCATCCTGGCCGTCTCTGTCAACGCCTCTCCCGTCGGTGTCGGTTTCGGTGTTGGTGTCGGTGGTGACGTTGGAGGAAGTGCCAGCGTTGGCGCTCACGTCGGTGGTGGTGCCCACGTTGGTGCTGGTGTTGGCGCTGAGCCTGGTGTTTCCGTCAGCATCTAAGCAGTATGTGCTATCTTCATCGGATACTGGTTCGTGGATGGTTCACTAACCCCTATCAGATATACCTATCAAGTCAACGGATGGGATAAGCTCCGGCTCTCTGGTCTTTGTATCCAATGATCTCGAGTGCTGTAATTAAATAATCATGAATAGAAATCAGTTATAACATGAAATACCCAGTGGCATAAAAAAGACGGATGATTCTAGGAACAATGGTCTTTCGATAAGTCCTGATATTGATGTAGCATTGTAGCCCTATTCCACTCTTCCGTTAATGACAGTCTTTGCTTTTTTTTTTTTTTTTTTTTTAAATCTTTTCTTTCTCCAAAACATATTACACCAACTATCTAACATAGCAAAAGCGAGTGTATCAGCAAAATCTCAAACTTGCAAACTATCTTGATATCTGAATGTGTAGACTATGAAGTCAGGAAAGTCTGTCGTATTCTCTCATTCCAGGAAGGAAATTCGGCAATGATAGTAGCATATGAGTACTGTGTGGAGGTCGAGGCCTCATTGCCGTAAGCCAAGTGAGTGAATGCGTATTCAAGATGCTTCGGCGCCGTAAGCCAAGTAATGTCCCGCCGTATTTTATACGGCCAACATCTCTTCGCGATCTGAGAGGTTTAATATCATCAGCACTCAGAATGAGATATAATATCAGGTAGTCCTGACCTTTGACTCGTATTCCTCCTCATATCCCCCCTCATCGGTTGTGAAGTAAGAGTAGAGGGCATTGCCAACGCAATTTCCAGACGGTGGTTCGCCATGTCTATCCCAATCCGCCATATCCATCACCGGGAGAACATTGACACCTATGCCAATTGACTTTAGTACGGCGTAGAAAACCAAGTCGGATCCCTTTAAAGTCCGCGGGAGGTTGGTTGCTGCCGTGTCAGAAGAGTGGGCGTAGGCGTGGGAGCAGAAAATGCCCAGAGCACCGCCATCTGCCAGGAAGCCGGGCTGCCTAATCAAATCTCGCAGGTATTCATATAGTGGAAGAGACTTGATGTCAACAATTGGTTTGGGTAGAGTCAAACTGCCCACTGGCTCCGTCACGCAAAGGTTGTATGTTAAGGTCACCCTGTCTCCTTTGGTGATGGTTTTGATTTCGTGTTCACAGTCGCTATAGAACGCCGCCCATTGTATGCTCAAGTCACTCGCAGGGCCCCAGTCAAAATTAACTTCGTGTTCTTGGTGGCGGACGAGCAGGTTGCCTCCTTCGAACGGAGATGGCAAGCAGACAACCAGAGAGCCAACTTGATTAGCGGAGCGTGGGGTGTCAACATGCTTGCGAAAAAGACCAGTCGGCCCCGAGTAGACCTATATAAGATTAGCCATATAGCAGCCAAGTATTGATTGCCAACTCACGTTGAGTTTGTACAAATCTGCGGAAAGCTTTCTGAACTGCAAAGCGTTCTCGTCAGCAGTGCTGATGCTGGGGAGTAGAATCTGCTCGATGTTCTCCAAAATCCCAAAGCTAGGCAAATGAAAAGTACTAGAAAATTGATCGAAGTTCAGCTTTCCCGCGAGCCGATAGCTTTGATCAAGAACGTCCTTCTCGCCCCGACCAAATGTAGCGGGGGAGCAGCCGGATACTAGCTGCTTCAGGGCATTTGGACTGGAATCCTGTTCCTCGCCTAGTGGGAGTACTAATTTCTTCGAATTTGGTTTCCGGTCTGTGGACCAAAAGATTGTCACTGGGGGAGAATTTCCTTCCTCCATATTTCCAATGGGGATTGTTCCACCACAGGCGAAAGTGGAAGACGAGCGCTCTCCTTCGATCATCCCTCCTAACTCATGACAGGCTTTTTGAACAGCTTGTTGCTGAAGGGAGGAAACCGATGAATTCCTGGCTCGAGTCGCAGAGCGAGAGGATCTTCTGCCAGCTGATCTGCCGTTTGGGGAAGGGGAAGGCATAGTGATGATGTTCATAGAGAAGGTATTGTTAAATCGATATAACGAATGAAGGATAAGATACGGGTGCTGATGAAAGGCCTCAAAAGATGGATGCGACATGAGCAGAAAAGAGTGTATGTATGTCAGTTACTGGGATTCAGAAATGAAGAAAATTCCATCTTATATCACTGCGCCCATGGCACGTATTTCACATCACCTGGCAAGTGTCCCCGTGGCTGCTCCCTCAACGTGACGGTTTTGGGGGATGCGGAAGTAGCTATCCTGGTCAAATTCGAAATAGGCAAGTGGCTTTTCAGCTTGTCCAGAGCTTTCCATATCCGTGATGCTTGCAATATAATTGGGATTGAGTAGATGAATCAAAGTCTCTGGTGTCGTTGTTCTGCATCGTTGAAACAATTGCCCTAATCCCAAGCCCTACGCCCTGCGTTGGTTCCATTCGAGTCTCAAGAGAAAGGGAAACCACATTCAAAAGCACTATCTATCCTTTTCTTCATATGGATTATGAGGAGAGAGAATTAAATTAACTGCAAGCAATATCAATGCAATCACTTTGTTTTATTCTTGCTTTTATAAACAGAAGAAAACTGTAGGATGAAGAATATAAAACAAACACAATGCATTTATACAACATCGAACTGCAATAAAGATACATGATAACAACCTCCCAAAAAAAAACTTTTTTTGTAGCCTCGCGAGGGGGAAAAAAAAAAAAAAAAAAAAAAGCCCATCAAAGATAGTAATAATAATCATTAAGAATGTGTTTGTATGAATAAAAGTCTATGAATCATCAACAAGACGCTTTTGGTCCCATGCCTTCTTGGCTCCGTCGAGAAGGCCATCCATGTTACCGCTGTTCTCACACATGCCCCGGAAGAGACCATCTTCCTTGTTGATCAGTGTCCAAGGGTGGTCGTACTCAATGACTCGGCCATGGTCGAGAACCAGGACCTTGTCATAGTCGATAATCGTTTGCAGGCGGTGTGCAATAGTGATGATTGTGTTATCCCGCAACTCTCGTAGTGTCTCTTGAATCTTGGAGTCAGTCGAGTAGTCGATGGAGGCTGTAGCTTCGTCCATCATCAGAACCCTAGGGTTCTTGAGGAGAGCACGTGCCAAACAGAGCAGTTGGCGCTGACCCTGTGAAAGGTTAGAGCCAGACTCGGATATCGCTGTGTCCAGGTTACGGAAGACGTTCTTGTTGTCTGCAACAGTGATGACATTTCCATTGACGCCGTTAGATGGCTCGGTGGCAGAAAAGGTAGTAGTTGTCACAGGCGTGTTTGTTCCAGATGTACCAGCGCCTATCAAATGCACCCGACGCAGAGCTGTGAAAATCTCCTCATCGGTGAATAGGTCAAAGGGATCAAGGTTACTTCTGATGGTTCCCGTAAAAAGCGTAGGATCCTGAGGAACAATGGTGATCTTCTCTCGTAGGTCGCGCAGTCCGATAGCTCCAATTGGCACATCATCGATTATGACCTTTCCTGTTTCCGCCTCCAGTCCACGGAAGAGCGCAAGTGCAAGAGAACTTTTACCGGCGCCCGTACGACCAACAATGCCGACCTTCTCACCCGGCTGTACAGAGAAAGAGACATTCTTCAAGACAGGACCGAGATCAGGCCTGTAACGGGTGGTGTAGTCGACAAATTCAACCGCACCTTTGTTAGGCCAGTCTGCTGCGGGTCTCGACTCGGGAATGACTGCATTGGCTTCCTGCTCAACCTCCAGGTACTCGCTCACTCTCTCAACAGAGTTCATGCTTTGTTGGACTGAGCCATAAAGTCGGACAAGCCAGAGAACGTTCTCATTGAAAGTGACCGCATAAGTCAACGAAAGACCAGCAGCACCAGCGTCAATTTTTCCAATGTTAAGGAGCACAAAAGCAGCTGCGAAGAAAGAAACCAAAGCACCCGTGTAATCGATGCGGAGTGCGAGCCAACGGTTACTGGCCCAGAGGTAAATGTGCGGTCTGTTATAGGAGTTGATGCGGCGATGGTTGTCGATAATAAACCGCGGGCCGTCACCAAAGGCACGGATAGTCACAATACCATTCAGCGTCTCGCCGAATTGCTGGTACAGAGGGCTCCTCCCAATAGACTCCAGCCTCTTAAGATCGCGAGATGCATTCAAGTAGATAGCACCTAGAGCAGAGTACACTATGGTAATGAAAACGGCGGCGAACAAAAATTGCGGAGTGATTATGGATATAAGGATCACTACCATGATGACGGACCCAAGACTGTGAAGCATGCCAATAGCCTCCGGGGCAACTTCTTGATCAACAGCTTCAACGTCTTTCGAAAATCTATTCATAAGTTGACCCAACGGAGTCGAGTCGAAAAATCTGAATTTGGCGTGCATGATATTTTTCAAGAGTCGCTTATGTATCTTGAAAGAAGCATGAAGAGAGCCCCAGAAAAGAACAGCTTCTCTTAGCAGGGAAATCAAGACGAAGAGACCTCCAAGTAATGCGTAAACTCCAAGGTAGTAGGAGACGGGGACATCGGCATGAGGGTCAACGGCAGAATGCGTATCGAGTTGATGGGCGTTCAGGGTGGATGTCCGCGAAACAGCACCAACGTTCGAGGATGGAAGTTTGAGATTCGACATAGCAGCGTACATGCCAGCATCATCTGTGTTGATCTTTTCGGTATTGTAAGCGTTCGCCCATTGTCTAATCCAAACATTGGTTGACACAGAACCGAGTTGCTGCAAGCAGAAAACGATTACAGCTGCAATCCAATAATACCACGGACCCATGGAGAGGAGGTACATCTTGATAGTGGCTGCTTTGATGCTGCCAACGCCTTTCGACTCTGCTAATTTGGTCTTGACAGGCTCTTCTGTTTGATCCTTCCCAGTGGAGCCATTGGCATGTGGCTCCTCATCCACATGCTCATCCCCCAGGTCGGATTGCATACGGCGTTGAGAGCTTGCTCTAGAAGTCGGCCGTGATTTGAACAACTGTTCACCCAAAACACCTGAAGCAGCGACGGCATCCGGATGGCCTTGTGATGCAATTTTGCCATTGTCGAGGACAACAACGTATTCCGCTTGTGGTACTGTCAGAGCAATATTATGAGTAACAAGGATACAAGTTCTGTTCATCATCAAAGGCCCGGTGAGCGCCTCTCGGAAAATGTGCTTTGCAGTGTGCGAATCAACAGCACTAAGACAATCGTCGAGCAGCAGATGTTGGGCTTTGCTATAAACGGCGCGGGCAAGTGATATTCTCTGTTTCTGGCCACCGGAAAGACTGATGCCCTTCTCGCCAACGAGTGTCCGATCGCCCGCATCGAGAATGGCAAGATCACGTTCCAAAGCACATGCCTTGATCACGGCCCTGTAGCGACGTTGGTCAAAGGGAGAAGCGAAGACGATATTTTCCTGGACGGTAGCATTGAGAAGCCATGCCTCCTGCGCGCAATAAGCCACACTGTTGATGAGACCGGTCTGGGGATCAACGGGGAGTTCGACTCGGTTGGCCGATCCACCAGGCAGGTGAACTCTGCCTTCCAACAGCTCCATCTCTCCCAATAGTGCCATCAGAAGTGATGTCTTACCAGATCCTGTTGATCCAGCAATGATATTGAGCTTTCCAATACGGAATGACAAGTCCATGTTTATCAAACGGAAGCCTCCTGTGCTATCATCAGAGACATCATCCTGGTTACGTCGTTTCGAGATACCCCAAGTGAGCGTAGCTTTGTCCAGACCGATCCTGGGAGGTTCTTCAGAGTCGATGCTATCGCTGAGCTGGGTGTACTTGCCCGTCTCCTCCTCATCCAGGTATTTCTGTACTCGATCCAGGGAGACCTTAGATTCCTGGACGTGAGCAACCATGTCCGCTAGCTGGTCAAGAGGAACCCGCAGCAACGAAAACATAGACAGCGCAGGGAATGCAACAGATGGAGTCAGGGGCTTCTTCTCGACGATCGTATAGAGAAAGAAGGAAGTGAAGGTGATGAGAATCGGCGTTCCATACCAAATTGTTGCAGCACTAGACCAAATGACGTAACGGAAACGCAAGGCCTTTAATTCTTCTCTTCGTTTCTCATTCACGATGTCTTCGAATCGCGCTTCCCAGGCAAAGTACTTGATGATCCGAATGTTTTGAAGGATTTCATTTGTAGCATGAATTCGAGCGTCAGTGCATTTTAGAATGCGATTCTGCACAGAGGTGAACTGTTTGGCGATCAAAAGGTTCACGGGCAGCATCAAAACCATCAAAGCGATACCAGCGAACGAGCTAAATCCGAGAATCCGATACAAGAGTGTGACAGCGATGATGACGTTCACTGGCACACTGACCCACAGGAAATGAAGGTAGGCGCCCACTTCACTGACCTTGAAGGAGTCAATCGCCATCAAATTGATGATGTTTCCGATGTTAGCTTGGGCTGGCTCGGTTTCCTCGGGATCATTTTTGTTTCCAGAATCGTTACCCGCCTTGGCTGCCGCCTTGTTGTTACGACCAAAAGAGAACAGACCCTTCTTCGTCTTGTCCTTTTTGGTCGAGTCCTCAGTCTTCTCTCCAGTAGATTCAACAAACGAACCGGCCTTGCGTCTCAATGCCTTGGCGTAAATCTCACCGATGATAATAGCTCGAAGTTTGACGCCAACCTTTCGGCCAATCCAAAGGGCCTGTCCATCAGCAGTTCCTTGAATTACGCCCGAACAAACGAGCAAGATGGCAAAGAGCCAAGCAGCGTTTGGCGTGGTCGACCTTGGATCTTCCACGAACTGCAGGATTGCTCTGATAAGGAGTGTCGGTATGAATGTGAAAAGATTGGAGAAAGCAGTCCATGCACCCTGCAGCAAGATTGGACCACAAAAATACTTTGTAAGCTTCCACAACAAAGTGCCCTTTGGCTGACTTCGACGGAAATCATTTATGACATTGGAAGCTTTATGAGAAGTGGTCACATTCCAAACATCCTCGGCTTCCAAGGGCTGTCTGTAGCCCTTGAGGATGAGAGGGTCTAACCAAGAAAAGGTGGCCAGGGAAAACAGACTGGCAGTCTGGTCCTTTGGGGGTTCCAGGCCCTCTTCGCGTTCGAGCAACACCGCTTTGTTTCCTCTGCGAGTGGTAATGGCGATTATCAACAGCAAAGTAGACAAGGTAAATTCAACAATGCTAAAGATAAGAGCACGCTTCGATAGTGGGTAAATAATCGCCGATCGGAAAGTACCAACAGCGAAAAGCCACTGAAATCCATACAAGGCAGCAGTATGATTCCAAAGCCTGGGGAGCGAATGAAGATCCAGAACTGAAAGAAGCAACCTAACCAAGGCCAGAAACAAGATATATCCCCAAGAGACCAGCTTGCCCACAGCAGGAAGGGTGCCATGACGACCCCACACACCCGTACACAAAATGGTAGCGAATACGGCCACTTCTCCTGCCAGCGCAGCTATCTCAAGTACGAGAAGGGTGAGTTCACCTCGGGGTCGGTCTACTTCGAAATGAGGTTGTTCGGCCTGCATTGCTTTGGAAAGCATGGGATCCGACTCCTCCGGTTCAGCAGGATCATTGCGCACATCACTTTCCATTTCATTATCCACCAAAACCTTGTAGGAAACTCCATTTCGAGAAATAACGTAACGGTACGAGATGCGAAGCACGATGAACAGGAGGGAAAGTCCGCATACTGTTAGTGGAAAGAGGAATTCCAGATATCTATTCAAATTAGTCAGTAACCAGGCAGAAGGACTTAAAAAATCCAAATATATCGACAGAAAGATAAAAATTGCATAGAATTACATACTTGCGCTGGAAGCAATGAGAAAAATCATCGATGGCCCAAACAGAGCCAGAACATTGCAACGTCATTTTTTTGTTTTAAATTTTTCTAACGGACCAAAAAGAAACCGCGAAAGTCGAGATAAAAGTTGCGCAGGATCATTCGGGTTCTGCAATAGATTGATAATGATGACCAGGCGTCCGTCAATCACGGAATGTTGCCACGGCCACTCGGGGTTACTGCTGACAGCCTTCTAGCACCGACAAGCAGGACGAACCTGACATTGCAAGGCCAGAAGGGCAGCAAAAAAAGGATAGTGATGGCTGGAACCTAGGTGGTCCAGAGCGGTAAAATGTTATAAATAGGGACCAGGTGAAGAAGATGAAGATGAAGAAAAACCGCTGAAGGGTTGAGAGAAGAGCGAAGGGAGCGAGGGAGCGAGAAGAAGAAGGTCGGAGCTGCTGCTCAGCTGCTGCTACGGCACTGGACGATCCACCGCCCACAAGCTTCCAAGCGGGTCGAAGAACCTTCAGGATTGAATGGGACCAACCAAGATAGGGAAAAGAGGAACGTAAAGGAAGAAAAAAAAAAGAAGATGCCTGAAAATATAAGACTAAGAATGGAGGGTCTCTCGGATAATAGAGGGTGGATTGCTTTCTGTCGTCACTTGAAGAGCTAATGAGGGACTATCATGCACTAAAAAGGGCTTTTCGCTGCTGGGTGGAGTTGCGTCTGTCTCTTAGTGCTGGGAATATCATCTGCCATGGACTACAGAGTTGCATCGATCGTATCTTGGGATATTGCTCTTGGCTCCGAATTGGATCAGTCTTGACTCATTGGTTATTAATATAATAAAATATCCATATCATTATTATAGGATGCTTATCACTGCCGTTATGACTCTTCTTCTACGTTTGATGTTCTATGAGACATTCAGAGTATCACTCCATCTATAACCGCCATTGCGTCTTCCCATCCTTCTGATCATCACCATCATCATAATTATCCCTGTTCTTTCCCATATCAATTCCACGACTCTTTTTCGAGACAATCCTTTATAGCAACTGCATGCAAAAATCAATGGGGGGCTGTCAGTGCTTCCTGCGCAATCCTTCCAATATAATCACACCGACCTTTGACTCGAGTCCATCGCAGGCAATCTGGATCGCCCATTGTCGCAATCCCAAAACGTTCCCCGACGGTATCCATTAATCTACCAAACGGCCCTGAGTCACAGTTCGTCGAGCAGTAGCGCTTTAGTCGACAGAATGATTGGCCAGGTCTCCGAGTACGACGTACTCCACGTTTTAGCTTGATTTTTTCATTCAACCCTGTCAGACTGTCAAACTGTCAGTAGTAGAAGTAACCCAACGATCTAGACGGATTTAGCATTAGTACTTGGTAGCGATAAGGAACAAAACCACCTCGTGACGTGAGTCGCGATGCATTAGGAAGATTGAGCAAGAAAAAACGGTCTGGGAAATCCCGCCTCCATTCCAACCCCACTTTTTCGGCTTCCCTCCACCTTGAATATCATCATCGTCATCACAAAAGAACCTCTGATCGCCCAGGTCATCCATGCAGATCATAATAAGGCAGAGAGACGAGAGTGAAGGCAGAACGAACATCAACAACGTCGACTCTGGGGATTTCTCCCTGGCTCGGTGAGTCAGCAGGTGTCTGCTGCGTAAGAAACTGCCTGGGTTTTAGCGTCACCCGGAACCTTCCGTCGGGATTGCCACTGCTAGTCAAAACTGTTCATTCACTCTCCTCCACCTGACTAACCATCGTAGACTAACTAACCAACTGACTAGTTATTGCCTTTAGAGATTCTCTCCCCTCCTTCTGATGTTTCATCGCCAACTGAAAACCCCTCCCCTCTTGCCACAAATCGCCTCCCAGGCTCACCCTTGTGCTTCAATTCTTTTGGTTTCTTCAAAACCGACCTCGTTCTGTATTATCCCTTGAGGACCCTCGCCTCCTTGGCTTGTCGCCATGGCCGAACGCATTTTGATGAACGAATACAAATCCCTGGCGCAGGAAGAATGGGTCAACATTGAGGTTCGTTGAGTGGTGGCTTATTGGTTATTGAAATGTCTTTCGTGACTAACGTGTAGACTATAGCTCAAAGACGACGACATCTTTAGCTGGAACGTAGGACTGATCGTCGTCAACCCCGAGTCTCTATACTATGGTGGTTATTTCAGGGCCTCCATGAACTTTCCTAAAAACTACCCTTACTCCCCTCCTGGTAAAGACCATCTTCTCTTACTCTCCCCTTGTGATGTTCTTACAGTGACACGAGCGGTTACTAACGCCTAAACTTGAATTTTAGAGTTCCGTTTCCTACGCCCCCTTTACCACCCCAATATATACAAGGATGGCAAACTCTGCATATCCATCCTGCATGCGCCCGGAGAGGACGAGATGTCGGGTGAGCTGGCTTCGGAGAGATGGTCCCCAGCTCAACGTGTCGAGTCAGTCCTCATCTCCATCCTATCCCTCCTGGACGATGCAGAGGTGTCATCGCCTGCCAACGTGGACGCCAGTGTAATGTTGCGGAAAGAGCCCGATGAATACAAGGCGATTGTCAAGGGAAACGTGGAGGAATCGAAGAAGGATATCCCTGACGGCTTTGTCATGCCCACCCACGAGTCAACCATGAACAAGCCTGCCGAAAAGGTTGATGATGAAGATTTCTGGGCCGACAGTGATGTTGACGACGACGTTTTTGGTGGAAGTGACTCAGACGAGGACCTAGACATGGACGACCAGGACACCGGCAGTGAGGATGACGAAGACGAAGACGAAAACAACGAGGACAGCGAAGAGGACAAGGAGGATGAAGAAGAGATGAAAGATGAAGAAGAAGACAAGAAGGTGGAGCAGAAGGTGGGGAAGATGGAGGGGGCTCAAGAAGTGAAGAAGACTGAGCAGAAGGAGAAGGAGAAGTTGGAGATGGAGGAAGACCGGCCATGACCGTGACCCGTCATCTCCATTGATGATGCACGCAGAGGGCGTCTTTTCATTTCTTAATCATATTACCCGCGGGATCTTATTGCTTTATTTGCTTACGGCATAGCGCAGGCGTACTCGGCAACCGGACAGGTTGAGAATTAGCGCGGATTTTCTTCATATCATACATACTTTACATTTATTGGTGGCAGTGGTTATCTAGAATTTATTTATCGTTTCTTTTGTCTTGTTACTTTCTATTGATACGACGGGGCTGCATATAGAGAGGGAAGTGGCTGTCATTTGATTATCTGCCTCGTTGATGTCACCATTTCCATCTCATCCTTGGTGTCAGCACACACTGCACTATATTCCTACTACATATGTCTTGTCTCTGTTCCCTCTGTACAGTGTATATACAACGTACAATCCAACATGAATAATTTGAGTCCTTTCTACCAACTAACAGGGCTGAGCAGGAAATCAGCCCGTATGACCTCGGAAACGGGCATTGCCGAATCAACCCCGCATGATCGGTTGGAGAGAATTGATCACGCTGTGGAACAGGGAATACAACTTGTATCGCTGGATGGGTGTTACTAGATCATACTGCCAAAAATACAGATGAGGAAATGAGGTAATTGTTTGTACTATTAGGGATTGTCTACGAAGTATCAACGACTTCCATCTGTGTATTCTCTCGCAAATATAAGTATTGCCCCACACTTCACAACAACACTCATTTTTTCCAATCACAAGAATGGCAACCAAATCCATTGCTGACTGGGTCACTTCCCTTTCCTATTCTTCACTCCCACCAGAAGCAATTCAAGCTGCCACACGAAGTTTCTACAACTGGGCAGGTTGCACTGTCGGTGGGAGCAACCACCCCGCGGCCACTATTGCTCAAAAGGCTCTCTCTCGTTTTTTCGGAGCCCCAACATCAAGCCTTCTCGGATCGCAGGGCACCCAGGTGGACGCTCAGCATGCCGCTATCCTCAATGGCATCGCGTCGCATGTACACGACTACGATGATACTCATCTCGAGACAATCATTCATCCCACCGGCCCTGTAGCATCTGCCCTGTTGAGTTTTGCTGAATCTCTTGACCGGCCCGTTTCAGGAGCCGAGTTCATCACAGCATTGGTCGCGGGGATCGAGGTCGAATGTAAGTGTGGATTGGCGGTATGGCCTAGCCATTATGATGTTGGTTGGTAAGTGTTTCCCTTTCTTGCGGTTCTTATTCAGTGTCAAATTTGCTTACTCTTCTTTTCAGGCATATTACCAGTACAACCGGGTCTATTGGAGCGGCGGTAGCAGTCTCAAAGCTTCTGAACTTGACCTCTGAGCAAACCGCACACGCAATTGGAATAGCAGCCACGCAGGTAACAGGGCTCCGTGAGATGTTTGGCTCTCATACAAAGTCGTTCCACCCGGGACGCGCAGCCCAGAATGGACTTATGGCTGCCGTGCTTGCATCTGAAGGATACACCAGCTCCCTGGAAGCACTGGAAGCTAAAAGGGGCTGGGTGAATGTTGTTGAATCCCATGACCAGCTCGATGATATGGTCGCGAGCTTTGGGAAGGAAAACTGCTGGGAGATTGTCAAGAACTCGTTTAAGCCTTTCCCGTGTGGTATTGTGGTTCATCCTATTATTGATGGGTGCATATCGCTACATAGCGAGTTACGACAACGCGGAATATCATATGAACAGATCGAGGATGTGCAAGTCACTGTGCATCATCTCGTTTTGGAGCTTACAGGAAAGACTAAACCTCGGGATGGTCTCGAAGCCAAGTTTAGTGTCTACCACGGAGGTGCTGTTGGGCTTCTCTTTGGGAAGGCAACTCCGGCACAATATGAAGACGCTGTGGTGAATGAACCTAATGTGCTGAAGGTCAGGGCTAAGTTGCATGCGACTGGGGACAGCAGTATACGTCCAGATGAGTGCCACATTGTACTTAAGCTTCGAGAAAGAGAAGTGTTGGAGAAACACGTGGATCATGCAGTGGGCAGTGTGAAATCCCCAATGACTGATGATCAGCTTACGGAAAAGTTCCTGGATCAGTGCATCTCCGTTGTTGGTCTGGAAAAAGCAAAGAAGGCTAGTGAGTGGTGCTGGAATTTGGATACGCGGAATGACATTCGCGATATCAAAGATATACTTTAATCTATCACGGAGCATGACTCTCCGTTTTGATACATGGGCACGCGGAATGAGAACCCCCGTTATTGGGGAAGCATGCAGAAACCCTCGGCTATACCCCAGCCAAAGAGAGTCTTTATGTATCTTCCCCGCATTTTGAACCTGGGGCTATGCAAGTGCTACGACGATCGTCACATAGAAGCCAATCCACGCTTAGCATCTGCTGCTAAGAAAGTCAAGACTGTTATACAGATGTCCCCGGAGGCCAATACCAATCAATGCTTATGTCTGGTCGCACGCAAAACAAATATACCATTCGGATATGTCCCTCGTACAAGACACCAATAGAATACCCAGCACCACATCTAGGCTATCAACCACACCATGTTTGAATTATGCGGGGTTTGGGCTTTGGATTATATCCTTCTACCCCGCAAAAATGATTCCTAAGACCAGTATAAAGAGCAGTCTCATCAGTGGCTCCTGAGAAGTCTTTCGATCAGTTTAATCACTTCTGTCTAATCATTAGAGAGGAAATATGGCAACTGAAATCACGAAACCAACCATAGACGCCGCTGAGCAGTCTGCCACTATCTTCCACGAAGAAGATGTAGCTAAGAAACCAAACATACCACCGCCAACGTTCACACTCGAGGAAGAAAACCGTGTCTACCGCAAACTAGATTGGAATCTCATGCCACTGATTTTCATCCTATACTCGCTCTCGGTACTCGATCGTTCAAATTTGGGAAATGCTAAGATCGCTGGCATGGAGGACGACATCGACCTGAGTGGACGACGCTACGACTGGCTTGCTACTGTGTTTTATATAGCCTGTGAGTTACCTAATGATATAGCCCTGGATGAATTACTAAGAAACTCACTTATCATTAGATATTCTTTCCCAATGGACGACACTAGGCTGGAAGGCATTCCCGCCACATATCTGGGTGTCCTGCGTCGTTTTCTTATGGGGGTTCATATCCACAATTCAAGCAGCCTGCTCCAGCTGGGGCGGCCTCATGGCTTGCCGTGTTTGTCTAGGTATCACGGAAGCCATGTACGGGCCTGGTGTACCGCTATACCTGTCGTACTTCTACCCTCGCGAGAAGTTGGGACTCCGGACTGGCATTTTCCTCTCTGGCTCTGCCCTCGCAAATGCATATGGAGGTGCACTGGCATATGGGATCTCTCAAGCCAAAGCTTCTATCGGGGGATGGAGGATTCTCTTCATCGTCGAGGGCGCACCGACCTGTCTCCTATCCGTCTGTGCTTGGTTATTCATCCCCGATGCACCAGGAAAAGCACGATTCCTCAATGAGCGCGAGCGAGAGATTGCAATCGCACTTTCTGAACGACAGCCTGGTGATAGAAGTTCTGAAGGATTGCAGCTAAAACAAGTACTGTCTGCTCTCGTTGACTTCACGAGTACGTATATATCTACACCCAGACCAGTCTTCACTTTCCCCCAAGGTACCATACTCACCAACCCTTAGGCTACCTCCCCCCATTAATGTACTTCGGCTGCAACGTCTGCTTCGCCTCCCTCCCACTCTTCATGCCAACCATCATCTCAAAAATGGGCGTCTTCACCACAATTCAATCAAACGGTCTCAGCGCACCCCCCTACATCCTCTGCTGGATCGGTATTATCGCCAGCGCCTTCGTCTCCGACCGCATCAAACTCCGCGGCCCCTTCGTCGTTGGCGCCGCCCTAGTCGCTACCATCGGGTACATCATTTTGGGGACCCAGACCGCCGCCGCTGTTCGGTACTTTGGTCTTTTCCTCGTCGTGCAGATCTTCGTCTCGGTGGCTCTCATCCTTACTTGGGTGGGTAATACCCATGCTACCGAGTCGAAGCGCGCGGGTGCTTTCTCCCTGCTTGCTACGGGGGGCCAGTGTGGTCCTGTGTTAGGTACGAACATCTTCTCCACTACGGATAAGCCGTACTATCGTAAGGGGATGTGGGTATCCTGTGGAGCTTGCATCGTTGTCGTGATTGCGGGTTTGCTTCAAATGTGGCTTTTGTGCCGAGAGAATACGCGTCTAGATAGAGAGGATGATGCTGGCCAAGACGAAGATACGGAGCATGGAGATCCTCAACGGTTCCGTTATGTAGTGTAACGTGTTCTGCTGGACAAAGGCACGAAAATATCTTTGTTGGGAATACAGTATATTGGTACTCATGACGCAATTCAGGCTGGATATTATTGGAACGACGGGTCTTTTATACGTAGAACTCGCTCGCATTATCAAATTATCAGTTTGTTGGCAAAACAAATTCTCTAGATCCGCTCTCGATCGTATAGTTCGGGGCATGTATACTACGGTAAAAATAAAAGCATATAAAAAATATCGAGTTGTAGTTGAGGCAATCAATGCACCCACTTTCCCAAATCACGTAACAAAGTCCATTAAAAAACAAACAAAATATCCTGCGCCATGGTGTCGTTCCCGACTACCAGTTTCGTGACCTGCCACGAATTACGTCCACAAGGAAGAGACTCCAAGTTTATGCCACAACGGCATCCATGATCTCACTGTAGATAGCACCAAGCTCTTCAGTAACCAGCTTCTCGGCCTTGTTGACGAGCTCGTCAACACGGTCCTTGGAAGAGGCAGTCTTGGAGCCGGCCGCCTTGTAACCACCCTTCTTAATGATGCTGTCGTAGTCGTCAGAGCCACCACCGTTCCAGGCAAGGAGCTAAAAATATATGTTAGCAGTGCTCGACGAGTATTTTGTTTTCCCGAGAGACTTACGTTAGGAGTGTCACTGGGGATATCAGTAAGAGCACCCTCGGTAGACACAGCAATGATGGCCTCCTTGAGCTTCTTTGGGGTAATCTCGCCAACAGAGAAGGCAGAGTCCTGGGCAGGGTAGAGAGAAACGTAGTAAGCCAACAGACCAGCAATGTGGGGAGAGGCCATCGAGGTTCCGGAGATAGTGTTGACGGCGTGCTTGCTGCCGGTCCAGGTCGAAAGGATGTTGAGACCGGGAGCGAAGATGTCAGTGCACTTTCCGTAGTTGGAGAAGTAAGCACGCTCATCACCGAGGGTTGAGGCACCAACGGTCACGGCGTTCTCAGCCGAGGCGGGAGAGTAGTTGCAGGCATCAGCGTTGTCGTTACCAGCAGCCACAGCGAAGTGGAGGCCAGCATCAACGGCAGCATTGACAGCCAGGTCAAGAGTAGGAGACTTGCCACCGCCAAGACTCATGTTGGCGACACTGCCCTTGAACTTCTTGGATTTGCCGCTCTTAGCAGCCTCGACCTTCTTGTTGTGAGACTGGGCAGCCCACTCAACACCCTTGATAACATCAGACATGGTACCAGAGCCACTGGATCCGAGGACCTTGACGGCATAGAGATTGGCCTTCTTGGCGACACCGTACTTCTTGCCAGCAATGGTTCCAGAGCAGTGAGTTCCGTGTCCATTGTTATCTTCGTCATAGTCATTGTTAGGGATGGTCTTTCCCCAAGTAGCACGGCCTTCGAAGTCGACGTGGTCAATGTTGATACCAGTGTCGATGGTGTAGACATCGACACCCTCGCCACCAGCCTCGGCATACAAGTACTTGTTAAAGGTGGAGAAAGAAAGGCTGTCTCGGTGAGAGATACGGGCCAGACCCCAAGGAGCGCTCTTCTCGACGGAGGCATTTTCCATTGTGTGGACTTCGGAGTCCTTCTCGACATACTCGACCTAAAGAGTTTATATGTTAGATAGGTCTCTCTAGAAGGGATGAACGGCCATGTCTACTCACATCAGGGTGTCTGCGGACTTGCTCGATCACGTCCTCGTGGAAGTGTCCAGCATAGCCCATCAAGGACCCAGGAATGGCGAAGGTGTGCTTCAGGCCAAGGAAAGCATCGTTGTCGAACCCAAACAGCGAACGCTTCTTGAGCTCCGCTCGACCGCCCTGAAAGTCATGGATGTCCTGCACCCAGCTGTGGTGAGAGGAAGCCGACTCAGAGTTGACGTGCTTCTTGAACACGACGATATATGAGTCAGGGACCTCCTTGGAGTTCATGGAAGACAGGATAGGAGCAGCTCCATTGTGGATGGAGTCGACGACCACGGGTGACGCAGCTGCCAGCAGCGGGAGGAGAGCAAGGCCGAAGACGCCTTTCATGATGGCAACTTAGGGGTTTCACGAAAGACCAAAGACAGAAACAAAAAAAGAATAAAGGGCAGTAGTTAGAGATGGATAATGGAAAGATGGAAGATGAATTAAAAAGGATGGATGAGAGGGGGGAGGTTGGAGTAGAAGAGGAGAAGGAGGAGGATGATGAACCAGGGAGCTCTTGAACCTTAGCTAAGAGAGCAGGCAAGGGCAGCGGAGGATGATGCAACCGGGATACGGTAACTTACAACAGATGACCGGAGGACACCGCCTGATTGGCGCTTGGTTGCCCGTCGATCCCGACAGATAGCGCTGTGGGGGACCTGGGGGTGTACGGTATGTTACCGCGTATTTACGCCCGTATCAGGCATATCCCGACCTCGGCGAGATCCAACGGGCGCTTGATTCCTCATAATGAGGCGGAAATATGCGGGTAGATAGGTACTAGTTGAAGGGGAGGTGACTCAACTATTATTAGTCTAGACATCAAACAGGCATCATGATGATGGTGATCTTCGCCCCAACAGACACATGATAAACTGAATGGCCTACACACCGTAACTGCAGGTACCTGGCATGAAAGTCAGCCACCAAAAAAAGGGTGTATCACCAGGCAACACCCTCCAAGTCGCGTGCTCTGGATCAAAGCTCGCCTGACTGTGCAGCAGAGGCAAGTGATAGTCGCTCCGTTTGGGGATGGATTGACCTGCGGTGTCTGTATCGAAATACAGGTATTGTCATTTACCCGATAAGCTTATCAAGCCAATGACCGTGGGCACTGTGGTACGCAGCCAACACTGTCACCTGATATCTGTTTCGCAAGGCCCGATGCCTTCCCCGCTACGGCCACGACCTAATGAGAGATTGGTGAAGGTCTCCAGTGACGTTGGAATTGGGTCTGCTTCATATTATCCAGAACGGCCAAGTGAGTGTTTAGAACGATTTGCCCCTGTCCACCAAGCTCATTCTGACAAATGGTTTTGCTTTTTCGTCGAACAGCTCCGACCACTACGACCGCACAATTCATGCCTCCATGTTGATCTTCTGACCGGCAGTCTTGCTCTCCATTCCGACTGTGCCATGTCAGACCAGTTTGTAAACTAGACCCGCTAGCACGACACATACCAATGCAGACCGCCTTCATCACGCCCAGTGCAGCTTCATGGTGGTTACTGGCTTGTCACATAGGTAGCCGGCGATTAGATTCAGCGGCGCCATGAACCAGGCCACCTCCCTCTCTCCCTCACCTTCCTCGTCCACCGAAAGACTTGCCGTTGAGTTATCCCCAGTTATCGAGGAGCTGAAAGGAATCTGCGGCCAGAGCTCGATAACACCCCACCTTGCTCTCTCAGCAACCGAATGCTTGCTTCGTCTCCGTCACACCTTTATCGACAATGACCATCCTCGAGAGGCCAAGGATGCCTTCCGACAACTGCAAGGGTTTCAAACATTGCTGGATCTCATTGAGAAGATTTCGGTAGTTTATGACACGGACGCTTTGTCAAAGGAGGAAGCTAAACATCTCTTGACGCTTTGCAAAGATGCGTTGGGAGTTTTGGCTGAGACGTTGAAAGAACATTTTGGGAATAAGCGATATTTTGCAAAAAGGATTATCGGTGGAGGCAAGGCTGCGCTGGAGCAGGCCCTAGCCACCTTGGTCGGGAAGATACAAAATGCCGAAGCTGATACAGAGCAATTGTACGGTAGCATTCTGGCCGCCGCCCTCTGCCAAGAAGCAGTTGCGGGCATATTCGCTTCATTAAGCACGAAGTTCCAACAAGACAAAGACTCTGTATCTGGAAATGACATCCGAGTGGCCGTGGACCGATGCATGGGAACCTCGGAAACGGTCGAAGTACCGGAGTTCTTGGGACCATTCCTTCGATTGTGGCTGCTTCAGTCCTCGTCCTCATCTGGACATGAGATCCAAAGATTGGCTATTCCTGCATGCCTTTGTCAACTTGCTTCACAATCTCAAAGAAACGCGGTGGCCCTACATGCCACTGGGATGCTAACGTCGATACTCCCGCTCTTATTCAGCGATAGTCGCTCCAAAATCGAGAGAACACTTTATCGGGAGCTTGCACAGCTCCTTTGCGTTCAGGGAATGAGCAACTTGGATGATGCCGTCGTTTTGTATCGTCAGGCACACGGTAGTCCTGAGGTTTTGCAGTTTCTCCTCAATGTTCTCAAGCGGTCAAAAGAACCGCCATCGATACACTTCGATATGTCCCTCCATGGGTTTTGCTCTTTAGAATTCTCGACAATTGGTCGTTCATTTCCGCCGGTGACTTCCTCCGGCTATACCGTAGCAGTATGGGCACGCTTTGACGAGTTTGATTCTAGCACCCATACAACGATATTCGGGGCATTCGATGCCAGTCAAACCTGCTTTCTACTCGCGTATCTTGAGAAAGACACCCGCCACTTGATTTTGCAAACTTCGATCAGGGGAGCTCGTCCTAGTGTTCGATTCAAGTCATTGACCTTCAAGCCCAATCGTTGGTACCACATTTGTGTGGTTCACAAGAAGCCACGACCACCGTCACATTCCCGGGCATCTTTATTTATAGATGGCGAATTTATGGAGCAAGTGAAGATAGATTACCCGTCTGTGCCCGTTGCAGCTGCTCCGCATAGATCACCTCGAGTTCAAGCTTTCTTTGGCACCCCTCAAGATCTGGCAATGAGACTTGGGAGGGGGGTGTCGAAATCTCGGTGGTCCCTAGCAAACGCCATACTTTTTGATGAGGCCTATAGTGATGATATGATTTCTATTTTCTATAATCTTGGACCACGATATTACGGCAACTTTCAAGATTGCCTAGGCTCTTTTCAGACCTACAAAGCGTCTGCTGCTTTGAATCTTCGAAATGAACACCTGCATCCTGGCAAAGAAGAGCTTTCGGAAATTATCACGGCTATCCGACGGAAAGCGAGCGTTCTAGTCCGTGAAGCGAATATCCTGATCAATATTTCTTCAATATCGGTTCTGGATGACGATGACAGTAACAATGTTGATGAGTCTCAGCTTGTCAAATCGCTCTCCAAACACGCTGCCAAAAACCTGCAGCACTTAACCAAAACTGGCGGGAATGCTGTAGCAGTGAATGGTGCCACGCCTGCAATTAATGATGCTTTGACCCAGGCCCATGGAGTCGGCATTCTAACTGGCGATCCTGTAGTCGCCGTCCCACATTCTTTGGACGATGCGAGCTGGCGTATTGGGGGCTGCGCAGCAGTGCATCTGAGCTTGGTACAGGCGGCCGACACTGCGACTTGTATCCGTCTTGCAGTAGAAGCACTTTATGAAGCTGTCCAGGACAACTGGAGGAACAGCGAAGCAATGGAAAGAGAGAATGGTTACGGTATACTGGCTGCATTGTTGCGTGAAAAACTTGGATTCTCTATGGGCAACTATTCTAAAACAACCGTTGTTTGTTCGAATCATGAAGAGCGGTCTGCTTTGACTCTTGAGCTCCTCAAGCTCACTGTCAAATTTGTGGGCTATGACTTCGAGCATCCAAATCGCTCTATCATCACGAACCCACTCGCATACCGAATCTTGCTTGTGGATCTGGATATCTGGCGTTTTGGCGAACTCCCCCTGCTTGAATTGTACTATTCTCAATTCCGTACATTTTCTACAGAGAGCCAGTTCCGTCGCTTCAATGCGAAACGACTTGCTCGGATGCGTAAGATTCCCCCTATTGATGATTCGTCCCATTTTTTGTATTCTATCATATCCTAATTTCTTGCAGGTGTCACTAAGAAGCTGCTTGAGGCTTTGAAGGGAGAAGAGTTTACTCAAGATGCGTTGCATCTTTTCACATCTGCCTTCCAGTCTCTCATGGAGAGCTGCCTTTCTGCAGATTTACTTCGGTCCTTGGCTCTCTTCATAACATACGCCATTCACAAACCTAAACCACCAAGCAGACTGCAGAAAAAGAAGAGTCTTCGGTTCGCCACCAACCCCCTGTATTCAGCAACCTCTGGCGATAAACCGCAGAAGCCTGTTTCAAGCTCGGTTCTGGCGATCGAGATGCTTCGAATGTACTGCTCAGTTCTCTGTAATCCACATGACCTGACGCCGCTGAAGAAATTTGCCAGAGCTGTGACGAATAAGGTTTGTTCGCGCAGAGTTCCCCCAGTTCGGATTTCTCCTAACTTGTTGTTTAGTGGCTACTCTACCTGATGTGTGAGGACGAACCGGAAATTGTTGTCTTTGCAACTAAAATACTAGCCCGATTAATCGTTATTCACGGTAGTAGTTATAGCAAAAAACTTGCTGAAAAGACTGGAGGGTACATCATAATGCGCCATCGCCTGAAAAGGTGGTGGAATATTCCTGCTCTATGGCCTATCTGCTTCGCTATCTTGTTTGGACTGGATGTGGGACTCGTGAGCGTCAGTAGTCCATTCGATCGTTATAATCTCTTGGAGGCACTCTTCTCTGGTAGCGAGCCAAGGGTCGTTGTTCCCGAAATGATTCCAGTCATCACAGAAATGATGCGGAGCAGTCTAAAGAGAGCAGTCTTGGCGAACGAGATCCCAGAGACGAATATGCAGAGCCCGAGCCTTATGCAGGAGCACTTGGACCGGTTTACCAAACCTTCCATGTCTTTCTCTAAACCTGTACTCAAAGCGATTGAAGGGATCTCACTTCTTGCTGCAGTTGTGGATCTTTTTGCTGCGCTACATGCGAAATTTGAAAGCTTTCGTGAATTTGCAGCACAATCCACTTATACACAAGAGTTACTGTTTGTGCTATTTCCAACCGTTGTTGGATCAGATGGAGTCAGCGCAGAAATTGAACTCAATTCTCGTGATGGTGGGCTTAGCTTGGATAGCAGCAATCTGCCCAGTCGCCCACGCTCAAGTACAGCGACGGTATTACGTACGACCACAGTTGATGAGACGGACACTCGTGATGACAATGGTCATTCACTGAAACGTGGATCATCATTTATCCTTGTTTCATCAGACAAGGGAAAGTACTTGCCATCGTCTGCACGGATTCGCCATGCTTTTACCTCAACCAATAATGAAGAGAATGGAGGGGCCATGGATCATCCTATCACTACGAAGATTCTCGATATCGTCTTGACTGTCTTCACAGATCAGCTGCTTGAGCGGAAAGAATTCTCTGGCTTGGGCCTTTATCTCAAGACGCCCTCTGGGTTTTTGGAACACCAGGCTAGTTTCAATTCCTGGCTGCTAAAAGGCTTTCTTTCGGCGTTGCAGGACGTACTGTCTTCAAAGCCTGAGCTTCTTCAAGAACCGCGTACGCTTACTAACCTGGGTCGTTTTGCAAACCATATAGGGGAAGCAGTGTATGAGGGTTGGTTTATCGATGGCGCAGTTCCAAGTTTGGAATTTGTGGGGACCGTTTTAGAGTATCTTCAGCGGCCAGACGTCTCCAATTTGAAGAGCATTCGACTTTGTAGCCAGGCAATTGCCACGATTCAGTCAACGCTATTTCGCGCTGTGCTACTTGGCCTGACTGAGTTGGAGAGCACAGAGGCGCTGTCTTTTTTGAAGCGTCTTACATACTGGCAAGTGGTGCTTCTTCATGCAGGAGAGGCTCAGTCTGAATACCTGCAGCTGCTGTGCTACCAGCTTTACACAATGTTGATCAGTGACAAAGAGGATATACGATTAGCTGCGGCAGGTCTCTGGCGGATAATTCTTGTGCAGAAACCTACCGAGATGTCCACGCTGTTAAACCATGGGGCCCCTGATCTGCAAACAAGACTCTCTGGCGGCTTCGAGGCTCTTGTTGGCATGGAAGATACTGCCTTTTTGCAATGGGTTGATAATGAGCGAGATGATCTCGATGCTCTGTTCTTTGGCGTCCTATCCAAATCTTGGGAAAGCTTTGTTCAAGAAGAAAACACGACTATTAGCGATTCTGCCCGAGGCCGAATTTCTAAGCGACACGACAAACTAAAGCAGTGGAAACAATCCGAGACACTCAGCGAAGAAATAATCCATAAGCATGAGATTACTTTTCCACATTGGGTATCGAACATAACAGCTTCCGAGTTCTTGAAGTATCAAAGAGTTCTCCAAGATCAGCAAGATAACTCTGTGTTCATGTGGTCTGCCTTTTCTCGTTTATCTATGGACCTACGTCGTTACGGGGGCATACTTGCCGAAGATAAGGAAAGAAAATGGCGTCTTGACGAGACCGAAGGACGAAGTCGGATGCGGCTCCGGGTTGTCCCCGATGATTCGGGGGAGCGTCAAGATTATCAACCCAAAAGAAAGGCGTCAGAGCCCCCGGCGATCAAGATCGACACAGATGTTCAGCCAGCCTCCAATAGTGAAACTGTTGGTTTGACCCCTACGGTTATGACGGCTGAAGCTGCAGAGAACAGTGCTCAAGGCGTCGATCCAGACAGCAAGAGTGTCCTTGAAGAGGGATTTGAGATGGTTGATGATCCCAAAGCCGACCTTGAGGATTACGAAGATAAGAATAGAAAGGTAATGAGGAGTCTGCACCGCGGCGACCAAGTCCAAAACGTCTGCAACATGTCTCGTATCATTGGCCTAGAGGCATGTGAGGGTCTTCTAATTCTGGGGAAGGACAATGTCTACATTCTAGACAACTTTTTCCAGAGATCCGATGGTGAAATTGTGAACGTTTGGCAAGCTCCACCAGATGAACGAGACCCATTTGTTCGTATGATTGCCGGTAGAGAGTCAAACGAGCGTAGGCCACAAGAACATGACACCAGGAGTTGGAAATGGTCGGACTTGGTCAGCATTTCCAAACGGAGATTTCTGTTCCGAGATGTGGCGCTCGAGATCTTCTTTACAGATGGCATCAGCTACCTATTAACACTCATCTCCTCAAAAGCCCGAGATGATCTGTGTAGTCAGCTCGCTTCCAAGGCTCCCCAGGTTACTGGAAGCGTTGGCCATTCAAGACCAGAGGACATTTGGAGGTTTGAGACTCTCCGAAGCCAGGAGGACGAACCACAGTCACTTGGATCAAAGTTTGCCAGTGTCTTTGGTCATGCACCGGTTCACCCGGCTACGCGGAAATGGGTCAAGGGTGAATTATCCAATTTCCACTATCTCATGCTGATTAACACCCTTGCCGGAAGGACATTCAACGATTTGACGCAATATCCAGTTTTTCCGTGGGTAATTGCAGATTATACAAGCGATGAATTGGACTTGACAAATCCCAAAACATTCCGTGACTTGACCAAACCTATGGGATGCCAGACCTTTGAACGAGAGACCGGCTTCAGAGAGCGATATAAAGCATTCGCCGAGATGGGTGATGATGATGCCCCGCCATTTCATTATGGCACTCATTACTCCTCTGCAATGATTGTTAGCTCATACCTTATTCGTCTCCAGCCATTCGTGAAATCTTATCTCCTTCTTCAAGGCGGTACATTTGATCACGCTGATCGCCTTTTCTATTCTGTTGGGAAGGCTTGGGACTCGGCCTCCCGTGGAAACATGTCGGACGTTAGAGAACTGATTCCCGAGTTCTTCTATCTTCCGGAGTTCCTCGTCAACTCGAACAAATACGAGTTCGGTCTTTTGCAGAACATGACAACTGCCATTGATTCAGTGGAACTTCCTCCGTGGGCTAAGGGTGACCCAAAGATCTTCATTGCGAAACAACGTGAAGCGCTCGAAAGCCCATACGTGACAAATAATCTGCATCACTGGATTGACCTTGTATTCGGTTCTAAGCAGAAAGGGGAGGCTGCAATTGAAGCCGTCAACGTTTTCCATCACCTGTCATACCAGGGGGCAAAGGATGTGGATAATATTGATGATCCTGTTGAACGACTGGCGACAATCGGTATCATACACAATTTCGGGCAGACGCCCCATCAAATCTTCAACCGTCCTCATCCACAAAGGGAAGATCAGAAAAACAAGGTTGCAAGATTGGATCGCCTTGCCGAATCGCTTACACAGCTTCCTCTTTCCCTGCTCGGTAAGACTCGATCTCATGGTTCTTGGGTTTATAGTAGATTTTGTGTTGGCTGACGCTGAGGTAGATATTGAGGAGCGAGTATCATCCTTGTCAATGAAGCAAGACCGTCTTCTATGCACCGCTGCCTTCAGACTTAACATTCCCCCAGCGTACGACAAGTATATGGAATGGGGATTCTTCGATGGCAGTATCAGGTTTTACTCGGCGGAAAGTCGAAAGGTATGATACGCTCACTGGGATAAACTTTGCACACTGACTGACATGCATAGATTCTTGGTCACTTTGAACATCTACATATCGGCCAGCTTTCTTCTGCAGTCTTTGCGGACTCACGCACGCTGGTCACATCAGGGACCGACTGTACGATTTCTATTTGGACGTTCTCCTCCACTCCCAGATCTGTGGACTTGCAACCTGAGGGGTCTCTCTTTGGACATCGCTCACCTGTCACGGTCCTCGCGGTTTCACGGTCCTTCAGCACCCTTTTGTCCGCATCGTTGGACGGGCAGATTATGCTCTGGGATCTTAATAGACAAGGCTTCGTGAGAGAGCTCCCAGCAAATGGGCCAGTAGACGTGAGTGATTTTCAGAATTCATTTTGCATTTATTTCTTGACTAACCGTACTTATGCAGTGCGCCCGAATCAACGATGTCAGTGGGGATATTATGGTCTGCCGCGGCAATCGCATCAGTCTGTATACCCTGAACGGAACGCTTTTGCTGGAACAGGTGGCTTGTGAAGCGCCCGATGATTACATCATGGCTTGCGTTTTCTACGAGGGTGTCAACAATGAGTGGCAGGAGCGTGAACTGCTGTTTACTGGCCATAAGAGAGGAGTCGTCAATGTAAGTGGACCCACTGCCATTTTCGGGTCGTTACTCGGTGCTAATTTGTCATAGATCTGGACCAAGGCCATTAAAGACGGGCGTTTCGAACTGGAATTGATACGGCAACTTCATCATATTGATAACAACCGTGACAACGGAGCCAATATCTCCGCGGGGATCAGCTGCATTCTTGCGCTTCCGCATGTTGTATATACGGGGGATGAGGCGGGAAGAGTGTATGAGTGGAATTGTTTACTTAAGTAGATGGGTTTGCTAGGCAAGGTTTAACAGTTATGAGCCCGGAAGATTTCATTTTCTACTTTTTGTCCTAGGGTTTGGAGTGGACTATGAGACTCGTTCATATATCCACCAAGACATGATAGACAGGCGGTTACAGGATATCCAAAAGTTTGGCTTTTTCTCAGAGGATATTGGAATTCATGACTCACGATCTTATATATAGAAGACTTTTATTATTATTAAATCAGTGTAAAGTGTAGATTGACGGTGAAATTGACTACTGGAATAGGAAAGCGCTGACTCGGGATGTTACAAACAAAGCAAACAGAGCAAACTTAACAAACACTGCTCAGCTCTTATTCTTACTCGATTGGGTCGGGCAGCTTCGTCCGACTTAGGAAATCCTTAAGTCTGCAGGCATGAAATAGCTTACTATCTTGTTTCGTTGATCATTTCGATCGTGTTAAATGCCTCTGTGTTTCATCCTCCTCATCGGACAGTTTTCCGTGTCCTGTGATTAAAACCCGTCACGGGCAGGCCCTATGGTTGTTATTGGTCTTCGGTGAAGGGACCTGTTTTCCCAGAGCTCCAAAAGTGCTGCTAAAGAGGCAAGCCGGTAACCAGCGGGCTTTGTTTAGTGGCGCCGAGTGGACCGGGCAATAACATCGTGTTGCCGGAGCACTCTGCGCCGAGAGAACCATGGAAAAGTGGACAGCAATGAGGTGAGCAGTCGGTTAGATGAGACGGAATTATCGTCAGGAGAATATGCGATTTAATGTCATAGTTTCATAGCTATCGGGTAATTTCTGCGTTGATGAGAAAGCAAAGTGGTGGGAGATAGATTGTAGGATATTATTGCAACCTGTTAGTATAGACGCAGTAGGTGAACAGAATCAGGTTGAGAAGGATTGACCGGGAGTCTCGGCCATTCAACGACATCCTAGAGAGATCGGAATTGCATTTCAACTGCATCCATGATTGACGTTTCCATCTCCCTACGGAGTACAGATGTCCTTAAATAATAACAGTTGAGGCGCTGCGGGTTGCTTGGAGGCACAGCGTCATAGTCGCCCCACCATCCCACCTTTCCGGTTCAGACAGAACCCCTCGCCTTCATCTCCCCCTCCCTTCAATTGCCACGCCCTCGTCCTTTTTTATTCTTCTTCTTTCCTCTCTTCTTCTTCTTCTCCATCCACAATTAATTCTTCTTATCATCCTTTACGTTTGATACCCAACTCCTTTTACTATCAAAATGTCTTCTTCTCTCGAACAGCTCAAGGCCACCGGCACTGTCGTCGTCTGCGACTCTGGTAAGTTTCTGCTTGAATGAGCTCAACGATATGATCAGCATGCTAACAATTGATTTTTCTAGGTGACTTCGCCAGTATGTATCCCTGACAAGCTATACAAGATAACAGGACAATCCCATCTAACCTTTTCCCAGCCATCGGCAAGTACAAGCCTCAGGATGCCACCACCAACCCCTCTTTGATCTTGGCTGCTTCCAAGAAGCCCGAGTACGCTGCTCTCATCGACGCCGCCGTTGCTGCCGGTAAGAAGGAGGTTAGTTTCAATTGCAAGACATTGTTATATCCAGCGCAGGTTACTGACCATCGAACAGGGCAACACTATCGACGAGCAGGTCGACGCCACCCTTGACAACCTCTTGGTTGAGTTTGGCAAGGAGATCCTCAAGATCATCCCCGGCAAGGTCTCCACCGAGGTTGACGCCCGTTTCTCTTTCGACACCCAGGCCTCCATTGACAAGGCCCTGCACATCATCAAGGTATGATTACTATGGATGCGAATATTCATCACCTGGAAACAGTGACTGACCTCCCCGCAGCTCTACGAGAAGATTGGTATCTCCAAGGACCGTGTCCTGATCAAGATCGCCTCCACCTGGGAGGGTATCAAGGCGGCCCACGTCCTCCAGTCTCAGCACAAGATCAACTGCAACCTGACCCTCATGTTCTCCACCGTCCAGGCCATCGCTGCTGCCGAGGCCGGTGCCTACCTCATCTCTCCCTTCGTTGGCCGTATCCTTGACTGGTACAAGGCTGCCCACAAGAAGGACTTCTCCCCCCAGGAGGACCCTGGTGTCAAGTCCGTTGAGAGCATCTACAACTACTACAAGAAGCACGGCTACAACACCATCGTCATGGGTGCTTCCTTCCGTAACTCCGGAGAGATCACCGAGTTGGCTGGCTGTGACTACCTGACCATCTCTGTATGTTGACCTGAATTTTTTTTAATTGGAGTATAAAATACTAATACAACATTAGCCCAACCTCCTTGAGGAGCTCTACAACTCGACCGCCCCCGTCCCCAAGAAGCTCGACGCTGCCAACTCCGCCAACATTGACATCCCCAAGCGCGAGTACCTCAACGACGAGGCTCTCTTCCGCTTCGACTTCAACGAGGAAGCCATGGCCGTCGAGAAGCTCCGTGAGGGTATCTCCAAGTTCGCGGCTGACGCCGTCACTCTCAAGGACATCCTCAAGCAGAAGATCCAGGCTTAGATTGGATGTTTGCATTGATGTGTTTTCTTTAATGTTTTAATTTCATGTAAAATTGGCGATCTGAAAAATTGATTTCCGTAGATACGATTCACGAATTGAGTCTGGTTTCTGTCATGATTGTTGAAATCAAAAATTTTTTCTTATTTTTATGTTTTGGGCAAATGTCTAGCTAAGTCTGAGAATGAAAACATATCGTCCCTGAAAAGCAGAGATACCAATTTGATTAGAACCAAGTTGCAAAAGAAGCCCCCCAAGTTTGCCTAGAGTAAAAGCGAACACAATGTTCAGCATCCGCGAGGAGCATTTCAAATCATCATCCGGGCGCAGTAAAGAAGGTCACTGGTATTGAAAACAAGGTCTGATTCGTTTCCCTGTCGGGGACGATCCAAGACAGCTTCGAAATTCAGAATGAGAGGGGCCCCTTGGACCGTAGCGGAATTGATTTCGATCTCCTGTGCCGCATAGGGCTGCTGGGAGGCGACAGGCTGCTGGCCGAGAGGGGGTTGCTGGTTCGGGTTTGAGAGTTGGATCCGCATGTTCCTTGTCATCGGGTTTGGCGTGCCGGCAGGTGCTAGCTGCCACTTTTCCACTAGAATTTTGCGGGTGCGACGATTGATACATACGATCAAAACAATTCTAACGTCCCCAAGAGAATTGTGGAACCACCAGCACGCATCCTCCCTAAGTCTTCGTAAGGACTCCGAGACCCCAGTCTCGATGACCAAAGTGGGCCATCCGTGAGCTCGACCAGGTCGGGGCTGTCTTGAGAGAGGCCAGAAACACTCGTCGGCCTGTTTGCCTCTGTTCCCAACAGCCGGCTTGTGAGTAGTGGACATCGCAAACCCTACTTCGTCTCTTGCGATACCCATTCCAGTAAACATGCGCTCAAGGTGGGTTCGAATTGCGCCCGTGGTGAAATCATGCTCAGCACTTGGGATCACTTTGATTAGTCCGGTGTAGTTTTCCCACATGAATCTAAACGAGATGCCATCCAGACAGTTCTTTTCGGTATCGAGTCGCCGGCGTGCTGTTTCGGGGAGACCGAGAACAACGACAAATTGGTTGCCACCCCCATTTTCGGCCAAAGCATCAAAGACTTGTTTGGTAGCTGTCTTGATCTGTTGGAATCGGTGAAAGTGGACGAGGGCGTAATCGTTAGGGAGGCCACTCATGATGCCATGCTCCTCCATAGCTGGCTGGGTGTGTGGTGGTGATAGGGCCACATCGGAGTCACTGCTGTCGGTTTCAAAACTAGCCATGTTTGCTTTTAGCAAAAGAGAAGAACAGAAATGATGTAGATAGTAGAATGAAGGGGGAAGGTGGAAGATGAAGAAGAAAGAGAAATGTATATGGGAGATGAAGGTGAAGATGTAGTAGGGGAGATGTTAAGCAGAGATATTTGAGAATGTTTTCATTCACTTACTTTAGTTATACTCACTGTTATAGAACTCTTGATGTGAATAAACTATTCAATAACTATTCTAACAGCTAAGTTAACTTCACTTGAAAATGAGGTCATACATTTAGTGAATAAATATAGGCAGCATTTATTCCTACTATACCAAAAGGATAGATGACAGGCACTATGAGATATAGCAAGGAAGCACCTCATTTGCAACCTAAATAACCCCATTTAGAAGTAGGGGCAGGTTCTGCTGCATAATTGCACATGGTGGGGGGTGCATGTTGGATGCAGTCATCTATGCTACACCTGACCACTTCAATATTCAGTGGGAAAGCGAATTCCGCATCAGATAACAATTAGTTACATTACAGCTAGACAGTCTGGACCGGAGATGCTTAGGAATCTGTATTATATTTCGAATACACAAACAGAACGTCATTCCGAAAGACCCCGCCAGCAAAAAAAGGTGGGGTCTTTCAAGTGTACTCCGAGTGCCAGTGCCGGGAGCAGCAGTAGCAGTCAGAGCAGCTAGTTAGTAGTAGAGAAAGTCATCGAACCGAATTCCCCTCCCCCTCCTCATCCGGTCTTGATCTCCTCTTCTTCTCTTTTTTCTCAGTCAACGATTCCTACTTTCATCCCTTTCTATATACATCTATCTTTGTTTTAAAAAACAATCCGTCACAATGGTCAACGCTGGTACGTATCAGATCTAACTCTGTTTCTTTTTTCCTCGCTGTCCCATTTGTTTGGTCTCTTGTCCACTGAGGGGTCCACGATCGACCGTGGCAAGGACCTTGAGGTGAGCAGATTTGAGCACCTTGGGAACAACCCCCTCGAGCTTCCTGGCCTATCATCCTTCTGGGCTGTCTACATGCTGTCCATGATGATGTTGATTGTGTTGCTTGTTTCGAGCTCATTCGTTGCTGGCCTTGCTGGTTCCTGGGGGGTTGGGGTTGTGACTGGCTGGAGTTGAGCTTCGTCGTGGTGACTCCAGCTTCCCACAACTCCACCACTGTGCTTGAACTTCCCTGCTCTTGCTGCAGATATTCATCTGCGTTTTCTTGGTCCATGGCTTCCATTTTGTGTTCTGGAAATCAAGCTTCCCTCGCCCCGATCCGATCGGGGGATTCTGAGCGGGGTACCAATTTGCATCGCTGGATCATCAGATAGCTGACTGAATTGGATTCATAGTCGCTTTCCTCCGCGGAGACGCCAAGATCTCTGGCACCGTCAAGTTCGAGCAGACCTCTGAGGACGCTCCCACCACCATCTCCTGGAACATCACCGGCCACGACGCCAACGCCCAGCGTGCTTTCCACGTCCACCAGTTCGGTGACAACACCAACGGCTGCACCTCCGCTGGTCCCCACTGTACGTTCTCTGATGCACGAGAAGATAAGCAGAAGCTAATCAAGAATTCAAGTCAACCCCGCCGGAAAGACCCACGGTGCTCCCGAGGATGATGAGCGTCACGTCGGTGACTTGGGCAACTTCCAGACCGATGCTCAGGGCAACTCCGTTGGCTCCAAGACCGACAAGCTGATCAAGCTGATCGGTGAGCAGAGCGTTCTCGGCGTAAGTCTTTCTTGGAGTCTTTTGTCTTTCAGATAGACATGGACAGGTGTGCTAATCGATTGTTTGTAGCGTACCCTGGTTGTCCACGAGGGTACTGACGACTTTGGCAAGGGTGGCCACGAGCTGTCCAAGACCACCGGTAACGCCGGTGGCCGTCCTGCCTGCGGTAAGCTTGGAGACCTGGATTGCGACTTGAGACGAATGTGCTAATTAGCTCTCGACAGGTGTCATTGGCATTGCCGCATAAATTATTCCCCGTCAACTCAATGTTGGGTTAGACGTATAACAGACGAGTCAGGACCTGAAATGGATATCTGAGGGACAAAATTGAGAAATATTTTGATTTTGAGGAGCAAAAGGCATTCTAGGCTGTACTGTTTGGATCTAGATACCGTATAAGATTGATGAAATGAATTGAATTAAGCCAACTTCTTTGTCGCGATCGGCTATTGCCAAACTTTATGAAGCTTCCTATAGATGAAACCTGTTTAAGTGAATGAGAGCTCTAGATGATTCCATCCCAGTGAATTGATGATGTTCACTTCCCTGGCCAGAAGCTCCTGGCGGCCTCCCCCACAAAAAGTCAGGTGGCTCTCCTACTAGGATCGGTCCAACCACGTTTCCCCTCTCACTTTCTCTCTCTCCCTCTCCCATCGAACTTCTCCCCTTTCTCTTTCCATTTTTGTGTAATATCATTTCCTTATTTCTCTTCCCTTCTTTTTCTGTATTCATTGACCTTTACTCCTTTTTCTCCCTTTGTCAATTGTTAATTTGGTTGTTTGTACAAACAAAACTCTCCTTGGGCGATCCACTATGCCTTTGGAAGCACGCGTGAAGTCCGTCTTGTCGGGCGATACGGTGGTCCTGGCCCATCTCACCACAGGCCAAGAAAGAGTCCTCAGTTTGGCATATGTCTCTGCTCCTAGGTTGCGGAGAGAAGGCGATGAAGTAAGTTGATTCTTTGTTTGTTTTCATGGGACGCTGCGCTTGCTCCGCTGGGATGCGGATAGGTGGCCTTTACTGCCCATCCATGCGGACTGCAATTGTGTCGCTCCCTTTTTCTTTTTATTCGCGCTGTGTAGCTATTTTGAGTTTTACGGTTTAATCGGATGAATTGATTGGAATTCTTGCTGACTCGATGGGGGGTTTCCCTCTTTTTCTAGCCCTTCGGTTTCCACTCCCGCGAATTCCTCCGCGAACTTCTCGTCGGAAAAGTGATCCAGTTCAACGTTGTCTACACCATTCCTACGGGCGCAAAGCGTGACTACGGTACCATTAAGCTCCCCGGTTTCGACGCCTCGCTGCCCGACATCTGTGTCCAGGAGGGATGGGCCCGAGTCCGCGAAGAGGCCGGAAAACGCGACGAGTCCGAGGAAACCGCCGAATTCCTTGCGAAGCTCCGAGCTCTGGAAGACCACGCTAGAACCGAGGGTAAGGGTGTTTGGGCTAGCTCTGATAAGGGATACACCGAGACTAGCTACGAGATCTCCGACCCCAAGGCTCTGGTCGATGAGTACAAGGGTAAAGACCTGTATGGTATCGTGGAGAGAGTCTTCAACGGTGATAGACTTGTTATCCGTTTGCTGCTTTCTTCCGACGGACATCTGCAGACCGTTGTTGCTGTTGCCGGTATCCGTGCTCCCGCTACAAAACGGGTGAATGGCGAAGGCAAGGAGCAGCCCGCTGAGCCGTTTGGTGATGAGGCCCACCAATTTGTTGAGTCGAGAATCCTGCAGCGCAAGGTCCAGATTTCTCTTCTAGGTGTCACTCCCCAAGGTCAATTGATCGCTAGCGTCGTCCACCCCAACGGAAACATCGCCAAGTTTCTCCTCGAGGCTGGTCTGGCCCGATGCCACGACCACCACTCCACATTGCTGGGCGCTGAGATGGCAAGCTTCCGTCACGCGGAGAAGGCTGCCAAGGATGGACGTAAGGGTCTTTTCACTGGGCTTGTTGCTAAGGGTCCTGCTGGCGGGGCCGTCGGCGCAGATTACGTTGTCGGCCGTGTCTTCAATGCGGACACTCTATTCATCAGAAACAAGGCCGGCCAGGAGAAGAGAATCGGCCTCAGCAGTATCAGACAGCCCAAGCCATCTGACCCCAACCAAGCCCCCTTTGCCGCCGATGCTAAGGAGTTCCTGCGCAAGAAGATCATCGGAAAGCACGTTAAAGTTACCGTCGACGGCAAGAAGCCCGCTACCGAGGGTTACGAAGAGAAGGAGGTCGCCACTGTTATTTTCGGAAACACCAACATTGCCTTGGCCCTTGTTGAGGCTGGTTACGCCTCCGTGATCCGACACCGTCAAGATGATGACGACCGTTCCCCCGACTACGACGCCCTGTTGGTCGCTGAGGCTGAAGCTCAGGGTGAGGGTAAGGGCATGTGGTCTCCCAAGCCCCCCAAGGCTAAACAGTTTGTGGATTACTCCGAGAGCGTCCAGAAGGCCAAGATGGCTGTTTCGACCCTTCAGCGCCAGAAGCGTGTGCCTGCCGTTGTTGACTTCGTGAAGTCTGGTTCCCGATTCACCGTGCTGGTGCCCCGTGAAAACGCCAAGTTGACTCTTGTTTTGTCCGGAATCCGCGCTCCACGATCTGCCCGCAACCCCGGAGAAGCATCGGAGCCGTTCGGAAACGAGGCCCACGAGCTAGCTAACCGCAGGTGTATGCAGCGTGATGTGGAGATCGATGTTGAGACTATTGACAAGGTTGGTGGTTTCATCGGTACTCTCTACATCAACAAGGAGAACTTCACCAAGGTTCTTCTCGAGGAAGGTTTCGCAACCGTTCACGCATACTCCGCCGAGCAGTCAGGCAATGCAACCGAGTACTTCGCTGCCGAGCAGAAGGCCAAGGATGCCCGTAAGGGATTGTGGCACGACTGGGATCCTAGCAAGGAGGCTGAAGAAGAAGAGGAACAGTCGGGTAATGCTAGCAACGGCGCGGAGAGCGAGCCTGCTCAGCGTCGTAAGGATTATCGTGATGTTATGCTCACCCACGTCGACCCCACGAATGGACATGTCAAGCTGCAGCAGATTGGCTCTGGCACCTCCGCATTGACAGAGATGATGAGCGCCTTCCGCTCTTTCCACCTCAACAAGGCCAACGATACCCCGTTGCCTGGTCCCCCCAAGGCTGGTGACTTTGTCGCTGCCAAGTTCACAGAGGATGACGGCTGGTACCGTGCTAGAGTGCGTCGCAACGACCGCGAGAAGCAGCAGGCCGAGGTCACCTACATTGACTTTGGTAACTCGGAGGATCTCCCTTGGTCTCGTCTCCGACCTCTTTCACCGCAATTCTCGGCCCAGAAGCTCCGCCCACAAGCGGTGGATGCCGTTCTTTCCTTGATCCAATTCCCTGTTGCGGCTGACTACTTGGACGACCTTGTTGATTTCATCGGTGAGCAGACTGCCGACAAGCAGCTTGTTGCCAACGTCGATTACGTCTCGGCTGAAGGTACCATGCACGTTACTCTCATGGACCCCACCGAGTCCAAGAACCTTGACCACAGCATCAACGCTGAAATTGTCCGGGAAGGATTGGCCATGGTTCCCAAGAAGCTGAAGGCCTGGGAGCGTGCTGCTTCGGACACGTTGGCTCACCTCCGCACTCTCGAAGAGGAGGCCAAGCAGGACCGACGTGGCATGTGGGAGTATGGTGATCTGACCGAGGATTAGATGGAAATCTCTATTTTTGGTTTCTTCTTTCTCGCAAGTGTACAAAATCCGACACGATCGATGGTTTGCATGTCTTTTATTACCAAATATTTGGGAATTTTTTGTAGAGCTCCTTTAAGTTGGCTTTTAATATCTTTTGCATAGCCTTGGATGCTCAGCCATATTACCAAAAGAATACCAAAAGTGAATATTGGTCCAACATGACAGTTCTTGCATTCCTCCTATAACTACAACTACATCCCTGTTCCCTGTAGATCCCGCTGATGTAATCATTTTTGTGCAACACCAGCACAATGTAAATCGTCGGCAAAAGACAAAGAAGTTCCGGCCTCAATGCAGTCTGTGACTCCTAACTCCCAACTCCTCTAATTACCCTGTATGTCCCCTGTCTTGTCTATATATTCCTCTCACTTTTTGTCCTGGATTTCTTTTCCGCCAGCGGCTGACTTCTCCTTGGCCTCAGCTCGGACGTAAACCCGCAACGTTGGAGCGGCGGAAACAATCGTCAGAAACATTTCTTAAACCAACACAACCAACGCTCACTACGAAGCCTTCGTCGAACGCCTTGACCACCTCTGTGCGCCCTTCGGTCTAGATCTTAGCGTATTCCGAAGCGTATCATCTACCCACACAAGAAAAAAAGAAAGAAAAAGATGCCTTTCTGGGGATCTAGCCAGCCGGCGGCGGAGAGCGATACTTCCAGCCAATACAACAACGACCCGGTGGCGTCGGCCTCGCAAGCAGCCGGCGATGCCTGGCTAGCGGGTCATCTGCACCATTTGACTGACGATCAGGAGCAGAAGTTGCAGGATTTCAAGAAATTGTGCGAGGAGAAGGGGTACTACAAGCCCGAGGGAAGTGGAGAGGATGGCAAGGCCAGTCATGGCGATGCGACGCTGTTGTATGTTTCGCTCATTCGTCTTTGTGTGCTTGGGTAGGTTGCTAATGGTGTTTCTTTGTAGGCGATTTCTGCGCGCGCGCAAGTTTGATGTGAATGCTGCTTGGGCTCAGTTCAAGGATACCGAGGATTGGCGTCGGGATAATGCCATCGAGTCGTTGTATGAGAATATCGATGTCGAGTCGTACGATGCGGCCAGGAGGATGGTGAGTTTCAATTGGATGCTTCATTGCTGTCGCCAGCGTACTCTTGCGCAACTGAGACTAACGCTCGATCTTGTATAGTATCCGCAATGGACCGGTCGTCGTGACCGTCGCGGTATCCCCGTCTACGTGTTCGAGATCAAGAACCTGAACAGCAAGAACATGGCTACTTACAACTCGACCATGTCTGCTTCTTCGGAGACGCACAAATCGTCTACCGTGCCTGAGCGTCTCCTCCGTCTGTTCGCACTCTACGAGAACCTTCTCAACTTCGTCATGCCCTTGTGTTCGTCGCTGGCACGACCAAACCCCGAGACTCCGATTGTCAGCTCCAACAATATTGTCGATGTCAACGGTGTTGGTTTGAAGCAGTTCTGGAACCTCAAGAGTCACATGCAGGATGCCAGTGTTTTGGCCACGGCGCATTACCCGGAGACATTGGATCGGATCTTCGTAGGTTTTTTACGGTTCATTTATGTTATGTCCAACGCTAACATGGCCATGATAGATCATCGGTGCCCCCTCTTTCTTCCCAACCGTCTGGGGATGGATTAAGCGCTGGTTCGACCCAAACACCACCTCCAAGATCTTCATCCTCTCCGCCGCGGAGGTGAAGCCCACTCTGTCCGCCTTCATGGACATCTCCAGCATCCCGAAACAGTACGGTGGTGACTTGGACTGGCAGTGGGGCGACATGCCCAACCTGGACGAGCCTGCTCGCGAACTCGTTGGAGCCTTGGAGACTCCCCCAGCCGAGGGACAGACCAAGCCCACGCTCCTCAAGGGCCCCGTCCTGTTCAAGGGTAATGAGATTGAGATCCTGGGCTCCGTGGACGGAAAGAGCAGACGTGAAACTATCCCCGTCACCAAGACCCAGCAAGAGGAACCCACCACCAAGACTTCCTCCGAGCCGGCTGAGAAGCCCGCAACTAGCGATGCCGATGAAAAGCTCTGCAAGGATAACGTGACAACCGATGAAGTTGCCAACACTGAAGCTCCTGCCCAGCAGACCGCTGCATAGTTCAAAAGATAACCTTTTTTACAACTTCTAATTTCTGCTATCTTTCTTCGTCTATCTATTTTTTTTTTTTTTTTCTTTTCTTTTTCGATCCATATATCCGAAACATCATGGCGTCGACGGTTGTTTCATTCACACTTACACATACACATATACAGTCTTCTTTCTGCCTTCAAATGAGCGCATCCGTTTTATAGAAAAACAAACCAAGATAGCTCTTTTTTTATCTTGTCTGGCATTGACTAGAACTGCATTGTTTTATATTTGAGTGTCTACTTCTTGACTTTTTAATCATATCATTCCCTCTCGGGTTGGGATATTATATCGAGTTTACATCTACATTTACAATTGCATTTTCCAGTCTCGAGTTTTTATTCTTCGATAAATTTTGGAATTTTGTACTTCCGGGGCATGTATTCATCTATATTTCGGGTTGTTTTCGAACATATCCTTGGTGACAAGTACTAATCTTGCATATTTTTCTTTCGGTGTAACTGATTCTTTTCATTCTGTGAAGTCACTGTTCATATATTGGATGTTTTGCATGTACTAAATATTCAAATCTACTCTCTAATCCCCATGATAGACACTGGTGCATGTCGGGGATCGGGATGAATACATAAGAGTTCGAGATTCAGAAAAGTTCTATTATTTGAAAACAAGAAGCTAAACCAATAAAATACATTCATAAGCACGAGAACATATATATTTCCCAATAATTGGAATTTTTCTATGCCTTCCATAGTGCGTTGACCTGTTTTCTCCGCACCTATTGTCCGTTAGCAAGGGGGTTGACGGTAAAATCAGAAAGAATGGGTAAAAAGAACATACCATTGGTGCCAAGATCGTCACACCGACTCCCAGAGCCACAATTGTCATAAGCAGCTGCAGCTTGGAGAATCCCTTGCCCAGAACATCGAATGCCTGGCTAGGCGTAACTCGTGTGGCGTAGATATCTCCACCGTAAGCAAAGATCAGACTTGTACTCTCCAGCAGGGTTGGGCTGGAGAGAACATTCTTGATACCAGCCACGCTCCGGCCATGTGTCAGGTACCATCTTCCGTCGAAATCGAGGACTGGGCTGTACTTGAACAAGCCCTCCTCGGCTTCCGTGGAGGTGGGGTCACGGCCGACAGGGCGACGGGGGTCCAGAACTGGCCGGGGGATTCCGATAATTGCGTTCGAGGCGGGAAGAGTGCAGATGAGCTGTCTAGTAGTGATACCCTGGCGAGTCTGGGTGACGGACATGTGGGAGATTGGTTCGGGGATGACGAACGCCTGGGAAATCACATGCGGTCTAGGCAGGATTTCAGTGCCATGGATGCTGGAGTAGTTGGTTGCAGAGCCAAGAGGACCACGGTCGTTGGCGATGGGCGACTCGTAGAGTTCAGAGATCACAAGCTGGTAGCCCTTTGCCTCGCTCTCGCCCCAGAAAGAATATGCGAACCAGTTCTCGGAAATGGCGGAAGCGATTGGCTGACTGGTGTCGACGCCTTTTTGGGTGCTTGAATGGAGGATCTGGCCGGAAATGGCATCCAGCAAGTAGAAGCTAGCGGATTTATCACCCACAGCAGTCACAAGGGCGAGGTTAGGGCTGAGGTATTTGTACAACACCGATCGATCACCCAGAACCTTGCCAATCGAAGCGACAGGGTCGTGAGAGGGGCGCGCAGTGGCGCGGATGACCTTCTGGCCCTTTGGAGGCAGGAACTCCCAGACGGGGGCCTTGTTGTTTGCTCCGCTCCATCCAAGAACACGTCCATCAGCGCTAGTGGTGACAAGGAACCCTGGGCCATCCAGAGGCTTGGCCGGGGTACCATCTTCCTTGATTCCAACAGTGACTTCATCATCGATAACAGCAACAGAACGGATCTTGGTGTCAGTAGGCGGGGTGCGCTTAATAATGTCTCCCGAAGTAACGTTCAGAGTGACAGAGCCCTCGTCGTCGGTGTACACAGTAGCAGAACCTGGCTTGGTTACAATGGCCTTGACATTCCATGTCTCCGCCTCTGCGGCTTTCACGCTCCATGAAACAGAGCCGTGGTTTCCGCTATCAAGGGCAAAGACCCGACCATTTTCAGTTGCAACGATGACTTGCTTGATAATTTCAAAGCTGTCAAGGTTGGTCACTTGGTCGGTCAGGAAACTAGTAAAGATGCGCTTAGGCAATTCTCTCAACCAGTCCGGAAGATGTTCAAGATCCCTCACGTGGCGCTTGACACGGTGGACATATGCTGCAAGAATACTCTCGTGGCCTTCAACTTCAAGTTGATGGACCAACTCCTCCTGGTAATCAACCTCGGCCCAGCTAGCAGCAATTGCACCAGACAAAGCTTCAGGTCTGGTCCAGTCGGACTCGCCGTTTCGAATAAGCTGCCAGTCGCCAGAAGCCGAAGCAGCAGCGGATCGAACAGCGATGCTATCGCCCTTAGGAACAACCTCAGATACGGCGTGCAGGAGACGCTCTTTCGAGGGCGCATTGAGAGTCCATCTGCCCAAGATCCCGTGAGAAGCTGAGGAGACAACGGTGGTCTCCGACTCGGTGATGCGAGTGAAATACACATTAGCGTCTTTGTTGCTCGTTGCAAAGACAGAGTGTTCCTGCAAACGAGGTAAATCATAAGCCTTAGAAACGGCTGCAGACTTCAGATCCACGTGATAAACCTCAGCCCAGGAGCTAGAGTCTGTCTCGTAGTGAACCAGGAAATGAGGGAGCGAGTTGAGCTTCTTAGGAGCATGCACGGTGATTGATCGGATTTCTTCACCACTTCCATTGTCGATGTTCAGGGTGCTCACTTGCTTCAAACCAATGACATTGACCTTCAGTGTCTTCATGGACTTGTCGGCCCAGACGATCAGAGGAACAGCAGTGTTTGAGCCCACGAACAAGACCGAGTCTGGGCCAGACACATCACCCTCCGAGTTCAGGGTTTGTTGCTGAGTCTGCCGACCCGTAACAGAATCCAACGACGTAACCTTGATTTTGTAGCCCTTCAACAAAGCGGGTTGCAGAGAAACGTAGAAGATTTCGGTGGAAGAGGCGGACACTTGGAAGGGAACATCACCACTAAAATCAACAGTTGTCAGCAAATGCCACCAATGGAAAAAGAACACTAAGTGTACACAAACATACCTTCCATCCTTGTGTTCCCACTTGACATCACCAGACTCGCCATCTAATCTCCTGACAATCCCCGCTTTGCCCCCGAAAAGCGCAATCGTATCTCTGGAAGACGGAGTCGCAGTGGCATCCTCCAGCTCCAAAAGCTCGAGATCCGCCACGGATCCATCCTCAAACCAGTTCTCCCAGATCAATTTTCCATCTTGAGCAGTCCACGAAGAAATGTAGTCGCCGACCGCGCCGACCATGGCATTGGTACCGTCGGAGCCACGAAGGAGGCCGCGGGCCTCATCATCGCCCGGCAGCGAGGAACGCGAGAGATTCTGTCTCCAGACCAAAGCGCCATCTCTGGGATTGACAGCACCAAGCACGGACTTCTCGGAAAGGGTGTACAGCAAGGAAGCTTGGGAAGAAGTGGAAGGTTGGAGAAAGAAGGTCGATTGGGACGAGGGGACGCCTAGTAGCGCATGGTGGAAGTCGATATGGTTGACTTCGTCGACGAAGATGCCCAGTGCCGACGGAACGCACGAGGCGAGCAAAAGGAGCGCCGCCTGTAGCCGCATTGTAATCACCTAGACTCTGGTCCGGGCATTTGAGGGCGGGGAGGTGATGATGGAGATGTTGTTGGGGCTGATGGTAAACTTGAAGCTAAGGTAGGCGGTGATTAACAGTCGGCGTTACTAAAAGCTGGCTTCCCCGGAGCTTCAATCTTGCCGCCGCGTTTATCATGGATTTTTTTTCTCGGACAATTCTAATCAATGGCATTTCTGCTGTTATTCTAATTGGTTTATTTATTTTCTCCTTTTCTACGCATATTCCCAGCTCAAGGCCAGCTCAATAACCAAATTTGATCGATGGATTGAATGAATGTATGAATGAATGATGCTTTATCTGTTTGAAATCATCCCAAAACTCCAAATTCCAATGCTATGATACACACGGTCTAGTTACATTTATGCGCCAAAGCATGTCTTGTTGGCAATCTCAACGGCCTTTTTCTCTCCCTCGCTCATATCTTCAGTGATCTCCCAGGGCTTGTCTCCCATACCCATGGCCCGCAAGCCTTCAGGGTTGACAGAGTTCCAGTCAACTGCGCCCTTGAAACCCTTCTCACCGGGGCCACCGGCACCGGGGAAGTCCCATGGGGGAGAGTAAGCAAGAGCCGCCTCCCGCTGCTTGATGAGGTAGTCCACATTCATCTCGCACAGAGGGGTTGCGGGGATGTAGAGGACACTCGAATCTGTCTTGCCTCTGTGTTCCTTGTCCACGGAGTGCAGTGAGTCGCAGTGCCAGGCCACGAAGTCACCAGGCTCAACCTTGGGGACGGGCACCATCGTCGACTCCAGGTCGAGATGTGGGTGGGTGACGGGGTTGTATTCTTGACAGGCACCAGGAACAGAGCCCGGGAAGGTAGCATCCAGGTTAGGCTCTTGAGTCTTCGGATCAAAGAATGGTCGAAGGATGGTATAGGCTGTGCTGTGGTTGACCATGGGGCATACATGCAACGACCCCTCACCCGGGCCCGTATCGGACATGGAAAGCCAGCCTTGGAAGAATCTCAGCATGGAGCATGCTCCAGCGCCGTTGTACATGTCCATCTTAGCCTTGAGGCGGTGCTTAGCATCCCAAGGATCGTATTCTTCCCACTTGCCTTCGAAGATCTTGCTGTACACATTCGAGTACTCGGGGTCTTCCCAGCGCTCTAATGATCCACCATCGATATGGGGACCAAGAGTGAATTTTGCATCACCCGGGTCTCTAATACGGAGGCGGTCCGAGTAGGAGACCGGGTTTCTTGTGGAGATCTGACTGCTGGGATCGGACGAATGCCACAATGTTTGTAGGAAGTTTTGTGTGCCGACCACGCCGGGATGGGCGCGGGCCTCTGTCTGCGAAGGGGTCCAGTACAGCTCGTAGACCGCAGGAGACTCTGGTGGGAAGGCCTTGACACGTTCCTTGTTGGCAGAAGCATAGTCCCTGATTCTTTCTTTCCACTCGAGAGCTTGATCTCGGTGCACGGCGTTTCGGACAACCACAGTGCCACGGTGACGGATTTCGGCGAGGAGCTCGTCAGGCACCTTGCCAGCGACGACATCTGAGTAATTGACAGAAGGAATAATCTGCAAAAGTTAGTATATCGCTCATGAAATAAAGAGAGGGTCTTCCAGCGAAAAAACATACATCGCTTCCTTTTGCCTTAATCTTGTGTACTTCTTCCTCCAAACTCTCCAACAATCTCTTCCAGCTCTGGGTCAATGCCTTTTCATTCTTCTCAAAGAATCTGAGCTTCAACTCCTTAAACCGCGGCGGCAAAGGCTCGGGCTTGTAGTCTGGTCGCAAACTGGGGAAGACGGAGGAAATGTCACCCGCCGCCTTGGTCATCTGAGAGGAAGCAGTGGAGGTAGATGCGGCACGAACGGCCGATTTTGAAAGCAATCGTGACATAGCCATATTGTAAGGAATTAGATTGAAAATCCTTTAGTTTCTCTAGCCCCAGAGACCGGGGTTTCTGGGGCTTTATATGCGCTGTTGAGTTGGTCGCCAAAGAAGTACATTTGCGGAGAAGGCGTCGGGAAGGCCAGAAGCAGAAGGCGGCCCGGTTGCCTAATATGGTAGTCTCCCGCTCCCTTGTTGAGAGTTGCCGACAGTTGACATCAGCATCTTTGCCATTGGTGACGAAATAATAGAAAATAGTAGGAAATAGTGAGGGATAAATGAAAATTGGAGGGACCCAGGGTTTGGGAAGAACATTCGAGTAAGAAATGATGGCGACGTGGGTAAGGTTGTGGTTCTCTATTTATATTTCTACATGATACTATGGCGGGAGTCAAAGCACTGGAGAGAAAACCTTGTCCCTGGACAGTCTACAGTATAAATGATGACCGGTGAGAGCATAGAGACACCGGTGATTGAATAATGCGCTGTCAAGTGTAATAATGGAGTAGATGATGGTTTCGTTGTGGATGGGCGGCTGTACTTCTAAGAATACTTAGCATCCGTCCATATAAGGCTAGCCATGCTTGTATTACGGGCTCTCGATAATATCTACAATGCCAAATAGTGGTACAAGTTTATTACATTCTCAAATACTATCCTTATGTTTGAAAATAAGTTGGAATAGTCTAAGCTAGAAGGTCTGGTTGTTTTCTTTCCACTAACAGCAAAGGACAACCTTGCTGACCGTTCCTAGGGGCATATGCTTTTGAAACCAAATGCTGTGACATTAAACATGGTATCATGATGGAACAGCAATCATGAGAAGCACAGATTCCAGGAAACTGGGTCTGGAAGACGAAAATGACCTCGATATAGGCCTCGTCTCAAAGAACCATCAATACCCGCTCAAATCTATTCGAAAAAAGTCGCTGCAGATGACGAAGAGAAGGTTCCGATGGCAGTCCAACATGACGGGCACTGGAAACTTATATCGAACCGTTCTCTTTGGCTGACTGGACACCTCGAGGTCTAGGCGAGCTGATGACGGGGGATATAAGGTCTGTTGGAACACCTGGCACTTATTAAACTTTTGCTTGTCCTTGAACCGCTCATCTATTGATTGCACAAAATATGCGCTTATGGTTTTGCAGTCACTCTTTAAGGTGATTATTTGCCACGCGAAGCTCTGCTAAGTATTTCTCTTTCAGATGGGAACATGGCGTGTTCCATTTTAATGACATTCAAACAACTTCTAGAGCCTTTCAACTCTAGACATATTTCATTGGCGACTCTTAAAGTTATTACAGTCTTACTTAAATGCTTTATGACATCTGTGCTTGTCAGTTTGCTATAAATTAATCATATAGGTGATCTTTTACCATATAATAATGTCACTGCACTGCTTCCACTTGAAACGACACTGGGAATGTTCAATCATAATTATCATTTGATCAAGACATGCTAGACATGTTATGTTGGAATGTCGTACACAAATTTGAGATAAAAGAGCATAAATCTGCGTCGTGGTGGATAAACCTGTGGGCTGTGTCACACAGCAGCGGTTACAGTTAACTAATCCAGTTCTTTTTCAGTGATCCTGGATGAATATCACATCCACCGCAAGGAAAGTGGGCTTTTGAATGCTCCACTAACACCGTGGGGAAAGAGAAGCACCTTTACCCCAACTCCATCGGATCCCAGTTCGGGATATTACTCGAACCGTCCATCGTCGTGATCTTGTAGGCCGAGATGCCGCCATGCCAAGCGGTGGTGATGAGTTGGCCTGGGCTAGAAGTCAATTGGTTCATTTTATCAAAAAAAGAAGCAAAGAGAAGCCCCATTATTAACGCCCAGCACGTCTTGTGATCGTCTGCAGAAGAATCACAGCGGTTTGCGTCGATTTATACTGACTCGGGTTTCCTTCTGCGCTCGGCAAACCTGCCCTCGGGGTAATGGGCACTCCGCGAATCCCCTCAGTATCCTAACAGCGGGTAATGAGACCCCGAAGCCTGTAGCACAGCATAGCTAGGAGATATCCTTCGTATATATAGCCGAGATGAACGCCTTCTACCTTCCCCCTGCTTCTAGTGACCACTACAGAACTGTCTATCTTCCACCATGGCTCTCTCTGTACAAGGAAAGTCCGCAATCGTGACCGGCGCTGGTTCAGGTATGTAGCAGCTAGCTTGTATGCACCCCGCAGTTATCCCCAGGCAGTGTTTCTAAGAAGACAATATAGGAATTAACCTGGCCTTTGCCCAACTTCTTCTGGAAAATGGGTGCAATGTCCTTATTGCTGACCTTGCCCTTCGCCCCGAGGCAAAGGCAATTGTGGACAAGCATTCAACCTCTCCCCGTGCTATTTTCCAGGAAACGAACGTCATCGATTGGAAGCAGCTAGAGAGAATGTTTGAAGTCGCAGAGAGGGAATTCGGCGAGATTGACATTGTATGCCCGGGTGCTGGCATCTACGAACCGGTATGATTTCACCGCATAGGCAATGCACTGCTAAAGAGCATCTATTTGCTAATTCTTAAAGCACTGGACCAATTTCTGGCGTCCTCCTGGTCATCCAGCAAGTCGAGACTCACCGACTGGGGGTCGTTATGCCCTGGTTGACATTAACATCACTCACCCGATCCGCACCACTCAACTCGCCATTTCCCATTTCCTCAAATATCGTAGCAACCAGAAACCCAAACATATCGTCCACATATCCAGTGTTGCAGGCCAAGCCCCTGGATTTGCTGCTCCGATATACGTGGCCACCAAACACGCCATCAGCGGTCTCGTGCGATCGTTGGCCAGACTCGATAAGGAGTTTGGGATTCGCGTGACTGCCGTGGCCCCTGGCATTATCAAGACACCTTTGTGGACCGACCATCCGGAGAAACTGAAGATGATTGACAGCAGCGACGAATGGGTAACTGCTGAGGAAGTGGCCGAGGTGATGCTGGCTCTCGTACAACAGGAGAAGGTTAGCGAGATCATTGGCGACAAGACAGGCAAGGGACCTCAGTATCCAGTCACCGGAGGCACGGTGCTTGAGGTATCCAAGACAGTGCGTCCTGTTAATGCATTCAATGACCCCGGGCCCATAGGAAGACCTGGAGGCACTGCGTCGGACATGAAGACTGTCGAAGATGAAGCCGTTGGCTTGCTATCGCAGAAGGGATGGGGGGCATCTAAACTGTAGTAGATTAGGATAATGAATTTAATGAGCACTTTAAAGCCAAGAAAGACCAAAGATAGAATAAACGCCAGGTGTCGCAGGAGTGAGACAACAGGAAGATAAATTGCAGCTAGGGATTATTCTGGGCTTGGGGCCGTTGCAACTCCGCCTCCGATTGGCACCTGCACCGCCTTGTCGGGAGGATTTCCCTCGACTCCTCCCTCCAACTTCATCTTATCAATTCTTTCCTTCTCTCGTCTACTTTCCCTTTGCCCATCTGCCATTTTGCTTCTTTTGCTGGGTACGGGTCGCTATGGTTGATTTGCCCGCTGCAGCTCCAGAGGGTCGATAAGAGCTTTTTCTCTCCATCTTAATTAAGGTCGTGTGGCCACCCATCCTTATCAACTTCACCGTATCGCCATCATCTCCGCAACCATGTTGGACGACGAAGCGACCATCGGGGTCGGCCCCGAGGGATCTCGAAATGCATCGCGGAGGTATTTAGAATCTTCAATTTTCTTTCTGCGTTTATATCATTACTGTCTTGATGCTGACAAGCCATCCATCTATCTTAGACGCGGAGTTAGGGGAAAGCGAAGCAGCGGATTCCATGGCCAGGCCAGCTGGGTCAGCAGTGTTATTAACCTGGTCAATACCAGTGAGTCTCGATTTTCGATAAGGATTCAGAACAACTTCTGAAACGTTGGTTCGTTAGTTATCGGTGCCGGTGTACTTGCGATGCCTCTTGCTATCTCACAAATGGGAATCGTTCTTGGTGTCTGCGTGGTTTTATGGTCCGGTGCAATGGCTGGATTTGGTCTTTATCTGCAGACGCGATGTGCACAATATCTGGAGAGGGGAACTGCTTCGTTCTTTGCCCTGTCGCAGCTTACATACCCCAATGCCGCTGTGATCTTCGATGCCGCTATTGCGATCAAATGTTTTGGAGTTGGCATAAGTTACCTGATTATCATTGGGGATTTGATGCCGGGAGTGATCCAGGGCTTTATTGGCGGCACTCCGGAATACGAATTTCTTATTGACCGGCATTTCTGGGTTACAGCATTCATGTTCGTGTCATCAAGATTGGATTGGCAGACTTTCGCATGCTAACGATATACTAGGTTAATCATCATCCCTCTCGCTTACCTCCGACGTCTAGACTCTCTTAAATACACAAGCATTGCAGCTTTGGTCTCGATGGCTTACTTGGTCGTCTTGGTCGTTTATAACTTTGTGATTGGGGATACTAAGACTGGCCGAGGGCCGATTCGTGTGATTCACTGGGCAGGCCCGATTCCTACCCTCAGCAGTCTTCCCGTTATTGTATTTGCATTCACGTGCCATCAGAATGTATGCTCTCTGGCCCTCTCACTCATCATGAGATTCTAATGGTGGCAGATGTTTTCGATTTTGAACGAAATCAGCAACAATAGTCATTTCAGAACTACCGGTGTCGTCTTTGCTAGTATTGGAAGTTCTGCCGCAACTTACATATTAGTTGCAATTACCGGTTATCTTTCTTTTGGAAACAGCATTGGCGGAAATATCGTCGGGATGTACCCTCCTGGACTCTGGGCCACGATTGGACGTGCGGCCATCGTCATGCTTGTGATGTTCTCTTATCCCCTGCAGTGTCACCCCTGCAGGGCTTCTGTCGATGCAGTGCTGCGCTGGAGACCCAAGTCTCCCAATGGCAATGAGAACTCGCCTCACAGTCACCCTCTCCTGGGGCCGAGGGCTAGCCGAACTCCAGAGCCAATGAGTGACATGCGTTTTTCGGTCATCACAACAACCATCCTTGTTCTGAGCTACATTGTTGCTATGACTGTGTCCTCCTTGGAAGCTGTGCTTGCGTACGTTGGAAGTACCGGAAGTACCAGCATCAGTTTCATTCTGCCGGGTTTGTTCTATTACAAGATTTCTTCGCCCGATTCCCCTACCCATCAACGACTCATGAAAGAGGACGATGAAGCGATTGATGAAATTATCTCCGACGATGACGATAATAATGATTATGACCACGACAACCTTACAGACAGTGGTATTCTGCGCTACGGCAACCGTCATTGGCGCAAGACCGTATTGCGGAAGCTCAGTCTTGGGCTTGTCGTATACGGAGTTATAGTCATGGTCGTTTCTTTGACCACCAATATTTTCTTCACTGCTTCTCATTAATTGGGATTTGAAACCCACGGTTTGAAGTGACTCCACTCTTTTCTTTTCCCCTTGCCATAGAGTCATAAACCCTTGACTTCGGTCTTCTCTGTTACTATACAACTTTATTACACATTTCTGTTTTTATTCATTTATTATTCTTTCATTGGATTCATAGAGCAGAGCTCATTCATTGTTACACTGAGCTATCTTCTATATCATTGCAAGGCGTTTGGGGGTTTTCTTGTTTTGGATAAATTGCTTATTACATACTGCATCCTTACATTCAGATATTTTTTATTTCTGCCTTTTTCCATTATATGCAGACTGTCTTTATTCTTTGTTGAATTTTCGTAACTTATATTACGACGGGATTATTTGATGCTTTGAACAAGGCCAAGACTTCACAGGTTACTTTCATTATGCCGATGTGAATATTGGGTATCTGAACAGTTACATATACACTATCTATAAGTCATTTGATGAGTTTGAACCATACAAAGCAGACAATATCTACCTCTTCGGTCCAGGATAAGGAGGCGGAGCATCATCATCCCCAGAAGCAGAAGAAGCATTCTCATCGCGCAACGGAACCCCATCCCCCTGAACCTCCTCACCACGTCTCCTCTGCTTCTTTTTAAAACAGCAAAAGTACCACAAAACAGCCGTGATAAGCCCAACTGCAACAGGTACCCCAATCCCAATCCCCACCTTCTCCTTCGTAAGCAAATATCCCCGGGGCAGGTTAAACGATTCCGTCGGCACAGGCACGATCGTGGACTCGGCGGCTCGGAATCGGATCTGAATAGGCGTGGCCGTCACAGCATAGATTCGTCTCGAGGTGACCGTTCCGGAATCGGTATATGTGATTGTGGATCGCGTATTGAGCGATTGTTTACAATCTGCATCTATGCGGGTTGCGCAGTCAAAGTCCCTTCATCCACATCAGCAAATTTACACAACCATAAATAAACCCTAGTACCTGAATGGAGAAAAAAAAAAGAAAGAAAATACATACGTCGGACAACACAAATTCGTCGTCTCCCTCCTCTGCTTCCCCGTCGCCAACGTACACCCCTTATACCCCGTCGGACACATCCCAGGACTAAAATATACATTTGACCTCCAACCCCCGGGGCAGCATTCATTCCCCGCGGGCCCCTCACAGCCGACTTCCAGCTTGGGCCAGAAATCCATGTAATTCCGGGTGCGGGTTTCGGTGCATGAGGGCGGTGGTGAGAAGGCTGTTGTGAGGGGGCCTTGGTTTGTGCGGGTTGTGTCGAGGGTGATGGAGGAGGCGTACGTTTGGGTGGGGGTTGTGGTTAGGAGGAAGAGGGAGAGGAGGGTTGTGGATGGTGATAGCTTCATGGTTTGTTCAGTTCATGTTAAGTGTGTAGTGTAGATATAGAATGTAGGGTTGAAATTCGAGTGATCGACTGAGTATTTATCTTCCTGCAAGACTAAAATTTCTCCAGCCTTACGAGCATGGACCCGACAATTAACTACAAATGGAATGTCCCATATGTTCAAAGGTTGCTATTCATACATCGCCATTGATGGGGCGGTGGCAGTGGATGCTGCCAAGTCTTCCGCTCTGTCCATCACCTCGTATTCGACCCGAAAAGAAATTGAGATGGAGCCAATATCCGAGGTTCTATGTAGCCGAGATGCTTGGCTGGGAGTTTCATTTAACCAGTAAGAGGTTGGACCAGTCGACATGAGTGATCGAGTTTGGAATAATTGTATTATTGTGTTATAACGATAAGCCATAACTATATGAGCACGGATGTGAATGTTCTGTTCTGCTAACGAAATTGAATTACCTGCAGACCGAATAAGGAAATAAAGTGCCCTATTAAGCATAATGTCAAATAGAATTAGTGGTGATGATAGCTATCCGAATTATCTTGAAGGCCAAATACTATAGCGTAGCATTGACCTGACCAAGTTAATTCTCGCCAAGTAGAAATGGTACAGTCTGTCGGTTTATCTGGACGTAGGCTTTGCTTTACCAAGTACCGTCGAGTAAAACCCTAATTGTTGTTCTGGTTGTTCAGAATTCGCAGAATGGACAAAAAAAGGTTGAGAATGTCCAGGTAGAGCGAAATAGAGGCAGCGATCTCTTCCTCAACGTGGTAGTGACGCATAATCAACTGGGTATCCACCAGAATGTATCCAGAGAAGATCAGAGCCCCGATTGCACCAAAGCCAAGTTCAACTGCGCTGTTCCTGGGGAAGAAGGCGGCCATGAAACCGAACAGGATCAAGAACCAGAGTCCACCAAACAGGTAGGGCATCCAGTTTGTGAAGTCGTACTTGGTCTGGCACGCAAACAGCGTGAGTGCTACGAAGATACCCAAGGTCAGGAAGAGCGCCTGCACCACGATGCGAGCGTCGTAGAAGGACGTGGCCACGCTAATGGCATAGGCTTCAAGGACGGTGAAGCCAGTAAGGAACAGCAGGTTGGTCGGATAGCTCTTGCGCTTCCAGTATGTCACAAGCATGAAACCCAGAGCACCAAAGACGGACACCAACATCAGCCAGAAGTTGGCCTGGATCCAGTGGCGGTAGCTTTCGCTAAAGAAAGAGATGGAGCTCATGGCGGTTGTAAGGAGCAACTGAACAGTTCTGCAGATCGCATCGAGAATATTAACCTTCCATCTCTTATGAACATCTGGCTGAATCGACTACTTACAGGATCGCATAAACTTTGCGAATGAACTGCATACGGATCGGCAGAGTAGCCTCCGCAATAGTACCACCAAACTATCGTTGGTCAGCATCAAATCGCAATCAGAACAACTCCATATCTAGATACACACCTTGAAGTCATCAGGGACGTTGTCGCCTTCGCTGCGAGGCGCGCTTGAGAACTCCGGCGCTGCCTGATAAGACGGCGGGGGTTGGGAGTAAGCCGGCCCCTCCTCGAAGGAGTCCCGCTGGGGAGCTGGCTCGTACTTTGTGTTTGCGGCCATCCTGCGATTATATTCTGCACGAAACTATCAACATGCAGATATCAACAATCTCAGAGTTGATGAGAATGTTGAGGATGAAGATGACAAGGAGATGGGGCGGAGGCGCAGCTTCCAGGCATGTGACGTCGGTTCAAGTCACGTGTTATAGCCCCAGATTATAACAAGGAGACGTGTTTGCGCAAATGGAATCCGGGCAGGAAATTGTATATATTTGAAACTTGTGAATTTATAAATCCTATCATTAAGTGGTACCATGGTATATAGCTTAGTGTGCGCCAAAAGAAGTATATATATACTTAAGTAGAAAGCAATAAACATTATCCAAAGTCTCTTCAAAATGCAACAAGTAAATCCAAGAACAAGAAATCCGCATCACCGAATAAATGGTAAGAAAGATGGCCATGCAAATTGCGAAGGAGAAGATTAAAATAGAATGAAAACCGATAAAGCAAAAATCCTGGTCGCATTCCTTTACTCATAGGGATGATCGGATTCTTCGCTGATTCGAACATGCGAGGTGCGACGGCGAATCGCCGCCGCGGTACTGTCATCGTCGGTATCGTGTCTGGAATCGCCTGAATCCGCTTCCTCTTCTTCTTCGCTTGTTTCATCGGGACTCCGTTCCGTATCATGTTGCACAGCAGCCCCAGGAATTTGGTCAGGGCGCTTTTTCCGTTGAAAGTCCTGTGCGTGCGCGGTAGCCACAATTGTTCCAACACGCGAGATTTGGCCGCGAGCACGAGCGACTGTGCCTGGGGTCGGTGGTGTTTGTGCCCCGTGTTCAATATCGGTTGGCCCAAGAAAGGGAGTAAGACCTTGTTGGTCTTGAGGCGGCAAATCCACTGAGGGATGGCCGGATTCAGTACCCGGCTTGGGGACTTCATACGGCAGAGGTACATCTCTTGATGCTCGGAAAAGGAGCACGTTGGTACAGTGCTCATTCTCCACTCGGAATACTGTCCAGACACCTCTTCGACATATCTCCGAGAAGGAAACCGCGAAACTCAGCACCTGGGAGTGCTGTATGTCATGGGCAAAGATGGCATAGAAGATCCAATTGAAACGTATAATCACGTCAATCACCATGGCGACATAGTAAACCCACGCCCTGCGGAAGGCTAGAACGTCACGCAAAAGTGGATGTTTGGCATAAGGGTTGCCCAAACTCCAATCCATAGCAAGGTCCCACACAGAAACGTAGACCGCATTCAACAAGGCGAAGGTAATGAATGGTGCTTGGAACCGAGTCATTCTCTCAATGCGATACATGCTCAGAGTCATATAGTAGAGAACGCTAAATATATACTTTCCAAAATTAGCCAGATGGGGAAATACGTTCTTTGTATCCGCATATCGTCGGAGACATTGAAACGCTCGCCAGATAGCCGGGAGACACATGAAGAACCCCAAAAGCCTGGAATGAGATGAGTTGCACTGAGGGGGGTCATTCCAGGATCTCGCATATAGACAGAAGAATAGCTCAATGTTCTGGAAAGTGTTAGCGCCATCCATTTACAATAACCTGCAAATTGACTCACCCCCATAGCATATGTTTGGGAGCAGTACATGTCTCCAAGAAAGAAGTCACGGAACTCGACCGGGTAGAGTCCCGCAAGCACCAAACGCCACTATTCCATTAGCATTCGTTCGATTTATCAGCATTGGGACAACATACATTGGAATATGCCCACCATTGGCGGCTTCGATGATAAAGTACGCGAGCAGGCAGGAAAAGGACAATGACGGTTAAGCCGATAAGGATGACCGGCCAGTAGATATACATGTCGTTGACCGATAGATAGAAGTTAAGCCACATGAACAGGCCCAGTAAAAAGAAGAAAGCGCTAGGGAACTGTCCGATGTCAGGTGCGAACCAGGAGCTGGGGCAGAGAAATGGACCATACCTCTAATAATTGACGCCAATCTAATGCATGCCGAGTATCGAATTCAAAGATGAACACATGATTTATTTTACTGTTCGTCCAAACCATGCAAACCAAAGCGAAGAGAAAGAAATGGAAAACAACAAGGAAATAACCGGCATAAAGCTACTCTGGTTAGTCCAATCTGACGAGAAGATAGCAAACATCGATATAAGCAACTCACCTGAAGTAAATAACTAGTATGTGTTTTTATTACACCTTCGGAATCATTCAGACGATCCCCAGCGAAGACCAAAGCTTGAATACCAAATAAAAGACCAGCCATCAACAAAAGGCCGCAGCGGAAAGTACTGGGAGAGTGGTCGCCTGCCTTCTTGGAGGTGCGTCGTAGTTTCGAAACTGCAAGCTTTCGGTTACCACGTTCGAAATAGCGAGAGTATAGGTCTTCCGCTGAGGCCATCAGGTTGTCTGCAAGTTCACTGTTTACAAACCATGCTTGGTTGACCTTGTCCGACATGTACCTCATAGTAGGACGAGCATTGACAACCTTGTCGTACTTCTTGTTGATCTTCCGGAAAGCGGTTCGATTGAGGTACGCATAGGCCTTCAGTAACTCTACGCCGCGGTAGAACTCTTGCAGCGCATGCTTCAGCTTCTTCTTGGCAGTGCGATAAGACACCTCGGTGTACTGAGTATCATCTGGTCGGCGTGCAAAGTCCCTGCGACTGACGGTCGCTTCTTCATCCCGCCCCTGTGTACCAGCCGTATTTGGAGGTGCCATCTGCGCCAATGCCTCGGAGTTTTTCCCAAACCGGTTCCGTCCTATAAAAGCATCCTTCAGGCCGAAGGGGTTGAATGGGCCAAAACCACTTGCCTGTTGTGAGTCGGTGTTGTTCTTGCGCAATATCTTCTGAGCACCCAAGACCTGCTGCGTTCGTTGATCCCGCATGATGTGCAGCTGCTGACGGAGGGTCCGTAACCGCTGTGTAGCTTCCTCTTCCTTGGTTTTGTAAAACGACTCGATCTTCGATAGCTCGTTATCCAAAAAGACGAAGAATTCATCCTGTCGACGTTCAATTTCTGACGAACTTTCCCCTAGTCCACGTTTCTCTGGGGGCTCTCCCGTATAGGAAAAGACTCGTTTAAGGAGATGCGAGGTCCTCTTCGTAGATGGGCCCGATGAAGTATGTCCCCTTTTACTACTGTGAAAGCTTCCCCTACTCGCGAGGGAGGGCTTGCTTTCATGTGCAGGTCGATTAACATTCCGATCTGGAACAGTGGACCGCGGCGAGAGGACGGGAGACGGGGATTGAGGACCTTCTCGAACAGGATTCACATCGGTTCTCTCTGGGTGGGAATATCCCTCTTCAGGATCTAGTGCTGGGTCCGGGAGTTCCAAGGTAGCCACTTCCGACTCTGCATCATGCTGCCCCTGTGGAGATGGAATAATGCTTCCGTAGGTTCCTGCATTCCCTGAGAACCGCGAACCCGGTGTTCTCAACGGTTGTCGTTCGCTTCGCTGAATCGGGGTCGAACGGGGTCCTGAACTGGGGCGGCTACTGGTTCTACCTGGGGTCGAAGGGGCTTGGTGTGTTAAATCATTGGCCTCGAGTTTCTTATCTGCTTCATTTTGCGAGAAGCCAATCGGATCTTGTGTCGAGATGATTCCATGATCTTGTCGCAGTGAAGGATGTCGAGGACTTTTGTTGGCTTTCTGAATGGCTCGAGTGATGGCCTTGAGCTTCTTCTTTCCAGCCTGAGTAAAAGAAAATATGTTAGGGAGATAAGACAGAGAGAGGAAAAGGCAAGACGTCACATGCCTTGTAATCGAGATACTTTGCGCGCCATTCGGGGACTAGCTCCTCTTCTAGCTCTCTAAAATCAAAGCATCATCGATCAGCAAGTATACTCGGGAGAGAAGAAAGGAGACGCGAAGGAAGAAACAAACTTGGCGAATTTCATTCTGGGGACGGGTTGACCCGGACGGGCATGATAGTTTCAAAGATAAAAACCAAGCTTCAATTCATCTTAAGACGCGATCGACTGCAAGCATTCTTTTTGGGTTGATCTCCTCTCCTGATAAATAGCTCACTAACAAGTTCCCTTCCGGGATGATCACAGTGGATAAGGCTAGCCAACAGCAAACAGGAGATCGGACATCCCACAATCACAGAAAAAGCAAAGAAAAAGGTAAGACACAAAAATTAGAACAGGGAGAAGAAGAAAAGAAAAAAAATCAAAAAAGCAAAAAATGGGATAGACATCCCATGTCTGCGACAATCACCGTACCAACCACGGCCCTGCTAACTGATAATTTGCGAAAAAAGAGAGTCGATGACAGCCAAGATGATAGCGCCGCCTCTGGAACTTGTCCTGGCATGCCTGCAGCCCGGATAGGCCGCTGTGATTGGTCAGGCCAAGCAATGTGAACTCAAAGACACTGGGCGCTGACTGGCTGCTGATAGGCCAAGACAGAACACGTGCCCCAGCTGATGAGCTCATTTGCACGTTGGGCTGAAGATTGCATTCAGGATTATTATTACTGTTATTCATTGTGTGTTGTGGTTGGCTGGGCCGGAGAAATTATCTTTTTCAAGGCTGTCAAACAGGCGGGAAGAATCCTGAGTTGAGTTGAGGGTATCCATGGATGGTGATGGTTTAAAGGCTGACACATCCAGCTTTTGCCTTTTGGACGAGTCTTATCGGTCCATGGCTATTAAAAGGAAATAAGGAATAGGAGGTAAGGCCATGCTGTACATTTCCTGTGACGATCATTTGGATTCCTGAAGTCTACCCCTGTACATAATAGAGCAGAGGTCAACAGCATCAATGATCTCCGCCAGGGCGTGCAGAGTACACGCTACGAGTACATATGTTGTGCTTCGTAGCCCTACGCGGCCATAGCAAAACTCCTACATGTTTGATCTCTGGGCATCCGCCTGCCAAGACCTTTCGTGCATATCAGAATGCCCTGGATCCCTAAATACGACGACATCTAGTCAGCACTACAGCAGTGCAGTTTGACACTCGTACAGTGACACTCGATCCAGTGGATAATGCGACAGGTGTATGACAGCTCATGCATTCATTCTATTCATTTAAATATATACATCACATTCGGGTAACCGTTTACCACTGCTGGAGCTGGAACTTCTCGTGAGGGGCGTAGCGGTTGGGGTCGTACTCCTCGGCACCGTGGCCCTGGACGTAGTGCTGGTCGTACATCTCCTCGGCGTTCTTCTTGGCGTGGTGGTGAGCCTTCATCTTGTCGACCTGGTCCATGCCCTTGGTCTCGGCGAGACGGTCAATCTGAGAGCCGACGAGACCGGCGATGGCCTCCTTGGCGAAGGAGTGCTTGACGGTCTTGCCTATAGAGCAACAATGTTAGTCACGTGATCGACCCAATGTTACTTATATAACATATATCGATATAAACATACCCTCCTTGCGCTGGTGGTTCTCCCAGGCCTTCATGGCCTCGAAGGAAGCGGCACCGGCGATGAGCTCGTGGGACAGCTTGCCCTCGTGCTTCTTCTCACCGTACACCTGCTCGTGAGCCTCGTGCGATTCGTCTAAGATTGTTGTTAGTTGTCAAGTTATTGAGAAAATATGGAAAAATTTGACAGTGAGGTGGAGACATACGGAATCCCCAAGCCATTGTAACGGTTATATGGATATAAGAAAAGTGTTTTAAAAAGGTAGAGAGATGGAGAGTGAGTTTGATGAAGAAGAAAGGGAAAAAAAAAAAAAGAAAAGACAAGCAGGGGATCCAGAGCACCTTATAAGCAGCGATCAGACAAGGCCAGTTCACAAAGTTCCTCAGCTCCAGCCTCAGCTCCTCGAATGTTGAGCTACTACGTATCCTCTTTGCCCCTCCATGCCCCTCATCTGCCCCATGTGTACCATCATTTCTGGCCAGTCGCACCCACCAATCTCTGGAAACGCCCCTGGTCCCCTGGGCAATGGCTAGTTGGCTGTTGACTACTGTTTGGCGATGATCCAAAGAGAAGATCGCAGCAGGCTGCGACGATACGCACCGCCTGACTCCGCCGAGCCACAAAGAGGGGCATGGAGGGGCATAGGATGGAGTCCGAGGGCCAGAGTGGACGAAACACAGAGGAGAGACGGATGACGTTTAGGCTTTTCTGGGCATTTGCTAATCGCTGGATACGCGTCTCGTAGCCACGATCCAATCAATACTATTTGGCGAGCTGAGCTGGGGTTGAGTCGGAGTATTCCGTAGCTAAGTACTACCCCAAGTACTTTGACCGTTGACATTACATACCTAGTAGTATGAGTGACAGTAATAACGGTAACCAGTATTCTGTATAGTAAAAGTCAACTGAAGAGGTACCTCCAAGTACCGGTGCCTGAGTGTTGATTCCCAGCTGAGCCACAGCTGGGCATGCGTCTACAGCTACGTGTAAAAGTCCCAAGGGTCAGCTGCGGATCGGCCAACAAAATGGGTCTCAGCCTTAGAAATAGCTGCCTTGGCGCCCCTTGGCATTGCCTCGCATCGCCGACGCAGCCGACCAATTCCTCGCCAAGCTCATCTTGTCCAATGCTTGTGCTGGCCCTACGGCCATACTGAGTGATACAGTACATTTGCACATGGATAAGGAATCCGGCACAAGTACCGTTAACCGTACCAGCCATATTTCTATTTTAGTTACGAGTGGAGAGCTGAGGCTGCGTCCTTTTCCAATAATAAAATAGCGCAATCGATATGTGAGATCGTTGAAAAGATCGCGTAATGCTATTCGAGAAGAATCTGGGTCAGGGGGCTGGAGGCTTTGCGCCACTTCCGAAGCCACTCAGCCACCCTTCACGTGATATTACAGCCGTTATGATGTCAACCTATGAAGACTAGGGCATTTAGGCACTACTATGTATGTACAGTATGGCTGATCATACTAGACCACATTGTACACTATGTTAATCAAAATCCCCAAGTTGAAGAAACCTAGCACCTTGGCGTTTGAGAATGATAATCCCAGTGACGTATCTCAAGATGGAATAGTTTCAGCTAAAACCTCCGATCTATTGCGGCCTTGGCAATACTAATCTTTGCTATAGACGGAACCCAACCTTGTCTGGAAGACTGGATGGGAATATCATCGCGGTTCAAGTAGCGGTGAGAATAGCGGTAGAAGATGCTCCAGATTGAGTCCTTTTTTGACTCTTTCCGCTTCTTGTGTTCCGTGTTTCAGACTTCATAATCCGTACTATTTACTGATCGCCTGGCTATCATTTACTGCCCCAGGTGTGGCTGATGCATTCGGTACTTTCGGGGTTATTTGTAAATTATAGTATTACATGTTACAGTAATAAACATCATCGACAGCTATGTAGGTACAGAAGTACCCAGGTAGATTGATTACTGCTTTGGCTTGAAGAATTCTGTCATCCTTGCTGATAGCAGTTTTATTACTAGCAGACATCTTGAACTATCAGGGCATGGCTATCTTCATCTTAACTGACAGGCAAGAACGATACAGTTTCTTCACTCCGCAGCGAGTCAGAATAGAACATCTTCCTCAACATCGCTCACCGCCACTCAAAAACAGTAATCATTATTTTGATATTAGATGAAGCATTCGCAGAGATCTCATCAAATTGCAAAGGTAATTTTAAATATATGCAAGATCAAAGTATCAGCATCTCCTATCGAATATGTAAGGAGACATCCATACCTTACCTAGATGCTGGCATTATTTAATACATATATTACCATACCCGTACAGTACATACATAAAATACATCTCCAACTTCCTTCCCACCTCCACCTTTCACGATAATCATCAATTCCCGTATCATCACTGCCATTCTACTGGTGATTTGATTCGGACTCACCGCGACATTTTCACATTCCTTTGCAAGGGTTGCACGGAGGGCACAAAAAGAAAGAAGATCCCTCGATCCCAGTTTTACCCCACTGCCGATCGATTGGAACCAACACACCACCCATCCATGACTGAAATATCGTCATTCGACGCACCCACGACCTGAAGAGGAAATTCCCAAGAGAACGGAATTGCTTGGGAGTCTGTCAACCTTGCTGAAGGAAAGGACCCTGTGTACTTAGTTATACCTAGTGACGTCTGGCCAAGGTATAACCCAAAACTAAACAAAGGGGACAGAAAAAAAAAGATGCCCAAAAGAAACCCCTCCCACTCAGATTTCCCATCCCACCTCACCCTGACCATCACTCCCCCTCCTACACCTTCAGCAGCAGCAACCCCCAACATCCTCATTCTCCTCCATGGCCTAGGTGACTCCGCAGCGGCATTCACCTCCTTCGCCCGCGCCCTGAACCTCCCCGAAACCCTCATCCTCACACTGCAAGCCCCGACGCCTCTCCCCTTCGACCTGGGCGGATTCCACTGGGGCGACGATGTGTCGTTTGACTCGTCCACGGGCGGGCTCGACATGGACGCCGGGTTTACGCGGTCGGTCAAGGGGCTTGTCGACGAGGTGGTGCGCGGGGTGCTGGTGAGGAAGTGCGGGTGGCGGCTCCGCGAGGTGATGATGTTGGGGTTCGGGCAGGGCGGTATGGCGGGTTTAGTTGCTGCGCGGGAATTGGGGGTTCAGCCCAAGGTGAGGGTGGAGGGGGAGGGAGAAGAAGATGGTGAAGATACTGGTGCGTTGAGTGGTGTCATCTCGATTGGAGCGCCGTATCCTCTATCGGGGAGTAAGATGGGGTCTAAGAATCGGACGCCTGTATTGTTGGTCGGTGGAAGGGATTCGTCTGCTGTTCCGGATGGAGCGGTAAGCAGGACCAAGGAGGTGTTTGAGTTTGTTGAGCTTCATCGCTATGCGAGAAAGGGTGATGGGATGCCCCGGAATAGAGACGAGATGATGCCCGTCATGCAGTTCTTTGCGCGGCGATTGCGCAGTCGGCAGGGTGTGCCTGAGGGCAGCGTGGAGATTACATGAATTATGGATCGATGATGAAATGAATAATAATAAGGAAAAAGAAATTGATATCAATTGATCATTGTATTCGGTATTATACACATGTACTGCAGGTATGTACTATTGCACATCCTCCAGAGCTTTCTTCGCTCTTTCGATCGTCTCTCGCGCATCTCCCTCGGTGATATCCTCGACTTGTCGACCACCCTCATGGACTATTCTGCGCAGCTCTTTTTCTGTCTCCAGCAAGGACATCCGTCCATTTTCCCGGACTTCATCCTCCCAAAAGTTACGGGCAGCATCCCATTTTCTCTGCTGGGCACGCAAAGAGTAGATCAATCCCACGGCAGCCATAGTACATGTTTCATAAACCGAGGCCGACGGGAAGGAAACGTAGGTGAGAGCTGAGAGAGCGGATGTCAACGATGTCGTCGATACGCTGAAAAACACCAATCGTTGGGCCAGCGATTGCAGAGAAGACACACTTGTGTCTAGGAGTTGCGCACGGCTCGCGGGAATTTGGGTTGGCCAGGGTAGATCCTGCTTAGGAGAGTCTGCCCCTTGCTCTTTCGTTTCTGAATCTGCAGCGTTCTTCTGCGGCTCGTCAAGCAGGCCCGCCTGCTGAAACTTGCCTGCGGTCCAGATGACCTCCTTTTCCGCGCGGCGGAGGTAGCGCTTCTCCAGGATCTCAGAAGTGATCATGCCCACATCATCGACATGCCAAAACAACTTCCACCATGCAAGGTCTCTCCACTGTCTGCTCGCAAACCCTTCTTCAAGAGATCCTTGAAGCTCGGTGTGGGCATTCTCTGCCCAGGCAGTAACAGACCGGTCCATGGTCCGGCGCACGTCACTGGGAACCAATCCCATGTTTTGCTCCTCAATACCACTTGCCTCTTTGGCCAGTACACCCTCCTCTGCGCCTTCGAGCAAAGAAAGAATCAGAGTTCGCAGAGAAGGCTCCAAGTTACCTTCACCGGCCCGCAGTGAGGCCAGCCAATCGATAACAGGTTGGACTCCACTGCTGCTCCACCCACGTTCGTAGAGAGATGCATTCTGCACGGATTCACGGAATACCTCTAGTGCCTGCTCAGCTTTATCGATGTCCACGAAGGATATGCGATCGCTGCCCCGGTCTTTATCGCCAACTGAAAGGTCGATGGCCCCGTAAACAGATTGCGCCTCACTCTTCAGGTTCGACCGAGAAAGTAAACCACTATACGCAAAAAGACCATCCACACCACGTCCACAAACGATGCTTTTATGTACGGGGTACCGGACAACGTTGTGTCGTCCAGAATGCGAGGTCTGGATAGTCACCGTCGGAACGAGAAATGTATCCGCTGTAAATTGTGTGGCTGATGGATTGGCCTCTGCGCCCAAGCTTGTAACCAGAATCTCCAGGTTTCCTTTCTTCAACACCGGCGAGGGAACGGAAATCGTAGGGAGCAAGTCGTTCGGAATTGATTGTGATACCTCGCCATATCTGTCAAGTTATCAGCATGCATATAAAAAGAGACAATAGCAAGTTTTAGTACCGTATCAGCAAACCGCGTGATGGGTCTACATCTTCTAAGACATCCTCCCAGTTCTCTCTAGCATTCAATGGGTCGGCGAGTAGCAAACGGACGAGCTTGCGCGCAGCGGTGGCATCGTTCAATCCCAACACTACCAACTCAGTATGTCAGTCCAAGATCCCTAGCTTCCAGTATACATATATGATAGGACCACCTACCGGCTACTCGAATAAGAGGCGCTTCCGACTCCAACCCCCGCAATGCAAGTTGCAACCGGCTAAGATTGACTTGCTCCGTTGCTGTATCGCCCACCCGGTTCAACGCCTCATAAAGCTCCTTGAATCTAGGCGGTACATTTCTAGCTGCATTCACGACAGACGTTGCGAGTGGGCGGTGTGTAGGAAGATTTGACGACGACGGCCTTCGACGGGGAACAATGCTGCTGCGCGTCGACAGTGTTCGCCTCCAGGTGGTGCAAGATGGGCAGTAGAAGACGCCCCCGCTGTTCAACGGACGCGACAGGCTCGTCTGAAGCGACCCGCGCAGTTTTGGAGGCATTGATGGCGGAAGGAGGTTGGTTGGAGGTGGAAAGTTGTGATTGATAGCGATGGATTATTCCAAGGGCGGGTTCGGGATGGTTTGCGGTCTTGGCGGCTGCGGGAGAAAAATCCCCGATCGATGCATCCACGGACTGTAGATGTCTGGTTGGATCTACAGAATCGCAGGTAAATAGATAAATACTGCTTATTTATGACTATCGGGTATCCGGGTCTATTCAATACTGGTAGAATGGGGGTTTTATCCAAGAGGCATAAGAATAATTGGCGTCACAGCACGCTGGAACTATAAAAGCTTCAAAACAAAAAGTATTCATGGTGTATGGATCATCAACTCATGTGGTCGAGACGTCACGGACGCCTTAAACCACTTCCCAGGAAATACACTTATGCTCTTCCCTGTTTCACATCTCCAATATTCAATACAATTATCGACAGTCCCTCTCCGCAGAAGATAAGCAACAGGAATTAAGAACTGGGACCATTCCAACGACAACGAGTTCCCTTGCGGTCGCAAACGTGACGGATCCCGTAGATCTCTATACAAATGGTAGAACAGCACCTGGGTACTGGAGCATGGCATCGTGGGCAGAAAAGCGTGAAACCAGAGAGGGTAATTGTATCAGGCCGTAGAAATTATTGGGATGAAGGTCCTCCTCAGACTGAATCCCGGTTTTCTCGCTGCGGTCGACGGCCTCTGCCTGAACCAGCCGACCTAGAAACATGTTAGAACATTCGACTGTAATCAGAAAAGGGTTGCAGACACAACTTACATGCTGATGCGCCTCGCCACTGTGGCCAGTCCTTGGTCATTGTCTGCTTCATGCTGAGCACGCTCAAGGGCCCTCTGTCTGTCTTCTTCACTCTTCTTGTAGACCTCTTCTTGGGAGGGGGGTAGACGCTCGTTCTGCAAGTCAACCATACGAGCATCCTCGAAGTTGGTGATAGCCTGCTTGATACCTTCCGCTCCAAGCATCAAAGTACCCGCGGGAAGACGTCCACCAGTCGCTGTCTTGAGCTCAGTGACCTTCTCGGACTCTTCACGCAACACCTGGAAGACACGCGAGAGACGACCAATGGCAAGAATCTTGTTCTTGATTGCACGGCGCTTGAATTCGCTGCTCTCGACATCCATGGGAACAGACGGGGACATGGGACCTGTAGGCGATACAGATGTGGGAGTGTCGTCCTCAAGTTCCTCCTTGGAGCAGGTGTTCAGAATGGCAATGAGCATGTCGGTGATCTTCTCACCAACGAAGGGAAGAGACCAGGTGAACACGTCCATGAAGTTAGGCAGCCAGTATGGGTGAGGTGTGCAGTTGAACTGGCGGATATTCATTACATTATTTTCGTATTTCAGAACGGCGGCCTTGTTGTTGTACACATCGAGATAGTTGGGGGCACTGAAGATGGTCATCACACTAGGGAATCCGGTCGTCCGCGTCTTTCTGTACATGCGGTATCCGGCATCCTGCGCTTCGTGTGCTCGAATGATCGAAAGCAGGTTATTCTTTTCGAGGAATGCACATGCAGCTGGGTAGGAGAAGAAGTAAGAACAACCCCGAACGCTGTTGTGGATGAAATATTCTCCAGTCTTTTCTTGTCCGAATTCTTCCAGAGGATCGGCCCAAAGAATATCACACATCAGACCATGAGTTGGGGGTTCCCTGAAGCGATCGATCTGTCGCCAATGTTAGAAAATGATGTTAATAACAGGAGTCAACAAACATACCGCCTTGATATCCTCCAAGGTGTGCAGTTCCGGACTGAGACCTCCGTGGATGCAAAGGAATTGCTTGTTCATAACCGCCGCCAGCGGCAACGAGCAGAAAGATTCAATGCAAGCCTCATAGATAGTGTCGCTATATTTGTGCTTACACTCCAGTTTGAAAGTGAAGTAATCTGTGAGATGTCTGCACTCGTGGTTTCCACGCAATAGCCAGAGCGTATTGGGGTACCAGATCTTCAAAGCCCAGAGGTAAAGAACGCACTAAAAGAAATCAGATCTACTCCAGCGGAATTTTTTTGAAAACCCTTACCTCAATACTGAAGTAACCTCTGTCAACATAGTCACCCAAGAACAAATACCTCGTCTCGGAAGGATCGCCGCCAACTTCGAACAGCTTCATCAAATCGTAATATTGTCCGTGCACATCACCACACACAGTAATGGGCGCATCCATTTCCAACAAGTTGGGCTCCGCCTTCAACAGCTGCGTACCAGCGTGTATGATCCATAGCGCCTGTTCCTCCGTAAGACGGCCTTCCCGATAGAAGTGCTGTCTGAGGAACTGGAGATTCGGCTTGGAAGGGTCCTCAGGAGACCAGAACGATTCGTCTGAGGGAGTGGTTAAAGCCGGCGCTTGCACCTCTGGTCATTCCAACCATAATCAATTAGCGATCGCCTCTTTCATATATTGCAAGTCAGTAGAAGACCGCATCATCAGCCGCACCTTTAATCACCCTCTCGTTCGTCGACACCTGAGTGCCATCCTCCATCGTATGTAACGAGAAGTCGATCTCCGGGACCGGCTTCTTTTCCGTCACCGCACGCGCTAATTTCCGATCCATCTTGAATTGGTTGATATATGATTTTGGGTATTGGATCGGGGATATCGCAAGAACTCGGGATGGATCAAAGGGGGGAACTGCGCGGAGGAAGTTGTGGTGGGGTTAAGCGCGGCGGGATTGCACACACACGAGACGCAGACGGAGTGCCCGAATCTAAAGAGAAGAAAGGCGGGGCGCTGCAAGAAACACGAGGTTTTTTCCCTGCTCGGATGGACTGCGTGGTGTGAAATCAGGAGATAAAATAAATCAAAAGGCTGGAGTTACTAAAAACTTCAGAGCAGATGAGCCTCTTAGCGCCAAGGCGTTCAAAAGGTTGGGGTAGAAGCCGTCGTGGGTCGCGTGGTGGAAATCGAAGCTGAGAGAAGAGAGAATCAATCAACAGGATTATTAGGGGGTGAGGATCGTAAGAGACAGCTGGGAATAAAATTACACCTGAAGGAGAAGAAGAGGAGATTCCAGGCTTCCAGTGGAATGGGGAAGAGGCTGAACCGAGGAGATATTCAGCTGTTCGATCAGTTATCAGACTGCTGTACCTTAATTAGCCGGTTGATAACTGGGCATCATCCAGGGTCCGCCTCGCTGCGGGGAGTTTCAAGAATGACAATCACCACTCACTTCCACGCAGCATTCCCCTGTCCATCATCTTCTCTCCGTCCGATCTTCAGGCAAGATGTATGAATCGTATCGTAAGTCATTCTTGAATCTCCCCATCAGAAACAGTCCATTAACAATCTCCCTGCTAGGACCGCATCCCCTTCTCGCCCAAGTCCCTTTAACCGTCTCTCCCTTTATCAATCTTCCCTCTTCGGTCACACTTCCCTACACATATAAATCGGTCCCTTCTACCCTGCCCCCATCGGTGACAGTCGACCCTAGTAATCCAGACGCCAAAGCACGTTATGTCGTCTCCTCGAGTGGCGAGCACGCAGCGCATCCAGACGAGATCCTGGCGTCATGCCAGACCCTTGAACAACATTTAAAGAAAACCCGAAACGACAATGCAGATGCCATTAAGAAGTGGGAAGAGTCACTCTCTCAACGGGATTTGGCGGAGAAGCGACGTGTTGCGCCTGGGTGGCTAGATCGTGATGAGAAGCTACTCCAACCCAGCAAAGCAATGTCGCCTTCCATGTCTCAAGGACAAGCAGAGCAGAGCCTGCTGGACAGCTCTTCTACAGATCAAAACTCGACCAACCTTCCGTCAATGAAACCTCATGATGAGGGCGAGGAGCTGGATAGAGCATTTGGTGGGCTAGATGTGAAATGAGACGATCTACCTAGGCGATCCAATTGCGGTATAACAACCTATTGAGACCCTTGGCATCACAATACGTGCATTGGTGGCTTCGCTCAGTTCGATCTGTAACTCTTCACAGACATGCACCCATCATGATCCATGCAAGGGCGAACACGGGCTAAGGCCCTTGGTTCATTGGAGCAACCTCCCTCAGAGTTAAGTTCAAATTTAGCTCTTTCGCACATCATGCAATTGGAAACCATTCCAATGTGCTACATCCTCTTGATTGCGATCTTTGATAGTCGTCCAAGCGTCAGTCAAAACGGACTGCCAAGCACCCAGCTCATAGGGTGGCTTAGCATCAACTGCGACGATATTGAAATTTATAGCTATGATTTGACTTGCATGTGCTAGATAGACTATATAGAGACAGAATAAACATGGTATGGGCATTGGAGGTGATATTCTAGAAGCTATCCATTTAAACTCTACCCACTGGACTGCCAGATGTATATTCCGCATAGCTGTCCAATGCATGACTCACGCATTGATATGCAGTATTTTTTTGCAGATCAAAGTCTGTACCAATCTGTCTGGCAATTTTTAAAAAATGAAATACATTACACATAATATTAATTCTTCACGTCGTTGAAAGATATCCTCTTGGAGACGGTAACGACAATCGGAACCATCCCGCCTAGCACCGCCAAAAGCCCCTCCGCAGCAAAACCAACCATCTCCAATCCACCTCCACTCCCAGCAACCACCTCAAAACAACTTTCTTGGGATATCTGGACAATTTGACATCGATTCAATCTCATCATGGAACCTCTCCACGCCGCCCCCGAGACGGCCTCGTTTGTCCTCCTCGCCGAGCACCAGTCGCGGACTCCGTCCTCCTTCCACTCCGGCCCTCCAGTCCTGCACTACCATAACAAGCAATGCAAGGTCGTCATCCTCGAGCGGGATATCCTCGCCAATCCGCCCCTGAATGCGATCCGTGGGGCAGCAGCGAATGGATCAGGCGCTGCGACAGAGGAAGCTGAAGAAAAAGAGATTGCCATTGACGGTGTGGATGTCTGGGTGACTTCTGAGTAAGTCTGACCCCATTGATATTCTTAAATTCGTCGGATATCTGCTTGAGCGAGGGTCGTCATATAAAATATCTCTTGAAGACCCTAAAATGCGAGACAAGTTGCTAATTCCCAATCCTATAGCAAATTCCTCTTATACGCCCCCGCCGCCTCCGCAGGAATCTCCATCCCCTACCCATCCATCTCTCTCCATGCAATCCAAAGACTCCGCCTTCCTGATTCCCCCGATCACCCCGAGGTCCAAGGACTATACATGCAGATTGCGGCGCCGTCGGGTGCTGCGCAAGAAGACGACGTGGAAGAATGTATCACAATGACCGTCGTTCCGCCAGCAGAAACAGAAATGACGGACGAGGACAAGCCCGAAGAGACACCCACTCAGATGTTCTACGGTGCTGTATCGGCATGTTCGAACCTCCACCCGGACCCGGTGGAACAGGGCGACGAGGACGAGGATGAGGAAGGAAGCTCGTTGTTCCAGAATGGACTTGTCTCTGCGGGGAATGCTGATGGCGGGCTACCGCCTCCTGCTGAGGGGAGCTCTGGGTGGATTACAGCGGACAACATGCACGAATTTATTGACGAGGAAGGGAATTGGATTGCCGGTGGGGAGCCCCCATCTTTGCCGCTGGGACCAGGTGCAGGTACAGTGAGACATTGGGATGAAGACGGTGGCAATGAAGGACGAAATGGTGAGGGTGAAGACCAGGAAGATGAGACCAAGTGGAGGAGAACGGATTAATAGGTTCTTTACTTGAATTAAAGGGGAAAGGACGGGGGGAAAATAAAATAAGATGATAATAATGCTATGACTTGGGTTGGAAAGTGAACTTGTACGATTTGGCTTGGTGATAGGCTCAAACTACACAATATCAACCATTGCTATGGGACAAATTCCAAATTCCAAATTCCAAATACTAATTACCTATACCTAGCCAGTGGATATCAGAAACCAAAGTAGAGAGAAAGACCTGCTAAAGAAAATAAATAAGCTACAAGGGAAAGTGAAAAAGATAAGAATTAAAAAACGACGGCGAGAGCAAGAAATCCATTTTGCTTGAGCTTTTTGAACCATAGCACCGTATAGCAGACCAGCTACTCCTTCAAAAACCCATCCCCGTCATACAAACTCGCCGGAGTGGGTGCACATCCTATCCCCAGTCCTAGTCCAACCGTTTTCCCTGTGGGCGTTTTCATGTCCTGCCTGGATAGTCGGTCGGCTGACATGGTGCTCTGATCGCGATCAACTCTCGTGGGTGAGCTGTCGCCCTGTAGCTCAGCGGGACCACTAAGCTCAGAGATTGAAGATCGTTTTGTTGCTGATCTTTCAAGATGCTGGTCTTCCCAGATGGTAACAATGTTTGAGCTGTGCGTGCTGAAAGCCTTCTTCAACCCGCAAGAAGGAGGTTGGAAGAGAGCCGAGCCGTTGCCGACGTCTGCGGCATCAATTCTGTCCCGACCTCGTGTGACGGAGTTGTCTGTAGCGTCACTGTTTGCGCGATGTACTGAGCCATTCGATCGCCTGGAATCCCTGCTAGATGTCCTGTTGGGACGGGACGGGCGACTAGACGGGCTCGAAGGTGTCGATGTGGTGGGGGCATATTCACCTAGAGGTGTCGAAGCCGATGATCGTTGAGGGTTTCGTGCAAACTTGCCGGGCTGGCTGCGCGGTCCCTTGATCATCGATCGACGGGGGCTTCCAGTACTGGGTGAGTTCTCATACGTGGTAGGAGACTCGTTAGACTTACGGCCCATCCACCCCGGAGTAGGTTTTTCAGGTGATGGGGTGTGAGTCATATTGGCCTCTTCAGTTGAGGGCAAGGCTGTGAAAAGGCCCGGTAGATCCTTTGCACTTTCTGTTCTACCGAGTGTAGAATCGATGGATTCAGTAGGCACGAGTTTTTTCTTGCGCGACGACGCTCTTCTATACGATGACCCTCGAAGATCATCGTTCGAAAGTTCGCTTGCTTGTCGTCTCCCTCTAGGAGGGTCTTGGTAGTTGGTCCTCATCGAGGTGGGCGATACGCCACTGGAGTTATTTGGGTACATGTTGGACGCTGATAGACTGGGAACTTCCGATTGCCGCATGTCAAATTCCTCCAGTTCCTCAGGCTCCTCGGCCGTGGGTGAGAACACTGGCCTTCCAAAGGTAAGTGGCGGATGGATTGAAATGCGCACGCAGTTTTGTCGACGATGGCCTTTGCGCATGCCAGTGCCGCCTTTCATTGCTGAGGGTAAAGGTGCCCTGGGTAGACCATCTGAGTTTAACGGTGTCTCGTGAACGATGAAGCTGGTTGACTTTCTGCCCGGTCCTTCAGACTGAACGATACAGTTCGACTGGTTGACAGAATTTCCATAAAAGGGGTCGTTTTGCCGACTGTCGTATGCCGAATGGCGCTGCATTTGACTGAAATGTGGGAGTAGCCCACTTGAATTCATGGGACCACGGCTCGTGGACAAGGGAGTTGGATAAAGAACGGGCGTTGGCCCCAGTGATCCGAACCGTGAATCTTTCTTGGACTGTGTTGTGGACAGGGATTCACTTCGTCGCGGGGGAGGGCTAACTCTCTCCGTTGTAAAACTCGGAATCCTAGCAGTCAGACTGCGACGAGGAGAGGTGCGATCAGGTTCCAATCGACTAGCCTCTGACAGAAGAGAGTTGGCAGAAAGAGCAAGGGATCGTGACAGCGACCCCTGGCGCGAAACATAGTTTCTTCCTACATCATTGGCACTGTAGGGCATAAATGTCGGACAAGGAGGTAGATTTGGTGAAGCGAACTCGCCATCTATCGAGGCTGGTCCCCTCATGGCTTCTTCCAAGATGGAGCTATCCGCCGTTTCAAGACTCAGTGAAGACATCCGCATCAGTGAGTTATTCTTCGGAAGAGTGTAGCGGCTAGGAGGAAAAGCCACAGGTGGAGGAGGAACTGGCTGATCGGGCATTGAGCCTGCTGTTTGCGCAGTGATGCTTCCCCCGCGTATGCGAGATGATTGCGGGTCTTCGAAGACGGGGTAGAGAGCACTTGAGTGTTCCCTTTGGTTGAGCAAAGGCCACAGGCCAGAAATTGGCCGTATACTGGTGTCATCGCTGGCTAGCTCAAATTCTCTGTCCGGAGTCTGTCTCGGAGTCGTCTCCGTGGGTAGCTCCATCACTCCTTCGACCGCGGAAATCGATATATCATCTTTCGAACCTTCCCTGGGGCCGGATAATGAAGGCTTTTCTGATGTCTCTGTCAGGGTTGCCAGAGAACTTAGGCGGCGCGGCCGCGTCATTTTTGATAGTTTGGACTTGGACCGCGAGAGTGAAAGAGAACGCTTCAGTGACCGAGCCTTTTCCTTGAAAGACCCCGTTTCTGAATCGGCATTGTCATCTAGAGCTAGACTATCGTTCGATGCTAACAGCCCCCATTCTGTCGGTCTTCCATATGGAAGTTGGCCGTATTGTCGCAGAGCGGATCCTTCTTCGCGCGAGAGTTCAGTTACCGTGTCAGCAGGGAAGTTTTGTAGACCCCGTGCAAATCGACCATGTCTTGCGTTCGCCACTGCCATGGAAAGTCGTTCCTTGCGAATCCTCACCCAGACAACAGTGCCAACCACTGCGGACACGATGAACAGGACCGAGCAGCTGACGGCTGCAGCGACGACGGTGGTTAACGCGGGCATTTTGCCCCCCTCCTTATCCTCCCGGAAGGTCCCTAGCCGTGTAATAGCGAGGTCGAATTAGCTGAAAGAAGCTCTTTGAGCCAATCTTCATCCACTGCGTATAGCTGCTGGTCGAAATCGACCAGTTCCCTCAATTGACGGTGCTGCTCGTGGGAGGAAACAAAGCAGTCACCACGCAAAGCAGGGAGTTCAGCATTTGCAGGGAGATGACCAGTAGATGACTATGGAATCCTAGGAGGGCGTGTTTGTTATGGAGGAAGACGGGATAGAAAGAATGCGGACGCATTACGATCCTGGGCGACGAGGAATGCTGGCGGGCGGCCGTATCCCTCCTTCATAGACACCACGATGCTGGATTTTTGATGATATGCTAAAACTTTGGCTGGTGAGAGGTTGTTGGTGCATTGTGGGGATGACGAGGAGTAATTGGAATGAAGACTAAACGACGTCTTGAGGATCGGCTACAGATAAAGGGATATGATCATCTCATATGCTGACATATGCCATCCAAGGATGAAAAGAGGCCAAAGGATATTTATTATCGGTTGATCATGAAACCTGTGACAATACAGGTGCAACTGCATTCCGTAGAAAAGGCCATGATGGAAATTCGAGACGCCAGATAGAGATTAAATGCTTTGATGGTTAGTATCTTCGTTATTCCAAAAACAACTCCTGTTCTGTTGGTGTGGACTAGCCGATTAGCCATGAACAATCATTCAATTATATGTGTACGCGTATCTTCTTCCCCTGGATAAGATCTTCGCGTTCCTTCTCTTCTGAATAGCTTCAATTCATCACAATGTCACGAGACCTGTCATCACGAGATAAAGTACCGGAACCGAGTTTCGCCGGTCCGGGCCCATCTTCCCCTCATTAGGGCGCTTTTGCCTTTTGGCCTGAGAATGTCAGCGAAACACCAGACTGAGTGCAAGACAAACAGGATACAACGGCGATGAAGAGATTTCACAATGTGATATGGAAACCATCGAACTGTGGTCGACCCAGATCTGCATCCAGATTCATATCTCAACCAGAACATTCGCTATGGCCCATCCATGGTCCACAGCTCTGGCCTCCCGCGTTCTACGCTTGTTCCGGGGGCGCATAGCGTCATGATCCACCCGAGCCAGTGCT